GAAAATATTTCAGGCCCGTGTTTGCTTGTAGTCATTGCACCGTTAGAAGGATCGGGATTCAGGGCACCAACAACTTCAAGGTGGGTCGGCCAGAACAGTGGTGTAGCTTGCAAGACAAGGCATCAGAAGGAAGCTGATACCAGGCGCATATGCAATCTCGCTATATAGCGCATGGACGTCTCCTACCATGATGAGATGTGCACTTGCCAAATTGTGTGTTCAGAAGTAGGTTGTCCAGAACATGGTGAGCCACGACCCTTATGGTGAATAGTAAAGAGTTGTTTGAGTAGGAGTCCAGTGATTAAGGTTGGACCCTCAGGGAACTGTTCGTTGAGTCGTTGCAGTACAAGCATTTTTGCGTTCGCGAAGGACTTTGTACGTTTGGTACCGGAACCCTTAGGACTTTTTCGAACATTAACCGGCTCTTGTCCGTGCACATAAAGACAACCAGATGCTGGAGGTGACATTCCAGTGACATGCGCGCGCCGAGTCTCGGCGAGATGAAGCCGATTCGCAAGACAGCAATTTGGCTCTGAATCGATGTGCTTATACACGTTAGCATGGTGAATTGGTGTTTCTGCGCGGTGTGAAGGGTGACTAGGCAAGGCACCAAGCAGAATAACGAGGTCGAGAAGTAGGTACTCTGAAAGATCTACGATGGCTGCGGTGGGTCATCAGGACCATGCCGCCATAGGACGCCACATGCTCTAAAGGCTGCGTAGGATCACGTTCGATGCATGAGACGGAAGAGCTGTATATAATTGCGTATGAGTCTTCCATGTGCACGGGTAGGAACTGACAGGTCATCCGCTTCGAAGAGGTTGTTTGTGCTTGATGGAGTTGATCCGATCCAGGCGGGCTGGGCTAAATTCATCGCTTCCGAGTCTTTGGATTTGATGCACAGACACCCCCTCCAATCCAAACTGTACCAAACAGGGTCCGTCGGCGGGATCCCATTTATCCTGGGGAGCATTGTTCTTCATGCTTTCGATCAGTCAGTTGGATGCTACGCGTGGGTTGTACGTAGAAGAAAGGCTCGAGATGTCTCTGGCACGATGCAAATGGGTCAAAGCCTACAGCGTCTCCAACGCAAACCAACTCTTGTTAGACACAGACAACAAAAAGACTTTATTCTTTTTCCTATCTGTCCCATGATTTAGTCCGCGCCCGCCCGCAAGCAACCACCGCCCCACCTTAGCGTAGCCGTCGTCCTTCGGCCCACTTTCGAGTCTCAACGAGGCCCTCTCAGGGAAACCGTCAGCCGTCGCACCACATCTCATTAGAACAAGAGACATTTTTGCACTCGGCGCCCTACTCGGTCGCCGGATTTGATTCGCGTCAGGACAAGCGAGCACTCTCGTATTACAAGTTCCAGTCGCGCCTTGCGAAAACTCGTAGGGGTTATCGAAGCCACCTGCGGCAACAGCGACGACATCCGACGTTCGTTCCTTCCCATCACCACCCGACCTCTGGAATGAATCACACCGAGCAGGCGCAGCCATGGCCGCAGCCAACACACATGGACATGCAAGACATGCAAGACATTGACTTTGCGAACTTCCTCGACATCGGCGACATAGGTGATATTGGTGACCTCGGTGTGGCCGACTTCTCCTCGCTCGACGGACCAGACGCCCGAGTGCTGGGCTCAAATGGCTCTCTACACGACTTTGGCACCGACGCCTTTGGCCTGCCGACACAATTGGACGTGCAAACATTCGCCCAGAACCCACAATGGGGACAGCAGCAGGTGCAGCAGAGCACATATCGTGCGCCAAACATCGTCCCTCCGACGCCAAACAGCTACGACCTCCAAGGCAATGCGCGTCACTACATGGCCCAGCACATGGACTCGGGCGCCGGCCCTTTCTTCGACCAACACCGCCTCTTGACAAAGGAAGACAACATGGCATTCACCCCTCTAGTCTCGCCAGCCGTCACCCCGAGAGAGTCGACCTTTCATCCCATCCACGAGTACACTGCTCCCGGCGCCTACTTCAGTCCACTGACCTCTCCGGCTATACATGCTCAGCACCAGAACCGCAACCATGCCCATGGCCACTATACCAATCCGACAACGGCCGACAACTCGGCTGCCGCTTCGCCGCTCGACCTCAATATGGACATCGACTCGTTGAACGACGTGACAGACGCTGCTCCGCGAAGAAGCAGGCGGAAGCCTCAGATGCCGCATTCGGCAGGTCCTGCTGCCCGCGTGCGACAATCTCCCATCGTCAAGGCCCAGAGACGTCGCTCGGCTCATCTCTCAACCGTCATCCCCCCACACCAAGTCAACAATGTCTTGATGGAAGCCCAAAACCGAAGTCAGGCACAGGGCTCGCGTACCCCTTCAGTCGAGTACATGCCGCCGTATCACGAGGGGTCAAGTGCCGATTCCATCTCACCTGAGGCCTTGCCCGATTTGGTCATGGGCCCTCCTCCTCTGCCTCCCTCGGTCTTTCATTCCCCTGCCTTACAACCTCAGAACCACTCTGCTCCTCCTTCGACTACAATGCACTCGCACTCAGGACCAATGGCTTCTTGTCCCGCCACCCCTGCCTCGTTGATGTCTATCCGCAAGAAGCAGCAGAACATCGATCGTTCTGTTGGACCTCATCCGGGCTCGGGACAATTCCAAGTGCAATCCCAGGACCAGTTGAACATGCTCGAAGACCTTGCGCTGCCTCCCTCTATTGCCGAACCTGCCCAGCCAGCTTTGAATAGAATCGACACGACATTATCCAACGAAACTACTCCTCGTTTGGCCCCCGCTATCAAAAATAAGCCAAGACTGGCTCCATCAAATTCTACCACAGCAAGTCCCATTATCGGCGCTACACAATCGCCTGCCTTTGGACCAATAAACGCTAAACTAGACCAAAAACGATCGCAGCCTTCAAAGAAGCGCGGCAGTGTCGGCACGACGTCTGCGCTTGTCAGCCCGGCAATCCGACCAAAAATCAGCCCCAGCATCAAGCCTTTGCTTCCCGAAGGAGGTACGTGCAACTAATATATCCTGATCACAAATCAGTCCCTTTACTGATTATCACATGCAGGTCTTAGTGAAGCTCAACAAGCCATTCTCCTGGCATCAAAGTCAAACTACACCCACCTGCTCGAAGGCACTCGCCTCCCTGGCGTGTCATATCCCGATTCTTTATCTCAAGGCTTGACCTCGAAACGCACCTCGCACAAGCTGGCCGAGCAGGGTCGACGCAACAGAATCAATGAAGCCATCAAAGAGATGCAAACACTGCTTCCCAAAACAAAGGGCAAGGGAAAGACAGAAGAAATTGTCGAGGAAGAGGAGGAAGCCAACGCTAAGGATGACAAGGGCAACAGCACCGCAGAGGGCAGAAGTGCAAATTCAAAGGCTGCCACTGTGGAAAGCGCCATCAACTACATCAAACTACTTCAACAAGAGAAGACCACGGCTTTCGAGATGCTCAAAAAGAGAGACGAAGAAATGGTCGCGCTGAGAAAGCTGCTGCAAGCTGCTGACATCATCACAGCCGTCAGTGACTCGGCCAACGATTCAGTCGTTGCAAGCAGCGGCGAAGAAAACAACGTTGAGACCGAGAAGATGGAGGGCGTCAGTGCTACGCCATGAGACTGTCATTTTGCTCTTTTTCTTGGTTTTTATCCTTGCTTGCGCTTAATGAACAGTAAAACTGGGAACTTCGCTGTTGAAGGAGGTAGCACTTTGTTTCGGTTCCTTCCTTCCTCTCTGCCCTTCTTGCACTTGTCTTTTATAATCTCGCTAACCCCCTTCCCCTCTCCTCGTCTTCTTTCTTCACGCACGTCAAGGGTGGCTGGTCCTCTCTATTAGGAGAGGGCGAAGTTCGGTTTTTGGCGCTCTCTTTCTTTCTCTCTTGGGCTCACGAACACGAACTCCTTGTCTTAGATATCCGATATTTTGCTTAGAAGCCTCCCGATTGTTTTCGGTTCACACCAAGTTATACCTACATCTGGAATCAAATAGTAAAAAAATAATCAAAGCTCATTAACTGTATAAACTCTATAATTCCTGCGCAATTTGGTTTCCATGCCATGTACTGCATGGAACCAAACGAAGAAGCTTTTAATCGAGCCCTTATCATGATAGAATCCACTGTCGAGGAATCAAGCAGTGATCCTTCGGAAGTTGACATTTTGGCTGTTGCTTGACCATTGCTGATCAGCTTCAAGAACATTCACACTCATTACCGAAACATAGGATGCATCATCTTGTTCGAATGCACGGTCCTAGCTGTGTTTCGTTAAGCATTAGTCCCCTATTTGCTTTAAACAGAAGATCCAATATCTGATTGGATGACTTTTTGGGGACGCAGTTCAAGTAAGGTAGAGAATTTCTCAGAACAGGTAGAAGCCTAATACGCGAACCGTGCACTTGGTCTATGGGGCAGTACAATCCGGCATATGCTTAGCATATGCTCGAGTTTTATATGCTCTTGCCCATCGCTTACCCTTACTCTAAGGGCCCCTCTACCGGGAACCCCTCCTTTCCTCGTAGCGGGAAGCTTAAGGGCGCTTCTTATCATATCTATCCTAGCGTTCCGGGGGAGTGCGTAAGATAGTAATAGGCCTTGCGCTTACAGGGCTAGTAGAGGGAGGGGTCCGGCGAGGGGTGCTTTATAGTTTCTGGGCTTTTGTGGGTCTACCTGTTTTGAGAAATTCTCTACCTTAGCTGACCTGCAACCCGTGACTTTTTCCAGAAAGACGGTGGCCAGGGCAGTGGATGAATGGCAAGGGTAAAAGGTAGATCAAAATTGGATTGCAAAACGTACAGCAGCAGGGATTCCCACGTGGTCACCCACCGTAGTACTAATCTGCCGTTCAACTGCTTATGTATGGCAGAGCGGACGGGATGCCCAGTTTTCAGCTGACTGTGGCCGTACGTGCTTGGTATGTTGCTTTCCACGTCTATATTCTCGATTCATGGTTCGGAACAGGATCGAATACATCCAGACGCTTGCTCACATTGCCAACCGTCACCATCTTCATACACTGGCAGGTTGAGGGTCACCCGGCTTGGCCCTATAACTGATCCTACCGGCAGGCAAGAAGAAGAGTGCAACCAAAGCACCTCCACGCACCTCTGGATAGTGATGTGTACCTGGCCCTGGTGATGTCCAACCTGCGCCTTGCCAACCCTGCATACCTTTCAACTTGGCAGTCTTGTCAACTTGTACGACACAGTTGATCTCGCCATACGGATGAGAGTGATATTGACCCGAGTANNCTGGTTACATCAGTCATGAAGCTTCTTTTTGCTGGATGCTGATCAGTGGTAAGGAAAGTGCTTAACATACCTCTTCTTCACTTTCCATATACACGGATGTGATGGAGAAGAATCTGTTTTCAGCGCTGGGAAGAAGGATTTTGGAACGTCTGTACTTTGCTCCGTCGAGCTCGAAGTTGGCGACCCAGCCTTCTTTGAGGCCCTGACGTGTCAGATTGCATAGGTCTTCGTAAACCGGATTACCAGGTCCGTAGTTCTTGTTGAGATAGGCTTCGAGCTTGTGGCCTGGTGNTACTGAAAACAGATTCATGTCAGCGCGAGACAAGAAGGGTGGGAGAGATGATATATACAGGTCTTCGACTTCGGAGAAGAAGTCACGGCAACGAGATACCAATTTCTGAGCAGTTGGATGAGCATTCAGATCGACTTCGGTAGGAGGAACATCGTTCTTTGAGGGAGCGGCGTTTGTGTTTGGCGGTAAAGAGGAGCTCATCACTGCTGCTGACATTTTTGCTAGGTTCTACAGTGAGGTGGTGGAATTGTGAGATGATCTGCAGATGAGAAGTCTTCGACAACTACAGTGCGACAGCGAGCATTAAATGTCGAATCTTTCTGGAAGAGAGCTTCCTCGGGCAACATATACTTCAGTTTCGGTACAGTAATCAAGGAAACACAAAAATCAGCCACCGTAAAGCAAGACCCCGCTCTGGATAATCGGCATCAACCTCTGGCAGTCCATCACAAGGAATCTTTGGGCATCGATGTAAGGACCAATGGAATTGTGAAACACATGACGAGATGGACAACTCAAATTACAGCCAATGTTCTTGGATAAAAGATGGTTTGTAGTGCGACGTCCAAAGGATGCTGTCTCTCACCACCACATGCGAAAGAGGGATAAGACCCAGACCTTTTGCTACAGATTCTATTCTCCGTAGCAGTCTCAACTTTACTTCTCTACTATATCAACTATTCATTACGACTTGGAACTCATAGACAAAGCCAGGCACAGCGTTCACAATGAAAGAAGCTCATATCGACGCTGATACAAATGTCACCATTCACGATGTGCCAACACCTAAAATTCTCGATCCACATCAGATTCTTGTCAATGTGGTAGTATCAGGCTGCAACCCGAAGGACTGGAAGATGCCTGCCGGTATGCTTGTTACCATTGGTTCCTGTCCCAATAGCGGCGACGATATAGCAGGTGATTAGCCCGATCAGAGCTTCATCATGTAATATCGCTCTCTTTGCTGACTCCTCCACCTTCAAGGCATCGTTGCTGCCGTTGGATCCAGCGTTCTTGAGTTCCGGCCTGGAGATCGTGTGGCGGCCTTGCATCAACTCGGTGCTCCCTATGGAGCCTACTCTGAGACAGCTCTCGTCTGGGATCATACAACGTTCCATATTGGCGACCGTTCATTCGAAGAAGCAGCTGCGATGCCCATGGCATACTACATGGCATCCATTGGTCTTTTCGGGATGCTAAGGTTGCCGATGATGTGGCAGCGTTCCCAAGACGAACAGAAAGCAATGCCTCTGGTGATATACGGCGCCTCAGGAGCAGTAGGTTCTGCTGCAGTCCAACTCGCCGTCAACGCAAACTTCCATCCTCTCGTTTGCGTTGCAGGATCAGGAGCATCTGCGATACAGCCACTCCTCAACAGCAGCAAGGGCGATGTGGTTCTCGACTACAGAGAAGGCGCCGAAAAGCTGGTCGAAAACATGAAAGCTGCGCTTGGTGAGCAGGAATTACATTATGCCTTTGACTGCGTGAGTGAACACGGCTCGTCAGCAAACATCTGTCGTGTGCTTCGGAAAGGAGGACACATCAGTCTGGTCTTGCCATCAGGAGTAAAAGACGTCCCACCCGGTTTCGATGTCAACACCACAATGGCCGGAAACCTATGGGCCGGATTCAAGAACAAGAGCGATACGCATGGAGCAATGGGTTTGGCCGGAGGAAAAGAATTCGGATACTGTTACTCCAGACTGCTCGGGCATTGGTTCAGCGAAGACAAGTTGCGTGTTCACAGTCCCGAGATAATTGAGGGCGGGTTGCTGGGCATAGAGAAGGCGCTGAAGAATCTGAGGGAAGGAAAGAATCATGGGGTGAAATATGTTGTGCGCGTCAGAGACACGCCTGGCTTGGAGTGAGAAGGTCTCGACACCGAACATTTGCTTCAACCCTTCCAACAGATAAGCTCGAGATGTTCGGCCTCGTCTGTAGTATCTTGATGGCTCTAACGCGACAATTACCCGACGTACTCGATGTTTTAACACGAGTAGCTGAACAATGCCCATTCCAAAGTCATTCTATTGGAGTTCTTCTGATGTTTGCGACAAAGATCTGGCATGAGAAGAATTTGCACAGGATATCCCAAAAGATGAACTCAAACCATTCATAGAGCTTACCTGGATAGCTCACCTATACCTGATACTACTCAACAAATCAGGAAGTAGGTATAGTGCCTGGTGGCTGCCTCGAAAGATATGTATCTCATAGACAGGGTTGGAGGCACAGCAAGAGTACATGGCATAAAGTTATGTAACATTATGACTCGAGAGCTTACTGAGAGGCGCGTCATTTATGGGAGTGAACAGCGTGCAGCTATTGTCATCTCCCTGTTCATTCGACTACTCCCCGTCACACCACTCAATCGCGTCTTTTGCTTCTATTCCATCATCGACATTATTCATAAAATCCATCGACCCTCATAAAAACACGTCCCAGAACACAGAACAGCGAACAAGATGACCGAGTACACCAAGATGAAGAACGCCGACCTCGAGGCGCTGCTCAAGGAGCGCGACCTCCCTCACACCGGCAAAAAGGCCGATCTGGTCAAGCGACTCCAGGACCACGACGCGCAAACCGCCAGTGGTGATGCGCCCAAGAACGAAGACGAAATCGATTGGGACGAGGACGACCAGCCCGCAGCAGCCGCGGCAGCAGCCTCCAAAGCAACCACAGATGCCGCCGCCGTCGCAATCGCAGCCGGTGGTCAAGGACAGCCTCCAAACCCCCAAGCCGTGCCCAACCAGCAAGCCGACATCGACCCCTCGCAGACAGACGACCTCACAGTGATCCAGCCCGCCGCCGACGCGTCAACAGCCCAGCCCGAGACCGCAGACGCCAGCGCACCTTCAGAAGCACAGCCAGAAGAGCCGGCCAAGCCTGCCGTCGACTTTACCTCTGGACTCGCCAAGACGACCTTGGACCAAGAGATTGAAAAGCGCAAGGCGCGCGCAAAGAAGTTTGGCATGAACGAGGACGAGGACGAGGCCCTCAAGGCGCTGGAACGCGCAAAGCGCTTCGGCAACACCGAGATGCCCGGCAAGCTCAACGAAGCTCTCCCCGAGCGTCGTGAGCGCAAGAGAGGCGCCCCCACCGACGGAGAACAGCAAGGCGCCCCCAAGAAGCGCGAGAACACCGAAAACAAGCGGGAGACTAACGATAACGGCAGACGCGGTGGCCGTAGAGATGGAGGCAGAAGAGGAGGCGCACAAACCCAATCAAAGGCACCCGCTCCTGCTGCATCCGCGCCCGCAAAGAAGGAGAAGCCGCAAATTAGCGAGGCAGACCGGGCAAAGGCCGAGGCTCGCAAGGCAAGATTCGCATCATCATCATAGAATGGAACGCTCTATAGTTTTGGTTATAGGTCTCTTCCCAAATCACGACCTCTGGATCGGAAAGATGCATCCACCAGCACCATTCAAATGATCGCCATCATCTAGAAGAGTAGATTGGATGAGACTTGAGGTAGTCACGGTGTCTAGGGGATTTCAAACTCTTCTTCCAGCGGCTCCATTACAACTGTAGGATAAGCATAGCATCTGAATGAGAACATGAAATTCCTGGACTGCGTGTTTATCAATTTGTACGAGACTTTGGTGGTGGACCCATGAAAATCGTGAAAATGCTATTGACCCGAACTAAACAATAAGCTCCTTTGCACTTTCTATGCTAAATGTTGATCAAGATCAATCAGATCTATAGGCAATGCATTAATCCGTCTCGTCTACAACTTGGCTCTGGCACTGCTCTGTGCCTCGGCCTCGGTGTACATCTCATCAATGACGGCGCGGTACTTCTTCGCGGTCTGGGGTCTCTTGAGCTTGAGNNTCTGTTGTTCGTGTTAGCTGCTGGAGTTGTTGTTGTTCTTTTCAGACATAACTTACGTAGGTGTGAGGAGTTCGTTGTCGACAGTAAAGGGCTCGACCATCAGTCGCACATTGCGCACCTTCTCATAGCTGTTGAACTTGTTCTTCTTGCCAATCTTGTCAAGCTCCTTGAGAACCGCATGGCGGACCTTGACGTCTTGAGCTGCCGCCTCGAGGGCCTTGATGTCGGTTGCACCTAGCTGCTTACCAAGCACCTTGCTTGCGAAGCCAGCAAACGTGTCAGGCTGGATGCCAAAGATGGCAACCAAGAATGCTCTGTCGCTGTCTCCATGCACATATGCTTGTGAGAACCAGGTTGTGTTGCCCAAGTAGACGTTCTCGATACGCTCGGGTGAGATGTACTCGCCCTGTGCCAGCTTGAGAACGTTCTTTCTGCGGTCGATGATCTTGAAGCGGCCGAGCTCGTCTACTAAGCAAATGTCACCAGTACGGAACCAGCCATCTGGGAGAAGTGTCTTTTGCGTCTCCTCGGGGTTCTTGAGGTACTCTCTGAACACAGTAGGTCCGCGGACCAAGAGCTCGCCACGGGGGTATGGCTTGTCGGATGCAAAGTACTCCATGTCTGGTACGTCCATTAGACACAGCTCGGTCGTAGGCATGACTGCACCGCAGTTGCCGGCTGTCATGTCGCCTTCGACCTGTGCGCAAGCGATAGCGTATGTCTCGGTCAAACCGTAACCTTGCAGGAAACTGTTTCCGAACACTACTCTCATGAATTGCTGCAGAGAGGGATCGATAGGAGCCGAACCTGACACCATAGCTCTGACACGATCCAGACCGAGCTGAGCTGTGACCTTCCTGCCCCAGATGCGATCATAGAAGGCGTGCTTGTTTGTAGCCTGCTTAGGATCTGGGCTGTTCAAGGTTGCCAATTTGGTCGAGACAACATGTCTTGAAAGAGCTCCTCTGACGCCAGATGCTTCGAGAGTGGCCGTCTTAATGGCACCGCCAAAGCGGTTGTACAGACGAGGAACACTGATCAAGCTGGTAGGACGGAGAAGCTTGAAATCCTCGACAAGCTCCAGAATGTTGCCATGGAAGTATCCAATAGCACTGCCAGCCCAAAGAGCAGAACCCTCGGTTACGCGCTCGTAGATATGAGCTAGCGGCAGGTAAGAGCACATAACATCGTTGTCGCGCATGTCGACCAGAGTCATGGAGGCCGAAGCTGCAGCAACAGCATTTGCCTGAGTCAGAACCACACCCTTGGGAGGACCAGTTGTACCAGAGGTGTAGTTGATAGTGACGATGTCTTCTGGTTGGGGGACGTTGTAGGGGCGCGGGTTGGCCTCGCCCATGGCCTCGACATCGCGAATGTAGATGACCTTGATACCAGCTTCGGAAGCTAGAGCATTGAGGATATCGGCCTTGGAGGTTCCTGGGAGTTCAGAACCCGAGGTAAGAGGATCGAGCGAGACGACGATCTTGAGAGTAGGGCAGTGAGGAGCAAGCTTGAGTAGAGTTGGAATGTGGTTCAATGAGGTTGCAACAGCAGCTAGTCGTGAGTGGTTGATGATGTACTCGGTTGTGTCGGGCCCCAGAGTGTCGTAAAGAGAGACAGTGTACAGGGACTGAGACATACATCCCAGATCNNTAGTAGATTTAGCGCATATCCAATCTGCGACGGCTGAGAGTGCTTTGGACTTACCAACAATCTGCCACTCGGGGCGGTTCTGACACCAAAGACCGACACCGTGCTGTCTACCGGTAATTCCAATCTCATGGTGGAGGTGCACCATACCAATACCAAAGTTCTTTCTTCTTTCTTGAACCTGTCCATATGTTTCCCAAACATAGGGTCCAAAGGTCTTTGTGATGGGGTCGTAAGGACGATGTCCGAGACATCTTGCATTGGGGACGCGGTTGGCTAGAGTGTCGAGTTAGACTTGAAGAAGCAACCAAGGATGTCGAGTGATGGTAAAAGACGTACCTGTCCTCTCGAAGAAGTCGTGCGCAGACGTGATCTGATCGCTCTTGTAAGCAGGTTTACCTTGAGAAGCTCAACACGGTGCATACTTGGGNNGATCCAGAGTGTGAAGCAGACCGTCCTTGAATCTCCAATGTCTGTAGACCTTGCTACGTCCTGACTCTTCGCTTCCTTCGAGGGCAACACTGTAAGGAGCGCCAGGCGNGGGAGGGGCCCTGATCTCGTTGGCTCTTGCGAGAGCTGTGGGTGTCGACATGTTGTAGTTCGGGGTCGTCGGTATTAGGAGGAGGTTGCAAAGGATGAAGTCGCAGTATCGCAAAGAACAAGGTGCTTATTCGATCTTCAAGGACAAGGTCAGCTGGTGGTCATCTAGACTGAGTGGAGAAAGGACGGCGCGTTCGGCGACTCCGAGAACGAGTCGAGTTGGCACATACAAGACAAGGACCGCCCAAACGTTGACAGAGACAGTGACAGGCTGGAAGGAAGATGCAGACGGTCAAGAAGGAGAAACAGTAGAGAATATCTGTTGCTTACTTGCAGCAGTATGGGCACAATCTGGGGCATCAGCACCCGAGGTTTGCATTGTCATCGTTTATTAATTTGTCCCTTCCCAGTCACAAGGAACCGAGGCATCCCGCCTCTTGGCTGCGTCACGCACATTTAGCCTCTGTCTCCACGCTCAGCTGCAGCCGAGGGTGGAGAGAAGTCACGGCCCGAGTTGACGGAGCCGCAGACCAATTTCCCCTTTCGTACGTGGGCTTGAAGCCTCACTGCCTTAGGCTGTCAGAGCAATCATATTTCGATTCTCTCAGAAGGAATATCTACAATGATAGCCTAGATGTGAATCTCCTCAAGTATATACAGTTGCTTACAGCGCCAAACATCTGTGCCTTCGTACTATGCTATGCCTCTATAAGTCCAAGATCGATCATAAGTCTTCAAAATCCATCTCCCTCTTTCCACTCTCGACCGGCCTCTTTGGCACGGTTCCGAGGATCCCGTCCCCTATTCCACGCCTCGGCCCTTCGTCCTCCGAGATCCCATCGCAGCTTTTCGATCTCGTCGTGGATCCATTCTTTGCGTCCAGGTTCCGGAATAACCAGATTATCAGTCTCTTCCGGTATCCGACCTTCAGATTTGGCTTCCATGATCAAAGCCTCGTTCTTGCGAATCTCATGCGCCTCATTCTCGTGGTCTCTGAGGATATAGCGCAAATCGAAGAATTCGTTGTACTTCTCCGGACCGCCGAAACAATAGCCATACCCGTCACAGTAACAGATGTTCATGGCTGGGCAATCCACTGCGACACCTCCGAATATAAAGATCCAGATCTGCTCGAATACTCTGCCCGATAAACTATCGGAGAGCGGTGTTTTCAGAAGCCAGTCTCTGTAGTAAATGTACTTGGACAGAGGAACAGCCTGTATGCGCTCCCTACTGATGGCGAATTGCGCACAACAGGGCTGCGATAGTGTAGGTGGTATAGGGTCCAGAGGGAATATCTCGCTCCAGGCTTCCGCAATGATCATCTCTTCCTGCCTTTGGGCATTAGCGACCAGCGCTCCAGGATGAATACCACTGATCTCCGCAGGACAGCCAGGAGACCAATGACAGCGAAGGTTGACGTAACCATGTCGAATGACATGATTAGGGTTGAGATTGCGAACCATTTGAGCAGAGTCGAGATCCATTATATCGTTGTTGTGCCAGGCATAGCGGTGTGCGTGCATGAAGATGCTGACATCAGAAAGATTGTTGTAGTTGTCGATGATGTAGGAAAGGTATACCATCGCTTCATGTCCCTTGTTCTTTGGAGTGTGCAGTTCTGCATTCTTGTCGTCTACCACGTAAAATGCAGTCCGTAGCAGTCCCTTGGGAGCGAGCATGTCTTCCAATTCTGTATCCACCCAAAGTGTGTTCTCCTCTTTCTTTCGCCCTATCACCAAGGTTTTCGTGTATTCCGCATTAGGATCCTTTGGGGTGCCAGGGACGAAAGCTGGATTCGGATTTGCGAAGGTATGCATATTCTTGGACTCGTGCGATTCCAGGGGGACGTTTTCAGGCTCTGGATCTTCATCCTCGCTCAGCCCTATCACTTTCGGTACATGTCGCAAGGACGTAGTGAGATGCGTTGTGTGAAAGATGATGAAGAAGAAGAACACCAGGAAGAGAGCGAAGAGGAGGGGCGACAGTCGTCGCCTAGTGGTCATTGTATAGGCGTGAGGCTGGCGAGCCAGTAGGTCTGGGTATGCGACAGTCGTGAGTTGGGATTGCTGGTTGCGCGGCAAGCCGGGAGAGTGGTCCGTTCAGATCATGGCTAGTACAAGTGGACAGCAGAGAGTGACAAGGGAGAAAGAAATATGTACAGTATGCAAAAGGATGGCTGCGAACGACAGACGTGAAGAAGTACGGGCACTTATGATAATCGATCCTCCTCTGACGAAGCCTGCGGCCCGTGAGCCCTGGGGGCACCATGATGTGCGCGACTCGTCGACGATCCTCCTTGTTTCGAACCGACCATATCGGCATCATCAAACTGGCCCCAGTTCTTTCTCAGTAGACCTTGTCGGCCGCGTGTCCAGCAACCACGACTACCGTTTGATCGAGTCCCTGCGTTTCGCCCATGGTTTTTTTTTTCTCGTGCTGGACCCTGAACGACCGTTGACGTGCATTCTGCAGCCATCCACCGTCGAGTTGCGGGACTGATCATACCGCTTCACTGCCTTGAAAGGTAGTTTCAGCTCCCGACTCTTACTCTGAGAGAATCTGTCGTGCACCTAGAAATTGCATCTGACACATCAGAACTTGTCTTCATAGCCGTATTTGATCAGGTAACAAATGCAATAAGCAACGCCTCGCTCCGCTTTAAATGCAGCGCCCAAGTACATTAGAGGTATCTTCCAGGTGAAAACATCGAGACGGCGAGGAACAAGCATCCAACAGATACAGAAAAGGAGTAGATCAAACAGCCGTCGCCAATCTTCATCCACCGTCGTGAAACAGAAACAAGGAAAATCAACCCCGGGCCATGAAAACGGGTGTTCCACTCTACTCTTTCTGCTCGTTGTTCAACACCATCTCCACAACGATCTGCGTCTTCTCAAGCGCAGGGTGCTGCATGACGATCTTGATGGTGCGGCTAGCAGCACCATAGCCAACGACACCATTCACAATTCCGGTATTGGTACTGCCGCCGCTCAAAGTGCCGCCTCCGCCGTCGTCGAGACACTTGATGTCCTTCCCAGCAATGATCTGCTTGAGACGACCATTCTGAGCATTACGCACTTCGACAAACTCATTGTCGAAGAGAACGAGATACGGTCCATACAGTGCAGCGCTCTTTGCATTGGCAACAAAGTTCATGACCACTGAACGACTGATCTCGCCATGCTTATTAACATAGACTGCGCAGAGGTTGTAGCAGAGTAAGAACTCTTGATCGGTGAGTCGGAGCATGCCTAATGTCTCCTGTTTTTCGACGTGGCGTAGGATGTTGCTGACCTCAGGAGCTTTCCAATCCGGTACACTCCATGGCTGCTTTTTGTCTAAGGTGAGCACCTCGAAACCCTTATCCGAGCTGATGGCGAGACTGCTGTGGAAAAGATTCATGCCGTGACATTCAGTGCCGATGTAGAAGTCGTCATAATCGCGAAAGAATTCAGTGTTCCCTCGTTTGAAGATGCCGCGTTTCTTCTCAGTCGATTTCTGGTAGATGGGCTCCAAGACCTTGAAAGTCGACGAAATTCCATCCTTCTTCTTGTAAAAGACCAGAGTTCGATCCTTCATGCGTCCTACGGCGAAGAAACCCACGTCTCGGCTACCGGAAAGTCTTTGCGGAGCCTTACGCGAGGACGAAGTCTCGGCTGCACCGGAGGACAGAGGCTGGCAGACTGCATCGAGATGGTGTGCATAGAGGATTTTATCAGCAAGGAGCAAGAACAAGTTGAATTCCTCAAGCACAGCGACCTGAGTGACTTTGCTGCCTGCAATAGCCTATTGTGCACATCAGTATGCTTTCAGAATCTTATGAGCCTCTATAGAACTTACGCGGAACCAGCCTCTAGGGTTGTCCATCTCGCAGCAGTAGACGCCGAAATCTGTACCTACTGCAACCATATGCTTCGTATCAGGATAAGATGTTGTGAAGCTGGTAGCGCAATTGACTCTCGCTCTACAGATCGGAGCTGGACGACCACTAGCCTTGAATCTGTTTTCGACTTCTTTGACAGCACGATCCAGAGGCGTGCCTTTGATTATGACTGGTTTGCCTCCTATACTGACACCATATTGATCTTTTGTGTTTGCATTCGAATCGTAGTAGAACGCAGAATCGGCAATCACCCTCAGACGGAAAGGCTCGGCGTTTTGAGCAAAGAGAGCAGCAGCATGTTTGGTCTTGGCTTCGATAATCTTGTTGTACCATTCGTTTCTGCTGCCTGCTGTGGCAGCAAAGAGCGTATATGGCTCCTTACTTCCTAAATGCTTGATACGGAACGGGTACATGATTTTTTCTGAGTCCTTGTTGTTATCAAGCACTGTGGTGCTGGAAAGTTTCGACGGCGCGGAAGCGACGCTGTTCAGACTTGTCATTGACGAGCCTGTATTGACAGAAGCCAGAGTGGGGTGAGCTGATGAAGCGGTAGTGATACGACTCATCTTACTCAGATCTGGACTAGACGGCAATGGCCTTGACGGTAAAGGGGTAACGGAAGTGATTCCTTTGACATACGAGGACCTGACCACAGCTTCTTCGTTGATGTTCTCTAAAACGAGCAAATCCATAGGAATTGGCAATCTAGAGACGTCGTACTTCTCAATCTTGTTGGGTGCACCTTTCTGGAGTACCGAGATAGCCTTGGCGAGGACGAGATAATGGTCGAACAGAAGGGCATGGCATTCCAGCCATGTGAAACGATTGGTGCCCATTCTTTGTAGGTCTCCTTGGTAGATCAATTCTCGTCCAATAGACGTCAGATTGAGCTCAACCTCGGATGCCATTCCAGGCCGCAACAAGAGTTTTTGACTGAGATCGGAGAGGTCGACCTTTCTTTGCTGATCAGCAACACGGGAGTCGCATTCCAGAGTGACAGCTCGAATCTCCTCGATTGCAGTAGCCAGATTCGTCCTCTCCTCGCAGTCATGCTGCATGTTTTTATGGACGGTTTGCAACAGTAAACCGTAACGCTGCAACCTTGTGATAGGAGCCTTAAGGTAATTGTCCCAACCAAGCTTGTTCGAGAGTTTGTTCATTCTCGCCGCCTCAACAAAGTTGCGGAAACTGATGTTCTTCTCGAGCTCTTGCCGCATCAGAGAATTGGCGCTAGGGAAGCCTGTGGCATACTCGATGTAAGCAGTTTTGGCCTTGCGGATCCACTGCCTGAAAATGTCGCTGAATCCCTTGACCCAGGGTCCTTGCTCTTGTTGTCGATATTTGAGCTGTGGTAGTAGATGCTCAACATTAGCTTTCTTGACCAAGTCAAGTTTGCTGAAAACATCTCGTAAAAATCTCTCCTGACGGTTTGGGCTGATTATAGACGGATTGGCAGTGGCCAGAGGGTCGCGGTATAACCGGATCATCACATCGAGGTCTCCCATAAATCCCTCTTCGGTCTGCACAATCTCGTGTAGATTGTTCTGCATTTCAATCTCTTTCTTATCGTGACCCTCGACGTCCTCTTTCTTGAGCTTGTAGAAAGTTGCCCAATCCTCCGAAGCTCGAGTCGAAACAGTTTGGAGATTGACCTTCTTCAAGGTACGTTGACAGTGATGAGCGTAGCAACGACCTGGGTATATGTGATTGTGAACGGTATGCGAGTAGCACCCGTTTAGTGTCAATTGGAAAATGACGCCACTCATGTGTCCTGGGCTGAGCTTGACCCATTCTTCAACGGGAACAAGTGTTTTGGAAGCATACATGTTCTCGACAACGCGATTGCTCAAGACTTCAGCATCGGCAATATTCATGGTAGGAACTTTGTTAGTAAAAAGTGCAACAAGAGCTTCTTTGACCATTGACTCTTTCAACTCGGTCATCTTCTCGGGATCTGCAACAAGGAACAGCCACTGGAGTATTGAGCTCAACGCCCAGGGCTCTTCACACTTCTTGAAATCGGACCCACCAAGCTTTGAAGGGTTGAATCGCTTTGTAGGCAGACTAGGCAGATCAAGGGCAACAGTGCTTGCGGCAGGCGTATTGTCGAAAGTGTTGTAGATGGAAGCTCGGTAACCCTGTTTGAGCCTGCGTTCCTCCGCATCTGTTTTCGACCTCGCGGGTTGAAGTACCTGTGGTGTTTGGCTGTGGTTGAGAAGGGATGCAGATCGAGGAAAGGTGCCAGCGCCGCTGTCCAATGTAGATGGCGTGTAACCGTCAGGAGTCATGCGATACTGAGCCTGTGAGAGAGAATTCGAGCGTTGATGGAACAAACTTGTGTTGAGACGAGGGACAGCATTGTCAGAGACGATCGGAGGTGGGGGCAGAGGTCTATCGTGGCTGTGCGTTGACAGACCAGGGTGGAAGAACATGTCCGGAGGCTCGCCAGGTTGGAGAACGTTGTCTGTTAGGCTATACTCGTCGCCCTCATCAAAGCTCTGTCTACGATTGAGGGCGTTTGGATCCGTCAAACCTCCGGTATCACCAGCATCAACACGAGCAACTGGTGGTCCACGAGTCTGTAGGCTCATAGCATGATCATACATGCTATCCGGATTGCTTGAGCCAACAGAGCGTCGCAAAGAGTTTGAAGCCGATAAGGAGGCGATACCGTTGGCATCGGGACCTGCAGCCAGGATATTGGGGTCGCCTCCGTAGGACATGTGAGCATCATAACCCCCACTGAGCGTACTCATATCCATAGGCATCTCGGTGTCATCAGCTTCGTTGGAGAGATTCGCCAATGAAGAACCGTAATAACCGAAGAGAGCACTGCCTCGATTTCCGTCTGCTTCCTGAGCTTCCGCCATGCGCATCGCCTCCAGACCAGCCAAGGCCTCGACATCACTTTCGTCGCTATACTCGTTGATGATGCTTGCGATCGCCATGCTGTCTCGAGAAGGCTGTGTTGTGGGTGTCATACTGCTTCTAGGGGAGAAAAGGGGCTGCGGACGATCTGATGCCAACTGCCCTTGCGGGCCTTGTCGTCGCGCACTTGAAGCGGCACCCGCGTTGAGCACAGCACTCTCGACTTGATTGAAGAGATCTTCCTGAGCCTCCTGCTCAGTTGCATAAGACTCACGAAAGCCGGATTGGTGGAAATAATCACGTTCGACATCTGGTTCTGGTGGGCCTGGAAGAGGGCGGTTTTGTGGATGGCGTAATGTATTGCTTCTTTGTGGACCATGAGCATGGGCATGAGCTGGTGGTGGAGGCGGTGGTCCAGAAGGGGAAGGCAAATAATTAGGGGAGAATTGAGGAGAAACAGCAGAATTATATGAGCCGTAACCAGGATGCACAGGTGGAGTGGGGAGGTTCAGTTCATCAGGTATCGGGGTAGTTTGAGCGTATGGTACATTTCCATATGGGACAGGCTGGGAACCATTCGACGGCGACCAGACATGTGAGGGCGGCGGAGGCGGGGGAGGATAGTAGGACGGGCGGTCTTGAGGATAATCGGGATATGTATAAGGCTGGCCGGGTTCAGGCATAGGAATGGGCTGCGAGAAGCGATGCTGGGTCTGGTGGTAACCGGCCGAGTGCGGAGGAGAAGTGGCAGACGGAGCGTATGAATATGGGGCGCGCGGTGATTGAGGCGGAGGCTGTGACGAGTACGCTGCAGGGTTGTAGCCAACATTTGCGTAGGCCTGAGGGTTGTATTCGGCATGGGCAGATTGCGGCGGAGCTTGACCGCCCTGGGGGTAGTAAGACTGCGACGGATGGACATAATCGGCGTGGGAGGGCTGCTGGACGGGACCGCCAGGGGTCGGATAGGAGCCGTAGCCGGTCAATTCGGGCGTGGACCACGAAGACTGGAGAGCTTGTCGGTGGGCGTCGGGTGTACCGTTTGTCGGGGTATATTGCTGCGCTTGCTGACCATGCGACTGGCGTCGGTTTCCTGGGCGGTTATACGACATGGTGCCTCATCTGAAAAGCTTCCGTACGCGTCTTCAGTCCATCTGGTCTGCGACTGCGAGACCGAGTCGGAGCACGAGCTGTTTGTTTGCGACCAGCACTGAGCTCTCTCGTGCTCAATCTAGCCCGCACTTGCGGCTGTGACTGCAGTCTGACACGGGTCGTCTGCCAGCTCCGAGAGTCTGTCGTTGGCACGGCGTTCAAGTGTCCGGGAGAGATAGACGGCGAGAGAGATCCTAGGAGAAGACAACGAGCACAAGACGAGACGAAAGACGAAACGAGCACTGGGTTAATCAAATGCGCTGCCACATGCCGGTGCACTGGTCCAGCGGCCCGTGCTTGCCAAGTCATCATCTCACGCTCCCAAGAAACCACATCCGCGCCCTCCTGCACTCCCACTATCTGCCTGCTGTTAGTAATCTCCATGGCTGGACCTCATCCCGTGTCCGTCGCCTCTTTCTAAGATCATATAAGCCCGTCTTCCGCGCACCAGCACCTTGAGCAGTTCGTCTCAGCTCATCGCGCAGCCGTTAGATAGATGGTCTCGGCAGCAGTACCCCACACCTCTTTGACCACCCCAAAACCCGACTTCTTGTCACGCCTGATCCCATGCCGAGCTAGTATCGTGCTCTGTTGCGGGTCTCTTTGTCGCATATCTCTGTCTGTCAGTTAAATGTCGAGCTTTCTCTTGGTACTGCCCTCGCTACGCTCTAATGTGAATGCATAACCAATGCGCCAGTGCAGTGTAAGTTCAACGGAAAGAGCATCCAAAGTTTGACCCCGCTACTGTACCCTAGTGGCTTGTGAGCCTTGCCATGTGCAGACCTTGCCATGTGCAGAAGAGATCTCATTATCATTTCTCTATCTGCTTGCCACTCTGCATGCCCGGGAATAGCGAGTGGTCACAGGCCTCCTCTGCGATCCTCTGTTCAACATTCAGTCGCGCTTAATCGAGAGCCAGATCCCAATGCATGACTGATGAGGTTAGATTGCTCGGCTGTGCTGTGGCTGATGAACCGAATGCGCGGTAGTGACGCGCTCCAATCAGATCGCCTTAGCTTTCCAAAAGGCAACCCATGTGAATCATGAGCCTCTTTGTACAAACCGTTCGTCCATAACTGGCGATGCAACTGTCGGCGGTGCAGCGGCGCAGTCATCCTTGTGAGCGCGTATCGTTCTTGGGTCGTCCGATCCTTCCGGCACAAGGTCGCCTTGGCAATTGGCGCAAATGACATAAAGGAAGCTGCAGCCCGCTGTCAAGACAGCCTCATCATATTCGCACCTGAGGCTGCCCCTCAAGGTTACGACAACACAAAGAATGAGTTACGGATATCCTCAGCAGGGCTACGGCCAACAGTATCCTCCCCAAGGACAAACCCCATACCAACAACAGCAACCCTATGGTGCGCCACCGGGTCCTCCTCAAGGCCACTCACCATATCCGCAGCAGCATGGCGGCTACGGTGCACCCCAGGCCCTCCTATGGGCCATCATCCGTCGCAATCGTTTGGCGCCCCTCCTGGTCCCCCGCCAGGGCAGTACGGAGCTCCTCCAGGACAGTTCGGTGCCCCGCCAGGCCCCCCCTCCCGGTCAGTACGGTCAGCCACAGTATGGTGCCCCGGCGCAATACGGTAGTGGTCCGCCTGCCCCACCCTCGCCGGGCTACGTCCCCGGCCAAGTCGCGCCCATGGACATGTCTAGGCAAGCCGACGACCTGAGAAAAGCCATGAAGGGCTTTGGAACCGACGAGAAAGCCCTTATCGCAATACTCGCACCTTTGGATCCTCTCCAAGCTGCTGGCGTCCGTCAAGCATTCAACCAGCGTCACCGTCGCGATCTACTCAAGGATATTGAGTCCGAAACCTCCGGCTACTTCCGTGACGGCCTCATGGCCATAGCACGCGGGCCACTCGAGCAAGACGTTCTAAACGCAAACAAGGCGATCAAGGGATTCGGCACGAAAGAGAGTATCCTCAATGACGTGCTTCTAGGCCGCAGCAATGCAGACTTGAACGCCATCAAAGCTCATTATCACCATGTCTATCATAAATCTCTCGAGTCAGATGTCAAGTCCGATTTATCTATGAAAACAGAGAGACTCTTCGACATGGTCCTAGCAGCACGTCGCAACGAGGAATCGTCTCCTGTCATCCCTCAGCAAATCGAGGCCGATATCACCGAACTCTATCGCGCTACTGAAGGCAGCAAGATCGGGGCCGATCAAGTCTCCGTTTGCGCCATCATTACCCAGCGTAGCGACGGCCAGCTTCGTGCCATCTCGCAAGCATACCGCCAAAAGTACCACCGCGAGCTCGCAGAAGTTTTGAAAAAGAACTTCAGTGGCCACATGGAGGAGGCTCTCCTGCACGTCCTGCTCAGCGCAGAGGATCGCGCCAAGCACGACGCCCAATTGCTCGAATCCGCTATGGAAGGCATGGGCACCAAGGACGACCTTTTGGTGAACAGGATCGTGAGAATTCACTGGGACAAACACCGCATGTCACAAGCCCGAGGCGCCTACAGACACTTCTTCCAGCGTGATCTGGCTGACCGCATACGCGGAGAAACAAGAGGCGACTACGAGAAGTTAATGGTAGCCATTGTGCAAAGTGCCTAAATACCTCTACCCAACTGACTTTTACAGTTGTTGTTTGATTCTTGATGATTATTATGGCGGCTTTGGATCCTCACGAGTAATGAAAAGGCGGTCCACCTACAACTATACCTCTTCACGAATTAGTGTTATTCTTTAATCGAACAAGTCTTATACCAACATCGTCATGTCTGTTCATAATCTTGAAATGCTGTTCATGCAGCTTATTGACAAGGATGCCATATAGCAAACTGGGAACCATCAAGGCAAAGTAGCTCGCACATCCGAGTCTAGTTTTCGTTGTTGGAATCAGAAATGCGTGTTGTGATACACACTCTGACAAATAATCCTCGTGATCAAGGTCGAAACATTGAGATCTTCGGGAATGTCTACATGTGTTGGTCAGTAGGCTACGCATCAAAATAAGTGGCTCGTCTGTCATCTACGCAATCGTGATACCCTCGGCTCGTTGACGAACTTCTGTCGTAAGCAAAATGCCAAACGTGGCAAGGCACAAGATTGTTCTGCCAACTTTTATACTACTACACATGATTCGAAGAGGTCGATAAGCCGAATGGCTTTTTAGGGTTGCACCATAATCTGATGCTCGAAAACCTGATTGATCGTGGGTGTAAGAGAATTGAAAAAGGGTAGAAGTTCGCGCTGTGAAAGTATGATGTCCATCTGCATTCCTATCGCTATTCACCTTGATTTGGACTTCGATATGTGGAATCAGTGCAAAGACTCTTTATCCTCGCGATCAACGCCACGCAAGCTGGTGAAGGCCAGGGAGGTCAAAAGGAGAAATCCCTACCGTTCATCGAATACCATCTGGACAACACAGACTATCCTCAGTCTTCGCTAGAGCACAAGGTGACGGATGACTTCGAGTCTGATGTCGCTTGGGTTGCAGCTTGGGATAATCGAAAGAAGGTCCGTGTCTTTTGGTGCTCGAGAGTATTACGGAAACTACGACGCAAAGACCGGGATACTACTCGATGTTGAAACACGTATACAGCAATTGATATCCGACATCAAGAAAGAGGATGAGAAACGAAGGCCAGGAAGTAAAGAGAAAGGTCGAATTTTATGCATCCGTGCATTAATATTTAAGCCCTGCTCATCCTTAAACAACTCCCGGCTCCCCACAGGAAACGACAATAACAGTAAACAACGACATCATGATTTCTCCAACAACAATCTAGGGCTTTGCGACCAGCGCAAGGGCACCAGCGATAGCACTGGCGATCATGATGGCAGCACGACCATAGTTCAGCTTGCGCCATTTCAACTGCAGCTCTCTGAACTCAGTCTCAGCAGCCTTCTGTCTGCTATCCTTGTCGGTGCCATTGGCAACACCAGCCTTGAGGATTTCTGCCAATCTGGTCATTCTCTTGTTCATGGGGACCTGGATCAACAGTGCCCAAGCCGTGGTTGCGACGTTTAAGCCAAAGGCGGCAGCGAGCTTGGGGAACTTGGCCTCGGCAATGAGGTTACCGTCGCGGGCGCGGAGGAATGCGGTGCTTGTGAGGATGAGGTTGGAGAGCGAGCAGAGAGCATTGAGAGGAGGGAAGAAGTGCTCGCTATTGTGGAGGAGGTAGGCGGTTTGCTGAGCTGTGTAGTGGATTGGTACTCCAACGACGTGGTCGGTTACAGTGGGCATGATCAGAGGCGATTGCAGTACTGAACCACCGAAGTTGACGGCGGCACCCAGAGTTGCGAAGATCTGGAGAGGTTCGAAGAACCAAGGGTTGCTGACAATGTTTGATGCGAGTGCGGCCATGACTGCTGTGTGTCCTGTCCCTTTTGTGATGTCTGTTGTAGGAATCGGAGCGAATGACTTGGTCTGTTCGAAGGGAGAGTGAGTTGGTGTTCGTTCAATCAATCTTGTCCTTGGCTGTTGAGTATATAATTACTTCGGACTTCTACATGGGGCCGATGTCTGCAGGAACACATCCATGTTGTTGCATGTGATTGCGGAGTGATGATCATCACAGATCTTCGACATACCTCGTCTTACCTGCACCATATCACCTGAGTTGAGCATGAAGCCTGCAGCGACCCANNTCAGAACAGCCAATTTGTATGTCTCTCTGTCTTTTCACTCGGTCAGCTCAAAGATCTGGTGACACTTGTGTAACCATGCTGATGCGTTCATCGTTTCGGAACGGAGAAGCGTTGCAGATCCCGCATCTGCATCAAGAAATCTCCGAATATCTTGTCGATCTCTACATACTGTATCTCTTTGACTTCAACACTTCAACTTTCGATAAACTCCCTCTCGCAGACGGACTCGCCCACTGCAACTCCAAATCCACAACACTGACCCAGGTAGAGAAACGTTGGATTCTCCCAGATAACAGATGTTCGATGTTCCCATCGTAACGCACCATACTCTGACGAACAAGCCATGTCTGTTGGGGACTCAAGATGAGCCACTCTCGGCGGACAACTTTGCCATATGGACCTCACGAGCTCTCCTTCTCTGTCATCAATCTCGCTCTTGGAGAATGCCATATCGAGATGTCTTTGTACCGAGCCAGTATGATGCCCTGAGTACAATCCCAAATAGTCACATGGTTAAGGGTCGAGAGACCACAAGGTGAAACAGCAGCTCTGGCGCATCCAGACCATACTATCTTGATAGATCCAGGGGGGGGGGGACAGTAAATCAACTATGTTGCCCTACAAGCAATGCTGTAAGGGGTATAGTTCAAATGGACGCCATCTGAGACATTCGAGAAGCCTCTGCTTCGCTTCATGTTGCTACCACAACGGCTTTCGACAACAGCATCGACGTGGACGTCCCTCAAGATGAGACAGTCAATTGCTCTATACATCTTACTGCGAGTTCAGATTGGAGAATTTGGCAGACGTTTTCACCACGTCATGATACATTCTGAACTATCTTATATCAGGATATACAGAAATTCGACGACTATACATAGGCTCTACGCACTACCTCGAGGCTCACTACATGGATCGCGCTTTCCTTGGTTCTGGGCCTGTGTTATCGTGATACTGCGAAGCGTAGACCCTATTCATAGTCGCGAACAATCTCTTTCGCGGGACTGACTTTTGCATGGAACAGAAGGTTTCTTCGGTGAAGAGGAACTGCCGAGAGGAACGGCTTTTTAAGGACAACCACGTCTTCATACCGAGTCGCGCGCATTCAAACCTACTCCCAACCAGAGCCAGAGGTGTAGATGTTTCACTTGATAAGTGTAACTTCGCTGTCGAATCTGTTCTTGGATGGGTTGTAGGGCTCTGTGTACAAGAGGAGGAGTTTGAGCCGAAGGTGCCGGGCGTTCCTTGATTCTGAAAGCATTGGCCACTTCGAGTAACCTACTCCACTACCACCAGCCTCCTCGACATCGTACTAATCGCGTCGCTACATTGGCCTTGCCATGAAGATATGCAGGAGCCGGCTATATTGACAAGTCGTTGGACAGACCACCGGGAAACACAAATCCATACGCTCACGACCAGACAAACGATCTAGCTTCACCTACGACAGATCATATCCTTGCGGAAAGTGTTTGTACCTGATGTCTGAATATGATTGCCGATACGACTGTCATCTCGTGGCGCTTCTTCGTTCATGACAGCTCAACGGCGAACCACGAAACGTGCATCGTGCCATTGTTAGAGACTGAGGTCCACGCCTCTGCTCTTCGCATTTGAGATACACACTCTTACCTCTACCGAGCGCCACAAGGCTCAGTCGAGGACCAGCTCTCCACGATGCAATGGCTAGTAGATCAGTCTAGACGTAGGTCCGTGGTATCTGCATCTGCCACCATCAGCAAGTATATATATCTCTGTGATCCCTCGAGTTAGTTACCACAGCATCAGCCTATCTCTATCGTGCAATCCCCATCTCCTACCTGATTCACACCTTTCGACCGACATTTCATCAATTCGTTCTCCTCAAGTTTCTCTGTTGCATTCCGCAATGTTGCGTGCCGTCGCTGCTTTCGCAGCATGCATTGCCTTGGCCAATGCCCAGACCTTTGATATGGACATGATTTTGGCTGCCGAGCCCATCCCGACCCCATCCATCCCTGTCGTATACGTCACAGGTGATACTCCTACAACGACAGCATCTGCCACAACAGTCTCATACGTTGAGACGCAGGCCGTAGCATCTGTCTCGTCCGAGGTCGTTGCTGCAGCAAGCAGTACTGCTCTTAACAAGCGTGCCGCTTCTACTTGTGTGCCCCAACCCACTGGTATCTCATACAACTCCAGTCCGGACACCGCTTCTGCTTTCTTGGCCGATGGGTACTACTCAAGTGTCGCTTCTGCCGCAGCTACACCTGCTGGTTATGTCAATACTTTCACCAATCTTCAAGCCTCGAACAACGCTTATGGGTATGTTTTTTCTTACTCAATAACGCAATACTGTACATCATGCTAACCAGAGAGCAGATACATGGGCTTCCAGCTGCTGAAGACTTATGATACTCAGTTGTGCTCGCAGAAGTGTGACAAGATCAATGGATGTCTTTCGTTCAACATCTACTTCGAGCGTGATCCATCTGGTACGTATCATGCTCACGTTGATAAGAACTTCGTTGACATCATTACTNNAGTCGATCCCAATGACGCCTCTTGCTCGTCGCCGTCCTCGGTTACTCAGATCAAGTGCGTGTTCTGGGGCGGTCCAGTTCTCAAGTCCAATGCCCTCAACGCTGGCCAATGGCGCAACAAATTTCAGGTTGTTATCGCTGGATCCAACGGCTACGTGAACCAAACCATTACTCCTGCTGCTGGATACGATCAGCCTGTCGACCTCGGTGATGCTACTATCAACGCTCCTTTGGACTGCTCTGGACACGACACTTTCATGCAATCCAAATTCTTCACCTCAGGACCTTTCGATGCCAACTTGTGCGCTTCAGCCTGCTCGGCCCAGAACGTCTACAACTTGGCCCATCCTCCTGCTGAGGGCAAGCCCAAGACTTGCCAATTCTTCACTACATATCTTCTCTACAAGAATGGCGTTGCTCTTGGCCAAATGTGCTCTCTCTACACTATGGCTTGGAACACGACTTACAACACCAACAAGGGTTACTACTATGGTAGTGACCACTATACCGTTGGCTACAGTTATGCGTTCTCGAACTCGACCGACCATGGTGCACCCTATGCTGCTTGTGGTTCATCCAGCTCATCAATCTCCTCGAGCACTACTCAGGCTTCATCAACCGTCGTATCTGCTTCGTCCACTACCATGACCACTTCCACCGCAACACCCACCTCTCTTCTCCCCGACACTTCCTGCAACAACGCCGGCCTCCAATTCGCATACTACCCCGGTCTCCCCAGCACCCAATGGGACTTCAACTCTCCCAGCTACGGTCTCGATGCCGAGAATTACAAGACCGTGACTCCAAACTACACTGGCGTCACCAACTTCATCGGCGGCTTTGCTTGGAACACCTATCACCAATCCTCTACCATATACGGTAGCTCTCGCCCTTTCGACCACGAAAAAATGATCCTCAACCATCGAGGCTATTTCTTCGCTCCCACCACCGGCGAATATACCTTCAGCATCCCCACCGTAGACGACGCAGCATTCTTCTGGCTCGGCGATGTCGCATACACTGGTTTCAACGAATTCAACCATCTCCTCTTGGATACACAAGCCAATGGCACTCAAAGCGCCACCGTGACGCTCACGGCAGGTAAATACTACCCCATCCGTTTGATTTACGGTAATGTTGGTGGTGGACCTGGTAGTTTGTATTTCCAGATTGAGCAGGGGAGTAAGGTGGCTGTGGATTGGTCGTCGACGGTGTCGCCGTATTTTGTGCAGTTTTCATGTGATGGGGTGAGGGCGCCTGTGTATCCTGCTTTTGGACAGGAGACTTGAGAGGGTTGGGAGAGGTGTGGCTGGGGTTTCTGGTTCTTTGTGTATATATTAGTGTTTCCTTTTTCGGGTATGTTGTGGTAGGGTTTAGCCGGGCAGAGGTTGAAAGCAATATCTATAACATCAAAGATGGTGTGCCTCTTGACTGAATTGAGAAAGAGCGGGAAGGAAGCGTGCAGTCGTTCTTTCCTACACCTGAGTGATTCTGAACAAAGAGCTTGACAGGAAGTGACAACTCATCATGCAACCATTGAGATCTGCTTGTCATCGAGGCAGAGTTCAAACATGGTCATTAAGAATCACGATGAATTTCCAATAACAGTGGCAGATCCAAGATGGACTGACAGCAGCGTTCGAGGTTTCAAAAAAATGCTTTCTTCGTTCTCGGTAATATGAGTTTTCGGGTCAGATATAACGTTTGTGTCATAATAAAGTGCATCACTTTTTTCTTTACTTTTCATAAGAACACCCCTTCTATATCCATTTTCTTTCTCGCGGCGAAACGAATGCCCCGTCTAAAGAAAACAACCATGATGCATCGACGTCATGAGCGAACTGAAATCCGTCTCGAGAGGCTAAGGAAGAAAACACAACCATGATAGAGAGAAAGACTCCAAAAAACCCAAACATGAACATTGGAAAGAATGCAGAAACAGGGATATAATCAGGCAGAGGAGGTCTCAAGACCCGCCAGCTGGCTTGTCGCAGCCAATGCGGCCCAGCAAGTCCTTGTGGTTGCCGGGTATGCTGATGCCGCTGGCGCGGCTCTTCTCCGAGGTTCGCTTGGCCGCTGGGCTGGGTCGGCGTGTGAATCGTAGGCTCTCGACGCCAACCTCCTCCTCTTGAGGTGCCAATCGCAGCTCGGGCTCCTTTGTAGAGAAATCTCTCACAGTCTCCAGGGTATCTTCCTCCTCTTCCTCTTCTTCCTCATCATCGGAACGAGTGTCGTCGGCTCCCTTGCCCAGAACCACACGGTACGCGACACGGCAGATCATGCCGAACCAGATGATTGTAATGACCTGGAGAGCGAGAAGCAGACCCAGGAAACCGTAGTGAATCTTCTCGTTGAAGCACACATCGCCATTGCCGCTGGTGTAAGCGTGCAGAACATTCGAGAGAACTTCGCTGCCGCCATTCTCGGAAGTTTTGACACCAGTCACAGCGTTGTAGCAGCCGTAGGGCATCTCGACGGGGACATCGGCGTAAAGGGACCAGCAAACGGCGAGGTAGAAGACGTGTCTGGCGACGAACCAGGAAAGCATAAAGACGCCGAAAGCAATGTCGCAAGCGGTCTGCATGCCCATGTACTTGAGCAACTTCGCAATCTGTGCAACGACGGTCAGTACTCAGTAAGAGCGGTCCTGCATGTGAAAACTTACAGGGAACACCAAATCGACCACATCCATCAGACACAAGATGACATTGCCGACCTTAGTCTGGTAGTAGCCGTAACTGCCAATCAGGAGCAGGCATGTAATGATGTGGTGGGTGAACATCTGCCAATGATCTTTTCTGCGCTCCTCGATATTGATAACCATGATTTGCTGCAACCAGAAACCGAATTGAGCCAGGTAGTACAGCTTGAAGAGACCAGTCATGGAGCGTGTTGGGAAGCCAGTCCACATTGCGGGTAGGTTGTTGAAGTATGGGGATTCGTATACAAGATANNCTGGTTTGTGTGTTAGCTGTCGCAGCACGGAGCATGGTAGTCTTGTGGAAATACGCACTGTGCCGAGGAACCAGAATGCAGCGTAGTACAGGACTAGCCAGGCTTGTTCGGCAAAGCGAATGGTGGCCTTTTTCTTGTGGATGCCACACTTTCTGGCCATTGGGACAAGGGCGTAATCCATGGCGGCTGCGCGGAGGGCGGTGAAGACGATGATGCAGAGCGAGACGAACTTCAGGTCCTGCCAGCCCGGGTTGTAGAGGCCGGTTTGAGCGTCATAGTAGGACAGGGTGAAATATTGGATTGTCGAGGAGCGGAGGCTAGGGAAGCAGACATGTGTCAAGACGAGGAGCATGAGGACGTTGATGGACAGGCNCTGGTATAGGTCAGCGCTGGTCTTGTCGTGTCTCTGGCTTGGGAATGCTGCAATACCTAGTTGGTGCTTGACCAGGGTAGCGCACAGAGAGCTCGAGAGGCTCTCATGCTTCCTCTTGGACCTCTTCTTGATGTGCGGTTTGGCGTTGCAGGTGGGCATGTCGAGGTGCTGGGGGAACGATTGGACACCCGCTGCAGCGGTAGGAGAAGCGACCGAGGCCATTGGCGAAGATGGACAGAGAGATGCAACAGTTCAGACAAGCAGCATCGACAGGGCTTGAGCGAGAGTGAGGGCGGAGTTTGCAGTCAAGCGAGTGCAGCCAGTTGTCTTTCAACGGTCTAGACGGAGGTAAAGCTGGAGAAGCGGGCGTCTAGCACGACGACGAAAAGACCGAATGCAAGCAGGACCAATGCGGTGTGAAATGTCAGCTGGCAATTGAGCCGTCAAGAAGCAGCTCCCTGCCTGCAGACCGAGATAAAAAGCGCGTGGCAGTGAATGGAATGGCTGAGAGAACGCGTATCAAAACGCAGCGGGTGAAACGATCAAAAAGTCGATTGCAACGCCGCCAACCCCAGACCCTTGGCGACCCCTATTGCCCTTGCGCCATCTAGAGCTTACCATCTGCCTCCCATTGGCTTACGGGCGAGTGCGGCGTCGGCCACAAGGCCTGAGACATCTTTTGTGGGAGATGGTCCGAATTGGCGACCAAACATCAACTTCAGCCTTCAGCAATCCAACATGAAACTTGGGTCTTGATTATGTGTATGACTGCAAAACTATAACCCCCCAATCCAGAAACCAGCTGAACCCCACTATCCAAAACTCCGCATTCATCAATTGACATGTCCGTTTGCTCAACTCCGAGAAGCCTGTCGACTGTACTCTAGTTGTTCTGCTGGCTGTTCAGAATTCTGAGAATGGCCAAGAACAGGTTGATGATATCAAGGTAGAGCGAGATGGAAGCTGCAATCTCCTCNNCCTCGACGTGGTAGTGTCTCATGATGAGCTGTGTGTCGACCAGGATGTAGCCACTGAAGATGAGTGCACAAACGATGCCGTATCCCAACTCGATCGTGCTGGTGTGAGGGAAGAAGGCTGCCATGAATCCAAAAATAATGACAACCCAGAGAGCTCCGGCAAGATAGGGGATCCAGCTGGTAAAGTCGTACTTGGTCTGGCAGGCGAAGAGCGTGAGTGCGACAAAGATAGCCAGGGTGAAGATGAGCGCCTCGAGCACAATCTTGCTCTCGAAGAAGGATGTGACGACACTGATCGAATATGCCTCCATGGCAGTAAATCCAGCAAGGAAGAGGAGGTTAGTGGGGTACGACTTGCGCTTCCAGAAGGTCAAGAGCATGAAGCCGATGGCGCCGAAGAGCGACACCCACATCATCCACTGGTTGGTCTGGATCCATGCTTTGTAACCAGGGCTGAAGAATGAGACGGAAGAAAGAGCGGCGGTCGCGAGGAGCTGGACGGTCAGGATCGAGTAGACCTTGCGGACGAATTGCATGCGGATGTCGAGAGTTGCTTCGGAAACGGAGCCACCGAACTGTGGTACGTCAGTAAGGAAAGTCTTTTGACAGTAGGTCGCGACATGACATACCTTGAAGTCATCGGGGACATTGTCGTCTTCGTCGCGAGGAACTCCAGGAACGCCAGAGGCTTCTGCCTGGTAAGATGGAGGGGGCTGGCTGTAGGCCTGCTCCTCGAACGAATCACGCGTTGGCGCTGCCTGGTACTTTGTGGTGGATGCCATCGCTGTGTGAAATGGCGCGTTGGTCGAAGAAAATATTATGTACGAAACAAAAGAGGTGCTTAGGTTATCAACAATCAAGAAAGGAAGAGGCGGCGAGTCGAAGCGACGACTTGCACAGCCGGCCGAAGCTTCCAGCGTCATCAATCCGGGGTCACGTTCGCTTGGCTGAGCCTCACCTTTATTATCCCCGTCCTTTGTCCGTCATCACCTTCACTTCTTCAACGTTCTTTCCTGAGTTATAGTGTGCATACAGCTGCAAAGACGCGGATTCCTGTCAGTCTGATTCAACATCACACCTCATGGAAGCTTGTCAGTCGGCGCCTCTCGATGGACGCCACCTGCTTCCAAATGGCTGTATGGTTCCACAGCTCGCCGGAGATGTTTTTCCATGAAGATTCTCCATGAAAAGCGAGACTGGGTTAGTAAATCTCATGGAGAGGTATAAGAGCCCATGTCATGTAAGAGTAAGGGAGAGATACTGCGATGGAATTCGACATGACTGAGCGCATTTGTCTCAAGACCCATGGGCTGTTCGTCTCGAGTTGTTCCATCATGACCACTCATTACTATTGTGAGGCTCAAGAGTTTTGTGTGATCCGAGAGTCACACATATCAAGACCTTGGTACGGGTGTGTTACTTCCCCACGCAGTCCCTTGAAGAGAATGGATATCCAATCATTTCCTTGATTTACACTCATTAGAACTCGTGGCTTACAAGACATGATCCACACTGTTTGAGAAAGTACCACAGATTGATTTACATCTATGAACTCAGTGAGACTCGCCAAGGTGTGAATCTGCTACCAGATGGTAAAAGTCAACATTCGTCATCTGATTTTCGATCCTGACCTCACCTTACATCTGCAGTCGCGCTCCTTTGTCGACACTCACAGCGATGTCCAAACAAGTCAAGGCCCGCCAGAGCCATCAAGATTACGCACAGGGGTCGAGAGACGTTGTACTTCGAAAACATGTGATGAAGGTAGAACAAAATTTGAGCGAACGTCCTGTTGCATACTAATATACTCCAGATCACCGACAAAGCTACGATCTGGCTTCCCTTGAGCCGTGGCAAGCGCGAATCGCGTCAACCGCCCTGCATGCAACCACTTGCGGACTTGAAAGTCATTCGTTTTAACAACCTCCGCCTACAGTGCAAGAACCCTGGTACCGTTCTTATAGTCCGCGCAATTGGCCAGCCTTCACGACCAGAACCGCTTCTTCCCATATTGAATGTCATCGAAGACGATACAGGCGAGGCTATACATATCGAAGTGTACTTTCCAATCACCAGTCCTCCAACAGACATCCTTTCGTCTGGCAATATCCTTGCGATCAAAACACCCCAATTCGAGATGGGCAGCTATGGACCCGTGATCAAAGTTGTTCATCCTTCCGACATCCTAGCCCTCGAATCGAGTCACGAACTAGTCCATGAAACCTTCGTGGATCTGTCTGGATTGTCTGTCAAGTCTGTCTGGGACTGGAAAGACGAAGCTGAGGCGGCTCTCGAGAAAAGAGATTACAAGAAAACGATCAACAGCTGCTCAAATACCCTTGGACAGTCCTCTGATCCAGAAGATGCGGTCGATCTTCTAGAAATTTGCAATGAGACTCGACGCTGGCTTCGTGAGGAGCGAGATGGTGTTTACGACTTTGCTGCCATGGCAAAGGAACAAATCCCGATCAATCATGCCAGCTTTACTAATCTGACAGAGATACGAACTTCGAGTGGCCGCGGACGTGGATTGTTTGCTAAAGTCGATATCCCGCGTGGTGGCCTTGTTCTTTGTGAGAAGGCATTCGGGTCTGCAGAGGTAGCCAAAACTGTAGAGACCACTAGAAACAATGCTTACGCTGGAGACGACCGAGGTGCACAACTATGGCTGGACCTTGTGCAGAAGGCATGCACGAACTCTTGTCATGCTCGGAGATTGCTTGGCTTGTACGCAGGTCCAACATACTCGACTCAAACCAATGTACCGTTCGTGGACGGACGACTCGTCATCAACGTCTACCAGATAAAAGCAATCATGTCTTGCAACACTTTTGCTTACCAAACATTAGAAGGCTCTGGGAACAGCCTCTTCATCCAAGCATCCCACGCGAACCATTCATGCATTGACAACACGTACCGAAGCTTCACAGGAGATATGGTCGTATTGCGCGCTGTGAACGAAATTGCAGCAGGCACCGAGCTGACCACTTCATATTGGCCAGCTGGCCTGGAAGAGCCAAATCGGCATGAAGCTCTCTTTCAGAACTGGAATTTTGTTTGTGAATGCAAGATTTGCGAGAGCGAACTACAATGCGGGGAAGACTGGGAAGAAATCTTCAAGAGGGTCAGAAAGCTATTGAAGAAGAACTATAGTAACAAGAAGGAGTACATCACCAAGATCGAAGAGCTCGTCAAGCGATCCGAGAGCGTATATCCTTGTCATTTGTTCAAGGATCTACCTCGGATAGCCATGCAAGATCTTCAGAGCAAGCTTCTGGAGCTCTGGGTCGACTTGAATGACGGGGAGAAGATTCGCGAGCATGCAACTGCACTGCTTCGTGAGTACGGTTTTCGAATCGAAATCGCAGACAACAACCCAAGGGTCCAGCTCAAAGGTCCCAATGGACTACTGCATGCGCCGGTAGTAAAAGCACTCTACCAGCCTGGGCGTGTCTCAACCGACGAGGATCGCAAGGAGTATTTTGCACTGTCCAAGAACATGTGGCTTACCATGAATGGTACGTCTGAAGGGTGGAAAGCGTTGGTAGCTTGAGACAGCACCTAGCAAGAATGCCATTCTGGTGTCAGCTCTTGCTAAAGAAGAGGTGATCAATTCATATGGTCAAACACTACTTCTTGCCCTTATCATCTCTGGCATTCTTCTGCTGAATACCCTCGAAACCTTGCTACGCGATGATGTATGCTGTGTGATTATCTTCGCAATGCTTGTATGAACTCTATGTCTTCTTGCGAGCCTTCTGTTCCCATCTCGTTCCTCCTTGTGCAATGAACACCATCACAGTATCAGTATCGCACTGCACAAGTGTTCTCCAACCTGAGAGAGAGTGCCACAGAGACACCCAAGATTAATCTTTCTCCTCGGCCATCCTCGCTCTTGGAAAGCGACTGTGAAGCCTCATAGCTGGAGAATGGGCCATGAGCAACATATGAGAAAGAGTGTCTAACCAGTCTTTGATGGTCGTCTGCTGTTGAGTCCAAAATTCTGGAGCGGTTATTCTCACATTTTGCATCATGGCATTTTGGTGTCGAAAACCTGCCAGAGCCTCCTGGTCTTTCCAGACTCCAAACAGACCTTTCATGGCCCTGATCAAGCAGTGTTGATTCATGTTCACAGCGAACGACATCTGGATTACGAAATCAAATTACTGCATAAACCACGTGTACTTTATTGATTTTCTAGAATCGCAATTCGCGGAAAGTAAAAAAACATTCAAAGCAGAAGAAAAAAGCAATTGTACCATTATCATCTGGAACCAAAAAGAAAAGAAGAGCTCGTCAAAAGTGTATCGATCGCTATGCTGTCGTTTCGAGTCGTTATGGGTGGTTGATTTGCTGCCGCCATGCATTTGCGTTTTTTGGAATCAAAGTAAAGGCAAGCAAAAAGAAGACAAGATTGAGGAGCAAAAGAAAGCCTTCTCGGTACTGTGGCAAGCAAGTAAAGGTCTAAGCAAAATTTGAAGCAAAGAGGCAGCTGCGTTTGTCTCCGGCCGCAGTTCAACGGTACCTGCCTGATCGCTTAGAGTCGTAAATGACCTCGCGTTCGTAGATACGCTCGTCGTACTTGGAACGAGGTTTGGCTGGTGGTGAACGCGGCTTGGGAGGTGGGAGTCTCTCGAGTTGTTCACGTTCCCATTCGATCTCGCGAATACGGTCACGACGTTCGCGACGAATGTCTTCGGAAAGCTCTACGAGTTGAAGCACGTCCTNCCTGGAGTGGTGGATTAGCTTTGTTGTCGGTTTGCGATGCAACATATCATGACTTACGTATTTCAAGTACTCCATGACGTAGAAGAAGTGTTCCGAGTCTTCATACTGATAGCCCATTTCCTCGATGGCTTCCTTGATGACCAGGTCTTTCGTGACCTCGGTCCACATGTCCTTGGGGACTTTGCGCTTCTCCTCTTTGCGCTCTGGTGCAGGAAGCCCAGGCGCAAAATCGGTTATGAACTCTTCATCAGCAGTATAAAACTTGCTTCTCCTGGAGCCATTGTATTGTTGCCAGGTAATGTCTTGTCGACCACCTCCTAATCCATCCATCTGGACTCGTCTGGTACCAGGAGGGATGTCAACGAGTCCCCAGTCTCTAGTTGCACCGTTGTGTGCTTCGCCAACATAGCCACGCTCCAGTGCTTTGCGATTGTAGTACTCGGCCTCGGCAGCAATTTCATCATCATAGCGACGTTGAGGCGTGGATACTGAGCGAGAACGAGTAATCTCGACATCGCGCCCCACTTCAGGTTCACGTCGAGGTGCTGGACGCGAGACCTCGCGCTCAAAGGTGATGTTCTCGTCATAACCTCCGTTGCGAGTATTGCGTCTGCGAATTTCTATCTCGAGGCTCTCGTCCCTGGGCGCAGGAGGAGGACTTGGTGGTGCTGGGGGAGGACTGGGCAAAAGTTCTGGTGAGCGGGCTCGCTCAATACCATGATCAATATGTCTGTGATGCGTAANTAATTTCCTGAATGATAGGCGGGCGGACAATAGGTTCTGGTGGCGGTGGAGGCATGGGCTCAGGGGTTGGTTCTCTAACTGGTTCGGGGTGGGCTCTCGAGGAATAGATCGCTCTCGTCGTCTTATGATGATCTTTTCCCTATCGTCTCTAATAGGAGGAGGAGAGTTGCGTTCGTGCTCGCGGCGACGGATGATGATCTCCTCGCGTTCGTCTCGAGGAGGTGGAGGTGGAGAAGGTTCGCGACGTCTGAACAACCACTCTTCTCTTTCACGTGCAACCGGACCTGGACTACGTCTACGAGGAGGTGGAAGACTGGGCTCGCGCTCACGTATACTGATCTCCTCCCTTTCCACACCGCGCACGCTTCTGGCTGGAGGAGGCGGAGAACGTGTCTCTTCATGGCGAAAGATGAACTCTTCCTCGGCAACTTCTGATCTCGCAGCTTCGGAACGAGGAGGAGGACGACGATCTCCAGCACCCCTGCGAAAGACTATGTCGGGAGGTGGACCTCGAGGCGGTTCCGGGTCTCTTTCTCGCTCTTGCTCTCTTCTGCGAATCAAGATGTCCGTCTCCTCGATCTCTCCTCGATCCCGTGGTCTAGGAGGTCGCGACTGTTCACGCTCGCCACGACGAAGGATAATCTCCTCGCGCTCAAAGTCTCTAGGATCCCTGGAAGGCGGTGGTCGTTCTCTGAGTGGAGGTTCACCTCGGCGCTCTCTAATCACGAGTTCGTCCCTCTCAACTCTTTCTGGTGGGCCACCTCTGCGGGATCTGGTATCGTCGTCTCTGCGGGAGACATAGTCGGCATAGTCGTCGGGCTCGCGATTCTTAACTACAAGCGGACCGGCATTCGTTCGTCCATAGTCGTCTTGCAAGAAATCGGGAAGCTTTGCTCCGCGGGTGTTTCGGCGGTCGCTCACGACAGTCTCTGGGCGGTCGGCATAGCGAGTGCGGTTGATGTCGACTTCGATGTCCTCATAGTTGCGCGCAGGTCGAGGCCGAGCATAGGGATCGCGCTCTCGGTCGTCGTAGACATCAGCGACAGGATAACGCCGAGACATGGCAGTGTTGGCTCGTCGCCGGGACGTTTGAAACGGTCAGAGAGTGAACCTGAGCCGACGAGTCAGGCCCGACGTGGGGAAATATCAAAGCCCACGAACGACGAGAAAGACGGAGCGACGACAAGAGCAACAGGCCGAAAAAGCAGCTTGTACTCTGACGAGCAGGGGCAGAGTCGTCACACGAGAGCTGCTAACTCGGTGAGCGGGAAACAAACGACAAGAACCTGGAACAGTGGAACTGGAGAGGCTGGTGGGTGGTGGGGGTCTTGAGATTGTGGCTTTGGTTGGTGCCCAAGCGTCTGCACACTTGACGTATTGCTCTACACCTTGATTTTGGACTGTCGACAATTCACTCGTCGAGAGAGCGCAAGGCCAGTGCAGATGCTCTACAGAACTTTGTGTATATCAACAGTTGCATATCTAAGTACTCTCGAGCAAGGGAGAGGGAAGCCAGGTTCTTGCTTGGTTCGATTAGACACTGTTGAGTCCAAGGGCAACACTTGCATTCTGATAGTCTTGTTACATCTGTTTGAGCACAAAACTAGAAGCTCCGTGTGCTGGCAGAGCAGTGTCCGTTGAATGATGCCGCAGAAAGGAATGGCTTCTGTCAAACCAAGGCTTGTTTCTTGGTCGAAGGGTCGAGCCTTCCCGAGCACATGTGGGGCTATCCGCAACCTTCTTGTCCAGCACGGGTCATCCCTACCGTTGACAACAGACGACGACGAAGCACTACATGCTCTTCTGACTCTATACTTTTCCATCTGAACTAACCTTTTTTCATTTGTTTGTACATTAATATCACATCTGACAGCTAGGCAACGACGAGTTCAACTGCTCGTTCATCCTGCAACCCTTGTGACAGCCACCCTTTGTGGCATGTGATTCAGGGTCATCTACTGCCCCAGACATCAGGATTATCTATCAGATAGGTAGCAAACAGACAGTCATCTCGAATATTTGCAACACATCTCAATCTGGCTCCTTTCGGACTATGGGCTTCTTATGAGTCACAGTCCCTTGTTCTCAACTCTCGCCTAGGAACACATTTCTTCAAGATTCCCCATGGACACTCGAAAACCCATTAGGGACACTGCCGAGCCCAAAGTGCTTTCTGTGGCTTTCAACAATGACTGTACCAGGTTCGCATGTGGCTTGGACGATGGCTTGAGAAGTGTGTATACAGAGATGAGTTCGAAGTCAGACAACACCTGACCGTGCCCTCTAGTCTTCCGAGCCAAGGACTGCATAAGAACAATCAAAGAAGGCATGTCTACACTTCATGAAAAAGGGAATAAGATATCTAACTGCAAGTANGCACTCCGACCTGGACACGGCCTCGCCATCGTGGAAGCCTTGGATGACAGATACGCAGCTGTAGTGGGTGGCGGAAGGCTGCCAAACTCTTCGCCTAACATGGTATGTTTCCAGACTACAATGTTGAGACATTACTTACTGATTGAACANAAGCTTGAATTTTGGGACCTCGTCGAAAAGAAGAAGCTAAAAGAACTCAACTTTGGCGAACCCATTGTCGCCGTCCGCATCACCGCCAAATACTGCATCGTCGTCTTGATGGATCGCAGTATATCTTTGGAGTACACCAAGGATTCAAACACTGGTATGATCAACCTAGGCGCTGTCAAGGCACTATATCGTACTGCAAAGAATCCCTACGGTCTCTGCTGTATCAGAGGCGATGCTTTGGCACTGCCNGGGGAGACGCCTGGACAAGTCCAAGTGTTGACCTTGTCTTCCAAGGACAAGAAGGTCTTCAAGGCTCACGAGCAATCCCTGAGGCAGATGGCCATGAGTAAGGACGGAACTATCATTGCCACAGCCAGTTCACAAGGCACCATCATCCGCATCTTCAGCACTACGGACCCTACAAAATCTACAGAGCTGCGTCGAGGTCTGGAGTCCGCATCGATATGGGGCCTGGCTTTCTCACCATCTGCACACTTCATCGCGTCCACATCTGACAAAGGTACCTTGCATATCTGGGACCTGCGAGCTCCAAGAGCACCAGAGGATCGTACACGACAACCTGCTGACCAGCGAAAACGCAACTCCTTCGGTCGCGGCAATCATGACTACGACACAATATCCCATGCTTCTGGCTCGTCATCACCACTTCCCGGCGCTGTGGCCACAGCGACAGGAGGCTACATGCTACCNCCACCAGACCTTCGGCATGCACCACCTGCTACAGCACCTACACTTGGATCAATGCTGAGTGGACTGGCCAAAGGAACAAGATCATCCACATCAATCGAGTTTACCATCGGTTCGGACCCATCAAACTGGCAAGGTCAGCCACGATACACCAGCACCACACTGCCTAATGGGCAAACTGCCAAGCTTAAGGTCGACAACGTGGCTGTACCCGGTAGGCCGGACGGAAACCCGCCCAAGGGGGTGCTTGCTTGGGATCCGGAAAGTGGAGACAGAAGATTGTGGGTCGTGGAAGGTGGAGCAGATGCGAGATGGGAAGTGTTTGAGCTAGCCGACGATCCGGCCACGGGTGGTGTCAAGATTGGAAGTACAGGCTTCAGAAATTATCTCACTAGGCAGTTTCCCGAGAGAAGTTGAGAAATACTGGCATAGAGTGGAAGAGACGTTAGTTGCGATGTTACTGAAACGAGCCTCAAAACCATTCTATAGCACACTCAACGTACGCCATCAGACTGGGTCACAAGACTGTTTGGGTATCAGACATTTCAATTCTGCCATGCATTTTATCTCTCTCCTCATCTCGAGATGGCAAGATTCTACACGCCAGCATCCCTCGTGGGTCGCGGACTGTTTTGCGCACTGTTGGCACCCCTTCCACCTTTCATCAAACTTGCGAAATAGGCTTCGAGGTTCTCTGTGGGTACGTCTTTGGCAGTATCTTGTGTCGTGCCGCTCAAAGATGGAGGTGGAGGCGATTGAGGGCTGAATGGTGTTGTGGTACCACCGCCTGGACTTGCAGTCACAGCAGGTTTGTTGCGTTCCTGTTGTCCAATGTTAGTAAGCTGTTTTGAGAAAGAGATGGATGTGAAGGGGAATCTACCTTTAANGCGTCTCAGCACCTCATCGGCGTCGTATTGTATGCCGCCCATGTTGAACTGCACGGGGCCTACATGCTCGGCCATTGCTCTGGCGCCTGTGTCGTCGATGCTCGTGCTTGTGGGTGTACCTGCTCCATTGGCCACACGACGTGCGTCGCGAGCTTTCTTTGCTGCTTCATCTTCTGCTCTATAGCGATCTAGACTCTCTGCTTGAGCGGCCAAAAAGGTTTGATCAGGCGTACATTCCACTTCCAACTTTGGCTGTGACGGAGCAGGTGGATGCGGATTTTGGATTTGTTGTTCGTAGAGGGAGATTGTGGTATCTTGTTCTGCTGCGAGCGAGGTTTCTGCTGCTCCGCCTGTAGTTTGCTTTTCTGGCGTCGAGGGCAAAATGGGAGAATCGGGTGTTGAAGGCAAGTCTTGGATTTCTACTCCCCAGGCACGGCTGATGCCTTCGACATCGAAACCCTCTCGAAGGACGCGGATTTTGCCCCAGCTGTCCCAGCCGGGTGGTACGAGGACTCTGTCGCGGTCGACGACGTTGTGTTTTGGCGGGCGGTCGGGCGAGGTGTTGATGTCTAGAGCGTGGTGGACGAGGGGTTGGAGTGAGCCTGGTTGGGCGGGCATGGTGTAGACGAGCCCGGCACCGTGTTTGAGCAAAACCGTGCGTAGGAATTGGAGGATGTAGTCAAAGTGTGCTTCGCGGTATCCACGCTCTTTCTCCAGGGTCTCGATGTGTTGGGCATTTTGGCAGACTACGAGAAGGGGTAGGCCTAGTGGGTCGTCGTGCTCGCCAGGACCCAGAGGTAGAGGGGTGTGGTTGTCGGTCATGGAGGTAGCGATGTCGCGGTCGCGGCGGTGCTGCCATGCGGAAACGTTCTCTTGCAGGGCGGCTTGGGCAGATCCATCGAGAGAGGAGGTGACGAGGTTGAGCAGGCGCATCCATTGGCGCAGTGTGTGGATAAAGTCCCATGGTTTGGCCCAATCGAGCAGGATGACGGCAGCGGTGTTAGGGATGGCATCAGGTGTGAGCAGGCGGGTGAGCAGAGGCGCATACTGCTTGTCAGGAGTGGTCAGGGTGTAGAGCGACAGTCTCGCAACCATGTCCTCGTGATCCGTGTCCAGGACATTGTGGTAGGTATAGCCCAGTCCAAAGCGGGTAGCGAGCACAGGAGCGGCATTCTTCTGATCGGGTTTCCTCAGGCGAGACGTCTTTTGCTGCTGCTGTCGTGCCAGAGAGTCGACAAAGTCGCGCTGAGAGTCCATGGAGCCGCCCAGGACGATCAACTTCTTGTCGGGCAGCCTCTTGCCGCTGGCCACTTTGTCCAGCAAAGTAGACCACATGTCGAGCTCGCTGCTTCCCGGCCGAGACTTTGACTGAGAGCGTGCCATGGTTGTCGTTGCATGCGACAGGTGTCGAGTGTTTGGATTGCTGTTTATTGCGACTTGGACAGGGTCGCCTCCAGCCTCACCGCCCTGAGGCCAAACGACTTTCACATGCCATCAAGGTCTGGAGCTCGCGCGTCATCATCAACTTTTTCTCTCTCGCGTNNCTCTCCATCAACATTCGCCATGAACCAGATCAAACAGGTCCAGCGCCTCAACGAGCGCGAACTCGAAAAGGTCGTNCCCCCCAACGCATCCTGGCACACCGACTACCGCGACACGGCCTACATCTACGTCGGCGGCCTGAACCTCGACCTGTCCGAAGGAGACATCATCACAATCTTCTCCCAGTATGGCGAGCCCGTCTGGATCCGCCTCATGCGCGACAAGGAAACTGGAAAGAGCAAGGGCTTTTGTTGGTTGAAGTACGAGGATCAGAGGAGTTGCGATCTGGCTGTCGACAATCTCGGCGGCGCGACCGTCATGGGCAAAATGCTTGCTGTCGACCACACCCGATACAAGAAGCGAGATGACGAGGATGAAGACGAAGGATACGTTGGACAGGACAAACAGATCGCTGGCGCAGAAGCCGAGGAGTCAGAAGCCGAAGAGGAACGTAGACCTCTGATCAAGGAAGAGATTGAATTGGCCAAACTCATGCGCGATATGGAAGACGACGACCCTATGAAAGCATACATGATTGAGCAAAAGAAGGAAGAGGTTGAGAAAGCTCTGGCAAAATCAGCATCATCATCATCCAGGAAACACGACGACTCGCGCCGTGAAAAGAGACATCACCGCTCAAGGCGCGACCACGACGACGAAGACCGACACAAAAGACACAGAAGAGCATCATCGCGCGATGATCGAGACGACAGACGCGAACATAAAGATGGCCATCGTTCCCATAGACGCCGTTCGGTGTCTCCTCGCCGCGACCGCTCGGTATCTCCCCGAAGAGACAGACATCGCTCCACCAGAGACCACGACAATTCTCCACCCAAACGCGAGAGAGACAGCAGACGAAGGGACTACTCGAGATCACCTACGCCCCCTGCCAAAGAACGTGATTATCCGCGCAAAGAGCGCAGGCGTTCCTCTACTCCACGCCGTAAACAGGATTCGAGAAGCATATCTCCCAGACCTAGACGCTGAAGGTAAAAACTATATGTATATACTCACGCTGCTCTCGGCGAATAGAAAAGCATGGCATTCTTTCCAACCACTTATCTCCATACCATCCGTTCATGTGCAAATGTTCTCTAAAGTTGCTGGAAGACAAAGACAGATGCTCGCAAGCTGAAAAGTGTACGTTGTGGGAAGTTTCAGACAATATTTTAAGGAGGGTATATACAGACTATCTGGTATCTTAGGGAGCGACTAAAACATTAAATGTGCCGCGGAAAAAGACAAGAAGCAAAGCCATAAATCATACAATCAACCCTCTCCATTTAAGCCTTGGGCTGGCAAGCAGGAGCAGGGTTAGTAGCATTGGAAGAAATGTACGACCACTCGATAGTGTACTTGTCGCTGCCTCTGTACTGGCCAAAGTTGGTGGCATAGCTCTGGGGCCAGCTGTGGTCATACAGAGCACAGTATTGACCAACAGTCTCGCCGTTCTTGAGCAACATGTAAGTGTTGTAGAATTGGCAGGTCTTGATCTCAGCACCGTTGGCTGGGGGGTGGGCGCGAGCGTAGTCGGCTTGAGCGGCACAGGCAGCGGCGCACTTGGAGATGTCGAATGGTCCGGTCTGGAAGATGCGGACGCCGAGGTANNGCTGTGTTTGTTTAGTTGACGAAGATGAGGGACTCAGAGAAGAGTAAACTCACGTATCCTTGCCATTGCAGTCGAAGGGAGCGTTGATGGCGGCGTTTCCGAGAGGGATGGGAGCAGTGCAACCAGGGGGAGTAACAATCTTGCTGTTGACGTAGCCATTAGAGCCAGCAATGACTACGTGGAAGTCCTTGCGCCATTGGCCCTCGTTCTTTGCGTTGTCGGTGGTAACTGGACCTCCCCAGAAGACACANNCCTAGAGTAATGTTAGCATGGTCTCAGACACTACGATGTGGCTTATCGGCCATGGTTTCACTTACTTGATGTTGGTGGTGCTGGCGGGGTTTGCGCAAGAAGCGTCGTTGGGGTTGACAGTAGGGTCGCGCTCAAAGTAGAGGTTGAAGGCAGCACATCCCTTGATGGCATCACACTTGGAGGCACAAATCTGAGTGTTGTACTCGTTGAGGACAGTGTAACCAAGGTAGCCATAAGCGTTGTTGCTAGCCTTCAGGTCGGTGAAGGTGTTGTAGTAGCCTTGAGGAGTCGAGGCAGACTTGGCGATGGTGGAAAAGTCCTGGTAGGCCAGGAAAGCCTCGGCGGTGTCAGGCGAAGGGACTGGGCCAGCACCAGTAGGCTGGGGCTTGCAAGTAGCAGCTGCGCGGGCCTTGAGGCCAGCAGAGCTGACGCCCGAGGCCTTGACCTCGGCAGCGATAGAGCTGGCAGCAGCGGAAGGCTGGTAGGAAACAGTGCTGGCTTGAGCACTAACGTCGACAACAGGGATGGTGACGGTGGGGATGGGGGCAAGGGCATCGACCGCAGCCCAGTCAATCTCCTGAGGAAGAGGGTTGGCTACAGCCAGAGCTGCAAAGGCAGCGGCAACAGTGAAGGAACGCATTTTGTCCTGGGTCTTGGAACGAAAGTCTAGAAGAGGATGATGGAGATAGGCGAATTGGGATAGGTGCTTGAAGCGTTGATGGTCTCTCAACCTACTGGGTCTTGGGCATATATATACTTGAACTTGTATGGTGTCCACTCTAGTCACCCTATGACACTTTACCTGCAAATGAGCATCACCGCGTCTTGACCGGCAAGACACGAGCCGCCCAAGATCCTTACCAGAACTCAAACGAGTCGAGGCCAAGGCAGGATTGCGAGTGAGTCTGCCCGTGAGCGCTTACCGAGAATAGTTGGTGAGTAGTGCCGGCATCGAGCCAAATACAGAATGTGGAGAACATCTTGACACGAAGGAGCAGTGCGAAGGTGGTATAGAGAGCACGGAACCTCGCGATGGGGCTCTGATCAGGGAAGGACGTCGCGACTCTGCAGGATGCTATTCATGGTGGCTGACTCTAAATCAAGCCTAGAGGTCGAAGAGCGTGCCGTTTCGAGGGGACCTGCCTTGGCAGGGTGGCCGAACAGAACCTAGTTCACAGTTTATGCTTTGGTACGCCTGGTTGTTTAGTGCAGAGGCGACAAGTTCCCCCTTTGGTGCCTTGGTTGTGCCGTGTTGTTCCTGATGTATGGGCGGGTGATCGTCCGGGACTGCAATAGAGAAAGAACTCTCCAGATTCTTTCGGTCACGCTCATCTCGCTTCGCGACTTCGATTGATGAAAGAATTAGTGCCATGTCGAGAATCAGGAGAAGGTTCCTCCTATGACGCTCCCGTCCACTTGCGCATTGTTGCGCATTGGGCTGCTGGCCCCGCGATCCTTCAGAGAGTCGCGAGTCGCGAATCGCGACCGTTTCCTGGATGGTCGTTTCGAGATCGTCACGATGCTAAGTTTGGGGAGTGGATATTGAACCAAGCTCCCAAGCGCGTGGAGAATCCTTCCTTATTCAGCATCATGATATGCCAAGCTCTTACGTGCCTCCAGCAAGAACAGATCATTTCCATGTCCTTACAATGCACACAGCCGAGCCCAAATTGTGAGGTTCCAGAAAGAACCTTACCATTCTATCCTACTTGAGGTTTCAGTTGAGTTGCTGAGCAAAGATGAGGTCTACAAGAAAGCAGTCCCTGGAGTACAAGATAATGGACGCTGAGCAAGGCGGGTAGTACGTTCTGTATCAACTTCCTAAGTATATTTGCTTGTTAGCCTCGTGTCACTGTCGTGTCTCTTGCCGCCATGCAGCAGCGCTGTGGCTACAGCATCCAATTATGCCATTATGATTGCGCCGTGTCTTCTTGCGGGTCTGAAGGATCTGCCCAGACGCAAAAGTACGAGCCGTCTTTTGCGACTTGGACTCGACGAATCCTTGTGGACCTGCTGAACAGAAACACACCAGCCCTGTTCCACTGTGAAGATGTCTCAGACATCAACCAGAGGAGAAAACGATTGTCGCAGGGCGAGACTGCAACCGTTCCGGCAAGCGGATCGCCCTCACACTGGAACCACACGAGTCACGCTCAGGGTATACCATCAGACTTTCGACTTCGGTGGACATGCCAGCCGACGGCCCGTCTTGGGCGCTGTCAAATCGAGTTTTTGGTTTGCGACTACAAGCGCCATAATTATCCTTCCGCGGCAGGCCTTGGAAACTCGTGTATGCGATGCACTGCCTTCGCATGCGGCCGAGCCCTTATGGTTGCTATTCTTGTTTGGGAAGATGCTAATAGTGCCATGCAAGTCAACTGCTAGTCTTTGACTTTGCTTTGACAACTGCGGTATCATTGGTGCATCCATTGTTTGTTCAGGGGACCATGTGGTCAGAGTGTGGATGCTTTTCAAATAATGCAAAGCATTAATTCTCCGACCAAGAGATGGACCACACTCCGGGCCTTCTCATATGCTCGGTCAGACCCATCATGATCATCCTATTCTGGATATCGTGTCCTTAGGCGAGTGGACAGCAAATCTGTGCAACTCTTCGAGTCGAGATTGTGTGCATGAGCGCCAACTAGCAGCTTGTTCGACCCCGAAGCTGGGCGCGTAAAAGAACAACCAGCATACGACAAAGGTGAAGATACGATTGATGATGTTGACTTCCCAAGAATAGCACGAAGATTGCTCCGCAGATTCGAGACGTAATACCCTGATGATCATCTTTCTCGGATGATCTACCACTTCCGTTCGCAGATGTTGGCCGATCATAGGGCATACGATGATCTCGGACTGCCCCAGTGATGCTCTTCCAAAAGCTCGGCACCTACAACAATCACGGACTCGCCGAGACATCAGACCGACACGTCTTGCCAAATTGGGTTCACATCTATTGAACATTCGATCTCACTCAGCTGTCGCGAGTCGCGAGAAATAGACCCAACCATAGATGCTGTGGCTCACCTGACCCTCTCAGTGTTACGAAGATGGAATGCAAGAAGGCATGAGTAGGATGAGCAGTGCAGACGGCAATGATCGCAGCTTTCTCTTGGTAGCTCTAACGATACTCGGTTGGCTCAAGTTCTTCGGGTTTGGTTCCTGAGGTCAGATCATGCCACACGGCGCAGCTTGTCAAAATTTTAGGACAAATGATCAGCAGGGGCAAGGCCTTACATGCCACATGGTACATGTTGCGACATTGGAGAATCTCAACCAAAGCAGTACACGTGGAGATTAATGCTGGATATCTTTTTTCTTCATTAGTGATATATTAATATGCCCGTGCTTTCGTCCAACGAGCGGATGCGCCATTCTTTCCAGGGTACCTTCGCCCACGCTGACTCTTGGATGGTCCAACATTGTCATACTCATATCCTCGTGAGGTGGTAACAAGGCCACTACATGTTGGCCTTCTTTGGGAGTCATGCCAGAGCCTGCTCGACCTTCTCCAGGCAGTCGAAGAACTCGTTCCAGTGGTACATGATAGTAATGGCTCCGCACTCCTCAGTCAGCATCTTGGCCATTCTGTCAATTTCTTCTTTGTCGTCGTAGGCGCCGACGTAGCCGATGAGAGGAATCTTTGCATTCTTGGCAGCGGTGGCTCCAGACTTGCTGTCCTCGATGGCTACGCATTGGCTGGGCTCGACACCAATTTCCTTGCATGCGTGGAGGTAGATGGCAGGGTCCGGCTTTGAAGTCGGCTTCTCAAGAGAAGTGGCAGCACTGTAGACGTGCTCTGCGGGGAAGAACTTGTCCTGGCCGACCTTGCGGATGGAAGCCTGGACTCTGGAGAGAGCTGATGACGAAACAACTGCAAGACCATACTTCTTGCTCTTGTACAGCTTCTCGAGAACCTCGGTAGCACCAGCGCAGGGTTCGGCCTTCTTCTCCAGTGTTTCGACAACCTTGCCGAGCTCGCGGTCGACGTATGTGTTGAACTCGGCCTCTGGGATTTCGAAGCCGTACTTCTTCTGTAGAGAGACCATCATGCCTCTGAAGTTCTGGCCAACAAACTCCTTGAGGAGCTGAGGGCCGGTATATCGGTCTGATTTTCCATGCTTTTCCAAGATCTCGTTGGCAAGTTCGGCACAAGCCTCAAACGCGAGGTGCTCACTCAGGACGAGAGTGTTGTCGCAGTCGAACAGAATCTCCTTGATCTTTTGTTCCTGTGTTAGCCATCGAAGCCATGAGATGATGCCGATCCACAGGATGAGGTAGCCGATGAGCTGCTCGAAGCTGAGGAGTTGCTGGAAGCTGGGCAGCTGCTCGAAGCTGAAACGTACCGGTGCCATTGCTGATGTGGATGGAATGGATGGTGAGGAGGAATAGGGTATAAGTCGTGACTCGGCGGTTTATATATACGAAACGAAAGAAAGAAAAGTCACGAAGTGATGCGTTGTGCAAGTGTTAACAAAGCAGCGTCTTGTTGATTCGAGTCGCACATCCCCTCACCCACCAACTGATCGACGTCACCTTCCCCTCCAACCAACCCGGCACGTCCGCGCTGGCGCCAAGCTCGTCACATCCACGATGCATACCACAGTCCACTTGAGGCTTCGCCTGAAGTCTGCCAGAAGAAAAACAACAACTTGTTCGTTGTGATCATAAAAGCAAGCTCTTTGCCGGCCATGCTCAGAACCTTGCAGCAATACAACAGAACAAACTATCAAGCGCTTGCGAACCAGCCGCTTTCCTGCTGCGGTGTCTCCACGCGATCTCAAGAACAGACGGGCGGAAGCGGGGCAGATATCGCTTCAAATTAATCATCGGTTTTGAGGACGCTTGCGCCTGCCCTCCAAGATAATTCCTGTCCGATTGCAAAGAACGGTCTTGAGTGATCTTAATTTCTGGGGCTTGCGGTCGCCGAACAATTTCACGAGCACCACCTCGAGCTTCTTGATTTCTGGACTTCGCCGCTGCACTGCTCGCGCTAGGTAGTGGGACCCTACGGCCTTGGTCTCTGCTCCTTCTGTTCAACAGAAGATCTGATCTCAATCGTGACACTGCAGCACTGAGGAGAATACAAGTCACTCGGCAAAGAAAAGCGTGGCTTGGTGGCACGAACACTGCAGCTGCTTGGTACAAAAGATGATATTGAGAGATAGTCTCGTTGGATACGGACGTAGGGGCGTCTGTGGATATCCAGACACAGACTCTTCCCTGCTCTAACACCTGTTCTTCAGCGATTTATTTTGTCTTATCAGTGCCGCTCGACTCTTGTATGCCCTGCTACTACGATGTCGTCTGTCAAAGTATGCAGAATTTACTTACTTGCACCTAGGTACGGAAACTGAGCGACGTTCAAGTTTCACAGGAGCGTTCCTTCATATGGCTACCAGAAGGCAGCATTGCTTTGAAGTGGGGATGGTCGCCCAATAAGAGCCAACTCCGTGTTTCTCAAACCCGAGAAGTCCTCTCGTCTCTTTCTTTTCTCGATATCCAGAACACTTCTCGAGTTGACCGTATGATTAGCTACACAACTTCAGGCCTTGTTCGTGTCTGCAACGATCGATTCCCTGCCAGAAGCGTAGCTGTCGCCCGAGAAATTCTTGGATGCCCCTCATCTGCACAACTCTTTCGATGCCTCGTTGCCTGCATCTGTCACGTATATCCCGAAGTTCGACGTCGCGGCAGACGGCCCATTCTCTGCCAACCTCTCAGCAGGTAGTGGATGGATTACCAGGTCTTATGACTGGTGCAGACGAGCGACCTTGTCCCGTACAGACATATTGTACCGTATATCCAGGGTTCGATTGCCTTGCTCTATCGATCCCGTGTTCGAACCACATAGAAAACTCATCGGTGCGTGGTGTCATCTGCAGCCTTCAATGGCCAAATGCAGGTACCCAGTCTCCCACGACCGTGCTGCTTCTCGTCTACAAGCTTCCTCTTCTGGAGACTACACTTATTCGGAGTGATAAAGTACCGACCTATCACTGCGATATGCGCAATCCTTATTCCGGAGCACAATATTGCACACTGATTATGGAATTGGGTTGGGTGTCAAGCAAAATACTGATGGAATACTACATACGGGTAAGCACAGCTTGTGATGGAGAAGACTGATCGCCAACTCAGGCATGTGAGTGTTGTTGTTCGTTGATCGGTCAGGATGTTCCAAGCTCGCCGAGACAAATCCTGGAACATGTCATACATTAAGGCAAACCCGGTCAAAAGCGTCAAGCACAACATATTGACGGTGCAGACGTCACTTTTCCGTAAAAATCTACTTGATGCTTCAGAGCATCACGGTATATGCTACGGTCAATCAATGGTCCATGAGAGGGACAGACGAGTGGCGTAGAGTACTGGAAAATCATGGCCAGGGTCGCTAAGATAACATGCAGCCTCTGGCTTCAAGATGTTCGTCTTGGCCATTCGCATGGACGCGCGTGTCGTGGCAAAGACATGAGCATAAACCACATCTCACCATCATGAAGAGACTTGTTGTTGGCAGAAGATGGAATTGAATTGGAAGCCATGACGATGCGAGGCCTCGGGCCGAAGATGGCAAAAGATTGTTGCCATGGTTTCTAAAAACAGCACGGCCCTCAAGACGTATCCCCACCGTATTGCGCAGTTACAGAGGCGGCGCATCACCTTGATAAACAGAAGTTCATATCGATTGGCGGATCGCATGGCGCAGCAGATTGAGAACCATACAAGAGAGGAAGAGAGGTTCGACCAAATGACCCATTTTGCGCCAAGGTGTGTCCGATCTTACCGTGGAGAAGGATTGCTTAGTGAGGCTGCGGTAAGAAGGACGCGTTTCAGGGTTGGTGCATGTTATGGCGCAGTAGTGAGTGCCAGGAAGAGGAGAGGGGATGACTTCAGCTGCATCTGCTTGCTGTAGCAACGGCTCTTGATCTAGTGCCGCTTTTGCCAATCTCTTTTCCAAAACCTAGAATATTTCCTACAAGTCTTTTGTTTGACTCGATACCTACCTTGACTGTTAAACGCCGACTGCCAGGTGCTTCGAAAGTTGTCGCTGTCGCAAAGCGCAAACGCCTCGAGTAAACAAACTCCACATCAGCCACGATACATACGACTCTCCGCCCCCGGGTTCTGACAGGCGGATCTTTCTGAGGCACTCCTGAAACAGCGCAAACAGCAAGAGAAGGAGAGAGAGAAAGCGTTTGCGAATATCGAGTAAAATCGTGCATACGGGATATCGCAGAAAGTGTCGCAGACATGTCGTACAACCGTCTTGGCCGTAAGTGCAATACCCAGCCTCCGGAGAAAAGAGTCGACAGGAGTGAAAGAGTATGGGAGATGGCAGGAATTCCTGGGAGCGTGAAGGCTAGAAGTGGACTGGCTGGCAACATTCCTCAGACGCTCCGTGTTGGGCACGCGTTTCATAGACCAAGTCGGAGCTTCGCTGACCGGGTCATCTTGTCGCAGCATACGGCCACCATTCGCCTGACGAAGACGAGCATTACGGCGCCCAGTCGCAAAACCCATTCATGGATCCTCGCGCCGGCAGATCACCGTCCCCAGGACATCCTCTAGAGTCGTACGCCTTGCACGACAACCCCTACACCCACGACGAGCCGCTACACATGCCCATGGGTCCCGGTCCTCGTCCAGGCGCCTCGCCCATGCCTGGCACGCCCTCAGACAGACTCCAGGCTCAGCCTACAGTGAGCTCATTCCCAGATCCCGTATTTATGCGCCCTGCTCACCACGCATCATAGTTCTCAGTAGAGCACGTTCCCGGCTACGGCCACAGCGAGAGCTACGATTCGCATCACTATCAGACAAGTCCCGTCTACCCACCTGGTGATTATGCCCTCAACCCCGAAGACCACCACGACGCATACCACAATGAGCCCTACCAACCCGCTATTACTCCCATGGAAGAAGTCTACGGCCCTCCCTCCGACGGCCAACATCCCCATTACTGGCAGGATGAGGTCGACACACGCCCTATCTTGCAACAAGACTCTGCCTACGGGCCTGACCCTCATAACGTGCCTACTCCTATGGCAGAAGAGCAGATGGAAATGAACGCAGATCAGCCACAATCGGGAGGTGGACTCCGTAGATGGAAAACAGTCAAGGAAGTTCAGCTCTTCAACGGCAACCTAGTCCTTGACTGTCCCATACCTCCAAGACTCTTGAATCAGATTCAGCACGCCCAGCCTCCGGAGCGTGACGAATTCACACACATGCGCTACTCGGCCGCCACCTGCGATCCTTCTGAGTTCTACTCGGAGCGCTTCACATTGCGCCAGAAACTCTTCGCCAAACCCAGACATACCGAACTGTTTATCGTCATCACCATGTACAACGAGGAGGATGAGCTGTTCGCCCGTACCATGATTGGTGTCATCAAGAACATCGAATACATGAACTCGCGAAACAGCAGCAAGACTTGGGGAAAAGAGGCCTGGAAGAAGATTGTCGTTTGCGTTGTCAGCGACGGTCGTGCGAAGATCAACCCTCGTACCAGAGCCGTCCTCGCAGGTCTGGGTGTTTACCAGGATGGCATTGCCAAGCAGCAGGTCAATGGCAAAGATGTCACTGCTCACATCTACGAGTACACCACTCAGATGACACTCGAACTCAAGAAAGGTGTGGTCTCGGTTAAGAAAGGAAACACACCCGTCCAGATGCTCTTCTGTCTCAAGGAAAAGAACCAGAAGAAGATCAATTCTCACAGATGGTTCTTCCAGGCCTTTGGTGAGGTTCTTGACCCTAACATCTGTGTTCTGATCGATGCCGGTACAAAGCCAGGAAAAGACTCTATCTACAAGCTGTGGAAGGCCTTTGACCTTGAGCCTATGTGTGCCGGTGCTTGCGGTGAGATCAAGGCCATGCTGGACCATGGTAAAACTCTCATCAACCCTCTGGTCGCCGCGCAGAACTTCGAGTACAAGATGAGCAACATCCTCGACAAGCCTCTTGAATCCGCCTTCGGGTTCATCAGTGTCCTTCCAGGTGCTTTCTCTGCTTATCGATTCATGGCTCTCCAGAACGATAAGACTGGCCAAGGTCCTCTTGAGAAGTACTTTGCCGGTGAGAAGATGCATGGTGCCAACGCTGGTATCTTCACTGCCAACATGTACCTCGCCGAAGATCGTATCCTCTGTTTCGAACTGGTGTCGAAACGCAACTGCTCCTGGATCTTGCAATACGTCAAGTCGGCTACTGGCGAGACTGATGTTCCCACCGAGATGGCTGATTTTATTCTGCAAAGAAGACGTTGGCTGAACGGCAGTTTCTTCGCCGCTGTCTACGCTCTTGCTCATTTTCATCAAATCTTCCGTAGCAACCACTCTGTTGGTCGCAACTTCATGTTCATGATCGAGTTCTTCTACCAGGGTATCAGCATGCTCTTCGCTTGGTTTGCTATCGTAAGTCCTTTGACCTCTCTACAGCCTCTCAAGTGACACCTACTAATACGCATACTGCAGGGTAACTTCTTCCTCGTCTTCCGCATTCTCACAGGTTCGCTCTCGGATTCAAGTCTCAACTTCCCACCAGGAAAGGTGTTGGGTGTACTCTTCGAATGGATCTACCTTGCTGTCTTGATCACTTGTTTCGTCCTTGCTCTCGGTAATCGTCCGCAAGGCTCGAACAAGTTCTACATGACCCAGGTCTACTTCTGGGCAATTCTCATGGCGTAAGTCCACATCCAAATAGCTTCGAGATGTTTTGACTAACACTGCTCCAGATATCTCATGTTTGCGACCGTGTTCATCACTGTCAAGTCTGTACAGGCACAACTCAAAGAGCACGACCACTTCACGTTTAGCATGCTGTTCACCAACTCGCTGTTCTTGACGCTCATCGTATCGATGGCTAGTACATACGTCTTGTACTTTGTCGCCTCCTTCATGTTCTTGGATCCTTGGCACATGTTCACGTCCTTCTTGCAATACCTCCTGCTCACACCGACTTACATCAACATCCTCAACGTCTACGCCTTCTGCAACACTCACGACATCACTTGGGGTACCAAAGGAGACGACAAGCCAGAAAAACTGCCCTCTGCCGTCACGAAACCAGGTGGCAAGGTCGACGTGACCATTCCGAGCGATGACCATGATCTCAACAGTCAATACGAAGAAGAACTCCGCGTTTTCTCAACCAAGTGGACACCTCCTGTCAAGACTCCTTCTGCAGCTGAGAAGCACGAGGACTATTACAAGGGATTCAGAAGTGCCGTTGTTTTGGCTTGGATGTTCTGCAACCTTGCTCTCGCTGCAGTCGTTCTCAATACAGGTGGCCTCAACCGTGTCTCGGTGGGTGTTCAAGACGACAATCAGCGCAGTACTATCTACATGAGTGTTGTGCTCTGGAGTGTCGCTGTTCTCAGTGCTTTCAGATTTATTGGAGCTTGCTGGTTCTTGGTTGTTAGACTTATCAGGGGGGTTTAGATGCTGTTCATGACCTCTCTCACGGACTAATGACTTGGGCTTTGATATCATGGTTATGGTTGATGATGTACTGTAGCGAGGCGTTCTCTCAGGCTCTCTCGGTCTTATTTGATTCTCTCTTTTATCCCTTAGTCTTCCTTACATCGTGCTATCCTCGCGACCATGCTCTCACGGTGATGCAAAATGACGACTCACACAAAAGCCATGAACGAGGCAAAGTTATAGAGAACAGCGGTCAGCGCTTGGAAAGGTATGGACCCTATATCCCCATGACCATTCAACATCAGTATCTGTGCTTCCTTTTCAACGACCATCAGTGCATGGAGGTTCGTTGTTGTCGATGTGCACAAGGTGAACAGGCAGGCACATGTTTGTCTCGACATAGCAAGCAAGATCAAGCAAAGGCTTCTTCCACATCAGTTTGGAATAAGAGTACATCCATCAGATACTCTTTCCCTTACTGTTCTGATCCATTGAGTAATTCTTGATGCGCTCCCCCCCGTTCGAGCACGCGTCAACTCGATCTTTCCGTTTCTGACCTCTCACCTCGCTACTCCGGCGCCTTCCTTACTCGTCGTCGTCGTCGCCATCAGCCCTCACAACAGAAGTGAAAAGCGTGCTGCGGAAGCCCTCCACCCTCTTTCCTACTTAAGCTCTCTTCTCTTCCAACCAACCTTCCACCTTTCCTTCCACTCCATCCAAACCTTCCAACCCTCCATCCACTCCATCGTACTTCAGCCTTTGACGTGCGCTCCATCTCTCTTACTCACTCTACCTCGTCAACAACACCCGCCACTCAACATGACCGAGTGGGACAACGCAGCTCGTAAGTAAACAAACACATTGCGCACTCGCACTTACCTTCGCATGCAACCTTCGTGGTTCACCTTTCCTCATTCTTCACTCACCTTCCGTCAACAACCACTTGCGTCCCTCCTTCAGTCACCATCGCTACTTGCCTTCTTCATCTTACCTCTTCTCATCCATCTTCTTCTCATCTATCACCACTTCCATCCATTACCACTTCCATTTATCAACACTTCTGTCCATCCACATCCAAGGCACATCACTGACACCATGTCAGCCTCCACTTGGGACGAGCCCGCCCCTATTGACACCGCTGGTTGGGTTGACAGCACTGCCGCTGCTACCGCTGACACTGGTTATTCCGGCATGGATCCCGAGTCGATCTCCAAGCACGACGGTGGCCTCGACGTTGATACCTGCCGCAAGTAAGTCACCACCCGTCCACTCTCCATCTTCCCACTACTGACACAACATTGCAGTTGCCACCAAGCCGGTCACTTTTCCCGTGACTGCCCCGAGCCTCGCCAGATGTCTGGTGAATGCTTCAACTGCGGCGAGACTGGACACAACAAGGCAGACTGCACCAACCCCAAGGTTGAACGTCCTTTCACTGGAACCTGCCGCACCTGCGGTGCTGAGGGTCACCGCTCCTCGGAGTGTGCTGATGCTGTCTGCAAGAAGTGCTCTGGCACTGGTCACACTGCAGCCGCATGCTCGGAGAAGTACAACCTCTATCCCGAGGGCCTCGCCTACACCGATGATGCCGACAAGGCCTGGGAGAACCTGCTCGCCGCCGACGCCACTGGCGATGTCGATGATTTCATCCAGGCCTTCTGGATGTACTGCAAGGTTGCCCCGGAGCTCACCCTTGTCCAGCTCGAGGAGTGCTTCCGTGAGACTGAATTCAAGTACTACCTGATCGCAAAGGAGCAGACTGTCCCGTCTCCCGTTCACACCAATGTCGACCTCCAGGGCAACTCAAACAAGAAGTACCAGGTCTCGTTCCAGAAGACCTCCAAGCCTCGTCGTGCCATCCTCGCCGAGGGCTGGCCCAAGACCCCCGAAGAGAACCTCGAGCGTCTCAACGATGCTGGCTTCTCGATGGACAACTTGAAGCCGTACTGCACTAACTGCGAGCAGTCCGGCCACTCGATGAAGACCTGCCCTGAGGAGAAGCAGGTTGTTGAAAAGCCCAAGGTCACTTGCTCCAACTGCAGCACCGATGGCCACTACGTTCGCGATTGCCCTGAGCCTCGCGCTGTCCGTGGTGGCGGTGGCGATGTCGAGTGCAAGTTCTGTGGCGAACAGGGCCACTTCGTCAAGGACTGCCCTACCAAGGTAAGTTTTCTTCTTCTCCTTGTCGTTATTAAACTATTACTAACAGGTTATAGCCTGCCGAGAAGTGTCGTAACTGCCAGAAGGAGGGCCACCGTGCTTCAGACTGCACCAACGAGCGCGTCATTATCTGCCGTAACTGCAGTGTTGCTGGCCACACCGGTCGTGACTGCCCTGAGCCTACTAACATGGTAAGCTTCCAATTGTCTTCATCACAACTCTCTAGTCCATGCTGACACACATAGGACAACGTCACTTGCCGCAACTGCGACAAGACCGGCCACTTCTCAAAGGAGTGCTCCGAGCCTAAGGACTGGAGCAAGGTTCAGTGCCGCTTATGCAACGAGAAGGGTCACGGCGCTGGTCGTTGCCCTAACCCCACTGCTGGCGAGGATTACACTGCTAGTGCTGGTCCTGCTGGAGTCGCTGCTGAGGGCGACTGGATGGCAGACACTCCTGCCGCTGGTGCCGGTGCCGAGTGGAACTCTGCTGCTGCTGAGGTTAGCGCCTGGTAAAGAATCAACCAATTCACGCGAGTTAATATTGCCTAAGATTTCACCCACGTCGACCGCCAATGGCTTGACGAGCGAGGATACCTACAGCGTAAGCTCTGCTGAGGGAGAGGCATGACAAGGTCCATAGCTTCCGTTATCAAAACGATCTTCATCAATTGTTTACCTTATTGTAACTGACTTGACTGATTGTGCTTCTCCAGACTGCAAGCAAGCTTGCCTTTAGTTAATCGAGCTCATAGCACGCACTAGGCTCAGACATCATCCAGGAAAGTTTGACCTCCGTACAAGTACGAATGTGCTTCGTTGGTGACATCTGGACCTCAAACACTGATTGACTCTGCGGTTTAGGCCTTCCGCACGTGTCAGAATGATCCGGACCGTCAACGACAACCAAGGTGGAAGTTCTTCGCTATTCGTTCAATTCTGAACATGTTCACCGAGTCCAAATGTCGTTACAAGAGCTTGCCGACACGGTTCGTGTTGGGTACGTCGCTTCCGTGAGCCTCCTGAGAATGAGCGTTCTGTGGTTCTCTGCCAATGATATTGGACAAGCTCGACTGCAAGTACCTTCGTACCACAAGCGCTCGAACTTCAAACGACACGAAGTTTGACTTCGTACACGCCGGCTGTCTTCATCTGGAAATCCGCACATGGTCTTTCTTCTTTTCTCACGAGTTTCAACTACTCTACCGTTTCACAAGCCGGCTGTCGCCATCGCAGGGTCCCGGAACACACATTGTTGGAAGTTGGAACATTCCCTGCAGCCAGGCACGAGTTTCCTGCGCTGACAGTTCGTCACGCAGTTCCATGCGATGCCGGCGACCACTCCGATCTGCCACAAGAATGCCATGACAACACCACAAGAAGACGTCCTGTCAAGCTGCCACGGCAAAATGCACCAGCAAAGTGAATCAGAGTCATGCGGAGCGCCCACAGTCCTCCCACGCCACTCATTCAGACCGAGCATTTGACCGCGGTGTGACCGGCCGTCGGCATCGGTCGCCTGTATCGCAGCATCCGCCTGACTGGCGGAGGATGCTGTAAAGGGGAGAGCGGTGAAGGCATCACGAAGAAAGACCGGGGCGGCAGTCGGGGATGACCCACTCGGGGTCACTCTCCTCCTACGGCTGTGGAGTTGACCTCCAGGACATGAGACAGGAATCGTGAGGCACCGGTGGCATCGTTCAATCGACGGCCACCCACGTCAGCGTGGCTTTCGTCGTCGTGAAATTAGAGTCACCGTCCCTTGCGCTAGTTGGAAACTTGAGTCGTTCAAACGAGGCGATATTGATGAACAACAACAAGATGTCCTGAGCCAAGGGCAAGCCGCTACACTTCTTCCTGCTCTGGTCTCTGTGCAGAGAAGACAGCAAGGTAGGTGGTGCGTGGCCTTGCAGCTCATCAGTTTGGTTCTCCGGCGAAACAGATGTCCAGAGCAGACAGAACTCAAAGAGGCAACCTGTAACGCTCTCACAACCTCCGCGTGGGGAGAAAAGCCACCCCGTTTATCGGGACGATCTTCTGGCGCCGGACCTACCACATTGGGCATTCCCGTGGGTCCAACCTGGAGATAATGTGGGAGGTGGCCGGCAGCGTGCGTCACTCCGTCTTTGCAAAGACCAATCTGTACCCGCAATCTGCAGACGGTTGTCTGTAGGCACGGATGGCGGATGGGTTTGTACAGTAGAGTTTGTATCTCATGGAGAGGCAGAGTGGAGAAGATGGAGTCGCCAAGTGGGATAGTGCTCAAACTCTCTGATGCTACACTGTATCGATGGCGGCCATATATTCCTACTGACCGCGCTCTTGTTTTGCAGATCTCATTGCCTCTTTTTTTCCTCCCCTTGTTCGAACTTACTCCCATCGAACATCCACCAGCATGTTCGGCAANAAGTACTATGGCCTTACAGGCACCAAGCTGAATATCGCAGTCGGTATCATTGCTGGTCTCGATTTCCTGCTGTTCGGTTACGATCAAGGCAAGCAGCGTTTCTTGAACGATGGCATGAATGTTTCGCTAACCAAGTATCANGGTGTCATGGGTGGTCTGCTCACGTTGAAGTCCTTCAACCGTACCTTTCCTGAGATCGACGTCGATAATCCTCCGCTTGGAGTATCTGCTTCATACACCTCTACCATCCAAGGTATCTCGGTCGCCTCCTACAACTTGGGGTGCTTTGTCGGTGCGTTGGCTACAATCTGGATTGGTGACTGGCTTGGCCGTCGCAAGACCATCTTCTTGGGATCTGCTATTATGGTCATTGGTGCCACACTACAAACATCAGCTTTTGCTCTGGCACACTTGATCGTCGGAAGAGTTATTACTGGTATCGGAAACGGCATGAACACTTCTACTGTGCCTTCATGGCAGAGTGAATGTTCGAAATCGCATCGTCGTGGTCAGATGGTTATGATTGAGGGCGCCCTCATCACCGGAGGTAAGAAGCATGCATATTTTGAAGCTGGAAATCTGTACTAATAGACTACCNNAGGTGTTATGATGTCCTATTGGATCGATTTCGGCTTTTCTTACCTCGAACCCTCGACAGTCTCCTGGCGCTTCCCCATCGCTCTCCAGATCCTGTTCGCTCTTATTATCCTGATGTTTATCATGGGTCTGCCAGAATCACCCAGATGGCTGATTATGAAGGGCCACGAAGATGAGGCCATCAACGTCTTGTGTGCGTTGAACAACAAGGACTCCGAAGACCCTTACATCGTCTCTGAATTTGCCGCCATCAAGGATTCCGCTCTGGTCATGCAACAAGGTGGCTTCAGAGACTTGTTCACCATGGACGAGGACCGCAACTTCCACCGTGTCGTTTTGGCCTACGTCAATCAGATGTTCCAACAGATCTCAGGTATCAACCTTATCACCTATTACGCCGCCAATATCTACAGAAACAGCATTGGACTTTCGGACTTCCTTTCACGTATCTTGGCAGCTGCCAACGGAACTGAGTACTTTGCCGCTTCCTGGATTGCCGTATTCACCATTGAGAAGTTTGGACGTCGCCAACTCATGTTGTTCGGTGCTGCAGGTCAGGCCGCCTCCATGGCTGTTCTTGCAGGCACAACTTCGAGGACCTCATCCGCCACTGGTATTACTGCTGCTGTGTTCCTCTTCGTCTTCAACACTTTCTTCGCCATCGGCTGGCTGGGAATGACTTGGCTGTACCCCGCTGAGATCGTCCCTCTCCGCATCAGAGCTCCTGCCAATGCTTTGGCAACCTCTGCTAACTGGATCTTCAACTTGTAAGCTCAATCTCGAACTTTCACTCGTGCAGTGTGCTAACTTCCTCTTCAGNNCATGGTTGTCATGATCACTCCTGTTGCATTTGAGACCATCGGATACCAAACTTACATCATCTTCGCTGCTATCAACGCCTTCATCGTCCCCTGCGTCTACTTCTTCTATCCTGGTAAGTTGTCCTTCCATCTGAATTTGCATACCCATACTTACAATATCCACNNAGAAACTCGCCTCCGCTCCCTCGAAGAAATGGACGAGATCTTCCGCAACTCAACTTCAATCTTCGACGTCGTCAAGGTTGCTCGCGATACACCCAACCGCTACGGCAAGTCAGGCGAACTTCTCATCAACTACCTTGACACCGAAGCCGCAGCAGGTGCCACCAGACGTCGCAGCTCGCTGGTCGAGCCCAAGTACGGCAAGACTGGTGGCAAGGGTGATGGCGAGCAAGTCGAGAGATTGGAGAACGGATATGGTTCCAGCTCTGCTGGATCGCAAAACGAGAAGGTGTAGATGGAGACTTATGACAATTTTGTTTTGTCTGACAGGAGGGCGGAGGGCTTTCTTTTCCTTTTCATGTTTTTAGATACCAATTTTTATTTCGTTTTTGGCTCACGAGCTAGACCTTGCAATACCGAGACAACTATACATTCTGCCTCTTTCATTACTATCACTACTGTTTGTTATTCTTGAAGCTCCAGAGACACAATGGTTGGGACTCGAGCTGATAAACGTAACAGTACTTGGTCAGGTTGCTGAAGTGGAGCAGCAGTGTCAAATATGGTAGTATACGACAAGTTGTACTGATGACTACGGTGACACCTATCCCGCCATATGCAAGATCAATAGTTGTTCTTGCAATGAACCCTGAACGAATACCACCTACAGCACTGTCAGACATGTTACAACCAAAAAGCATTAATCCACACTTACTGAGCATCACCAGAAGTCAACCCCGCCTGGCCACGATTACACTGTGTAGTAGTCGAGCTATACGAGGCAGAGCAATCAGTAGACCCATAAGCGGTAAAGCTGAGGCAATTGTCTCCGCTCGTGATGCCGTAGAGATGCTTGATGCCTCTGCGGCTGCCCGAGCATACGTCCTTGAGGCAGCCATTGACGCTGCCGACGTTCAGTGGCGTTTCGGTGCTTCCGTCTTCGCAGGTGGCTGCGAAGGCTGCGTTGCAGGGTAGTGCGAGGACTGAGGTTGTGGATATGGCTAGGAGGCTGAGGACGATGGTGATGATGTTGGAGTGCATGGTGAAGGTGAGATGGAGTAGTGTATGTATGAATGTGTTCGAAGCAAGATGGTTGGAGCATGAAGATGAGCATAACACTGGAAGGGGAATTCATGGTTTTATATCTGGTCATCCAGTGGTGACAGTCTCTACTAGAGCAATTCTCATGCCTATTCCGTGGCAGATCGACTGGACGCGTCGTCAAGCTCTTGTACAAAGAGTGACGATGGCTGGTATAGCACCCGGGAATAATTTGGCTTCAGGAGCATTTGCAAGTCTTGAACACGAATGGTTGCGCATGTTGCTTGACAATGGGATAGCATGTTTTGGCTTTCGATGCTGTTGACTTTCTGTGAATCCTTCGAACATCATGCCGCGGCATTTCCGTGGAGTTGTTCTCCCATCTCATCACCTGGCATCGTGAAGAGGCACTGTATAGAATTCCTCTGCGGAGAAATTGTACATTGGAAGCTCGCCCTTGTAAGAGATCTAAGTCGGTGGAATATACAGTATGCGACCTTGAGCTTCTCATAAGAGCCGCCTTTCCAAAGAACAAGATGTCATGGACTGTAATTGTGTTGATCTCTATGTCACTAGCTCAGCATATAAAGCCTATCAAGCCTTCTTGAAGCCCAAGATGGACTAAACCAAGTTGATATTTGAACGTGACCTAATCACATCCGATATCCGACAGGGAGGATTATTCCCGAGTTGCATGAAGCAGAAACGTATAGCACACAATGATGGTTACCCTGACGGGCCATGTTACCTGAGTCGTTTGAGGTGTCTTTGCCTATATAACAGGACGACATTTGCTAAGAGACAGTAATTTATCGGACTGTCTCTCCTCCAGATTCATGATTGAGAATCAATTTGGCAATGCTGTAGACCACTCATACGCTCTGGTCGAGAGCGAGAGTGGGATTTCAGCACATTGGAAGAAGGGCACGCTTGGAGACAGGCGACCAGGGTGAGATAATGTTGCAAGTTTCACGATTATGTGAAGCGTTCCAAGTCGCAGAAGTCCGAGGAAGGAGATGGAGGAAACAGCTCGGTGTTGCCAAGGCCGGAGCGTGTGTGAAGATGATGAGATGTCGGGAAACCACTTTTGCGTCACTGACGGCTGCTCTTTTTTTTTGTCAACCTCGCTTTTGCCTGTCGCTGTTGTTTTCTCTTCAGCCTGTAATACCACCTAGCGTATAGCCATATACACACACCATGGCCTCGACAATCCCCTCTGCCCAGGCCGCCTCGCAGCCCAGCTTCGTCAAGCTCGAACCCTCATCGTCATTCTACGATCGCATCACAACCTGGGCCTCGGAGCACAAGGCTGCCGTCTACACCATTGCCGGTATCACATTGGTTGCCACCGGTGCCGGAATCTACTACTACACATCCGAGTCGGCTCCCACGCCGCAAGACCTCGAGGCTGCCGCCGAGAAGAAGAAGGCTCGCAAAGAGAACAAGAAGGCCAAGAAGAACGCACAGAGAGAGCAAAAGTCCCCCTCGCCCGAGTCAAAGCCCCAGGGTGTGTTTCGCTACACCTGCGCCACTTGATTCGCTTGCTAACCCTCTCGTCCAGAAAAGCCCCAAGCGGCAACAGTACAGAGCGAGGATGACATGCCCGAGGTGACAGAACACTCCGTCGCAACCCTCTCAGACGAAACCAAGAAGGAATATGCCGCCAAGCTCAAGGCTGCCGGAAACAAGGCCTACGGATCAAAGGACTACAACCGCGCAATCGACTTGTACGGACAAGCCCTGCTGTGCAAGGCTGACCCCGTCTTCTACTCGAACCGTGCCGCATGCTGGAACGCCATGTCCAACTGGGAGCGCGTTATTGAGGACACAACCGCCGCCATCAGCCTCGATCCCGAATACGTCAAGGCCCTCAACCGCCGCGCACACGCCTACGAGGAGACAAACAAGAACAGCGAGGCTCTTCTCGATTACACTGCCAGCTGCATCATCGACGCTTTCCGTAACACGCAAGCCGCCGAGGCAGTCGAGCGTCTGCTTAGAAAGGTGGCCGAGGAGAAGGCCAAGGCCATTATGGAGAAGAAGCAGCGCCGTCTGCCCAGCGCTACCTTCATTACCAACTACCTGCAGAGCTTCCGCGACAGACAGCTCTCTGACTCCATCTCCGAGGGTGCCGACCTGGCCGAGAACAGCGGAAAGTGGTGGCTGCGCAAGGGTCTGTTGGCAATGGACAAGAAGACGGGCGAGGGCTACAACGAGGCCGCCGAAGCTTACGAGAAGGCCATTGAGGCTGGCGACCTCGGTGAGAACGAGGCTTTCGCATACAACATGCGCGGTACCTTCAAGTACCTGCGCGGCGAGACTGACGCCATTGACGACCTGAACAAGAGTATCGAGCTGGACGCTACCTTGACCCAGAGCTACGTCAAGCGCGCTAGCATGCACCTCGAGGCCAACCGTCGCGACGAGGCAGCAAGGGACTTTGAGGACGCAGTCGCCCAGAACGACAAGGACCCCGACGTTTACTACCATCGCGCACAGCTCAGCTTCATCCTCGGTGACTTCCCTGAGGCAGCTAAGGACTACCAGAAGTCGATTGACCTTGACCCTGGCTTCATATTCTCTCACATTCAGCTTGGTGTCACCCAGTACAAGATGGGCAGTGTTGCTTCATCCATGGCCACTTTCCGCCGCTGCATGAAGAACTTCGAGAAGGTGCCCGATGTCTACAACTACTACGGTGAGCTGTTGCTCGACCAGCAAAAGTTCCAGGAGGCCATTGAGAAGTTTGAGACCGCCGTCCAGATGGAGCAGAAGGAGCGCGTCACTGGCATGAACGTCCTTCCCTTGATCAACAAGGCTTTGGCTCTCTTCCAATGGAAGCAGGACTTCACAGCTGCTCAGGAACTGTGTGAGAAGGCTTTGATAAGTAAGTCTTATTTGTTTCTCGTGCATTCTGCGACCAAAGATGCTAACTAAATCTCACANGTTGACCCTGAATGCGACATTGCCGTTGCCACCATGGCTCAGCTTCTCCTTCAGCAAGGCAAGGTCCCTGAGGCCCTTGAGTACTTTGAGAAGGCCGCCGAGCTCTCACGCACCGAGGCCGAGATTGTCAATGCCCTCTCATACGCCGAGGCCACCCGCACACAGCTCGAAGTCCAGGAGAAGTATCCCCAGCTCGCCAGCAGACTGCAGGGCATGCCTACTTCGGCCGCCATGCGATAGAGTATTCTCAGGAGTCAGAGCATTGAAAAAGAATCGACATGAAGGATAATTTGACCGAGGATGAAACACACGAATGAAGAAAGACTCTCAGAAAATTTGGAGCTGAGGGTTCTCGAGCTGTAATTTGTTCAGCAAAAGGAGAAGCGATGCGTGCGCAAAAGGTGTTACTATCAGTTTGTTGCCACACTTTTTTCGATACTCTTTTCTTCGCCACCACTATGTACATTATATTCCATTACTTTACTCTCATCATGGCTTAGTTCTTTTCACTCTATTAGTCCACCGACGTGTCATGGAGCTGTGGAGTATGGCGGAAAAAAAGTAGAAAATGGAAGAAATAATGCTGCTGTGGTTCCCACCCTGTCTCAAACTTCATCTGCTTCCTCTACATGCAACACCATTACAAGTTCGTCTCTGTATACAGGAATATCTGTTGTATGACCATGTGTTCGTTTTCAGTATCTTTTGCTCGTCTGGGAACATATGAAGAAGGCAGTGGTTGAGTTCCAGCAAGTTCACCATATTCTCGGACCAAAGCTGCTCATAAATTCCTGAGCACATTCATCTCAACCACTTTCTAAGGAATATCCAATATTCCATCATGAGCGTGAGCAAGGCACGATCGAGCAAGTAGTCTCCGATCAGTCCTAGAACCACGTCTCAATCCAGAAGGTTGGTATGGCGTTATGCTCCGGGTACCTTGTACATACAGGAGCTGGTTGTCTGTTCAGCCGGAGGAGGGCTTGCCCAGGGCCCCAGCGTGAAAGCAAAACATGCCCCAACTTTCGAGTCTTGACTTCTTGGTGCCCAGGCCGTTTGGTTTCACGCTCCCTTGACACATTCCCGTGTTGGTGCTACTCTGTTGCTTCATCTCACAGTGAAGTGGTCGGTTACCAAGGCGGCTTCGGACTTTGGGTCGTGGTCAACAGCCTCGCAGCAACGTAATCTCAGGTCGCAAAAACTACCGAATAAGCGCCTCATTGTGTTGGATGGGCTTTAGATTGCGAGACCGGCAAAGTCGGCCAGAAGAGCCCCCAAGGGAACCAAGAAGCGCGGGGCATTCTTTCTCAACGCCCGCGCCCACACAACTTCTCTCAAAACCTTGTCGTTTCCTCGACCTGAAACTCCAGTGTTCCTCCCTCGATTCGACTCCTCTCGTTCATCACTCGCTCGAGCCTGTCGATTCTTCCGCGCGCTCTCTCGTGTCATGGCCCTCGACCACTGTTGATACCCCAGCTCCTCTTAAACTTCTGGACATCCCACAATTTCGCCCCGCCTTCACTTCCGCACTAAGAGTACAAACCATAATAATGTCTCTTTAACCGCCGACACCCGCCAAAAAATTATCTGCACCGTCCTTATCCCAGACGTCCTGGATTACCGTTGATTGACATCACCTCGAAATCATGTTGGATGAAATCCCTATTGGAGACCAGTATGTCTTCACTTCGTTGCGCTACGATGGCTCGATGAAGCGCAATGCTCAAAACCCCGTGTGTTGTCCGGACTCCAAGGCCGCATATCTCATCAAGTATCACTATGAGCGCCTCGCTACTGCAGCCGATCATCTGGGTTGGTATGATACCAACAAGAGGATGAAAGGTCCCGTCGATCTGTTCAACCGCATTCAGACCGCTGTGAACGAACACAAGAAGAAGACTGGCAACAAATGTCCATTCAAGGTATGCGTTTCTCCTCGTTCTCTTTCTTCATCTTCTACCAAAATCACCACTTCACATGCGTCATTGTCCATTTCTATAAACAAAATTGCGCGTGCGCCACAGGCACGCGACAACCTCAAAGAGATCGTCGTAACAAATAAAAAAGACCTTGACTGTACAATGAAGCACCAAGGCTGACAATGTCTCACANNGGTCCGAGTATGCTTGCGTCACAGTGGAAAGATGGAGATTGGAGTTGAGCCAATCATGGCCAAGAAGCAGCCACTTCTCTTCCCGACCACCTTGGATCTGGGCAAATCAGGTCAGGAGGTGGCTTCTCAGACTCCCATCTTCAAAGTCGTGCTGGATGTTCTGCCTACCCGAACCACGACCTTTACCCGTGACAAGACTCATTACCGGACAATGTACAACTACGCTAGGCAATGCGCTTCAATCCAATCGTATCAGGACGCCAAGGAAGTCATTCTGTTCAACCGCGACAATCAAGTCATGGATGGATCCATCACGACCCCTTACTTCTACCGCGACGGCAAATGGGTGACTCCGCATAAAGACTGTGGAGGCCAACAAGGAACTACTCGTCGCTGGGCCATCGACCAAGGTATCTGTCACGCCGGGATCATCGACATTGCTTCCATCAAGCACAACGAGATCATCTGGCTCAGCAACGGCGTCAAGGGTTTCTTCACTGCTCGCTTTGTCGCCTGCAGCGATCGCCTTGCTCGCACACCCAGCTATGAGTCCCGCATCTCCCAGGTTTCCCGCAGCGATAGCGGCATCGAGGAGAAGTCTATCCGTTCCCACCACGACGAGTCCGCAGAAGACGACATCGAGCTAGGGCGCCAAAAGTATGCCCCTGAACCTGGTGCCGACGATTTCAGAAACTCCGCCTTCAACCTTGACGTCTTTGAGCGCGTCTTGAAGCTGTAAATTTCTCCTTTTACACCTTTCCCTTCGATTCTTTTACTTGATATCCCCTGGCTGAATTAGCCTCTTTATTCGATACACCTTTTTAACCCTTTGGATTTGCTGGAGACACAAAATGGATGGCTTGCTCGCGTTGGAAGGTGGCTTTCTCGAACTCGCAATTGGCGTTTTTCATCATTGACCTGGAGCCAACTTTGAAGCATATGACAGGCGCGAGAACTCGACACTTTTACTAGATCTGCTACGAACGAAAAGACGATTCGTAGCTTGGAGAGAACTGTTTTCCTCCTTTTCTTATGTTTATTTTTCTGTTGCAAAGAAGCGATTATAGATATACCCTTTTTCAATTTTCTCACAACTTTGCTGTTTCTCTTCTCTTTTTCTTTTTGTTTCCATCATGACATCTTAGCCGTTGCCTTCCGAGTGAACCGTTGTTTCTCGATGTTGTTGAGGTGTGATGCATACGCGCGTGCCTTTCGTACATCCTTATCGTGATGGGATGCCGCATTAACCGGTCATGCCGGCTGATGTGCAGAATGATGTGCTGCAGGCTGCAGGTCAACATCACATGCACCACACCATCACTGCTGCAAGGCTGTTCTAGCGTTTGATTGTGAACAGGCTTCTTCTTCAATCACAAGACCGTTCCTATCTCGAAAGGATGATAGGAAAAGTGTTTGTCTACATAGCAAATCAGACAGCGGTATCACAACACGTCTAAAGAGAGAATGAAGAAAAGGTAATAGTATACAAAAAGGTCGTCAACCTATTTACAAAATATCTCATCATGACCTTCTTATACAATTCTACCGGCCACACTACCTTCCCTGACCATTCCCTTGGGAATATCTTCAAGATTATCAGGTTTTCTGAAAAAGGCCTCTAGTAACACGGCAACACTAGATCCAACATTCAAACTATCGACTCCAACATCGAGTTCAGGACGAGCAGGCTTGGCACCTCTGATACCTACATTAGCATCCGCTTTGGTAGCAAGATTGGCACGAAGACCTTCGCCTTCGGCACCGATCATAAGGATACTGGGACTCCTCGATAAAGGCGAGATCATGTTTGAAGTGACCAAATTGCCCTTTGCGGATTTGGCAGAGGTGGCGTCGGGGGCCACGGCGGCGTGGATGGCCCAACCGTGTTTCTTGCAGGTGGTGATGAAGTTTGCGGGTGTGGGGATGGAGAGGATGGTTAATGCTTCTGCGGCGCCGGAAGCCGCTTTTTGGACAATGGGCAGGTTGACGGGTGCGCAGGTGTTTGTGCAGATGGCGACTGCGTCGACGGCGTAAAAGTGTGCTGTGCGTAGAATGTTGCCGAGATTTCCTGGGTCTAAGATGCCGTCGAGGAGGAGGACTAGTGGTTTGCGCCATGTGTGAGTGTAGTGGAAGGGTATGCTCGAGGGGTTGCCGTTGACCTTTATTTCTTCGGCGCTTTGGTCGGCTAGATCGATGGGAATGGCGACGTCCGTGACACCCATCTTGCCTAGAGATTTCGTGGGTAGCGTTGGTAGGGTCGAGGCTTCGAGGATCAAGCCGTTGTGAGGGCGGCCTTGGGCCATTTTGTCCATTTTGGGAAGGAAGGAGTCATCGACATCGGTGTATTTCACACCGGCATTTTTACACAGGTTCTTGATAGTTCTGTGAGTTGCAGGATCGGCCCTGGCGCGGTCGTGGATGTAGAGGTTGTACATCTGGCGGCGCTTAGCTGTGAGAGCTGCAACGACGACGTTGAAGCCGTACAGGAACTCCGAGGCAGCTGTCGTGTATGGAATGGAGACATAGGTATNCCGCGTCGTCGCGAGATGATTGTAGTGATGATCGGCTGTCTCTGTCTCTTCTGTCCCTAGGCTCTTGAAACTCTTTGTACTTGTTCTTTCTGTCATCATTCTTTTCTCTATTGTTGTTGACAAGGGAAAAGAGCTGGTCGTCATCGAGTCGACTTTCTTCTTCCAATCGTCTTCTTTCTTTTGCTTCCCTGGCAGAGCTCTTCTGAACCACTTCGTCTCTCTCCTCGGCTTGGTTAGCTGATTTGGGAATGTCAGGCCNNAAGTTGTGAGATCTATATGACGAAGTTCCTGACCGCTGATAATGGCAGCGGCATTCTTGTAGACAAGGGCTTGCATGAGCGATGAACGCCTGTCCTTGTTCAGAACAGATATTTGTTCGAGGTCCCTTTCCCAATTGGCACCTTGTGTCGGAGAAGCTGGTGGTTGTATAGGGTAGGTGGAGGCTTTGACAGCACTCGAAGGATCGCTTTCTTCAAACCAACGCCTTCCGGGAATGAAGATGTTGTTTGACTTTGCATTCTTTATAGCATCGCCAACGTGCTGTATCACGCGTAGCCATTCCTGCCTTTGCCGTTCTAGAGTTGGTTCAACAGTAGCAAAATCTTGCTTGAAAGTTTTCTTCAACTGTTGTTTGACTTTTAGATGAGCTCCAGGCTGATTCTTGTCGAATTGGGGCAATGCAGAAGGGCGTATTGGCAGAGCCCTGATATACTTGTCTTCGGCTAGCTTGACAGCGGCCATGAGATTGTTCCAGTTCTCTCGAGTGAAGTGGTGTTTGTCGGTAAACGGGACGTTTAGAATGTCGTATTTTTGATTCTTGTTCATCTCGGTAGGATAAACCCCAGGACGCTTGTTGCTCTTGCGAATTACAAATGCCGCATCTCCATCACCAGACCCTGGAGCGACGCGTACATGAGGAAGATGGTTCGCGGGACTTCGTCTGAAGCCTTGATCATTGTTGTCGGAGTTCCTGGCATAGTCTCTGCTTCTCGGCGTGAGCCTGTCCCCATGGTTCTCGTAGTCGGTAGATCTATTGCGTCTGTAGTCATTCGATCTTGGGCGGTCGCTGTAGTCGTTCGACCTGGAGCGATCGTCGCGGTCCTGCCATGGGAAATNTTCCCCACGATCGTCTTTGAGTCTGTTCAGATCATCGAGGGCTTTGCGACGGTCTCTCCGGACGGATTGGTCGAGGGTACGATTGATGGCCGAGAGGGTCGACTTATGGCGGCATTGCAGATAGAGTCTGGGAGTACGCGCTTGCGCAAAGGCGGCGGCGAGCATTCAGTCGACAGAAGTTGGTGGCGGCCTTGAATAATGCAAGAAATAAATTCAAGTCCAGAAAATAAAATGCCCCAGAAAGCATCAAGGTCAAGGGTCCAAGCTCGGTGCAAGTCGCGTCCCTCGGTATTATTCCGTCGCGTCTTTCGTTCTCCGTTGCTGTTGCTCAGACTGTCGCAACTGCCTTTTTGTGATTGACTCGTTTCTAGGTCTGGCGACAGCGGGTTTGCTCTTTCCCATTAAGCAGCGCAGACACTTTCCCGCACACACAACACCTTTTCCACCACCTCTTCGACTGAACCCGCACTATACTCTGTCTGCGACGTGTATGCGGACAACTACTCATCTTGATCAACCATGTCCGATTCCGAAGATGAACTAAATGTCGACCTCTCACAATGGAAGCCTCGCACTGTCAACACCGCTCCTCAGCCACCTGCTCCGGCGCCCAGGACCTTTGCCTCGATTAACACCCCGGCCACTGATCCTGACACGACCAACCATTTCGAAGACGACGACCTGGATATCGACGCCATCGTTGAGGGAATCGTCGATGATGATGATGATGATGATGATGATGATGATGATGATGATGATGATGATGATGATGATGATGATGATGATGATGATGATGATGATGATGATGATGATGATGATGATGATGCTCTGCAACCAAGAGCCTCTACTCCACCACCCATCACAACCACATCAAGAAAGTCCAAGCAGACCGTCCAGGTTGTCATCATCCAAGACCCCACCTTCAATCGAGATGATTACACCGACTGTACATATGGTGCCAACATCGTGCGGCGTGTATTGAAAGAGATTGTAAAGAATGAAGATGTATACTACAATGTCGAGTTCGTCGATAGACACACGGAGCAGGTAAGCACTTGGTATTATCTATCGTTGCCTGCAGAGCTGCCTTCCCCTTCACACCACTGCGGCTCTGTTCGAAGCTTCACACAACGTCCATCCCATCACTCCACTTCCATGTTCACTCTCATCGACCTATATAGAGGTTCGCAGAGCTTGTCCTCTGCCCACCTTCTTCCACTTCACACCCTTCCCAAGTAGCTACCGCCTCTTCGTGTGTCGTAACAACCACGTTCCATAACTCTGCAGACTCATCAACATGCCTCCACTCCGTATCAAGCTAACTGCTCCGGCACGCAAGGTCTCCTTCAACGATCTATTACAGTACGAAAACGGCCAAGAAGCTCTACAAGAATACACAGAAAATGCTCAGGATGGTGACGACTATGCTGAAGAAGAAGACAGTGAGGTCGAGCAAGTAAAGCGACCAAGACCAAGTAAATCTGGCTACGTCGATACTGTCGAAGCCCTCAGATATCTTGAGGAAGAAGAAGACTTGCCCTCGCGTTCGAGAAACTCGCGGAAAGCAAAGAAGTATGACAGCGACTCCGAAGACGATGGCCCAGCTCCCCGTCGCTCTGGAAGAGTCGTTCCGCCGAACCCTGACTCCAGAAGAACCTCGAGACGACTCAAATCCATGTCTCAAGCCGACTCAGAAGACGAAGACGACGATGGTTTCATCCTACAGTCCGATGTCCTTCCCAGCAGAAAACGCAAGCGCTCTCTGAGATCTCACAGTGGCCCCATCAGCTACGCTGAAGGTGACGAGGACGAACTACAGTACGACAATTACAGACCTCGTACCTCGCGACCTTCAGGACAAGGCGTTCGTCAGTCTGGCCGTTCTACCCGTCATCAGGGCGACATGCAGGATCCAGGTGTTAACGACATCTATCGCTCCGAGTCAGAACCTCGACCTGTCGCCCCTCCCAAGCCTGTTGGAGCTCGTGAATCCTTCAAAGACTTGCCACGATCTGATCCATTCCGCGCTCGCCACATCCAACACTGCGACTCTTGTCAAAACGGCACTAACTTTGCTCCTCTGATATACTGTCAAGGGTGTGTCTACGCATATCACAAGAGCTGCATTGGTCACCGCGGATCGAGAGAGCACCTGGTCACCAAAGTCGGTAAGAACGAATTTGTTCTCCAGTGTCGTCGCTGTGTCGCATTTCCCATGAAGAAGGATCCTACAGCTCCTGATCACGGAAGATGTTCTGACTGTAAGCAGCACGGTTCTTCGTGTGTTCCTTTCAGAGAGCGCAAGACTCCTCAACAGGAGCAAAAGGATCGTGAAGAGAACAACGGCGAAGACCCTGTCTGCCCAGTGTCTCAAAAGCTCATCAACAACCCCGAAAATGTCATGTTCCGCTGCACCACCTGCTCCAGAGGCTTTCACTTTGAGCATTTGCCGCCCAAGTCAGATAGCCTGATGGATCTCGACAGCGATGATGTAGCAACCCAAAGACTTCAGGATTACAGCCAAGACTGGAGATGCAAGGAGTGTCTTGATTGTCCAGGCAAAGTTGGATCTCTTGTCGCTTGGAAGCCGATTGATGAAGACAATTACGACCCTACCTATGGTTATGACACGATTCCGGAAGATGAAAAGGCCTACCTTGTCCGCTGGGATGGGAAGTCATACTTCCAGGCTGCGTGGATGCCCGGCCCTTGGGTCTGGGGTGCCACAGCTGGAGCCATGCGAAAGGCGTTCGCCAGAAGAGATGAAGCACGTCAACCGAAGATGCGTACAGAGGATGCCATTCCTGAGGACTATCTTCGTATCGACATTGTGCTTGACGTCAAGTACACGAGTATTGTCAACATCTCAACCGAAGAGATTGACAAGGCACGCATTCGTGAGGTCGACACAGCTCTAGTCAAGTACAAGGGTCTTGGCTATGAAGATGTCGTCTGGGAGAAGCCTCCTACGCCCGACGACGCCGACCGCTGGACTGACTTTGTTGTTGCTTACAACGACTGGGTGCTCGGTAGATTTGTGAAACAACCCAAGCCACAGCAACTTAAGACAAGACTCGAAAAGGCAAGATCTCTCGACTTTGCTGCCAAGCTCGAGAAAAAGAAGCAGCCTAGCAACATCACTGGAGGAGAGCTCATGAAGTACCAGATGGAGGGTCTCAACTGGCTCTACTATAAGTGGTACACGCACAAGAACGCCATCTTGGCCGACGAGATGGGTCTTGGAAAAACCATCCAGATCATCTCTTTCCTTGCCACCCTCGTTCAGGATTGGAACTGTTTCCCTTTCTTGGTCGTAGTGCCCAACTCAACTTGTGCGAACTGGCGTCGTGAGGTCAAGCAATGGGCTCCAGATCTGAGAGTTGTCGCATACTTTGGAAGTAAGGAGGCTCGTGATCTCACTTACCGCTACGAACTCTTCGCTCGTGATAGTAGGGAGCTGAGGTGTCACATCGTGGTCACGTCGTATGACTGCGCTGCGGATGATAGCGCTCGCAAGTTCTTCAAATCTATCCCTTGGCAAGCACTTATCGTGGACGAAGGACAACGCCTGAAGAGCGACAAGTCACAACTCTACTCTGCACTGGCATCGTTGAGAGCTCCCTTCAAAGTCCTTCTTACTGGCACGCCTCTGCAAAACAGTGCACGTGAGCTGTTCAATCTCCTACAATTCCTCGACGACACATTTGATGCTAGTCAACTGGAAGAGAGGTTTCAAGAACTTGACCAAGCTAAGATTCAAGAGCTGCATGGCATTATACGCCCTTTCTTTTTGCGCCGTACCAAGGCCCAGGTCCTTACCTTCCTTCCACCTATGGCTCAGGTCATCGTGCCGGTCTCAATGTCAAATGTCCAGAAGAAGCTGTACAAGACGATTCTTGCCAAGAACCCTGATCTTATGCGAGCTATCTTTCAGGGAGCAAAGGAGCTTAGACCTACAGAACGCGCCAGTTTGAACAACATCCTCATGCAGCTGCGCAAATGTCTTTGCCACCCCTTCGTCTACAGTACCGAGATTGAGGAGAGAAATGTGTCACAAGCTGTCAGCCATCGTAACCTTGTCGACGCCAGTGGAAAGTTGCAGCTGCTCGAGACACTTCTACCCAAGCTTAAGGAGCGCGGTCATCGTGTTTTGATCTTCTCTCAGTTCCTTGACATGCTCACAATGGTGGAAGACTCCCTCGATGGTATGCAAATGAGATGCCAACGTCTTGATGGTACCATCAGCAGTTTGGAGAAGCAGAAGCGTATTGACGAGTTCAATGCGCCCGACTCTCCATTGTTCGCTTTCCTGCTCTCTACTCGTGCTGGAGGCGTGGGCATCAACCTGGCCACCGCAGACACAGTTATTATTCTGGATCCTGACTTCAACCCTCATCAAGATATTCAGGCTCTCAGTCGAGCCCATCGTATTGGTCAGAAGAAGAAGGTTCTCTGTTTCCAGATCGTCACTCGTGCCAGTGCTGAAGAAAAGATCATGTCTTACGGTAGACGCAAGATGGCCCTAGACCACGTCTTGATTGAGCAGATGGATGCGGAAGATGCTACAGACCGCGATCTTGAAGGTATTCTTCGCCACGGTACCAAGGAGTTGTTCGAGGACGACGGAGATAAAGACATCAAGTACGACTCAGCCTCAATCGACAGACTGCTCGAAGTTAGTCACATCGAGCACACGAAGGCTGGTGAAGACAAGTCTGCAGAGTCTACCTTCTCTTTCGCAAGAGTTTGGGCCAATAACGAGCTGGAAGAGACAGCGGTCGAAGGTCCAGAGGCAGCAGAAGTGGCTCCTGACCGTGACGTTTGGGACAAGATTCTCAAAGAGCGTGAGAGGATTGCAGCCGTCGAAGCTGCCGCTGCGGAACAGGCGTTCGGACGAGGCCGTCGAACCAAAGCAGTACTGTACCCCCTCTTAACTTTGATCAACTATATGCTGACTCATCACAGNACTATCGACTACGGCGATCCCACCAACCAAGATGGCCCCGATACCGTTGAAAGACCTAAAGACATCGATGAGGGCTCCCCTGTCCGTGTCTCAAAGCGAGCACAATTGGATGAAGAAAACGACACAGACTTCCAAGCTGATAGCGACGAGGAGAGCGTTGCAGCAGAAGAGGTTGAGGATGTTGTTGATCCGACGGAACTACAACTATCTGAGCAACCTAAGACAGCGTCGAAGCTGATCAGACCATCCGGTAAGGAATTTTCCTTGAAGAAAACCCCCACCAAACCACGCAAGAGTCCCAAGAAGACCAAAAGTGCGGTATCAACACCGAAGAAGAAAGCGGCCTCAACGCCCAAGAAAAAGAAGCGTGTCGCGACTGCCACACCCGGTTCTGTCTCCAGGAGAGCGCACACTCCCTTCACCCCCATAGTTTCGAATGGAAGAAAGGCCAGGGAAGCACAAATGAATGTTCAACAATATGGCGCAGCCGCAGCAGCAGCAGCGGGGTTCATTGATCTCACTGCAGACAGCGACGATGATGTGTCCATTGTCGACATTCAACCTCTCCGACCTCCATCTCAACAAGCAGAAGACGAAGCAGTGATTTGAATCCAGGCTAACCCGTGTACTATTATCCAGCCCCTCTAACATTTCGTCGCGTCGATGTACCAACATATCGCAACTACGATCCCGAATTCACGATCCCAGCCTCCAACGGCAATCCCTTACGCAAGCCTCAGATGGCGTCCTGCGTAGCATGCCAACATCTTCATCCGCTGGGCAGCTGCCCTCTAAAACGCGCCGGCGTCGAATACTGCGGTCTCTGTGGTCTCGCTCACTATGGCTTCTCTCGCATATGCCCACACATCAACTCAGAAACCCAGGTCAGAGAGATGATTCAAGCAGTCAAGCTATCATCGGAGCCAGGACACCTCAAGTCAGAGACTTTGAAGTATTTGACTGGCTTGAAGGGCACATTGGTACAAAAGAAGAAGAAAGAGGCAGAGAAGAGGGCTGCTGCGGCGAGTGGCAGTGCATATCCAAGTGCTGGTCCTTCCACGATGCCAGGACAGCAGCCGTTTCACATGATGTAAAAAAGAACATGAAGGGAACGGGAGGTAAATGACCTCTGCACATACCCATTAATGCAAATGATGTTCTATAGTTCGTTCTTTCCTTCGACCACTAACCCACTAATCTAACCATGATGGAAGACGTTTAAGAATCAAGTATGACCGAGTCCCTCGAATGAAGGGAAGACTCAGGGCAACCTTGACTTTCGGTGTCTTACAAGTGCCCTCGCCTTCTCTTCGCAGGAGAGCGGAGAAGACTGATATGGGTTAGAGAGCAGGACTCTTATGATATATTTCTCTGTGATGTTGAGCTGTACAGATACATTGTTCGTCGCCTTCTCATCTCCATTTCACCTTGAATGCTCAGTAAACTCCCAGCCATGCTAGCCATACGTGCTTGTAGCGAAAATGCGCAATGCCGATAAACACAACGCCGATCCATGCACCCTCCCATTTTGAAGCGAACAAGAACAATAGAAAAAGCAAAAAGAGTAAAAACTGTTCCACGCTAAGCAAGTTCATCTTCGGATCCATCGTCAGGTTCGGGCATTGCTTNTTTCATCAAGATTTCTCTTCGGCCGACGGTTCCTCTGAGGGNGGTACCGTAGCTTGTCATTGGCGTCCTAGGCAATGCGGCTGTCTTGGGCGTGATGGTGGATTTGCCCCTTCTAAGTGCCGTTGAGGGGGTAGATATGCTCTCTCTGAGAGATGTGGCTGGGGTAGGCAAGTTCATTCTGGCCACTTCACCTGGTCCAGGTGGGAGCAAAGAGTCCTTGGGCGCTTGGCGAGTGGAGCTTCTTGTGCTGCGTTGTCGGCCCTTATCTGATGATTCTTGAGATGAAGTCGGTGATGGCATGGGTGGCGGAGAAGAGAGCGGCGAGGACAGCGGTGAGGAAGACGGTGAGCGCATTTGTGTCTGTGGTGCTGCTACCAGTGGACTNNTTGGGGGCGGAGGCAGATTGGACAGGAAGTATGGGCCGTTGGTGAAGCTCGTCGTGTTCGGTGCATTGGCGTAGCGTTTTGCTGTTGCCGGGGTATCCATTGACGAGTCACTAACATCGCCATCGTTCTCTGTGTCCATTGCCATTGGTTCGGTGTGACGTGTGAGCGGTGTGTGTATCTCAGGAGGCGTGCTTGCTCGGGAAGGAGGATTGGCACTGTATGGAGGAGGCGGATGAGTTGGCAATGGCGAGCTACCTTCCGAAGCAGGCTCTGCACGAGATCTGGCCGAAGGAGGAGGCATCATTGTTACAGGTCCACCCGTATTACTCGACCTTACGGTAGTAGAGGTTGAATGCTGGTTTGCTTGGAGTGACGACACAAGACGAAGCTGGGATATAGCCATACTAGCGGCATTGAAGCCCTGGGATCTCATGTGCTGCTCAGCGCGTGAAAACAAGTTGACAGTACTGGTCGGTGTGCTCGACATACTGTCACGTAGCTGAGGTGCAGGATGATTGAATCTCGTATCGCTTCTGGAGGCATCTCGAGGTGGATCTGGTTTCTTTGGGGGCCGTTTTCGCTCTTTCTCTGGCTTTCCCAGTCTCAATACGCCGAATCCACTTGTAGGTCCGTAGAAGTTCAGATTGTGCTCCTCTGCGATGAAAGGTGCTGGACTGTCGGTACATAGAACGCCAAAGTTTCCAGCCGGATTCGAGCTGTCGAAGGTCCGATATTGCCCTTTCAGTCCGAGTGAGGGATCCTTTGCTCTTGCCTTTCTCTTCTTCGTGGATGTATCCGGTGGTGGTGCAGACGAGTCGCGCGAGTCTGTGTCATCCTCGTCGCCTATAGTGATAGGTATCTCACCACTATCTCCATGGCGGGCAATTTGCTTGTCCATAGCGCGACGCAAGAGCGGAGTTTGGAAAGGCGACATGCCAGGCGAAGTGGCTGTAGGGCCGGGAGTGGATAGTTCGTCATCGTCACCATCCATGATCTCGATGATTTCGCGCTTGATCATGACAGGCCTGGGCAGATCCTTCAAGACACGTGTGTAGCGGCCAGAGAGACCACCAGTTGTTCTGCCGGGCAGGCGCCTCGTGATTTCTTGCCAGGTCAAGCCATTGATCTCCTTGAGGCGCTTGATCAGTTCATCTTCTTCTCTGGAGTAGCGGTTTCGTGATGGAACGTCCGAGAAGGCAGCATCATCCGTCAAGGCAGGGTCAATGCCGAATGAGGTCTCGGTATGCTTAAGAAGCCTGCGACGCTTCTTGGGTCGTGAGCCGGTTGGTGCCCATAACGACTGGCCACCAGAAGGAGAGTCCCAGACAGAGGGAGCTCGATGAGGAGCTGGAGTGATTGCAGCGCGGCGGTTGTCAAAGAAGGAGGGTGGATTGAAGGCGTCCTGAGGCAGGGGTGGAGCGGACCAAATGCCTTGAAGCGGTTGTCTGTTGATCGAGGTGGCGTGCATGAGGAATTGAGCGATCTGGTTGGCAATACTTTGACCCAGCTGGTGGATGGCTTCGGGGTCGACTCTTCCATTGGCGTCTTGGTGAGGGACGAGCTGGTTCAACGAGTCTGCAATGGAGATGTGGGGCAAAGAGTGGCTGGTTTCGGTAGATGGAATGATGGATGTATCGTGGTATTGCTGCTCTTGGCTAATCCCGGCATCAGGCTCAGCGAGTCGAGGATCAAGAGCGAAATGCTCAGGTTCATGGCCCAGGTCGTCAGACTCGTCGCCCGACTGCTCGTCACCAGCCTCGACTGCCGCATCCTCATAATCGCCATCCTCGTCATCGCTGACGTCCTCCTCTTCTCGTCCAAAATAGTCCTCCTCTTGATTCTCCGCTTGTCGAGGCTCGTGCTGTAACTCGTCCTCGTCGTCGTCAGGATCTTGATGGGGTACGTCCTCTTCTCCGAGCTGCTGGGGAGGGTCATCGTCCTCATTGTCCCCTTCATCATCATTGTCGTCGTCGCCATCTTCGACTTCCAGCTCGTCGGCAAAGGCTCGCACGAAGCGGGATGAAGCGCTCTTGCCCGTGTCACGCTCGTGTTGCATGTAGGTCAGGTGGCCATTGTTGACGACGACCTCGCCGGTTTCCATGTCGATTTCATCGCCGACACCAGTGAAGTCTCTGGCATATTTCTCAAAGATGCGCTCAAAGGTGCCCTTGAGTTTCAGGTCAATGCGTTGTCGGCCGCGCTGGTATTCGTCTGGGTCGTAGGTATCGGCGTCATCTCTGGACGAGCTGCGGGCTCGGAGGTAGTCATCAAACGCCATGGCGCAGGCGATGTTTTGGTGGTGGTTGCTGGCATCTCACATGTCCAGACTTTGTCAGGCAGAAGGTCAAAGAAATCAAGGTAGACGCGCGCGTCCGAGTCGTGAATTGTGTCCCGCGGGGCGCTTGACGCAACTTCCCGTTCCGGCAACTTGGCCGACCGCTGGGTCGCGCCTTCTACGCTGCTTCCATCAAGTCACCCGGCCTGCGTCCTGTACCATCCAAGCACTTGCATAGTCCATTTGACAATCTCCAACACATGACTGCGTCCGTCGTTGCCTCATGAGTGTGAGACTTGCTCCTGCTTCTTGTGCATAGGCTGCCCCTCGCTCACACTTCCTCTCTATCAATCTAAATACCTTGATCATGTATTGTCAAAAATGCAGAACTCCCTTGAAACTCGACCCTTCTCTGGAGCATCTCAATCCTTCTTCTTTTAAGATCTTGGTCGGTGCGTACAATGATCCTTTGCAACATGTCTTATACATGACTGACCAATAAGACTCGACCCCATCTCTACCATCCCAAACTCCCCAACCACCCAAAACACTTGCTGCTCGCGAGCGAAGAGACATATACGACAAGGCCGCTCAAAATGCTGGTCCTGCTCAACAGAAGCGGTCCATACCGGCACCCCAGAAGACAACCGCTAACTTCAACCCTGCAATGTCCTATGTCATGTTAAGTGAATCTCAGCTTGGTCCTCTGTCGCCAGAAGAACAAAGTCCTTCGAAGAAAGCTCCCGAAAAGGACTCAAAATCCTCTGATCATGACTCGACCAGCCTCTCTGCTGAGATGGAGAGAAGCCTACGCCTATGGGAAATTCTTTCCTCTCGCTCAGACATCGACCATCCGATATGCTCAGAGTGTACCGATATGTTACTTGCAGGCCTTCAACAAAGGCAGACTACCGCGAATCGGGAACGCCAAGCATATGCCGAATTTCTCAAAAAGGCTAAAGAAAACGTTCCATCAGAGGAGGAACAACGTCAAGCTCGCGAAGCTCTGACTGCTGCCAAACAACAAGAACAGAAGGCTCTCCAAGAGTTGGAAGTCCTCGAAGCCGAGAAAGCTGCCATGGAGGAAGAGATCGCTGCTCTGAACCGCGAAGAAGCCGAATTGGAAGAAGAGGAAGCTGCTTTTTGGCGAGAACGCAACGAGTTCGACGATACCGTCACCAAGTTCAGAGAGCAGAACGATAGCCTCCTCAACCAACTGCAATTCGATACTAAACTGCTGGAGACCCTGCAACGGACCAACGTCTACAACGACTCTTTCTGCATTGATCATGATGGCCCTTTTGGCACTATCAATGGGCTGAGATTGGGGAAACTTGCAGATCACTCTGTCGAGTGGCCAGAGATTAACGCTGCTTGGGGACTCTGTGTCCTACTCCTGACCGTTGTTGCCGAGAAGCTGGGCTACACTTTCCATGGCTACAGGCCTCTTCCGATAGGCTCTACATCCAAGATTGAGAAGCTCGAGTATCCAGCAAACGACCAATCACGAACCGAGAAGCCGAAAGTCACTACGCTGGACTTATTCTGTAACAGTGATCTTCCTCTTGGGTTGGGTTTCCTGCATCGTGGATTCGACAATGCTATGGTTGCATTCCTAGAATGTCTCCGACAGCTAGGTGAGCATGTCGAGCAATCGCCGTCTTACGTCGGCGCGTCCGCTCTGAGTCGCAAACTTCCTTACAAGATCAGTAAGGACAAGGTCGGTGATAATAGTATCAAGCTTGGAACCTTCAATCAAGAGGAAGCTTGGACGAGGGCGTGCAAATACACATTGACGTGCTGCAAATTCTTGCTCGCACATGCAAGTCATGTTGACGATTTGAAGCAGGACAATCAGGCGACTCGATAGAGAAGAGAGATTGTTGGCTCACTTGATAGCTACTTTGCTCCATCAATATTCGAATGTCGAAGAAAATATTGCTCCAGCTTTCGCACGTATCATAGCCAGGGATCGTGGTAAATCGAGTGCACGAAGCAAGGGATGAGACGTACCCCTCGGACAGCGCCTCTTATGATGTACTTCTCCCACGTCCACCTGTTGTTCTGTTGAGTAGTCATGGCAGTCCTAATTTCACCAGGTCTCAGGGTTCAGCTCATAGCTGGCGTGTTGTTGACGACAATTCCGCTCTGGCTTCTGGCCTGGCACTTTCGAATACGCAATCCTCTTTTCGTCAGTCGTCACATACCGATACACAATGCCTGGACTGTAGATCGCGAAACATTCATTCACGAATGGACAGAAAACCAGATCGGCAACCCACCCAACCGCTCAGCTATCGCTCTCCTATGCCGCAAACCGGATATCAAATGGCGGCCGGAAGTTGTCATGGACCTAGACGATGCCAATGGTGGTATCGGCAATGTCCGAGGCAACATCTTTGACTTTCTCAGCTTGGCCATCTTGACCGGATCGTCAATTATGCTGCCCAGTTTCCAATCCAGGTCAGCCGAAGACTTGAGCGCTCTCTGGAATGGCAAGATACATTTCGACACTTTCTTCGATACGGATCACTTCGTTGCCACGTTTGCAGCAGCATGTCCCAAGATGGACGTTTACATGCCATCGAAGGACCATTCTCTGGTTCCTCCGCTACAAAACCGCTATCAGATGCCCAGCATGCGACAAGATTTGCTAGAGGCTGGTACTCCAAGTGAAACTCCAAGCACCCCAGAAGAAGCAGTGAAAAACTTCAATCACTGGTTATCTGTGCAGCCAGACTACGACCCGAAAAAGACAACTCTTGTCAACGTTGGCCGCACCCTTTGGGAAGGACTCGACACGCGCTCTCTACCCGCAGCCGTACGCAGAGACTTTGGCGGCTCCCTCCGCCTTATACCAGAAGTACGCAGACTAGCAGCCATAGTAACCTACAACCTCGCTCTCAAATACCATCTCCACAACATCGACGCTCGGCTTCCATACTACACCTCTGCCTTCCTAGGCGCACACCTACGCACCGAAAGCGACGCCAAAGCCGCCGGCTGGCTGAACGACGAAACCGCAGCCGCACACGCAAACTACACCGGTCAAACCAATGCCTACCTCTCCCAAGCCGTCGAACGCAATCTCCCAATCATCTACGTGGCCAGCGGCAACGCCACCGAAATCTCTCGCTTCGCAGAAAAAGCATGGCACCTTCACTCCTTCAACGTCACTTCCAAGGCTTCTCTGCTCTCTGACCCTGACCTTGAAGCCCTTCAACAACTTACCTGGGATCAACAGGGCTTGGTGGACTACGAAGTCCTGAGACGCAGTTCGAGTCTGGCGGGCTTTGCGAGGAGTAGTTTTGCTTTTAATATTGCGATTACGAGGAATGAGTTTGTGGATGTGAATCGAGAGAGCTTGAGACTGAGACCGCAGGATTTGAGGAGGGAGGATGTGGCGTTTGATGATGGGTTTAGTAAGATTTGGGGACGGTTTCCGTGGCAGGAGGATAGGATGTTGAGGGGTGCTTGGCCTTGAGTGTTTGTGTTGTCTTGCTTTTGTGGGTTCAGTATGGAGGGGAGAGGATGGAAACGAGAAGAAGTAGTAACAACATTCATCCAATATGCTCAGGAGCTTTCAGTTTTTTTACAATGAAGAAAAGTATCGTACAAGTGTGTGGCTGTCAAGACAGGCTCTTTTTTCTATGCCTTTCCTTGTCTCATCTCTTTCTTGCCCTGCTTACCCTTGGCCATGGGCCTCTTGGCCTCTGCCATGACGGGAGCCTCCACTCTAGACAAGTCGATATTCCTAGCCTCTTCAATCTCCTTGATTCCATCGATCAAACCTGCCGGACTTTCCTTCTTTGTCTGCTCGGCCACAAGTCTGGCCTCCCTCCTCGCTTCCAACTCCTTCTTTCTCTCTTCAGTCAACAGCCACTCCTCAGGGAACTGGAATCGCTTCTTTGGCTTTGCGTGTCTGAAATCCACAGGCACGTCTTTGAGCCACTCGTTCTCTGGCGACTTTGCCTTTGCGATCAGCTCTTTGATGGTGTCGCCCAGGTAGCGCTTGTTCTGTGCTTGGGTCTCGTGATCTTCGCAGCTCATCTTTACGAGGTTGGAGACGGGGTTGTAGCGAACGCCGGCTAGCTTGATCAGGTTCTGGGTGTGGGTGGGGTTGAGAGAGAGGTCCTTTGGGTCGAATTCGACGACGACTTTTCGTTGGGCGGGGTGTTGTTCGCCCATGTAGGTTGTGTAGCGGAAGCGGAGGGGTGTGGCGGCTGTGGGTGGTGTGTAGGGTTTTGTGAGGTNCTGTGGAGGTTGTCATTAGTATGCAATAACCATGGTCGAGAAAGAGGAGGTCCACGTACTCGCCAGCAAAGGCATCTCCCAACCGGCCAGACGCGCATACTCTCTAATCTCCCTCGTCTGCTCCAACTCTGCATGACCCAAACTCGAAATATCGTCGCCGTGGAAATCATCATCATCAGGACCAATATCCTCCTTCTCTCCCATCTGGAAGAAACCCTGGTTTCTAGGTGCCCTCTCTGCCGGAGGAGCAGGGAAAGTCATTTCCAATTGCTCCAACTCGGCAGCAATGTGATCTTCCAGTTCGCGATGGGTGCGACTGTCATTTGCGAATTCATCGCGCAGAGCGGCCTCTACTTTCTCCATCTTCTCGCGGTCGGCAGGGGATAAAGTGTTGTATGCGGCTTGGTCATCACGATCGAGGCGTTTGTAAAAGGCCTGGTTGAAGTAGCCGGGCGAGGAAGCATCTTTCTTGTCGGCATCGGCGAGGGTGCGGCGAGTGCTGCTGAATGGTCGTGTGACGGGGTGGATGTGCGAGTATTGGTGGCTGCTGCGCAATTGGCGCGCTGCTGTGCGGCATGCGCTCTTTGCTGCTGAGGCCATGGCGAGAGGGTGGAGTGGCTATAAATCTGCTGCTCTGGTCCGCTGTTCCTTGGTATGCACGTAGAAAGTTGAAACATGGGCCGGGGAAACTTCGGGCAACTCCAACTCTGCGGGCTCTTTCCCGAACATCGCCGCTTGCTTGTCCACCTCTCTGCTTGGACTCAGCACTATCTACTATGGAATCGAGAGACAAGTCACAGCTGGAGAGCCTCAAGTCGACTTATATTGAGTAAATCATCGTGTTGTTTCATCGACTTCGTTTAATTGTTCATGTGTTATGGAAGAACCATGAGTGTCCTCAGGATCAACATATTGCTGCACAGTGTGCAGAGGACCAGGTTAAAGGTCACAGATGCTGACACACATGCAAACGAAACACGCGATCCATCATACTTCCGGAGACCAGGACATCATTAACCGCGAATGGCATTCTTGCTACGGGCCTCGTCAAGAAAGGATCTGGTGTGATCTGGGGATAATGGCTCCCGACTCGATACTGGAAACCGAGGAAGAACGAAGCTGGACTTGAGGAGATGAATCCATAGGTTGGGCTGGCGAACTCGGCAGCCGGTACTCAGAGGCGCCATTTAGAGGAAAAGCTCTCGATGAGTTCATTGACCGCGGCGGACCAAGAGTCCAGAGCAAACGACAATTACATCAGATGATGCCAGCGCAGGCAGAGCAAGTACGCACTGAGGATGCTGTGCAGCCCGGTCAGAAGAGGTGCTTCACCTTGAGCTCCTGTCGATAGACAACAGAAACTTTACTGGCTCAGCAAGGTGGTGTTATGTTGATGCGAATTGCCATTGTTTTCATCGAACTGGTGGGCTGGCGCAGTGGTAGTAGCTCGTGTCTCCCACACATGCGTTCGGTGCCCACCGGTTCGATTCTCTGGATTGCCATTTAATTCGCACTTATTCAGCTATGAGGGGTCCCAGTAATCCTCGCCCGACAACAATAATGACGAAAGCTTGCTTTCTCTTCCCTCCCTAGCAACACGGCGGCTAGGGGGTTTCTGTTTTGTCAAAATTTGTGATGTGTATGTTTGCTATCTGTTCTGATGTTGTGATCACACGAGTTTTGGCAGTGTTGCGCAATGAATTGTGCGCAAATAAAGATATTTGCAACTTTCTGAGCATCACCGGAAGGCTGAGCCACGACTGTCATGCCACACTAGCGCCAGATCTACTATCTGAAGATGTACGATTGTGGCGAGACACTGTCCTAGCTCACCCATCTTACATAGCAAAGACACAAGTCTGTAAGCCGAAATTGGGTTGTCTCATTTGAGCTGTCTATAAACTCGAAACTCGAGACTCAAGACTCGAGCGCGTCTCCTTTGTTGACAATGAGCCGTTATGCCATTCAGATATATATACAAGGGCAGACAGATATTAATTTTCCGCATATCAAAACTCACCTGTCCTCCAACAGCCTCACAGCAAAAACGCAAATCCACCAACCTTCGCTCCAAAGCAAACCAACAGTCTTCAACTAGACTTGATTTCCGACGCATCAACATCTCTTCGCAATGTCCCCAACCCTCAGAGACCTGATCACTTCAGGCAAGATTGGTGGCAGATGCCTTCGTCAAATCGACCATTGCTACCAAAAGATCGACGACCGCGATTTCGAGGTAGCTCGCAAGATTTTGGGATCGGCCGTATTCCAGAGTATCCATGGCGACCAGGATCACGATTACGACGTCGACCTCTCGACGCTTGCGAGATGCAGTTTTTGCAGCTCCTGTCAAAGGACCCGCCTACAACAGGTCAAAGACTACCACCAAGAATTGATAAAATGCTTCAACGATGAACTTACAGCTTCTGCTGAATCTAGACGTGATTCAGGATATGACTCCGCTTCCGAAAGGGACCCCGAACATATCAGCGCGGAGTCTCAACAGACAGAGTCACAAAAACGCAAAGAACGACGCACCTGTCACCCTAATCAGCTTGAAGAGTATGCAAAGAAGATCAAAGATATGGAGCGTGAGACCGATGGCTTCCAGAGAGAAATCACAGATCTCAAACAGGAGCTTGAAAATGGACGCAAACACTACCAGCAGCTTGAGCACCAACACGCGCAGATGGTTGACTACGCCAACACAGAGTACGGCAAGGCAATTGCTGAAGGAAATGCAAAGTCTGCCGAGCTCGAGGAAGAACGCAGACAACACGAACAACTCAAGCACCAACACACCCAAACAATCAAACATGGAGAAGCAAAGTATGCCGAGATGTTCAACGAAGCACAGGCAAAGTTTGCCGAGCTCATGCAGAAGATCACCGGATTGGAGTCTCGAAACTTGTGGATACAGGAGCAGATGCATAATCAACACACGATTGACCAAAACGACTTAATGAAGATGGCTGCCACAATCAAAGAGCTCAATGCTGGGCTTATGTACTGCCGTGGAGAACAGTATAAGCTTTGGCTCACACCGACTTCTCAGCATGTGGTCAACACGCTTGAGCCGATGTAGATGGACTGTTATTTTCCGGGATCAGCTAGATTTGTTGGAGACCTGATGAGATCTGCAAATGACCGTATCGCGCCCGATCTGAGCTGGTCTCGAACATTCATGCACTTAGCATCAAGTCAATATGCTAGGGAGAAAAAGTGATTGTGATCAGCTGGGTGCGCCTTTCATACGCCTGTATTGTTTGTCTGCGGGTAACTATTTGCCACTGGCGTTTCTCCCTTTCCATGATAATACAATTCCTATGCTTGCGTTCGTACATGCCCCTGTTTGCACAAACGAGAGCTTGATTTTCGATGTGAGGTACAGGAGAATATCAAAGTTCGTTCCTCGACACCTCAAATGTATACAAGCAGAGGAGAAGTTACGATCCCAGTCTTCTTTCCTTCTCTAGCCAAAGAATGAGTTTGCGAAATTCCATCCGCCTTTCCTCCATCAATCTTGGTAGATACTCCTACGAGAACATGTTTCGACTACCGTGGATCAATTGTAACACAGAGAGCAACCATCTCAGCCTTGTGATGTTGTCTTCATGGCTATGGCTCTACACGTAGACACTCAATATCGGCCTTCATATCATGAGGAAAGTTGCTGTGCGACACTGCAGATCTAGAGAAAAGCACTTCCCTGTAAGCATTGCTAGAGATGTTCGCTTGAAAATACTTCTTCGTATCCCATATCACAGAGTCGATGATTGAGACTTCTTATAAGACATGTTTCGAAGGCACAAAGGATTGTGATCACAAATTCTCATTATCGGCAAAGACGCCGGATCCGTACTGTAATCTCATCTGATTCGTCTGGAACGTCTCATACATTCAAGAGTTGGCCCTGTATCTGTCACTAAACAGAGCACTATCTCGTTCGATCCAACTGCAGATACTCTGTTAGGCTTAGCTGTTTGTTCACTTTCATTATTCTAAATCATTGATCTCATCGCATTCATAAGATATCGGAATCTTAGTAGGGGAGTTATCTTGGAGATGCGCGGAGTTTAGTAGTACTCATACAGCAACATCTCGAGGTTGATGGTTTTGTTTCATCCTAGACTTTGGAATCTTCCAGGGGCAGACTACCAACTCGAACTATAAAGACTCAAGCAAGCCAGACTCATTGAACAAAGCTCTATTCGACCAGCTGTCGCAATAACTTTGTTGGCCGCATATGTCCGAGGATCATGTGTACTCGTTATGATTGAGACAGAAAAAGGGTTCATTAGAGTCATGTCTTAGGTAATCTAAATATGCTCATGTTGAGTCACAACTATATATATTCGCGTTCTCGCAGACAGTCCAACATCCTGTGAATTATCCCATCCTATTGAGCCTGAAGCATTCCATCGATACTGGATATCTTATCAAAAGCATCAACCACATACTTTTCGACGACTTCCAAATGGCCGCACCCAACTCGGATCCTGATTACTTCTACTACATGAACTACCCGAAACCTGTCTGGACCACTGATACACCTGTTGAGATCCCTCTGTATCATATTCCAACACTTGCGGATATTCTTGGCACCTGCATCATCCATCGCTGCATCGGCAAAAAGGGAACAGGAATACTGGCCGACCAGTGCAAAGTTACACTCTCAAACAATATACGAACAACCATGAGTACATTCCCGAAGACTGACTCATATGGCAGCGATGCTTGGACAGACACGAAGTATCTCTTCAAACTGGCCAGATTGTGTCTATGTGAGGACTGCTGCCAAACACAGTTGTCAGATGTGGTGGTCGCGTGGTTGAATGAGATTCTAGATGCAGCTAGGGACGAAGACGAGAGAGCAGATTCTGTCGTTGATGCCGAGGAGACGAAGTCGTTGCTTGCAGGTCTAGCTCCTGTCAAGAGTCTGGTCGCAGCTTCCGTTGCTACACGCAACCTGTTCAGCAAGGTCTGTGGGTTTTGGTCGTGAACTCAGAACAGAAGACTTATCGATTGGGTACGAAGACATATTGATAGTTCCGCGGAATTCAGGGACGATGAGCCAAATGGAATGTGTATAAAACTCTGTATCCTATGGTTCGAATTATATCGGGATCTCACCTCTAAAAGTGAAGCAAAACATTCGTTCAGGCGTGATCAACTGTCGCTAATGGAAACTGTAATCGGCCGTCACTCATGAAAATCCTCCCTCAGGGGCGCTCAGCCTGGGCTCGAACTCAAGACTGTTATAATAAGGGTGAATTTATTGGCGAACCGCATCACCACTATACCACCTAACCAGGAGCGACCTGTTGTAGTGTGGGTTTGGCTCCGAGCCAGTGGGACGTTCGGGAAGGAGGCTAGCTGGCTGACATATGTGCTCCGAGATAGTCATTCGCATGTGATAGACATTGTGAATCTCGTTCGTCTCTCGCGTACATGAAATTTCCTGAGACTTGATCATGCCTCTCCATGGAATCACAAAGTGTGTCGCGCCCCTAGGCCACAGTGTCGCCATCATGTATACTCATGTCGCAGCTCATCGGGCGCGTGTTGTAGTTGTCTCAAGTGAAGAGATGTAGAGCCCAAGACGGTTTCTGATGCTTAACCATCGTTTTGTTCCACTTTGCGTCACAAGCTTCTGTAGCTCACAATTACAAGCATTAAGACAAGGAACATGCTGTCTTCATCATCCACAATGAAACCTTTTTCCTAAACGTCATGTTCCAGTGTCTCATCGCAACTGAAGCTGAAGCAGCTCTAACACAACCATGAGGTTCCCATGGAGGCCGAATCTGTGATATATCTCAGATGAATATGGAGAGATGCTACGGCTGAACAATAAGATATGGCCTCTTGCCCGCTAGAGTTTGGATATCTCGCTCTCCATTCTCACAACAGCATACTCTTATCGAATACCAGCTTCCAAGTCATCTCTTACCCTTACCTCAACATGGCATATTCACTGGTACGCATTCACAAAATGTTCACACCAGAAAGCCCAACGTCCTGCATCGGATATAATGACGATGGGACCAGATGCAACAACTCCTTATCGAAGGGGGATCTCCGAATGGCAAAGTGTCTTTTCGGTGCCATCAAATCTGGAGCAGACATGGCGTACATCGACCAGCAGATCATGAGTCTTGCTTCCCTATGCTTGTGCAAAAGATATCACCAGTGGCAGAAAGTCGAAATTGCCAATATATGGAGAATGGAGGACACCATCTGGAGATTGGTCGAGGAACCCAAGACTGGAGCACCAAATTCCCTCAAGACTCCTCTCCGGACTCGAGCATACGAACCTACTGCAGGTGATAGAGTCTTGACTGAGGCGGAGACTGAGTTGGCTCGGCTTCGTCAGGAGTTAGAGGACATGATCGAGAGTTCTAGGCGATCTGTTTCCTTGCATTGGAACACAACCTTACTCGAAATGAGGTAGCGGGGCAAGCAGTGCACACTGCCCCAAGGGCAGACTACGATGCACGTCTACCAAACGTTATGCGGCGCTACCCAGAGGTTGCAATATGGAACGGGGGTTATTAATGCTGGGCAGAACGCTGAGTCATCCAAGAGCAGGCTCTTGGATGTTGAAGACGTTTTGTCGAAGTCTGATCGGACAGTATGGAAGGAGTGGTTGTTGACAGTGGTATACCGGTATTTAGAAAACACAAACTCAAAACGCCCAAGTATAGGTTACGGATGAGCGCCGAGGAACGACGGCAGCAAGGTCGATGAGCAGTAACAAAGTAGTTACATAAGAAGTCGTCGTTGTGAATTCATTACAGTGCCAAGAACTTATTCTCATCTCGCAGTGTACAAGACCACAATCCCGATTGGAATTTGATCGTGTCCCTTTATGAATATATCGTGTCTGCTATGTTACCAGACATGACATTCGAGCCAACTCCACTAACATCACTTCATTTGTAAAAGCAATCGTGCATGCATGTCTCGGACCGAAGCTTTGGGGGTCTCAGATAATTTTCAACATCTCAAACATGACTTTGGTTTGTACTGTACAAGCTGTCACCTAGCTCCGACGGCATGTCTGATTGACTGCATGAATCAGACATACTAGCGTCATTATACAAAGGATATGTCCCCATATCTCAGGACAAAGATCTGCCTTACAATTTCCCTAATCGTGTCTTGAAGATCGTCGATGAATTCAAGAGTGCTGCACAAAGACGACTGGTCTAGCGTCTTGTCACAACTGGAATTAGAGACACAGCAGCGAGTTTGAGCTTACGATTTAGGCACAAGGTTGATGGTCTCACTCTCAGACTGGTGTACAGAGATGTCGATGGGAAAGGATATATGCAGCGTCGCGTCCAGCTGGGAACAAAGTATCTGGCTCTCCTATCCACAGCATCATACCGTTCACACATCCTTGTCCTCAACCAGCTATTGCTTCCATTCAACCATGTCTTATGCTTTAGTATCTCTTGAGGAAACTCTTTCGCATGAGCTTCCAAGATCTTGTATCGGATTTACGCAAGGTCCAAATGGATGTCGCAACAGCATGTCGGCAGAGAACGTCCGTGTGGCTACTGAGATCTGCGACGCCATGGTTGCCATCATATCTGGAGCAGAGGCGGTCTATCTACAGCGAAAAATACAAGATCTTGCTGCTCTGTGTTTGTGCCAGAATCCTCACCAAAAGCAGAAGGACATTGTGGTCAGCACTTGGACCAAAGAAGCCCAAAGACATGGCTTGTTCGAAAACAAGCTCCGCATATCATGTTCTGGCAATGCCTCCTCCCCGGCTGCGACACCTAATGTGATGGCTCAAGCAAAGCAAATCATCGCGCACCTGGAGGTTGAACGAGACAGCTGTTGTCAGCAACTGGGAGTCGTGTCCCGAAAATACGAGGCGGCTATTTCTGCTAGATACCAGGCACAGTCAATTGCTGAACAGACAGTGGCATCGGATCTTCTGCAACAAAGACATAGCCAGCTGCAGGCGGACAACACAACACTCCAGACCTATCTCTGCGCAGCCAATTCGAAAGTCTCTCAACTCGAGCTCCAGATCAATGCCTTGAAGCGAAGATCAGAAGCCCCAGAACAGAGCAATACTTCCCTGCGATCCGAATCTGTCTCAGGAAAAGACTTGATAGCCTCTCTGCAACGAGAGGTTGACACTCAACACAAAAAGCAGATCCAGCTTTTTGATGAGCTGCGACTATCACGCGAGACGAACAGAAGACTGCAGGACGGTATTTCGATCCTCGAGATCGACCTTACAGAACGCGACGCCAGTATCAAGAGGTCGGATCTGAGGACTGACGGTCTCAAGAAAAAGCTCGCGGTATCAGATTCGAACGTCGATACCTTAAACAGTCAACTGTCGTCATTGGAGACAGCCAATACGAGTCTTGAGAAGAAGCTGAACAAGGCCAAGAAAGTCAATTGGCGACCCGAGAGACACAACGCGACTTTGGATAGTGTCGATAGAAACAGCAGCGAGGTTTTGAGATCGAAACAACAAATCTCTGATCTTGAGAAGAAGGTCAGGTCTCTGGAAGATCAGATTTCGCAGCCCCGGATCCAGGGATGTACCGAGCAGGACGAGAAGAGCCATCACGAGGAGCGTGTTGTATCAGGTCCATGGTGTGTGATTATGTAATAGTCTTGAGCAAGAGAGGATGACCCTGAACGAGATTGAACATCGATTGTTTCGTGGTAGCTCTTCTCGTATTCATGTGCTTGTTCTAGGACGTACAGCTGTGCGAATATACGAAGGATGATGTTGTTGTAATATAGTATCCACCAAGAGATTTTTGGTACAAAGAGCCACTGGATCTCTTGCACTTGCCTGGCCCTCTGCATTATTGTGGGTAAATTAGTAATGAAGAAAGCGGCGAATACTTTAAACGTAGAGCCCCAATCATAGGCTAGTGCACAAGACCGCTTTGTGCCATCTTCTGGACATACTTTGCATACTTGCTTGCACTGTTTCTTCTGAGCTCCTTGCCCCACTTAACCATGACAAAGAAGGTCAGACACTGTGCAAGGCCTGCGAAAGCGGCAAGGATAAAGGCGTTCTGCAGACCCATGCCGTCAATCCAGGGAGTGATGCCATAGCCGATAGCAAAACTCATCGTGTTGCGAACCAGTATGACAGTGACAATTGCTTCTCCTCCAAGATCTTTGTACGAGTCGACAGCATACGAGATACTCAGCTGGATGCCGATGGTATTGGTCAAAGCAATAACGCCCATTGCAAAGACACAACCAAACCACATTATGTGCTGTGCCGCACCAACACCCCAAAGTATCAAGCCACCGGGGATAAGAAGCAAGGACGGCAGGAACAGCCAGAGTCTGTGCTCACTCTCGAGGATACCTCCGTTACGTCGTGCCATTGCAAGAACAATCTTGTCGCCGATCACTCCGGTGTAAAACGATCCAATGGCCACACCGATGAGTGGAGATATATACGAAAGACCGACCATACTGGGCGAGAAGTTGTAGGGAGTGTTTCCAAGAATTGACGAAGCGGTTCCATTGAGTACGTTGAACCAGATTAGATTGCTCCCGTAAGAGAATCCAGCATAGAATATGACAGGGAAGGTAAGGAAAATGAGGGGTCGGGCTACCATACCAGCAATATGATTTTCTTTCTTCAAGTCAGAAGCTTGCCACAACTTGATCTTGTCCAGGTATGTCTTCTGCTTGAAATCTTCGTTGGGTACAGGTGATCCATCTTCCGAGACTGAATTACGGTCATGCGGGCGAGCCATCTTCTCGTTTGCCTTGGATGCCATAGATGTTTTATCCGGCTGGGCGCCAACAACAGGCGTCACTCCCGTGATGGAATGCCTAGAGTAGTTCGTCTCCTCCAAGAAAAAGAAAAGAAAGACGAATCCTGCTCCACAGAAAATAGCGCACCAGTAGAGCACCCATCGCCAGCTTTGACCGTCCGCTATGAAGCCAGCAAGCACTGGTGCGAGGAAGTTGGAGCCTGCGAGAAGAAGTGCGTAGAGACCAAGGTATTTTCCTCTTTCATGCTGAAACCAAACATCTGTGACTGATATCTCGCACAGACTCTCTATCGGTGCTCCGAAGAAGCCTTGGAGGATCTTATTGGCGATCCATTGACCATTGCTCCTGGTATAGGGCGCCCAGAGTTGTATTCCCATAGTTGCGAGAATGCTGAACAGATACACCGGTCGCTTGCCGTATTGTAAGGCAAGTGGTTGCCATACGACGCAGCCCCAACCGAAGAAGAGAAACATATCTTCCCTACCAGTCAGTCCTCGCTACACGAGTCGCATATGGATTGGGACGCTTACACCNNCAGTGCCATTGTTCAATTCGTTCAGCGTCAGATTGGTCTCCTCAGCAATAGGTTCCAAAATTGAGTAGATTGCCGCACTCGCGATTCCCACCATCAGCGTGTAGACGCCCATGCAGACCATTGATAGTGTTTTCCTCCGAGGCGACCAGTTCAATGGATCATCAGGGTCTTGTGAGGGAGTCGGAACCAGCACGATATCTCTTTGTCCACCTCGAGCATGCTGCGCGTGCATGGTGCCATCAAGATCGACCAGATGGACAGTACCTGGTATATGAGGCTCTCCGGCGATAGCATCGCGGGCCATGGTAACGTTATTTCAAAGGTATGATTCTAAACCGACGATATTCGTATGCTACCAAAACAGCGGAGAGAGCTAGAAGTCACTGTCGGGATTTCGTGATTGCTTCACAAAAGACGCAAAAATGTTGGACGTAGTAGCGGCCCATCATAAATCCAAGGTCGGTAGATGCAGAAGATAGGGCAATCTTTCTCGTACCAAAGCGGTCACCCGAGATAGGCACAACACAGTCAAACAGCGGCCGACAGTTTGAAATGGTTGAGGACCAATCAAGCAGTATAGCTTGGATGGTTGCTAGAAGATCTGCGTCTGATAAGCATCAGTCAGAGATAGCCACCTCGAGCTACTGTATAACGATTTCCCGACTCTTGAACATCTCGAAGTTTGCATGCCATCTATCTGGTCGTAGTCACAGATTTACAGGTTCTGAGGAGTTTTCGGCATCAGCCTTTGGTTGTCATCTTCCATAACTGGTGTTCACTTCGTTCTGCAAGTGAGATAATAATACAAAAGAGCTCAAACGACCTCAATAGATAAGTCTTGGCACAAGTCACATGACTTATTGTTGCATCGCGTTAACGCGTCGGGCACCTTCCTGAGGCAGACGTGCCACCAAAAAGTTACCTTCACCGACGCATAAGTGTTCGCACTTTCATCGGCCGAACCGTTCACTTTTCCTTGTTGACTATCAGATACACAAATCAGCATCCGTCATTCATGACTCCTACGCTATCGAACATGTCATGAAAACGGTAATCCGCTGGTTTTGAAAATTATTACTGGCTCCTCATACACCTTTCCGAAAATGGACCAACGCCTGCACCATCAAGCAAAAGCTGTCGCATTTGAACTCCTGGAACACCTGACAACAAAGCCGACAGCTTTTCTTGTTGCTGTGTTATGGCACGATATTCCTATGCCAGTGGTCGACGCAAGTCGTGAGTATTTCATGTTCGTGAAATGCACTGGCAAGACTAGCGTGGGCAAAATCAGAGAGTCGTACCTCTGTAGAGAAGAGGCNCCCTCCGACGTATTGCTACATATGGGATCCAACATCCCATAAGACACCGCCAAAGTTTCCGAGTTGGATCACTTTGGTGAAAAAGTGATTGTCTTCCACGCGCTCGGCGTCGATCCAGCCAACACGACGAACAGTACGAGTACAATGAATAACACGTCGAATGACGCGGCTTTTGCGACTTCTGCCAACCCTCCGGTGCCTTCCAGGCCCCAATTCGCCCCTGTACCCGAAGAGAATGGAGCTTCGGGTATTCTNACCTTCAGAAGCATCAGCATCAGCATCAGTAAGACAGCCAAGCGTGTCATCAAGATCGAGTGTCAACCAATCTAGACTATCTTCTGCTTCATCAGCAGCGAGGGCTCCTTCGTCGTCCAGTGTGCCTAGATATACTCCAGGTGCCTCGTCTCCACTCACGAAACCTGCGCCAGCACCTTCAACACCAGCCTCGGCNNCATCCCTCGGGTTAACATGGGTGTTCCCAATGCGCAGCAGCACAGTGCTGCTTACAGTACTCCAACTCGTTATGCTCAATCCTCGGGCCCTCCATTTGTCAAGAACGAACCTATCCCGGCCCCACCTTATGGTCACGCCCCATATACTCCGGCGCCTCATGTACAGGGTCCGCAGCCTTTCCAGGCATCGCCGAGCCTGCAGAATCCGTACTATGAAACATCCCATATCCCAGGTCAATATGGCCAACCAGTCGGCAATGGTCACGGCCCGCCTACTACTCAGGCGGACAACACACATCCCGTAAGTTTGACTTTCACTTAGAATTCTTCGCCGTGTTGTGAACAGGTTCTCTTTCTGCGTGTAACTTCACAAAGACGTAGTCTCTCAATGTATCACTCGCGTCGCCTGCAGCTTCACATCTCTTGAAGGCATAGGACAGTTGGCTCATTGTCTCGTACACATCGAGCAGATTTCACCTCATACCTTATATCTCCTAGCCTCAGACCTTAATCAAATCAGGAAGCTTACTTAGCGTTTAGGAGATCAAACCTGAAGTCCCTTTGCCAGCACCTTTGCCTTTGCAGCCCACCGAAGATTACGAGATGGGTAACACAGGCAGCGCCCGTTCGGGTGAAGATGGCAATGACGACTCTTCTCAGTATGCGCAGACAATCATCACCCTGCAAGCTCTGGCCAAGGAAGATTCAGCCGAGAAACTGGAGGCCGGTGTCAAGTTTGGCGTGAAGATGCTCGATCAACTGGTTGAAGCATTTGAGCCTGGCAAGGAGACTGAAGACATCAAGTAATGGTTGCAGCAGATCGAGTTGGTCAGACAAGAGGCCACAGGCGCTCGCACCGTCGTCGGTGTTGTTGGCAACACTGGAGCTGGAAAGTCTTCGGTCATCAATGCCATCTTGGATGAGGAGCGTCTGGTCCACACCAATTGCATGCGAGCGTGCACTGCGGTAGTGACTGAGATGTCCTGGAACCCAAGCGAAGACGAAAGCAGCAAGTAGCGTGCAGAAATCGAGTTCATCAAGCCCGCGGAGTGGGAAAGAGAGCTCCGAGTGCTCTCTGAANNGGAATCCATCGATGGCAGCGGCGGCATATCCAGGGAGGTCAGTAACCCAGACTCACAAGCCGGCATTGCTTATGCTAAGATTCGCGCCGTCTACTGGCGGCTTACAAGAGATGATCTGGTAGAGAGCTCGATCGAGAAACTTATGGCTGATCAGTCTGTTCGGGGTCTTCTTGGTACTACCAAGTATGTCAAGGATCGCTACTGCGATACGTTCTACAAGTCCCTCCAGCACTATGTCGACTCCAAGGAGAAACCTGAGTTAACCAAGGATTCTGAGGATGAAGACGAGGACGATTCGAAGGGCACCGGCAGCAAAGACAAGAAGAAGAAGAAGAAGAAGAAGACAAGAAAACGGGAACAAGAGTTCTGGCCTTTAATCAAAGTGGTGCGCCTGTATGTAAAGGCTGATGCTCTCTCTACTGGCGCCGTCCTAGTCGACTTGCCGGGTGTCGCAGACTCAAACGCAGCTCGTGCTGCTGTTGCTGAAGGCTACATGAAACAATGTACCGGTCTATGGATCGTATCGCCAATCAACCGTGCCGTTGACGACAAAGCAGCCAAGAATCTCCTCGGTTCCACCTTCAGACGACAACTAAAGTACGATGGAACCTATAGTGCAGTGACCTTCATCTGCTCCAAGACTGGTAAGTTGTACATCCTTGATTCAGTCATCTGCCCGGCTAACTATCCAACAGACGATATCTCGAACACAGAGGCCGCTGACAGCATGGGTCTTGGAGATGAGATCGAAGAGCTCGAGGACCAACTTACAGCAATTGATCGCCGACGCAGAGCGGCTGAGAAAGAGACAAGCAGGCTGAGAGATGAGAAGACTTCCCTCCGCAACGCCATGGATAATTGTGACGATGAACTCGAGAAATGGGAAGCCCTCCAAGAGAAGCTCGACGACGGCAAGACTGTCTACGCTCCTGTCACCAAGACAAGGAAGCGTAAGCGTTCTTCATCGAGTACAGACAGCGAAGACGAGGGCAAGGACAGCGACGACTCAGAGAACGAGCCACAGTCTCCTAATTGCGGTTCGCCGCTGACGTCCGAAGACATCGAGACAAAGATCCAAGAGCTGAAAGACCAGAAGAAGGAAGCTCGCCGTGGACGTAGTGAGATCGAATCACAGGTCAAAGAACTGAATGACAGCATCAAACAGCTGAAAGCCGAGACTCAAAGCATCGAAGACAACAGAAATCGCATCTGTATCGATGCACGCAACCAATACTCCAAATCCGCTATCCAGGTCGATTTTGCGGCAGGCATCAAAGAGGTGAGCCTTTGCAGCAAAAGGCTTGGTTTGTATCTAATCTGTTTCACANNGCTTGATGAAGAGACCAGAGCCGACGAGGATCCGGACAACTTCGATCCTGAGGAAGAGCTCCGCGACTATGAGAAGGTTGCTAGAGACCTGCCTGTTTATTGTGTTTCCAGTCGGGCATATCAGAAGCTTTCTGGCAGACTTGTAAAAGACAACGCCGTCCGCGGTTTCACCGACGTTGAGCAAACTGAGGTATGTTTTCCACCTTCCTTCCGTCTTTCGTAACAAGGCTGTTGCGCGCTTGCATGGCTGTCTAAAAGTTAACTCTTGTAGATCCCTGCGCTCAAAGTCCACTGCAAGAAGCTCTCAGAGAACGTCCGATCTATCAAATCTCGCCGCTTTCTTACCTTACTGGGTCAATTGCGCACTTCGCTGATGCTTTGGTCTTCCAATGACGGTTCTGGCGCNAAAAAGACAGATCAGCAGAAAGACGCTGAACATAGGTTTCTTGCTCGAAAGCTGAAGGATCTAGAAAAAGTACGCAGGCATCCGACAATCTGGAGGTCAGCTACTAACAGTGAGTAGGCTCTGGAGAATGATGTGAACGACACCCTGACGGAGATCAAGGAAACCGTAGCTGAGAACATCTTCGATAACTACGAGACTGCCATCAAAGCCGCTGCCGATGCCGCCTTGCCAACATCGCAAGGTTGGGGTGCGCACAGAAGCCTGGGCGGTCTGTATTGGTCTACCTACAAGGCGGTAGTCCGTCGCCAGGGTGTCCACTCAGGAAAAGGCGGTCTTTCTGACTTCAATGCTCAGCTGTAAGGTTCGAATTATTCAAAGAGAGTCCATCTCAACTGACGCCAACACAGCACCGAACCAGTTTACCGGTACCTCACGAACGGCCGGGAGAGAGCCTTTCAGCGTCGTCTCCCGCATGTCCTGAAGGCATGCGCCAAAGGTTTCTCCAACGACTTACGCGCCTTCCATGAAGCCATTGAAGCCCACTCGTTTTCTCACGGAGGCAACCCTCGCCTCGGATTGCTCGCCCAACAGCTCTCCAACTATGAAGCTGTCTTCAGCGACCTTGGCATTAAGATGACCGACTTGATCAACGAGCGCCAGCGCGATATCAACCGCGAATTCACCCCGAACGTGTGTAACGCCATGCTCGTCGATTATAACGTTTGCACGGCAGAGGCCGGCCCTGGTCAATACAACAGAATGAAGATCCACATGACTAACCACGTCACCGCTCAAAAGGACAGCATGTTCCAGAGGGCTACCCAAGTCGTTCGAGACATGATCAAGGATCTGATCAAGGACGTCGAAGAGAACATGGCCAATCGTACCGATCAGGTCTTCGTTGGTATGCGTAGAGATTACCTTCAAGTTCTAAGCAATGTCCGCGTCGACGACATTGCAATGCCCAAATGGGAGCGCAGCTTGAGAGGCACAATCGAGGATATCATCCAACAAAGCGAAGAAGGTTTCGAGGCCGTTCTTGAAGGAAGAGATGTGGCTGTGTCTGAAGATGAGGCTTCTGCAGGAGCCTTGAAGGCTGGAGAAGATGGTACAGACGACGAGGATGGGACGGTCGACAAAGACAAGAGAAAGAAGATCAAGACAGACACTAATTCCGAAGATGACGCATTCATGGAGAACGCAGATGATTGAAAGGAGGAGATCGACAGCTGGGGGTAGATTCTTTGCACAAAGGGCGTACAAAAGGGTATTTTTGGTAGCAGATTAGCTATAATTACATCACGACGGTATGCATAGAGACGACCCATTGCTCACGCAAGCTATACTTCCCAGACTATTCGTCACTTCATGACGTGAAGTCTACTTGTCTTGTGCATAAGCTCCGACGTTCCTATTACATGTTCGGCGCCTGCATCTCTGCGGCTGTTTGAAGGCCATCTTCCTCTCAGTTCTTCTTTTACCTACCGCGACGTTGCGGTTTGACGTGAACGTGCAACCTTACGAGGCTTCAGCGTCGGTGATCTCCAGTGCCATGAAGATTGTAAAAGCTTGAGCTTGAGCTCATGTCTGATTGCGAGCAATTGAGGCGGGGTGGTATACCCTCCTGTGTGTGATTCTGTTCAACCTTGATTGGTATATGTCGATGTCGTGAGCAGCGAATCCTGTTGCTTTTTATCGCTTGACGCACAAGTCGCTTCTGATGACCCATTTCTCGCCCTGAGTCACTTCACGTCCTTCGTGAACCATACATTCTTTGCCGTGGCGATGCAATAATGCAAGACCGACTTCTGGACTCGCCTCTACAGGTGGCGGTGGAGCTGCCTTTCTAGACGGTGGATCAGGATAAAAGACCGTCTCGCCACCTCCGCAAGTCGTCAAGTATAGCAGAAGTGTCCAAGTCGTTTTTGCTGCAACACTACTGCCATCCTCCTTGACAAACATCAAGTTGTTAGAGTCGTCATAGTGCTGATCAANAAATTGACCTTGCGAGTATCGATAGATTCTGATATTCGGATTGAGACCCAATATTTCGCCGCCGAAGAGATCTTGCCGTTGTTTGTTGTCGAGTAATTCTCCATCGATTTCTCCGGCGGTGATCAGTTCTTTGAGTGCGGTTTGTTCCCAGAGGTGGCGTGCAAAATCTGGATCGTCGATTTGGTAGCGATCATTGACGCGGACGGCATCGCCACGTTTTGGGCGTCCGGGGGTTGTTGTGAGTGGTAAAGAGCGCAGAAACGAGACGTATTTTGCACTCAGAGATGAAGTGAAGAGGCGTGGTATTGTCAAGATTTGGGCGGGTAGCAGAGTCGAGCAGACAAGATCGGAGGCTGAGGATACAGGTGTGAGGGCTGGCCAATCTGGACGGGCGATGGGTGTTTGTTTTGGAGCGGGTGCTGCAGAAGGTTTCGCAGCTTTGGTTTTTGATTTTGGAGGCATGTTTTGTGGTAGTTGGGCATGGCTGTAGGATGGTAGGCTGTTATTCTCATGGGCCAAGACTGTGATGGACAGCGGTATAGCCTCGGCTTGAGAACGCTAACTGGATGACCCTGGTGTCGATATCAACACCATCGTAAAATGGAAGCAGGACCTGTAGAGTCGATCTGATGAGCCATGGTTCAATTGCGGTCTTTACAGGTATGATCCTCTTCTGTGTCACTGTTCGACAAATAGGTATTAGGTCACAATCACGAGCAACTGAAGAGATATGGACTCTTCTTGAGTCGCGCAGATTGACACAATGATTCAAGCTCGGGCTTAGGACGGAGAATGTCGAAGAAGCGTGAAACGAACAGATCTGACATGAAATTCATACCATCATCAAAATTGAAGCTGCAACATTGTCTCTCTAGGTCATGTTGTGATTCTTCAGGTTGAAAAAGCAGAGCGTGAGGAGTACCGTGAGTAAAAGTGGAAGAAGAATATATGTTGAAGAGCCAATCGGAAGCAGACCACGATGGGCCGATCTAATCTTGGCGATGAGTTCATTCATGTCAGTTTTTGAGCAGGAGCACAGCAGTGAACTGATGCAAAGAACAAAAGGCAGGTAGAGAGTCGTCGAGGGGTTTGTGCTTAGTAGGGATGCGTTCTACCTAGATAAGAACAAGGATGATATACTGTAGTCAGGTAGAGGGAACAAGCATCAGACATGTCATGGTTTGGGAAGGTAAAAGCGGGAGTGAAAGTTAGGTCCCGCAAATCTTGACCGCCTGGCAATTATCGTCTTGGCCCGCGGGTCTCCATGGCGCAGACGGCTTGACAGCGTGTTCCAGACGGGTCAGAGTTTGGATCGCGAAAGAAAAGTCCATCTTCTACACAGATTACTCGGTCGGAAACCCTTGCGCACAGTAGAAGGATGCGCCAGCAGCAGCGATAGTGAATGCGCGGAATCACCAAGCCCTAGAGACATGTTATCACGCCGCCGACGGACATGGAAGTGGAAGCAACGAGCCTCGGGCATGCTGCCTTTGCGCCTCATGACTACGAAACTCCCCAAGCACCCTCACCCTCTCCCCTGAACTCGCCATGGCCCGAACTGGCCGACGTGGATACGCTCGACGAGGGCACGACCCGACTCGACCAACAATCAAGCTTCGCGCCGCAAACCCTCAAGGACGACACCCAGCCAGCGAGGGAAGTTGCGCAACAGAGTCCCCGACCCGACACAAATCATGCAGTACCACCTGCCTCAGATGCTCAAACTCTCGACCCCAAGTCGCAATCACTCCCTCTACCGCAAACGCTGCCTGAAGCCGACAAGAGTCGCCCGAAGCCTCCCTCGAGACCCATGTCCCTAGCACAGTCGCTGTTCCCCGAAGACTTTGAAGACGAGCCTGAGCACCAGGACGACCCTCTCGCTACGGCTGGGCAGAAAGACCAAGCNCAGCCGGGGGCACTCCCGCAGACACAGACGCAGACCGAGCAGCAAACACACTCCCCGACACAAGAGATACAGCCGAAGTTGCTCGATCAAACTGTGCTAGACGACCCGGCCCTACCACAACCGTTCCCTCCATTTGAGATTACCAACCACCTGGACCAGTCCGTCGATCCTTTTGATCAATCGCAACCTCTCCAACCGCAGACCCCTACCAAAGACTACTCCGAACTCGCAAGTGCTGTCGCTGGTTTGAACCTGCCGACGAACTCTCTTCTTCCCGCCGACCTTGCTCTCGCCTCGTATGAAGCTGAAGAGGCCGCCCCCGTACAAGACGCGCAAAACGATCCTATGCAAGCCTTTGCGATGCTGCAGTTCCCCGATGGCGACTTCTATGTTAATACCTATGCGGTCGAATTGGGCCGTGATCTGAATGCTGCCAAATTTNNGGAGCGAAAGGCAGGCCGCAAACACAAGATGAAGTTGAATCGGGATGTCCAGATGGAACAAGATGCCGAGATGGACCTGGACGACGAAAGTCGCAACATCGCGCGCAGCAACGTCAGCGAAAGTGGTGGTATTGTCGGTGTCAACATTGACTATGACAGCGAAGAGAACGAAGAGTCGAAACGTCGCAAACGCAAGCAGTTCCGCTCCACCAACTCATCGCACTCTGTCGACCCTACATCCCTGCTCGCCAATCCCTACGACCTCTCGCTCGACTGGCAGCCACAACAGGACAAGCCCTTCGAATACGAATGCCCCTTCATCCCGATCCATCCCCAGGCTGGTCAGTCGTTCAAGAACATCTCGCGTAAACACATCCGTATCGAGTACAACCTGCAGAAAGCTTACTGGGAAATGCTTGTGAACGGCAGGAATGGTGTGTTCCACGACGACAGCCACGTCGACAAGGGCTCTCTGGTCAAGCTACACCACGGAAGTGAAATTCTTATCCAAGGCATCACCATCATCTTCAAGCTTCCAGACAACGCCCGTAACGAGGACGAAGAGGAAGAACCAGCTCACATTCTCTCTGACACAGACAGCTCTCTTTCCGATCTGGACAGTGTCGCCAGTGCTACCTTCGGACACGACTATGAGGAGGAAGATGTGTCATCCGAAGACGAGCCTCTCCGCCTGAAACGACCCGTGCAGAAGAAGGAGCATCCTCGAATGATCGTCAAGCTCAAACTCAATCTCAAGAAGAACTTCCCTGCCGTTGCTGGACTTCCTATCNNGAGAAGGAGGAAAAGAAGGAAAAGGAAAAGGAAAAGGAAAAGGAGAAAGAGAAGAAGAAAGAGAGGGAGAAGGAGAAGATCAAGGGGAAAGAGAAAGAGAAGGAAAAAGAGCCTGAAAAGGAGAAAGAGAAGGCACCCGAGAAGGCCAAAGTCAAGGAAAAGGAAAAGGACAAGGACCAGGTCAAGGAGAAAGAGAAGGAACGAAGACCGTCCAAGTCCGGCAAACAGTCCATCAAGACCGACAAGCCTGCCAGAGTGGAGAAGGCAGAAAAGATGCCTAGAACACCCAAGGTGGACAAAGTCGAGAAGCCAGTGCAAAAAGTCCCTCTACCCGAGAAGACAACGATAAGCGAAAAGGTCGAAAAGCCAAAGAATGTACCGCCTGCCGAGAAGACGATTGTCACACCCAAACAGCCCGAGGTCGCTNCTGCCAGTTTTCGAAGAGAGAAGGGAATCTGCTATATCCACNCACCGAGATGCCCCTCCATCTCAGCCAGCTGACATCAAGCCGTCAATCGAGCCTGACTCTTACGAAGCTCTGCAGGCCCTGCAGGTGACGCCTTCTCAAACACCCCCTGCCATTCCTACAGATTTACCTCCTGGTTCCATCCTTGCCGGTCTAGCTCCAGACGAGATACCTCAGAAGCGCAAAGGCCCTGGACGACCTCCCAAGAACGGCGTCATGTCGAAACGCGATGAGGCCATCATCAAGCGAAAGACAAAAGAGTTGCAAAAGCTTGGTAAGACCATCCCACCTCTTGCTGAACTCTTGGCCCTCGCCAGAGCCGAAGGCGGAAGCACTTCCAAGAAAGACTCGAAACCAGAAGATGGAAGCGGAGGAGAACATCTCAGTCAATCCGTTGAGATCGATCCTGCACTTATGGCCATCCAAGAGCACAACAACGCCACACCTTCTGCCGAAGTCAAGACCGAGGGAGGCCTCATGGTTGCCCAGCCTACATCGGACAAGGATGCGAATAAGCCCAAAAGAATAGTCAAATCCCCGTCCCCCCAGAAGCCTGAGTCCGAATACACCGAGGAAGAGCTCAAAAAGCCGACGCAGACATATGTAGTTCTGATCCACGAGGCTTTGTCGAAAGCTCCGACAGGTGTGATGGACCTGCAACAAATCTACGACGCTATGCAGAAAATGTACCCTTGGTTCAAATACAAGAGTACAACCTCCGGCTGGCAGAGTAGTGTCCGACACAACCTCATCAGCAGCGAGGCTTTCGAGGAGGCTGGCAAGATCGGCAAAGGCAGGCTTTGGAAGATTAATCCCAATGTCTCAATCGACAAGGAGAAGAAGCGAAAGGCTCCAACGCCGCCGCCGGACAACAGACCTGCTCAGCAACAGCAATATCCCTACTATCCGAACAATCAGTACCCGTATGGCCATCCTGCAGCTCCTGCATACGGAGGTGCATATGCCAGACCAAGCCCTTACGGCACACCCTACGGTCCGCCAACCGTGCAGAACGCGGCACGGCCGCCTGTCCCAACTCCGCAGCAAAAGCCTGGTACCTACTATTCTCCATATGCGTCAACCACGCCAGGTACTGCCGCTGCTGGCTCGCCTTATGGTCCCCCAAGCAGAGCACCGTATGCTCCCTACCCTCAACCCCCTCGTCCTCCGGGTAATGCCTACGGTCAACCGCCACAGCCACCGGCACAACCCGGTCAGCCGCAAGCACCGACACCACAAGGCCAAGCACCTGGAGCGCCACAAGGTCAACCACAACAACCTCAGTCGCAGCCCGGTCAAGCACCTCACCCGCCGCCAGGGCAGCCCTATCAGTCGTCGAGCAATCAACCTCCAGGACCGCCCAACGGTCAGTCACCGTATCCTGCTCCAGGTCAGCCTCAGCCTCCTCGACCTGTGATGGCCCCGGCGTCTGGTCAGGCTCCTCCGCCGCCTCACAATCCAAGTGGGATCACTTCTGAAAAGATGATTGACAATATCATGGATTACCATAAGAGGTATCTAAGTAACTTCCAAGGTCCAGAGCAGGAAAAGCACAGAGCAATCTTCCGCAAGGCCACGAACAGACACATTCGCCGTGATCAAGAACACGGTCCGTTTGAGTCTGAAGAAGAAGAAAAGCTTTACAAAGCTATCCAGAACATCATAACCTCTACACAGGCAGAAACAGCATCCTCCGCTCCTGTCCAGCCTCAGACGAATGGTCAGGGCCCTGTTCAAGGTGGGCCGCCGCAAGGGCAGGCGCAACCAGGCGCCACACAGCCCGCGCCAGGCCCAGCTTCACAACAACAAGGCGCTCCTGGTCAACCACCTCAACAGGGTATGCCAGGCCCGCAGCCACCAATGGGTCAACGGCCAAATAGCGGTCCTCATCCTGTCCACCAGGGATCTAGCTCAGAACAGGCATTGGCCGAAGCGCTCAAGACGGCCATGCCTGGTGCGCAAGCTTTCAGGCAAGGTCCTCCGATTGCTCCTTATCATCCAGGTCCGCCCGCCCACCAAGGTATTGCACCCAGGCCCAGCCCGTACGCACAGTCGCAACCGCCGCCGCCGCAGCAGCAGCAGAGGATGCAGTCTGCAGCGGGACAGCAACAGACACCTCACGCTCGGCCCAATCTCGCGCCCACAACGCAAGTGCAGGCACCGAGACCGACATTCACTGCCCCGTCGCAAGCACCATCAACTGCAACAACCCCGGCAAGCCAGAATCAGGCCACAGCCCCCGTCGCATCGAGACCTGTTGCTGCTGCTTCACATCAACCAACACAACCGTCTCCTGCTCCGACCCAACACCAGCCAGCTCAACAAGCTCCTGCGTCTGTTCAACAGTCCCCTGCACCAGTTCAGCAATCTCCTGCGCCGGCACCAGTGGCTCAAACCGCGTCTGTCTCTCGACTCCCACCTGCAGTCCAACAGGCCGCGGTCTCCACACCGTCGCAGACCCCAGCACCCGCTCCTCCGGCACAGCAACAGCCATCTGCGACCATATCTCCAGCCACTACACCAGCTTCAGTGGCTCCTCAGACACAAGCCGTACAGGCGCAGGCTCCCTCAGTCGCTCCACCCGCGCCAGCACCCGCAAGACCAACGCCTCCAGAAGATCCAAACGCACATGGAGGATTGAAGCGACCGATTGAGATTGACGATGATGGCGACCACGAAGCCAAGAAGCAGAAAACGGACGAGCCGAAAGCCTAGGAATTGCTCAACCTCAAAGCAGCGATGCGGGACATGAAGTTTATGAGGCGTTGTTATTGATTTTTGCATTCTCCTTCCTTGTTCCCTATTTTTTGCTTTATCGTTTCGGAGTTTATTCATCATGTGGCAGCACTTATGCCACATGAGGGAGGATGGCTGTTTTTTGCTTTTCACTATCAAGCGACGGAGTGGATGGGTTCGGCGTGTGGTTTTGTCGATGCATGAAGAGAAAAGAATGGGATGGGAAAGAGGCGTTTTCTTTATACACAGACGATGCTTACACATTACTATTGGAAGAACCATCCTGAGAAATCACAATACCCCCATTTTTGCAATTGCGTCTTTGCTCTCTCGAACGTCTTTTCGTGACTTTTGATTTTTGAATCACTCGTGGTGGCCATGCCTTCCTTTTTTTGGTGGTCGCCATAACCCAGCAGGAAGGCGCGCAGATAGACGAATGCTGTGGAAGGAAAAGAGGAAGGAACGATCCGTCCATAGCTCCGTTTTGTCGAGGGACAATCGTTCAGAGCTCATCAGTCTCTCCTTAGCTCGCTCAATGGCTCCTGCCGTTAGCGGTTTCCACGAACACTTGCTGAGGCTTAGCAGCGGCTTGAGTGTCTGACACAGCGATCTTCTATGTAGATGGTTGTCGTCGGTTGACGGTAAGCCACGGAGCTGAATGTAGGCTGAGATTTGCATTGACTGCTGGACTGTGAACATGTATATCTCTGTAGCCATGTTTTTGGGTCATGAACTCATTTCTGGAGCCGTGGTTCTATCAAAGCTCTCAGAAGAGTACGACATCGAAACCTCTGCGCTCGAGAAAAACGTCCCAGCGCTCGCCATTACTTTCATCCCAATAGGCTCGCAGAGCTGCTGACGCGGCATCCGCGTTACCCCATCCATAGTTTCGGATGCGGCCCATGCAAGCTTCGATGTAGTTTCTCAGCTCGGGATCTTCAGCTTCACATCCTGCTGTGAATAATGGCCAAAGAATTAGAACGTTGGCAGGTGACTCTGGCCTTAGCTTTCCTAGCAGGTCTAGCATAGAAGCTAACGCTATTGCTGGTTTGGGGTCAAGCTCCGGCAGTTCTTGTACACGACGGTATAGATGCAGAAGAGCGGCGTGAACGAACATCTGATGTACGTACACCGCCTCATCTACTAGCACAGGATCTTGAGTGTGCAACAGTGAAGGCGATGATGCGCGAGTGAACAACAGAGAAAGCTGTTGCTCGGTAAGCAAGATATTATCTGCCAAAAGCATGTCCAGATCGTCTGCCATCTCCGCATAGCCGGAGCCCAACGAAGATCCCAAGACCTTACGTCGGCGTTGCAGACGTGCCATACGGCCTATGCGGGCGAGAACTGGCATCAGCTCCAACGAGAAACCGACAAACTCGTCAATGTGCTGTGGCGAGGAAGTGCCACTCGGAGCTCCGATATTCCAGAAATGGCCGTCCGATGAGGTAGTTTTGTCAAGACTCATGATGCTGGCGAAAATGTCCACAACGGCAAACCAGCGAACAAGAAACAGCTTCTTGTCGTCTAAATCTGTGACTGCTTCGTGTCTGTTCTTCCCAAGCGCAATAGACAGTAAGTTTTCTGCACCGTGTAGATGCGTACGCATAGCCATTGTGTTTCCAGCCATGACCTCATTTGTGCAGAGAAAAAGTACAGTGCAAATTGTCGAGAAGTTGGAGGCCTCTGTTGGATCATTCATGGCCTTTCGCAAACCTGTGATCGCCTTGCGTAAGAAGAACGATGCTCGATTCTGCAGCTCGATCGAACGATTTCCTCGGAGTCGTCGTACTTGGTCACAAGACAGTGCTAGAGCTGCCGAAAGCAGATGTGGTGTCTGAGCTGCGACTGTCAAGACCTCTTGATGTATCGAGGGCGCCATGAGCGGGAACAGAGTAAGAGACGTGTGTGTGATATAATGGTGTAGGAAGAAGTATGCATCGGGTTTCTCTGACGGACACAGAAGAGGATATTGGCTCAATGAGGGTGGTANGTTCTTGCATTTGTTAGTACGACTTGACAACAGGGACCGCGAGTGGGCATACTGACTTGGTGGAGAATAGTGCTGATATGGCACAAGCGAGAAATCGCGCTCGATGGTTTCGTCTGCTGGCTCATAATCGAGGTCAGATGGAATGTCAAGTAAATCCGTGCCTGTCAACAAATCATCCTCAGAGATGAGTAAGGAGTCTTGATAGTCATTGAAGCCGGTCGAGTCACTCAAGGCTTGCAATGCTGNTAGCAACATAAGCACATTGGCAGTGCGGATGAACAAATAAAGATACTCACCACTCGAAACTGCATTCTCGGAATTTGGCGAAACATCGGGAAGCAGCGACAGTGACGACTCAGTGGTCGAAGATTCTCTATCAGTTTCCTCTTGGACCTGGGCAGGAGCCGACTGTGCCGCACTAGAACTAGGAGTCGCAACACTAGCACCCAGATTCGTAACCCAAGGCTCTTTCGTTCTCGGCTTCTTGAAAGGTCGTCCCTGCGTCCAAGACAACTTCAACTCATAGGAGCATCGCTCGGGATATCTCTTGCATCTTCCACAACTAGGCTTGCCCTCGTCGCATTTCACGCGTTTCCGTTTGCACTCTGAGCATCCCATTCGCGATTTTGATCCACTGCCGCCAGTAGATTTGGGGTCGGACATGTTGATTGCGGATCCATCTGTAGGAGGGTCATGATAGAGCAGATTGGGAAAGCTAGATGACACACCGGCCGGGATGACTGGTGGTGGTTGTTAATCGGCTAGAGTTGCAGTGTCACCCGCCGAGATCGGCAAAAGTTGACGGCTTCTGTATATCGAGTTCGAGATCGTCTTTGATTAAAGCGACGATGTGGTTCTTGACGCTTGTCAGATATCGCGGTATAAAGTAGGAATCAAAGTTGATGTATCAACATGAAAATTCCCCGTCAACAGAATCATTCATGGTGACAGGGAGTGAGATATTCAAGATTAACCGAGCATGAAGCCTTATCAACCCATCTCTCGCGGATTGGGTCAACGTAACACACCTTACTCTGCATAGATATGTCACAAGTGGTCTACTTTTTGTTCTTCCCATGTCATACTTGCAGATAAACCAACATCTCAGAATGGCAGTTCGACACGTTCGTCGTCATTGGGAACCCGACTATGTAAACTGCAACAAACCCTGGGTAGGTCAAGAGTTGTTCAATCCGTCCTCTGCTATTTGATACTATAACCCGAATTCGACCACTACGATGTTTTTCCTGTCCTTGTTCACACACGTTTTCTGCTTTCTGATATTCTTCATCACGAAGAGGGCCATCGCTACAGATTCCAGCACGTCGTGTGACATGCTGGCCATGAGAGGTTCGTGAACAAGGCAATGGGGATACTAGAGTTCTGACATGTTGAGCAGATTTCAGCATGCAGTTGTCTTCAGCCACCCGAGACGTCGATTGATTGGAGTTGAAAGCAGTGCATGCCTTGGGATGAAACAATCGGCGAACATAGACAATCAGCTTTGTCGTGGCTGCAAAGTTTGGCTTTATTCTGTCACGGGTGAACCCTGGTCATGTCCTTACCAATCGGAAGCTGAAGAAACACTGTCCAAGATGAAACGCATCATGTGGTCAAGCAGACTGATTCGGAAGATTCGACGAGTTGAGGAGCAGAGTATGGACATGATTGTCGAGTTTGGAATGTATGGATACAAGTCTAGAGGAGTCATTAAGAACAACAACAGCAGCAAGAAGAAGTTGTTAAATCGAATTGTAGTCGCAAAAATTGCTATGTCGACAGGAACAGACCCATATAAGAGTGAAAGTCGTAGCTGTGGCACCATAACGCCAGCCCCAGAAAAAAACAAAACAGAACCAGGGTATGCCTCGAAGTTGTATGGTCTTTGCAGTCGAACATGTAGCGAGAAGAAGAGAAAGGAACAGGAGAAACTACATGGCCATCTCAGCTTGTAGTCTCCGGAGCTCGGCCTCTTCGTCGTCTTCCTCTTCTTGAGCAGGTGCCTTGCCTCTCGNCTGCGAACAGTCAGTATTCGGGCATGGCGATATTGCAAGTGTTAAGGTAGACTCACGTTCGGTATTGTTGACGCTGGGCATGCGGTGAACCTGGTCGTGTACAGGCACGGTACCAGTCTTGAGCATGGTGTTGTCCAGCTCTTCTTGTTGAAGGTCAGCGAGCTCTGATTCGAGCTCGTCATCGTCGACAGCATTTGCGGTAGAGCCTTGGGTGAGAGCGCTGGCAATCTCCTTGCTGATGGCGTGTTGCTCTTCGAGGTCTTCCATGGTAGCATCGACCTTGTCGATTGTCAGACCACCGTGGATGGTCTTCATAGCCTTGGAGGCATTGCCCAGCGCGTCCAGTGTCTCCTTGTTGATGTTTGCTGTCTCTATGCTGGCGATTTGACCCTCGAGGTTCATGATCTGGGCGGATGTTTGTTCCAAGGTCGTCTCAAGTTGCTTCTTCTTTCGCAGGGCGTTCTTGGCGGCTGNTAGGAAGGGTTAGAGAGTAGCGGAGGCAGCCATGATCGATGTGTGCGTACCAGTCTTGTTTGTGTTGATAAACTTCCTGGCCTTCTGATCCTCCTCATCCATCTGGTTCTGCAAGTGCTTCTCGCGCTTGTTCAGCATCTCGAGGGTGCTCCTCAGCTGCAGAATGGCCTTCTTCGGGGCATCTTTCTTGGCGGCCGAGTTGCCGCCAAACCATCCTCCCAACCCCCAGCCGGACATGTTGTGAGATGGTACGTGTAGTTGGGTTTGTGGATGCGAAAGCAGCGGTCCTTTTGGCTATAGACGCGGGCTATAGCGAATGGCGATCGTCGGGCACAAAGGTGGGGGACGTGTGTGCTCGTGTGATGGCGGGGTAGTAGGTGAGCGCAAAGGAGAGTGGCGGAGTCGAGGGTAGCGCAGCGAGTGGCTCTAGGTGCAGGGCGGTATACGGCAGTAGATGGCGGCGACAGGTGCGTGGTCTTGGTCGAGATTGTGTTGTGGAGAAGTGTTTGTCCTGCTGGCTGCCTCCCACTGTCCGCTTGACCATGACGCACCCAGACGCCAAGCCCTGGAGATTTGACACGCCGTCCAATGAGACGCCACCAATCTGCCCCGATCAAGGAAGGAACCACCTGAAGCCTCCTTCGTTGACATACAACACCTGTCACATCTTCTTCTACTCAAAGTATCCAAGAATGAGTTATTCATCACCATTACCGAGTCGGCTCTGCGCCATCAGCCAGCTGTCCATGCTGCGTTCAGGCGACAAAGTTCGCTTCCTGGGATGGTAGGTATCCAAACGTCTTCTGCATTGTCTCACTTCTAAGTATCAAAGTGTAAACCAATACCATGAATCTACTGCCCTGCTATCCCTTTTCCACAACTTTCCTTCGTCTCAAGACCAACAGACCACCCAAGTCGACATCAGCCAGTTACTCGACACCATTGACCACCAACATCTCCAAGTGGGTGCCTGGCTCAACGTGATTGGATACATCACTCCGTCTGCGTCCAAGTCTCGGCCCAAAATCCAAGCCATCATCGTTTGGTCTGCTGGTGCCATCAATTTGCAACAGTATGAGAATGCTCTTATCTCTAGACAAACGATTTGACTTGCATATGGCCTCCTCAAGTGCCATGTATGCCAATGCAGGATCCAAGAATTACATGCTCTTTCCACCTTACTGATTTCGACTCCAATCCTCTCGGCATAAGCTCTATTATCCCGTCCGCGGCATGGAGCCAAACAATTCTAGCGCTGGTAGATCGTCAATCCCGCGAGGTGCTCCGGATCTACAGGACCTTGGTCCAATACTGACTGACAATACTCTGCATCCGTTGCCCTGAACCTGTTCTGCAGAGCACGGAATCGTGGTCCCACTTCGTCGCTATTGCGAACCGCACTTTCTTGGATATAGGTCTCGATATATGCCTGATCTCGGCCGGATTCAGCATTGGGGCTATTGCCAATAAAGACCTGCGGACGAAAAGCCAAGAAATCAGGCCAGACGTTGCAATTCAAGTGAGGTGCGAACACGAAGGTATCTTTGTTGTTTCTGAGAATGCCGTAAGCCGCCGGGTCGAATATGATGTTGTTGGTCGTTGGGTCGGCCTGACGTGGTATAGATTGCAACAGGTATGTCGTCTCCATGTCGAAACCAGGGTCTTGAAGATATCTCTTGACTGGCTCGTAATCGATGCCCCTCTCCGCGCACTCCTTCCTCCATTTCTCGTCAACCCTCTCCCACATGTGTACGAACGCAGAATACTGCACATCGAAACAATTTGTGCGCTGGGACTTTAGTTGAGGTTCTCGTCGTCCCAAGCCTAAGCAGATCATGGTTTGGACGTTGCTCATCCGGTCAACAACCGTCTGTATCTGGTCTCGAAACTCCTGCCACTCATCGTCTTTTCTNNGGATCTCCTCGAGTGTTAATTCAATATCCTGAGATACTGCAAGTAACATCTCGGGATGATCTAGGTTTCCTGTTCGACTTCCAGTTGGAATGTTGGCTTGGACTCCAGTCGGACCTCTGTTTTGCCCTCCAGCTCCAGGTTGGCTTTCAGTCAGAGCTTCGAAGGAACCTGCAGTTGGGCCCCTATTTTGCCCTGTCTGTCCTCCAGCTTGAACACCAGCCTGACGGTCCCCGAAAAACGCTGGCATTCGTTTTGCGTACACGTCAAGCATGGTGTTAAACACAAGCGTGCTGACTTTGTGACCGATTGCAGCCTCAAGTTTCGCCTGACTAGGCATTACTGCTAGGGCAACATTTCCGTTCATCTCTGTCGACGTATATGGTGTAATCTGCTCTTTGGGTTGGTTGGAATATCAGTGAAGACCACTGTCGGGATTTTCATATACCGTGGGTCCGGAACGACTGTGATGTTGTTCGTCGTCTTTGTCTCGGCGCCGCATACCGCGTCTTTTTTTCGACGACGCAACCGGCAACTCCGCACAAACAACGACGGAACTCCAAAGACTCGGCCCATGCTTGATGCTTGCAAGTGTAGATGCTTCCAGGACTCAGGCCTTTCAGAGTCGTGCGAGACTCCCCATGAGTCTGAACGTAAGCATTCGACAATTTGACGAAAAGTCGATCTACTCAAACCATCCTTGGTGATGGAAATACTGTGTATCAAGATATCAAACGAAAGAGAGTCTGGCTTCTCAGTTCACATGGTCGCTAAACATTTCTACACATACTATGTTGCTGGAATGCCCTGACAGAAACTTCATACATGACTGCTCTACAAACAACGAAACATCCAAACTACATCGACAGAACAAAACGCGTGTCAAGGCTCCCATTTCCCCCTCAACTTATCCGTCTTATTCCTGTGTGGAAAGTTACGTGGATGCAAAGCAGGATTGATCGGACTCTGTGATGCGCCTGCATGTATGCTACCTTCTAGGCCTACTTCCGAATGTGCTGGTGGACCGACGGGTGCTGCCAAAGGCGTCTCAGAAGATGCCGTTGAAGGTGTTTCGTTGACAGGCTCATTTTCAGAAGTGTCAAGGGTAGACACATGTACCGGCTGAACATTGGTGTCCGACTTCTCTACGGTACTAGAAGGTGTGCTCGTGACTGAAGATGCAGATGCAGATGCAACACCAGTGGTAGGGGTTAGGAGATCGCATGTCGATGGCCCAGTGTTGATAGAACTGGCGAATATCGTCCCTGAACTCGCTGTCAAAGGCGCCACTACGCCGGTCCCATCAACAGGCTCGAGATCTTCGTATGGAATACCAGCCGCTGCGAATTCTGCTTCGAGACTGGCCTTTAGCCGCTGAATCTCTGCGTGGGTGGCCCGCTTTATCTCTTCGCAGTGCGCGACCTTAGCGTCAAATCCAGGGTCTGGTCGAAATCGAGCGATAGGAGCTTCGGGAGACAAGACCAGAGGTTTGGCAGAAGCACCTTTGCTTCCAAAGTCTTGACAGGACGCTTGGAGTCGCTCTGGGATACTGCACCGTGTCTACGCACGTAAAAGGAGGAAGAAGAGAAAGCTGCTCTCAAGAGCTTTGCCAGTGGCTGATTGTTCTCCTCCAAGACGTACACGCCCCAGTAAACTGTTCCCTCGTGAGTTTGAAGGAAACGTTTTGCCGCATCGTACATGTCGATTGCTTCTTGGTTGACAGTCGAGTCTCGAGTCCAGTATACCTTACTGAGGTAAATGTCGGTGATAGCGTAACCAACGGAACCTAGGTCCCCTGTATGGAAAGTGTTTGTGAACAAAAGTTCTGGTTCAAAACCTGGTCTGCAGATCGTGTTGAACAGCAAATTGCTTGGAAAGTGGGGCGCATAGACGAACGATTGTACGTTCATGAGGTCGTTCGCTGCAGGGACCCTAACGATAGTCTGGCGACCAATTCGCTCAAGGATCCATCGGTCCTCGAGCTCGAAGGCCGGTTCCTGGAAGAAGACTGGAAGCGTTCCCAGCTGCATATCTTGCTTCTCCTCGATCATCTGGCATAGAGCAAAAAAGACACCACATTGCTGGACGTAGTCAAAGTTGTAGTTGAACAGACTTCGATAACGGATTGGGCCCAATCCCATACAAACAGCTTTCGTGATCGGCCCGGCCTTCTTGACGGCAGCTCTGAGACTTTTTCGGACGGGCCCAAGATTGCCATATAGGCCCGTGGGATTGTCGCATGTTCGGTCATCCATGATAATTCGAGTAACATCCAGTATCTGCAACCAGATATATCGTAATCTACCGTGAGCTGGCTGACCATCTGGGAGGTATGATCCAGGTTTGAATGCCTGGTGACCATAGAGCCATTCCTCCAGATGGTCACTCCACTCTGATCCGCTGATACCAACTCTGTTGGTCGCGGAGAGTGGGAATGGATTGATCGGGCGGCTTTGCGGATTACCAGCCATCTCGTGTTCGCTTCGTGAATCGATCTCAATCGTTAGGGTAATATGTCAAGAAGATAGTCGACTGCTGGTTTTGATACACCATCATGAGTGCCATCGTTTTGCTTTTCCACGCGTATTGTTTTTCCAGAACAAAGACATAATTGCATCAGAAGCATTTCCGCAAGCGGACGACGTTGTCTGCCGAGGAATGTCGAGACTAGAAGGATGAATAGTGCTTTGTCTCCTTGGGAATCCATGATGTAGATAGTATACGTGCGTTGTAGGTGACAAAGAACTGTGGTGTCATGGTTAAGTGGACCACTCTTTGTTTGAGGAAGGGGGATGGATGTTGAGGAATGCGCGAATCCAGCCAAGGTCCTTTCCTGTCAGGGGCAGTCAGCTGGCGACCCGCACCTTCCCTCGAGCATGAGTTGCGCTCCCAAGGATTGAGAATGCGACTTCCGAAAGAAGATCCGAAAAGCAAATTTCTGCTTGTCTCATCACCAGCAAGTTACACGAGTAGAACATAGTATGAACCAAGAACATTCGTAACATTCGTATATAACTCGCACAATTTTCGTGGCCTGCACGACTCTTCCCAATTTACTCCCACAGCACTCTGATATAGTGATACCACTTGGAATAAGGTTTCTTGGGCTTATGCGTAGTCATCACCTCATCAAGCCCACTCACCAGATCCACAGTCAGCGGATCGCGAGCCCAAGCCTCATGTCTAGCCCAAAACACCTTGTGAACAAGATATATAATGATGGGGATGGGAATGCCAACATAGGCCGTAAAGAAACTGGCAACCGACCAGTTTTGCGGCCAAAAGACGGTAAAGCCATTGATGAGTGTTAGGATGGCGAAGAAGATCATGGCGAACCATGCACCCCAGGGTTGCATAAGTGTGTTGTGGTATGGGAGGTCAGAGTCTGGGATACCTTGAGCGGCGATGGCTTTGCGGAAGCGGATATAAGTGACACAGCAGCAGATCCAGGAGATGAAGGCTGATGTGTTGGTAAGGTTGACGAGCCAGTTGAACACGACACTAGCAGAGTTTGCAACGTTAAGGTAGGCCAACAACGAAAACAGAGATGACACTCCCATTGCGCGAATTGGCACACCGCCCTTGCTGCAGTGTTTGAACCAAGCGGGAGCATTGCCAGCAAGAGCGAGTGAGTATAGACTTCGTCCAGAAAGATAGAGGAACGAGTTTCCAGATGACCAAGCGCTGAGAATGATGCCTCCGTTGATGATCGAATCCAGGATAGGGATGCCAGCGTTCTTGATACCAACTACGAATGCCGAAGAACCGGCTCCAACTCCGCCATTGGTCAGTGCCTGGTCATCTGAACGACAGATGACCCCGATAGCGAGAACAGAGAAGATGTAGAAGAAGATAAGACGATAGAAGTATCTTCTAGCTGCGATGGGAAGATTGCGACGCGGGTCTTCAATCTCTCCACCAGTTGCGACCAAGAGCTCTGGAGCAAATGCAAAAGGAAATGCACTGAGCACCCATGTCGACAATAGTGCTAAAAAGCGTCCAGTATTTCCTTCAGCAAGATAGACGTTCGCAGCTCCAGGGTTCTGCCAGTAGCGGAATCCAAGTCTATCTCCAGAGGNGCCTCCACCGAGACAGATGATGAGCGATACAAGCAAGAGGCCCACCATCATGACAACCTTCGTACCCGCGANACCTGGGAGTTGTTAGTAACGAAAGAATAACAAAGCGCGTCTGTTTGTCTACCAAAACTCCACTTCTCCATAGTACTTGACTGGCAGAAGGTTGAGTGCAACAATTAGAACCAACATGATAGAGATCCAGACAGCGATGTTGATGGTAGATCCCCAGTATTCGATGACTAGCCCAGCTGCTGTGATCTCGTATGGTACCAGTATGCCGAGAGAGTNACCTTTGTTCGTGTCAGCGACACTAGAAGGGCAATGTTGGGATTTCACGAACTACCAATATAGCCAACCCAAAGCAAAACCGAAGCTGGACGACACGAATCGATCTGCAAACATTGTCATGCTGCTACCGCGAGTAGGCAGATAGGCAGACATTTCAGTGATAGNCTGCGAATGTTGATTAGTGTCCACGAATGACTCTACATGACAGAACAACTTACCAGTAACAATCATCCAGATCAGTGCAGCCATGAAGACAAATGAACCCAAGATGAATGCTGGGCCACCTCTGGCAAGCGTCTGACCACTGCCCACGAACAGACCAGTACCGATCGTGCCTCCCAAAGCAATCATTTGAGCATGTCGTGACTTGAGACCGCGTTGTGTCGTTCCGTAGGACTCATCGAAGACCTCGCCCGCTACAGGTCCCGAAGTCGTCTGGTACATTGGGACTCCCTTTTCTTGATCAAGTTCGTATAGTGCCTTCACGCGAGGAGGCTCGCGTGAAACCTTGTCGGATGACATGATTGGTATAGTTGTTTTCAGTTTCGTCCTGGAGGGTAGTCGAGGAAATCACTATACGTGCCAATGCAAAGCAAGAGGATGAGAAACACGACTGACCCAATTGAATGGTTTCGAGTGTATTCGTGAAAGAAGATGAACAGAGCGTGAGAGAGAGGATACGTCTGCGATGGGAATCTATTATACTTGATCATTCGCAAAGGCTCCCGATATTGAGGTTGCTCCCCAGGGAGGTACGCAGGCCAAGAGATAAGCCCAGATATACCGGCGACTGGGCAAACAAGACCGCAGCAAAGGTTGTTTTCGGACCGTCTTTCATGCTTGCAGCGGTTACGAGCGGCCTTGTGTTTACGACAAGGATGTTGAGTCCCCAAAGTGACTGAGAGACTACTGCGTATCTTGTTCGCAGATCAATCGCCTAGTGATAAGGTGTGCAGATAAGAAATTAGATCAGTACACTGAGTGAGGCCTATCGAGTCACCTCACCCTTCTGCCAACGTCGATTTCCTGCAGTTGATATCATGAAGTGAAGATGCAATCCGATGTTGATCTTAGTAGATTGAATGACTTCGATCGCATCGTCCTGGAGGTCATCATGTCTGGGGAGTGATTCAATGGTCATCATGTGTGTCAACCCCGTTTGAGAAGTTGGACTATGTGGATGCCAACACGTCGCCAAGCGTGTGAAATCCGCCCTTCTCTGCGACTATGAGAAAGAATAACGTCCGAGTCTCAGCGGCGCATCTTGGTATCTGCCGCACAGACCTCTCTTGGTATGCAGACGGGCCAAGGGTTGATCAGTGACAAGTAGGAGATTCGGGGAAACGAGGGGAAGATGCCGATCCCGGCGGAGGTGCAGGAGGCAGGCATATTTACATTGTTTAGCACCTCTTTGAATCCAGCGCTGCTAGAAAATGAAACAAATAGCAAGTGTATAAAGTAGATGGGGCAGGCCCGAGGCTGCTGGAGTAAGTCCGAAGAATTGGTCAGAGAACAGACAGACCCCGCCTTGTACCCCGCCATGTCTAACTACATGGGGCGTCATGTCCGTAGATGCTTAGTGATGAACTAAGGCTCGACCGTTGTGTCCAGACATCTATATAGAGAGGTCGTAGTAGGTGCATTGAGAATCTACAACCAAAACAACCCCAATCACCAAACAGCCAGCACTCTCAAACATGTCTTCAGCAACGTCTTTCCGCCAATTGATTGGCATGCAGCCATCGACAGCCAGCGTGGCCGACAGCACTCTCATCATCATCGACGCTCAGAACGAGTACGCCGAGGGTAAATTGAAGTGCTCCAACACGCCCTCCTCTCGCAAGGTCATCGCCTCGCTCCTGCAAAAGTATCGCGACGGTAATGGAAAGGTCGTCCACGTGGTCCACGACACCCCTGACGGCGCGCCTGTCTTCACTCCTGGCACCAAGCTTGCCGAAGAGTTTGACGAGCTTGCGCCAAAAGACGGAGAGAAGGTCATTCACAAGAACTACCCCAGCTCTTTTGCGGGCACCGACCTCCACAAGCACTTGGGCGGCGGTAAGATTGTGCTCACCGGATACATGGTATGTTTGGTTACAGTCCTCCTCTTTCTGAACGTGATTTCTGACAGGTGCAGNGCGCACGTCTGTGTATCGACGACGGCCAGACAGGGAGCCGAGCTGGGATACGACGTGGTGTGCGTCGAGGATGCGATTGGCGACAGGTCTATTCCTGGAGTCGAGGCCGAGGAGCTGACCAAGACGGCGCTCAATGAGATTGCCGATGCATTTGGCACCGTTATTCAGAGCAGCGAGATCAAGTAGACTTTTGAATAGACAACCTTTCTCAATCTTCGTCTTGATGCTTGAGGGTATAGATGGTCAAGGCGAGACTGTGGCCATCGGCGAAATCAGCTTCTGGCATCTTGTTTTCGTCGTGTGTATCGAGGACAGCCTTCGCGGCGGCTATGGCATCATCGCATTCTTTCAGCACCGGAGGTTTGTTGTTCACGTCGGCGACAAGTCGATTGCGGGAGCGCTCGGCCTCGTCGATGATCCAGTGCATGGACGAGCTGACGTAGAGCGGCGATGTTTTCGCAACCAGCATGAAAGGCAGTTCGAGGAGCCACTCTATGCAGGGTATGAAGATAAGCGTCGACTGATCTACCAGCTCTTCGGCCTGTGGAGGGTCTAGGACGGCGATGTCAAGAGATTGCAGAAATTCCCTGTCGAGCGATGTGAAGCGAGGCTCTTGAGCATAGAGCTTGAATTCGTTGGCGTGGTTAAGTTTTGGTCGCACTANAACGTGTTAGCTGTGTATCTGCAGTCGGCATACACCTTCTTCCATACCCAAGTCTACCAGGTCCATGAACATGACCAGCTGCCACACACTCCTGTGACGGTTTGCCCATGACAGACTCGGACTGCCCAGAGCGACACAGATGGCCTTGTTCAAAGACCATCCTCCCTCGGTCATCTGCCTTGCCAACAGCTGTTGGAGCCATCGACGCGCGTCGCTCTCTACCCACTGCTGTTTGCATCGATTGTGTTCGTCCAGTAGCTTCTGCGCTGTGAGCGATCTGTCGACTGGCGGGAGCGAACTGTCTACTGCAGCCGTCCTGCCGTATCGTGGTGGTGCTGTGTGCTCGACTCTGGACCAGCCATCTTCGGACTCCGATATGATTCGTTTTGGATGATACGGTTTGCGCGGTCTCCGCGATGAGTGTGGCATGTTTGGTCTTGGCCGATCGAGTATGCGTCCTGCCAATCTTTCTGGGAAGCATGTGAAATGCCAAGAATACCACAGCTTGGGCCATCTCAAGAGCCATCACCATGAGCATCAATCTTTCCGTCTCCTCATCGCTCATAAGCAAAGTGTGGTTTCATCAATATCACTCGGTCACGAGATGGAACCATAGGGTACCAGTAGGTCTTCTGCGGTGACACAAGGATCCTTCGAGTAAGCTGCGTCAACCATGCCCGACACCCAATGCATCAACCTTGCATCCATTGCTCAATCCTCCGGACTACCTACGAGCTTCTGCATCATGCATAAGTACACGATATATAAAGTATCCCCGTCTCCTCTTCAGTATCTTTGTTTCCTCGCGCTTTTTGACTGTCTTTGCAAAATAACAAGAATGACACTACTGCTTCTCCTTCTCACATTTCTCCTCTCCCTCATCATACACACCACAGCCCAAAGCCTCAATGTATCCACAATAGCAGTTCAGAACGGCACCTCCGTACTCGAATGCTGGAGCCTCGCATCCCCCACCTCAGGCCGAGGTGCCCAAAACTATCCTCTCGGTGACTCTAGCAATGCCTTTATCGGTGCAATTCCTCCACACACTTATATCGGTCAAGCATGGGCACCTTCCATCCAGTACTCCCTTACTTCCCCATTCCTTCTCCGACTCAGAACTAAACGCTGATGTTTGTCAAGATATTCAATGATCTTGCAAGGCCTAGTCCACCTCTCTCTCCCCAACAGTAAAGACGACATTCACATCCAACCCGGCCCTCTGAGTATAATTCTCGTCATCGATCAAAAAAATGTGTCTATCTCTGGTCACATCACTGAGTTTCCGGGCGAGGAGATGACGCTGATTGCTCAGTTCCCAATCACTGGGAATCAAGTGCCTGTTCATACTGTGTTGCACAGTGGGCCTTGTGGTGTCGATGATGTGAAAGGGTTGATTGGTTGACTAGGTGTATTTGGAGATGGCGAACAAGAGTACTGTAGTTTTGGCAGTGTAGCTGAGTGGGAGCCTAAGTTGTTAGGAGGTGAGATGCTCATGTAGACGGTAGAGTGGCCAAGAACAACTTTGTCAACGTCGGTGTCTGGACCACCCAGTTTCAGGACTTTGTGACCTGATCATCCTCGAGCTGTGTTAGTTGGTCAGTTGTATCTTTCGAATACCAAATGCAAGATTCCTTCATCAATCCGAGATGATGTTGTCAGGCAAAAGAAGAGAGAGATATTCTAGTGGACAAGGCAACTCTCAAGCACTGTCACAAGTATTCGTTCTTGGACAGAGATACGGTACATCTCACTCGCTAGTTTGTTGTCATACAGCGCTCATGAGACCAATGTATAATGTTCCAAGATGGATTCGGTCATCGTTACTAGTCGTACACTCAATAAACATAGACATACTCCTAAACCGAAACCCAAACACCTTGCTTGCTTGTTCAGAGTACCATTATCAATACCTTGAGAAGCCATCCATTACCCTGCCATGGCCTGCTTGGGAGTGTGCTGGCGATCGGCATTTGGACCCCATCCGTCATCCATCTCCTCTGTAGCCTTGTTCATACGATCAATGCCTTTGCCTCCAATCTTGTTGCTAGTCGTGCTGTTTTGCGACGACTCGACCGCTGTGTCGCTACCGATACTCTGTTTCTCGGCGTGAGCTCTTGTGTTTTCGCTTTCTCCACTCGCATCGATTGCGCCCGTCTCTGCAGGTCCTGCCTCGTTGCCTCCTCTTTGTTGGCGATTGCCCTGCATTGACTGATGGTGCATCTCCTTGCGGCCCTTGGTCTGGCCATTCGGAGCAATGGCATCCGAGTGTTCATAGTCGTCGGGCTGATCCATTGCACTTGCCCTTGGTTGCTCGGCGAGGCGCATCTCTTTCCTGCGCTGGCTGAAGACTTTTTCAATGTCCTTTCCTTCCTTGGTGGCCTCGATCGCTCGTCTGGTTGCGCTGACGTTCTCCAGAGCTCCATTATCCTCCCATTTCTTCTCCTCTCTTGACACACTTAGTCTACCACGAATTCTACCTCCATGGTGACGTTCATGTTTCTTTTTGACGTCCCAGGCCTCCTTCATAACCTTCCAGCCTTCACTCACCATCATCTCGGTTTCCGACATGTTGTTGTTCTTGGTCTTATTGTCAAACTCGCGTAGAGCCTGCATGTCCTTTTGTCCTTGGATGATATGAGCTCTGCGGATAAAAGACGTGGTTCCAGGACCGCCCATGCGTTTGGTGATTTCCTTCCGCACACCTTGCGCGAGGAAGAATGGAGGAGTGATGATGGCAGAAATGTCCTTGAGAACGAAGCCACCGATACCTCGGGCACAGCCGATGCCCAAACCAGTGAATTTGTTGGTCTTGGTCTTGCCGTCTTGCCATCCGTGCATCGGTTGTGTCACCAAGCCTGTCCAGGCGTCGTATATACCGTAGAACAGCTCTTGTCCTGCAGCTCGTGAGCCTGAATGCATTCCGGTGATGCGAATAGGCTTGCGCACGGAGGCGTCTCCGTATAGTCTCGGTGCGTTGTGGAACCCCTGGCCGATGGCTAATCCCAGATCCAATGGCATGCTTGCGAGCGCACCTCCAGATTCCAGGAATGCATCTCCAAACTCTTCAGCCAGCTCCTGGGCAAGTGGCTCTTGCTCTGCAGACTGGACAGAGTCGAGAGTGTTGTTTGTAGAGGTCTGNNCCTGGGGCCGGGAGGCCGTTGAAGGTTCTGTCCTCCTTCGGGACCGCTCTTGCCTTTTGCAGCTTCCTTAAGAAGCCTCTTCTGCTCCTTCCTCTCCGCTCTTTCCTGCTTTTTTCTTCTCACGTTCCTCTCGCTTCTTGATATTCTTTGCAACGCTTGTAGGTACCATGCCGACTCCTCTTGCAATTCCAGCACCCGTCTTTATTAGCGCACCGCCTGCTCCCGAAATCGGCTCTCCAGGACCATCAAAGTCGTTCCATTCGTAGTGCCGTAGTAAACGAAGCTCCTTCCAAGACAGTTTCTTCTGTTCGACCAGAATATCCGCTGCTAGTGCACTTAACCTAAGGTTTGAAGATTTCATCTTCCAAACGGCCACTCTGTCTTCCAGTATGGAGCATCTCATGCTACGCTTTCCTGCAAAGGGCAAACTGCGGTGGAAGCTCTTGACTGCATTCTCTGCACCGTCACCTTCTGCGGCAATGCTTTCGGCGATTTCCTCTGCATTCTTGCGCGCATCATCCGTGAGGCATTGTTTGATTCCTTCTGCAAGTTTCTCTGCATCCAGCTTCTTGTAAGGAATTGCTTCGTGAGCACCAGCCTTAGCTTTTGACACCATGGCTCCCCAGAAAGGTTGATCTCCGAAAAAGGGTACGATCATGGTCGGCTAAATCATCAAGGTCAGTATGAGCTCATAATCAAGCAAAAAGAGGCACGTACCTTNTCCAGCCTTCAAGCCAGCAGCTGCTGTACCAGCACCACCATGGTGAACAACAGCTTTGACGCGTGGGAACAACCAGTCGTGAGGCGTGTTCTCTAGCATGAAGATGTTGTCAGGAGTATTGTCACCTCCAAGGCCACCCCAGCCTTTAGAAACCAGCGCTCTGACACCAGCAATCTTGACAGCATCAAAAATCATCTGGGTAAACTTATCTGGGTCATCAACGACGATACTTCCAAACCCGATATAGATAGGGGGCTCTCCCGCGTCCAGGAAATCCGTCAGGTCTTTCGGAGGATCATAGTCGCTCGCAAGGTCGAGGAAGACATAGCCAGCGATATCGATTTCCGGGCCCCAATCCTTTGGCTTGGGCACAAGCCCTGGACTCCAGAGATATGTGTACGGCACTTTCATCCGGTAAAGTGCACCGGGCGCCCACAGACTGCTTACTGGCTCCAGGCCAAGAGTCTTGACACGGAACCTGTTGACGAGGTCACCAAGGCCTTGCCATGTCATCATCTCCACCAAAGGATAACTCATAACNNTATAGCGAAGGGACGATTAGCATGATCTCCTGGAGTTGGACGTGAGAGCATCGCGGCTTAACTTACAATTGACGTATTCAACGCTGGTGTTGCTTTTCTGTGGACTGATGTTGGCTAGCGGGTGAGGAAAAGATTGCGTTGGTGAGTAGGGGAAGGTAAACATGATATGCAGAGGAATACCAAGACGTTCTGCGATATGAACGTGTGCGAAAGAAGGAGGGTTCGCGATGATGGCATCTGCAACAAAGGGTGCCTTGGTTCCCAACATTTTCATGTTGGCCCTGTCTTGCTCGTCGTCTGTAGCGTTGACACAGGCTCGCCAAAGTCCCTCAAAAATCTCGGCCATACCTTTTCTGCGGCGAGCGATTTCACCTTGCCTGACAGTCTCAAGGCTGGGGATGAGGCCCGGGTTCTTGACCATAAACGCCATGAGTTCCGAAGGATCACCTCCAATGCTGAAGAACTCCAGACCAACATCTTTCTCAATGAAGTCTTTGAAAGCTGGATGCGTTGCAACTCGTACTCGATGTCCGTAGCGTTTCAGAATGCGGGCAATCTGAAGGAATGGCTGAATGTCACCTCGACTACCAATGACCATGATGACAATATTCAGACGCGGCCTTTTGATAGTCTCGTGGAATGAAGATGCGATGGAAGCGGCGTCGTCGGAGAAGTCATCTTCAGACTCGTTGTCGGTTTTGATGTGGTGGTCTTCATCGCTCGAGTCGGAGTCGGAGTCGTGGTCACCTCTTGAGGCATGTTTGTGTGGTACTCCAAGGTGGTTTTGAACTGTTTGCCCAAACGTCTTCGCTATGTACCCATTGCCAGCAGTCTCGCTGAGAGAGATGTTCAGTCTGCCGTCACGCTTGGAGGCTTTGCCGTTCCCTTGGTTCTGGCCGTCGCCAACGTTGAGCTTGGTGTAGGATTGTTCTCTTTGCATCTTTCGTCGTTTTTGTTTGGCTCCTTGCTGGTTTGCCGCTGGTTCGCTCCCCGAGGAAGACGACGAGGCATCGGACTCGTCGGTTTGGGCGGAGTGATGGGTGTGAGAGTGCGAGGTGCTGCGCTGTAGAGCATTCATGATGGTGGCAGAGCGAGGCATGGCCTTTGGCCTCTCTGTCTGCCATGATCTCTCAAGGCTGGGACGGTCACCAGTTGGTAGTGATTGTGTGTTGGTTGGTTTGGAGACTTGGACCGGAGTCTCTGCGTGGTCAACCCTCTCGATGTCACGGTCGAGGCCATTGCTCTGCTGCAGCTGTCCTACAAAGTATCCTTCTTCCTGTTCGCTGCTTTGGAGCGGAGCGGTGGCGGGTGTTTGGTACACCGAATGTGATTGGCCTTGGTCGATGCCGTGGGTGGGAAACTGCGTCTCGGGCGGTACGATGGTGGGAATAAGAGCTTGACCCTTGTTGTCGGTAAGGACACTCGGACTCTTCTCTGCCTCGCCGGGCAGCCTGCTTGATTCAGGCCCTGCCATTGAGGATATAGAAGCACTCTTCTAGGTGCGGCTCTGTTGCTCCTAGTCGGCCAAGCGACGCTTCGTGCAGGTGAAAAGTTGAAACACCCGGGACGACGATATTCGCATCAATCCAAAACAACAGGGGGGGATAGGAACGACGGACAAGTAGGAGTAGGCCTCTTGACGTTCGGTCTGGAATTCCGGTTTCCAGATGATATCATCATCGCTTTTGAGACCAAAAGCTTGAAGTCAGTCCTAATGCGGTAGTCGAGATTAGCGTGCGGGTTCCGAATTCGCGCAACGCGTGGGTAAACAAGCCCGCCCCCACAGCGGCTCTTGCTGCCATCTGACATGGCGAGAACTCTATGTCGCAATTCATCCAGATCTCCAGAAAGCTTCATCTTTGGAGCAGACGGTCGTAGTAGTAGTACTCTTGAGTGCTGCAGCGATTGCTGTCGGGTCTCCAGGTACGCGGTACAGCATCTCCAGAAATACCAGAGGCTGCGAGGGATGCTGTGCGTCTCGCTACCAGCGCTAGTAGCTTATAGGACCGATCTACACAAGCTGATTCGTCTGATATCTAGTTAAAGTGGACGAGTCGGAGAAAAGGCGTCAACCTGACTCTTTTCCAGGGTCGCCATCGATGCGACTCGATCATTGGCCATTTGCTTTTCACGTCACGCCCGCGGCGGAGCAGACCTCCTCGACATTTCTAGGTCCGTGAGCTCTTCCCACTGTTGACATCATTTACACTTTCACCGGTCATGTGGCTCGAAAGCACCATCACACTCTCTTGAAAAGTCTGGTAAACATTGTACCCGGGGGAACGGATCCCGCATATCATGGAAGAAGGTGCAACCGCCGGATGGCGTGCCTCTCAGGGACACCTCCATCACCGCGACGTCGACCAACATTTGGGAACTTTCCAATTGCAGACTCTTGCCGACCAACAGAGCCTTGTCGGGCCCTCCCGCGCTCCTGGGAACAGTGCGCGCTCGACCAAAGAGAGACCTTGCGATGCATGTCGCAGACGCAAGACGAGATGTGTCAAGGAGACCGGCGAGGACAAGTGTGTCTTGTGCAAGTTCCACAGCCAGGAGTGCTCCTACTTGCACGAGCCAGTCGCCAGGACCAGAAAACGAAAGGCCCAGCCAAGTGAGGAGACTGATAGAGGGTTCACAGATGATGCCAACCGCGTTATACGGACCAACGTGGGAACCGGCGTCGAAGAGTACGACGAACTTCCTGGAGAAAGCTTGCTGAAGAAGACGCTTGGTCTCCAGAACAAGCATCATGCTCTTTTCGTCGGCTTGACTGAACCATTCTCCTTTCCTCGCTTCTCGCTCACATTAGGGAGTTCCCAAAAATATACCCAGGGTGGAATTGTCATGATCCGCAAAGTCGATGATTTTAACGCCTTCACAATTCGTGAAGACCACGGCACTATCGGTTACGATACCGAACAAACTCGAGTAGATGCCATTCAGCAGTTGGTCGAGCCCTATGGACAGGCTCTTATCGATCTGTACTTCCGCATAATCCACCCATCATTCCCCATCCTCCACAAAGGCGTATTCCTCGAGAAGCACGCACGTTCCTATCGCGAGTTTTCTCCCGCCCTTCTGGCGGCCGTCTACCTTCTTACTACCAACTACTGGAGATGCTCGCCAATCCTAGCGACCAAGCCCAAGCCAGATGCCAAGCGGCTATACGAACTGGCAATAGAGTCTTACGACCTTACAATCTATCGTCCAAAGCTCTCGTCGGTCCAGGCCGGTTTACTGCTTGCACAATACGAATACTTTGATTCTGATGTTATGAGTTGTGGCTCCAGAGGCAAGCTCACGGCGCAGCTGGTCGCAATGTCGCATACCATGGGCCTCCATCTAGATTGCTCAAGATGGGATCTGCCCGCCTGGGAAATCAGCTTACGTTGTCGTCTTGCCTGGGCCATCTATGTTCAGGACAAATGGGTAGCTCTTATCGAAGGTCGACCAGCTTTAATTTCAGACTCTGACTGGCTCGTACCATTCTTACAGCACAAGGACTTCCCAGAACACGAAGAGCATAACGAGGAAGGAAGCTCGGAAGTTGAGAAAAGCCGCATCATCTTCATCCAAATGATTGATCTGACACGAATACTCTCTGATGTTCTAGGAGCCATTTTCAGTTTGCGCTCGCATCACACTATACAGATATCGGCAGATCCAGTTGGAACTCTATTGAGCAGAGTGCAACCTTTGCAGCGTCGGCTCAGCGATTGGTTTGATTCGTCTATGGAGGTTCTGTGTCTGGAAAGAGCCTCGACCATGCGATTGACTTGTATAGGTAAGTTTCGTCAATTCCCCTGTACTCAAGCACTCGTCTCTGACCATGTTCANGGATACCTGAGACTTGCTTATCTTGCTGTCGAGGTCAGCCTGCATCGACGTATCATATGCCAAGTCATGTCTTCCGCGTCAGACCCGAACACGGCTACGGCCTGCCGTATAGCCGCCAAGCAAAGATGGCTATCTGCACTCGAGTTCGTGGATAGTCTAAAAGCACGCCACCTCAAATCGTTCTGGTATTTCAGTTCGACTGCCTGCTTGACGTTGCTCATCTCTTTCGGCAACGTACTTGTTGGCTCGGCTTTCGACTCATCTGAAGAACAATTCTATCTCGACAAGCTTAAGGAATTCCGATGGACCTTGAAGATCAACGGCGAAATGGGTGCGAAGTTCATGAATGCAGCCATCGGATCGATGATTCTCGATCCCAGGGAGATTCGCAAACCCGAGCCTCCTGTCACCAGCTCCGTCCCCAGTCCTGGGTCGAGGTCCGAGTCAAATTTCGGCATCTCTTCACAAAACGCATTCGGAAACATGGCCATACAACCCAGTGAAGCCTCTATGGGATCCTCTGGTGTTGGTCCAGGCTGGGTTAATCCAAGTACATACGCTAATCCACCAGTGTTCGCTGGATTCAACTCCGGTATGCCCGTGCAAGTACCTTTCATGTCTGGTTATACTTGGGCACCGCCTACCTTCGAGAATGATCAGCCGGCGCATAACTACCTTGACCACATGCCTGGCTGACGGACGCGAACGACTGCGACGCTATCCAAGGAACGTGCGCGTTGAACATGCCGATGAGGCCGAGTGATTTATGCGGTGAAGAGGCTTTGTGTCTCGCAGGCGGATCGGCCTTTGGAAAAAACCCTACCCTACCTTTCTTGGAGGGTTCTCTTGAAACAGCATGGATGATGAGACATGATATGCACTTCACGAAAGGAGGCAGTTTGATTTATGCGTGGCGGGAACTGCCGAGCGTATGAATAAGCTCAGCAGCACGTCGCTGCTACACTCATGGAGCGAGGACCATCTGCTCACGTTTACTACTACACAGAAAATGAACCACGAGAACTACGAAACACAAGCTATTATACAACGCGCATGATTCTCAAGACTGTCACGAACGGAATAACAATTTTCCCGCATCTGTGGCCCTCCGAGTACAAATCCCGAATGATCGATTCCGCCGGCGTCGGCTCGTTTCGCTTTGGGACGTAGACCGCCGAATTGAGCCAAATCACACTCGTTGCGGAACCAACGTTCCACGGAATTGCTCTGTTCATGTCCGTCCTTTGTCATGAAGAGGTGGAAACTCTGCCGGTTGCACAAAGTCGAGTGCCAAGTGGCTGAATGCGCATGCGAAGCCATCAAGGTTGCGGATGATCTGCGCAGACATCGAAGATCCAAAAACCTGCCACGGCCACAGACGGCTCGTCGACTCGTGCTACGCTGACACGTGCAGCAAAGTTCCCATTAGGGCTGTTGCTCGCTGAATATGCTGAACTACGAGCTGCTATGCCCCTTGCTGATGACAGCGGTATACCTTACCCCTTGTATACGGGCAGTCATGCTTACTTCTCACATGGTGTTTTGAAGGATTTATACTCGAGCAGAGTGGTTGTATCAGCCATCTCACAGCTCCTAGGAGTCAGCTTCCTTCTTGACGACCACATGTGGACCTATCACCATGCCTCTTGAGCCCATCATTTTGCTGCCGACCCTAGCCTCCAGCACATCTGCTCCCACGTTCGTTGGTTTCTGACAAGCTCTCGTAGCTCGCTACTCGCTAAACCATGCATTGGTATGGTGCAGCACGCATGACTGGTGTGTAAACCTTTACGCGCTATTTCTGGTTCCTGACGGTGGATGGTAGGTGACGGGAGTCGTGGGCTGGAAGGGGCGATCGATAGAATACGCTTCGCTCGAGGTAGGTGGAGGCATTCTGTTGTCCAGTTAGCTTGAGTCAGTCTTGGTTCGACATCGCGCTACTTTCGACAAAAGACTAGCCTCTCGAAGCTGTCTGATGGCTGCATGCTTCTGGCGCAGAGAAATCATGTGTTTGGAACGGTTGTGGCTCGAAGCTGTAGTCTGCGCTCTCTCAGAGAGCACCGAGGGACATCTGGCTGAGCATCCGTCTTCGTCTTCGTGCCGCCAAGCAACAATATTGCTGACAGAAACATACTAATCGTCGTTTTTCGGAATCAGCCAGCACAGAGCTTCGTGCTCTGTGCATATCCGCCATTATGCTCTCGCAAGAGGCATAACAGAGTGTTCCCTCCCAGACTTAGGCTCGATCATATCGCAGGGGCAAGTGAACTGGTATGGATGTATGGGCTGGCGTATAACCTTCTTGCGAGGTTGCGAGGACCTGGGTGTGTTCACTGCTGGGGTGTGTGGGACAAGGCGGCCAATGTTGTGCCGTGACAGGTAAGAAAGAAGAGGAGCATCGACTGAATAGAACAAAACGTGCTGTGTGACGATATCACAACCACGACCTGCTTCTACAACGTCGAGGCGTGTGTAGGCAAAAGAGAGGAAGCAAGTAATTGCGAAAGATCTGTCTCTCTGCGCGGCAAGCGCGTTGATGCAATCATGCGGCTCAAAAACATGCCAAAACCCTGAACTCAGGCAGCACTGACGGTTGTCAGGCCAAAGGTAAATGTTAGCGAGAAACCACTCCGGATGTTCCGGTCACGTTTCGTTAATCAATGCTGCTCACGAATCATCAGTCGAGGTTTGTTGCAGAGCCGTCTTGGGCACCCCTGATAGTTCGTGAGTTTACACTTTGGTTGATAGTCATGGTATGTTTCGGATTGCTCGAGAAGTTTCTCGGGCCTTTCTTTCGCCGCCGATAGCTGACAGCAGTCAGCATGTGCCCATCAACAATCTGTATCGAGAAGTTGGTATGCACTTACAATTTATACAGCTTGGCATCTTGCAGAGAGACACGAATAGACTAGTCGACGCGCAACAGGCCAATCTGCACAAGAATCATCTCCAAAGGAAGTCGAGTAGGTACGCGTATCTATTCAGGGGTAATTGCAATAGCCAATCCCATGATAGGGAACGAATCTCGACCACTGGACGTGCTGCGTGAAGCGTGGTATATGAGGGCAGGATCACAAAGGAAATGTTGTGCGTCCCTACGGGATTTGTCAACAGTCTTTGTCAGGATCGTGCGGCAGTACGTTGATACTGGTTGTGCATCGACAGACAGTTCGCATGCTCCCAAGTCATTATAGCTATAATGCAGTGTGTTATAGCAATAAGGTTCGTGGTTTTTTCTGCCCGTGCAACTTAATGCGTTTACTAATTTCGGCACGCAAGCCATGTCAAAGGCAGTTAAAGTTCGAGTTTCCTACTGACAGCAAAAGCTTGTGAGATCACGATGACTTTTTTGACCGCCATTGTTTGCATATAACACCGAATTCTGTAAGTTTGCGATTGCACACGGCAGTCTTCAAGCTGATGCAGAGTATCGTGAATTAAGTGACTTGCATAAGAAGCAAGGACCATGGTCGTCAGACAGAGGTAAGCGAGACACAGAAAGTTAATCGGGCTTTCCCAATTCGCTGCACCTTCCACTCTTGTATGCTCCGACACCACAGCACATGCATCATGGAATTACCAAACGCCATCCCTTATGCATTCCGGTTCCGTCCAGAGTCGACTGCATTGGTCATTATTGACATGCAGCGAGACTTTCTCGAGCCTGAAGGATTTGGCAGCATTCAATGCGGCGACGACGAGGTGTTCAGCAGCGTCCGTGGAATTGTTCCTGTGGTCCAGCGAGTCTTGGAAGCGTCCCGGAAGCTAGGACTCTATGTTATGCATACTCGAGAGGGACATCTCCCGGATCTATCAGATCTACCCGCGTCTAAACGCCTTAGACAGACGGCTGCCCCCAACGGTCACCATACAATCGGTATCGGAGAGCCAGGACCTATGGGTCGATTGCTTGTCAGAGGTGAGTATGGCCACGATATCATCGACGAGCTCAGGCCACTGCCAGACGAAGTCGTCATCGACAAGCCTGGCAAAGGATCGTTCTGGAATACAGGCTTCCACCGAGCTCTGTTGAATCGAGGCATTACACATCTGCTGCTTGCTGGCGTGACTACCGAGTAAGACCACCTGTGAAATGAAGGTCGAATCCAAGGATAACACATGTATAGATGTTGCGTCAACACTACAGCTAGAGAGGCTGCTGATCGTGGTTTCGAGTGCTGCGTACTGAATGAGTAAGAGATTCGGATCGGTTTAATCTTCTGGTGATTAGCTTACTGACCCATTTACACAGCNTGCACATCAGGCTTCGATGCCAACTTGGTCACCAGCGCCAACGATACGATCTGTGCGTATGATGGCCTTTTCGGTTATGTTGGTACATCTCCAGATCTCGTCAAGCTGTGCGAATCACAAAGTTCGCCTGCCTCTGCTGATCGAGCGGCTGCTCAAGAAGACTTGTCAATAATAGCCCTGGCACGATCTTACCGTGATGGCACAACAACACCAGTGGACGTTGCTCATGTCGTTGCTGAAAACATACTCGAGTGTCGTCATGAGAGTCTCGACGCGATAGCTGATTCCAAAGAGCTGGATATTCTTCTCCACGAAGCCGAGACCTTGCAACAAAAGTCTGCCAGTAAACCATGGCCGTCGCTTTATGGTATCCCATTCACCACTAGCCGAGATGTCGATGATACAACGGTCAAGGCTCTGATCAGTGCTGGAGCTTTACACATAAGGGGTCCGCCGGAACCTCTGGCCTCAGTAGCTGCTCGAATGGTCTCATTTGCTTTAGACAGTAATCCGTCGAGCATTTCTCAAGCTAGGACGTCTGATAGCGTCGTTGTTTTCCAGCCCACTCCTGTTGATGACAGATTCTCGATTGACCAGGACTCCGGATCAACAGCGATCGTTGCTCAATCTGTTCAAGAGGCGCGTAAGGTTTGGCTGGCCATCGAGCAGCACCTCAATCGCCTCGAAAATACCTCTGCCATATCTCGTAAAGTGGAAAACTCATGGGTATGGCATGTCGACTTCCGCGGTCCTAAGAATGGTGGCTTTGTGTTTGGCATACCAAGAACATCGAGGACCAATATTTGGTGCTCTGATGCTTCAAATCACAATATCCAAGCTGTTAAGCGGCTACAAGCAGCCGGCGGACAAGCTGAAGAGATTGACTGGAATATATTCGACCAAGTCAAAGAAGTCACCCTGGGTCTAACTTTATTAGCTGCTGCAGAGACTGTCAGTATGAAAGCAGTATTGGAACTTCAAGCCAAGCATGCGAAGCTGTCTAGACAAGCGACAAAAGTCCTTGAGACTGTCGACGTCTTGCTTGTCTCCATGACAGCATGTTTATGTCACACGGCATCAGAACGTCCGGAGCAAAGCCGCTATCTCTTCGACACTATGAAGGTATGCAGTATCAGTGTGAACACTGGACATAACTGCACACAACAACAAGACATTAGTGCTACACTGATATTGGTGGGCGCAACTGGGAGAGATGGATGGATACTCGATATAGCACGGGAGATGGAGAGAACGATGCCACGCTGAGTTGGGACTTGGATGTGACTCCGTCTGCTCAAGCTTGTCACATTATACCGATTGAGATACACGATACTATGAAACCACCATGGGATGATATTCTCGTCCGGATCATTCCTCTGGAGAAGAGTAATGTGCGATGGGATAGCTGGAGATGTCACAACACGTAAACACGAGAGGCTACTGAATATGGGATACAGACAAGAGGTGGGTGATGGAAAATGGTATTAAGTATGCATTTTATAGATCCAACATTCATATCTTCTTACAAGCAGCTCAAAAGCTTGCTGGGTATAATCCAAAACGTGATATCATAAACTTTTTTAGGCCTTGTTGAACAGAACGGCTCTGTATCTGACGTTGCCCTCGTCAAGGTCCTTCATGGCCTTCTCAATGCCCTCTACGGACATGTCGTAGTGCTGGGTGATGGGCTTGATCTGGTGGTGGGCGGCGAACTCCAACATTCTCTTGTGGATGAAGCGGGGAGCGACGATGGAGCCCTGGACGGTGAGACCCTGAGCGAGGAGACCCATGTAAGGGATGGAGAAGTCACCCTCATCGACGGAGAGGGGGAAGATGGTACCGCCAGGGGCCATGACGGGGAGGTAGAGCTTCCAGTCGATCTGGGCGGAGGTGGTGACGAGCAGGCGGTTGATGGGCTTGACGTCCTTGAGCTCGCTGACACCCTTGGTGGCGTAGAACTCGCTGGCACCGAGTCTCTTGGCCTCCTCCTTCTTGGAGTCGGTACCGGAGAAGACGACAACGTCGCAACCCATCTTGGCGGCGAACTGGATGGCCAAGTGACCGAGACCGCCGACACCGACAATACCGACGCGCTCGGTGGGCTGGGTGTTGTACATGTGGAGGGCGTTGAAGACGGTGGCACCACCGCACTGGAGAGGGGCAGCGGCCTCATCGGGAAGGCTGTCGGGGGTCTTGAAGAGGAAGGCCTCGCGCCAGACACCGTGGGAAGCGAAAGAACCCTGGTCGGCATCGGCGTAACCGTACATCTTTCTCTCGGGGCAGTAGGTCTCGGTTCCCTTCAAGCACTGCTCGCAGTGGGAGCAAGAGTCGTGCTCGTAACCCCAGCCAACGCGGTCACCCTTCTTCAGGAGGGTGCAGGCAGGTCCAGTCTCCTCAACGACACCGACACCCTCGTGGCCAAGGGCCATGTCGGCCTTGCGGTAGTGCAAGTCAGTACCGCAGAGACCGGAGGCGGTGACTCTGATGTAGACCTGGTCGCCCTTGAGCTCAGGCTTGGTGTTGGTGGCCTTCTTGATGGCACCGGACTCGGAGCCTTTGTAAACGGTGTAGGAATAAGTCATTTTGGTGATGTGAGGTGATTGAGAGTGTAGAGATGAGAATGAGGAGATGTCAGGAGATGGAGAATTGGCCCTTATTAAGGGAGGCCCCTCCCCCACCAATGCCTCACCTAATTATCTCCGCCACTCACTGCTTACAAAAGATATGGCTCAACAATTCGCTTGAGCTCTTACCAATCTCTGCCATGACGTTTCAGGCGAGGTCGTGCAGGGTGTCACTTGTGATCGGTGGGCAAGGGTTTTGTTGCAATTTGAGACTGCCGGTTGATCCGACGAGGAGGCCCGAAGGCCAAATTCCAAAAAAATCTTAGAGTCACGTCATGTCTCTTATCTTATCAAACCACGTGGCGCTGCATAAGCGACGGGACCGAGGCAAGCATGGACCTGCGCTCTGATGGCTTCCATTTCTTCGAGAGCTTCGAAACCTTTCTCATCCTGATTGCTTGCCTTAGCTATGTTTGAGAGCAAGACGTCTGTATCCCGAGTAGGGATTCGAGAATGTTCGAAGTCGCTCAGAACTCAAACCCGTGCTTGAACGTCAAAGAGCTCCCCAAAGCCCTGGATTGATCGCGACGCAAAATGCTCAGAATGACGTCGGCGAGACCCTGCGATGGTCGTGATGGACGTGATTTTCAATCAATCATGGCTTCGATCGTTCTCGACGAACACGAAATTCGACTCAGGCCCTTCGAATCATGCGTTGCTTTGCAACAGTATTCAGCCGTTACCCTCAAGCGAAAGCAGCTGTACTGATGGATCGAACGATGGCTGACTGCAATCTGGCGTTCTGCTTTCAATGGTTGCGACCAGGAAATCGAGGTCTTTGTGCTCAAAATCGTAAAGTGAATTTAGCTGTACAGCAAGGTCTGCTTCTCTTTGTCTGCTGGTCGAAATGAGCAAGAGGCCGGAAATGGGTAGGTACAACATTTTCATTGTCATGGCCATTCTTTTATGGCTTCACCTGCGTATACATCTCAGTCGCAATGTTGCCACACCTCTAGGTCTACAAGCAATCCAAGTATACACAGAATGGCCAAGATTCTGGCTGCCGCCTTGTCGGCGTTCGCTGCAGTTACCGTTGCGGACACATGTAATCCCTTGAACACGAAATGTCCTCCCAATGCAGGATTAGCAAACAGTACTTACACGGTCGATTTCACAAAGCAATCATCAGTTCCATCAGAGTGGACACTCTCCAACTACGCCAATCTCAATTTTGGTTCCAAGGGCGCTGAGTTTACCGTAGCCAAGCGATTTGACTCTCCTCAACTGTGGACCAATTTCTACATCCACTATGGCAAGGTTGAGATCGTAGCCCAAGTTGCTCCCGGAACAGGCATTGTTTCCTCTGCGGTTCTCATATCTGACGATCTTGATGAGATTGACTTGGAATTCTCCGGGAACAACTTCAGGGATACTGCTGGAAAGGGCCAGAACAACTACTACGGNAAAGGTGGGTAGTCCAGACAAGGCTCTATGCGAGGCTTTGCTGACTGTTGTTACTAGGGCATAACTGGAAACTATGATAGAGGCAGTTTCTTCAGTGTCGCATCGCCTCAGACGCAGTTCCACACATATACCGTTGACTGAACTTCCACAGCCTTGACTTGGTCTGTCGACGGCACAGTCGTCAGAACTCTCAACGCTGCCGATACTGACAATGGCTCCCACCAATACCCTCAAACTCCAGCAAAGTTCCAACTCGGTATTTGGGTAGCAGGAGATCCTGGAAACGCCTGGGGTAAGTACTGAAATATCTTGTTATGATCTATATTGACTTGTGGANNAGGCACCGTGGATTGGGCAGGTGGCTACACTGACTTTACACAAGCTCCATTCACCATGTATGTGAAGAGCGTCAAGATCACCAACTATAACCCTGCACACGCCTATAATTATACAGATAATTCTGGCAGCTCCAACAGCATAAAGTACGTCTCGAAGCCGGTCGTTTCCTCTTCTAGTACTACTACACAGGCTTCCAGCTCTAGTACAGCTTCTGCCTCTGTGCCAGTCAAAGCCCCCACAATATGTGCTGGCGTTCCTCCATCAGCGCCCACGCAGAACGGAATTATCTCTGGCTGTACTCAGTGGTATACCGCCAAGTCAGGAGATACGTGTCTCAAGATCGCTACTAAGTTCAACATCTCCAATGAACAGTTTATGGCATGGAATCCGGCAGTTGATCCTCCGTTGTGCTATAATATGTGGCTGAATTACGGTTATTGTGTATCGACAGATTGTGCACTCGTAAGCACATCATCCACCGCGGTTTCTACAGCCAGCTCAACGAGCTCATCTCGTTCCACGTCTGTGACTGCAAGCACCAAGTCAAGTTCCACAATTGTTGTTTCGTCTACACCACTGCCGACTACTACCATCAGTCCAACATCGAGCGTTGGCACTTCGAAGCCCTCCAGTAGTTCTAGCATCGCGACTGCTTCTACCGCTTCGCAGGGCTCCTTTGCGTCAGTGACATCAAGAATAAGCACCACGTCGCTTTCTTCGACTTCCTCGTCGACTTCACTCGTCGTCAGTTCATCAAGCATGACTACCGGCTCAGCTTCTGCAACTTCATCTTCGTCATCTTCAAGTGTGCCGTTATGTCCTGATACAAACGGACAGAGTCTGGTGAATCGAGACAGCAATGCCTACACTTTCAAGTGCGCCTCTGATTCAAGCACGGGGTCTTACTCAAGCGCTCACCCCCTTCACTCGTATCTTGATTGTATGAATTTGTGCGATGAAGCCGCGGATAGCGGTTGTACGGCATTCACATACGTGGGTATCTCGCGAGGAAACGGCGCTGGTATTTGCTACCTTAAGAGCTCCTCGGGCACTTTCTCAGCAGCTGCTGACAACTATATCTCCGGTTTCCTGACTGTGAACAATACTTCTGCAAGCAGCACGACTTCTTCAGCTGTAACAGCGAGCGGTTCTACCAGTGTCCTCCCACTCGTCAGTCCTTCGGCTGAGCTCTGCCCCGATGCTGAAACGCAAACCTTTGTCACATCCCAAGGCGGATCGCTCTTCTTTATGCGCTGCTCCTCCGACACGAACATAGGATCATACAGCAATAGCAAGGCCTCTGCATCCTGGAAAGACTGTATGAACAGCTGTGAGACCGATGCAAGATGTGTCGCCTTCACATATGTCGGTCCTCAAGGATCTTCTGGTTCAGGTCAAGGTGTATGTTGGTACAAAGACACTAAAGGTAGTGCAACTGTTGCCGGACGGAACTATATTGCAGGTTTCTTGGCTATCAAAGCTGTCAACTCTCGGTCGTCGGGTTCATCTGTGAGTAGCATCGCAACGGGCAATCTGGCAGTGTCTTCGAGTTCTGCAACGACCAGCTCTTCGACTCCCAGTACATCGACTGCGTCAACATCTTGGGCTACAAATTCGGCTGGCAACAACTACACTATCTACCGTGGTTCGGATACAAACTATGGTGCGTACAGCAACCTCCCAGCATCCAACTCTTTCATGGACTGCACGACTGCCTGCGACAAGGATTCGAAATGCACAGCCTGGACTTACGTCGGTGGAGCGAATGGTCTGGGAAACGGTGTATGTTGGTTGAAGTATCAACTTGGTCAGCCTGTCCCAAGCAACAGCAACAACGTCATCTCAGGCTCTCGCTTGACCCAAGGGGTGAGGATGCGCCGAGCTGTATCTTCTTGGTGGAACAGTGTCACGTCGGTCAAAACTACAGCCACCGCCACTAAGACTCAGCGTGTTGCTACCAGCATACCTAAGCCGCCACCACATCCTGCCTGGGCTCGCTACTATCCACATGGCGGCAGATGGATGTGGAATGGTCACAATGATTGGGAGTGGGTCTGGAACTAGGAGAAAAAGCCGGAGTCACAGAATGTGTTGCATTTGCGAAATTCGTTTTGTGTTCTTGATTCAGAGTTCCTTCAGTTTACTACTCTATCGTTGTCTCAATTCTCCTCCGATCGTCACATGCAATTTCTCTCGACTAGTGATGAGCCCATGTCTTTGATTGAATCAACGATCCTTTGTGTCGCTTGTGAGACTGTCCTCTTCTTTCACANNTTGCTTTATTGATNNCTTTCACACGTCTTCTTTGTTCCATTGTTTGCTTTGCCTTAACAACGCCTGGATCTCCTATTTATTCGATAAGCAAGAGATATTGCCAGCCCATCTCNNCTCCTTCCCTCCTTCTTCTTCAGATTCTCTGCCTTTGTCTTCCGAAAAATCCCCAACGCAACCATTCCANTTAAACATCAAACCCCCATTGACAACTTCCCCAGACTTCCAAATGGCTAACAAAGTCGCCGTCTCCTTTGGAGTAGTCATGGCCGTTTTTGTTGCTCTCGCTCTCACTCTCTGGGGCTTGTCTGCTATCAAGCACGCTCGCCACGATACTGCCTCTCATAACCAACAACACCATGCAAAGCTAGATGACTGGACCGCCCGTATGCGCAGAAAGACTTGGAGAAACACTCACGTTGACCGTGATGTGGAGATGCAAGTTCTCCCTGAGCTTCCTCGTCTTCCTGAGAATGTCATCGTTCGTTCTGGTCCTGCTAGGGTGTCCCGAATGGGTAGACTCTATCCTGCTAATGCGAATCAGAGGGTGCAATTTTGTGATGTTCCGTTGACGCCTGTACAGGGTCAGCGTGGTGTCACTCCTGCTGGCTTCTTCTAGAAAGGGTAAGTGCGATGGATGAGTGACGCTTTTATTTAGTAGCTGGTCTACCAAAATCACGATAATGATATTTTGTTTCTTAACTTGATTTTGTCCCTTTTGTCTTTTCTTGTGGTTGTGATTATGTTTGTGAGTTTTGATATTTCATCCACTCACTCGTCCCATTGAAAATGTAATGCTTCACAGTTCGGCAGCGGCACTATTTTAGGCTACGAGTGAAGTATTTCGTAAGACTCAAGCTGGAAGATGCGCAATGCAAGATAACGTCCTTCCCTCGCCCCGAATCGAACCCTGACTCTATAGTTAGGAGACTCTATGTACTACTCAGATTCAATTATTTCCTGTGATCGGTCGAGTGGTGTAACGGCTTGTACACTCGCGGTTCGCAATAAAACAGCCCCTGCCTTGTACGTCTTAGTCCATGACCCCCAGATGACCGACATCTGGTGACTACAATCAAGGAAGTGAAGGGGCAGTTTTCCCACACGAGCTCAGCTCTGGTTTTTTGCTTGTGTGTCTTGAATTCAAAGTGAGGTTGATAAGAACGAATTTTCCTTTCTGTCAGGCTACATTATGGAAAACCCTTCGATCTAAGTGGTTAGGCAGACAAAGTCTCCGACTTCTCAGTCTTTCCTTCAAACACTGTCTCTTTTTCCTGCTGTGCTTTGGCTAGAGCTTCCGTCCTTGATTGACTGTTTGGGTCCAGATAAGGTACCTCGCCGATACCGACAGCACGGTTACCGAATCTCTCACCCAGTCCTTCGTAATCGAAAGTGGCACTGTGGAAAGCACTACGGTTGTCCCAAATGGCNNTGAAGATTTGTATCAGTATATGTAGTCAGAACAAGATGACCGGAAATGGGTGCTCACCAATGTCATTCTCGTTTCTCCACTTGAAGCGAACCTGGAGATCATGGTTCTCCGTGATGGTGGCACGGAACTTCTTCAGCAGTTCTTCCGATTCGTCTGCGTTCAATTCGTTGATGAATTTCGGGAAGGGACCGAGGGCAAAAATGCTCTTCCAACCAGTGACAGGGTTTGTTCTGACGACCGGGTGCACGGCTGTAAGCTCTTTTCCCACATTCAACGGACTACCGCGCTCTTTCTCGTAAATCTTGACCTTGTCTGGGTTGGCAGCAGCGGCCTTGATGAATCCATCACCAGAGAATGTGGCTGTCAGACCTTCGAAGAATTTCTGGTAGGCTGGCGAAAAGCGATCGTAGATTTCGTATCCAGATGCCCAGATAGTGTCACCGCCAGACTTTGGGAGCTGGGTCAGACGTAGCGAGGTGTAGTCGGCTGGTACAGGCTCGAACTGGATGTCCGAATGCCACTGAGCAGCATCATAGCGGCGCTTGTTACGTGTATCGTTCTCTCTGAAGAGAGATTTTCTTTGCAATGAACTGATGGTACTGATCTCAGCATCGTCGACACCAAATTCGCTGCTGTTGTTGAGAATGGGATGGATATGCAGAGTTGATGTCGCAGGCTTGCCGGACAGTTGACCAAGCTTATGGTTCAATTGCTTCTGCAAGGCGTTTGTGAGATTGTCTTGCTTACGGAAGAAGACAACTCCACGCTCCGAGACTAGTGTAAGGGTAAGATACAGGTCATACATAAGGTCAAGATGCAGGCTCAACATACTAGTGATGGCAAGGTCTCGAACAAGCTCATCTGCGTTGGGTGCATTCAATAAGTCATCAACAATGTTGACATTCAGGAATTCTCGTCCAATGGTGGGAGTGGTATCCTCGTACTTGAATTGCTCGAGCACACCAGATTGCTTGAGGGGCTTGCGAAACGTGTACTGGTCTGCAGAAACCATTGTCAATTAGGAGATTTGATGTGGGCTGAGATTCAGACGTAGCAAGAGACACTCTACAGCGATCTAAGACCAGAGCGACAGGGTTGATATATACCCTTCCATGCCTACCGTGTTAGATTGGTGCCAGATGCCGTGACTTGTATGCAACATCGCGCAATACCGATAACAAGCACGCAAAATGCGCGTCTGGGTGTATCACCATACGTGGAAGCTTTGACACGTTTCCAGCCTTTTCAGATGAATGGCACCCACAAGATCAACTTCCCCTCATGGTGCATCGATTCGAGGTTGACCCTTCAGAACCCTTAGGATGCCAAGACAATGGATGTAAAGCACGCCATCTTACGACAGAGCACTTAACAGTGAATCCCACAGTACACACCGAGACTGAGGGACATTCGGCAGTTCAGTGTATCTGTCCCGCGCGGGCTGATCGCTTCGTTCGTATCATTCACCCAGGCACGGGGTCGTACAGATGTGAATGTAGCTGTGTGCTCGATCACACAGCGTCGCTACGCGAGGCTACACCATTCAATGGGAGCCATCGCCATATCTGATCTCTTCAGATGGATCTCTGACCTGGAATCAGTCATGCATTTACGCCAGAATATCGCTGTCTGTAGCTGTGCGATGGGACGCTATATTTTGTAGGCTTCAAATGTGGCAGGCTTGAGCATAGGGGGCATTCACACAATCATTGTGTTCTGATGGATTGGATTCAAGATGCTGAGCAAAGACGGCTTGGCCGTGTTGTGGTCAGAGATTAGTGAGTGTACAAACAGGAAGGAGAGATGGAAGCAAAGTGGGCGCCGGACGCCTGTCTCGCCGAAGCAAGTCCGATAGCGCTGTCTTTCCTTTCTTCTTCCTTCAGCAACAACCTAAAAACAGCTTCTAAATCGTATGTGCAGTGCTCTCGTATCTGAGACTTGGTCGGCCGACGGCTGAAAGAGCTATTGTCGTACGAGTTGGCTGCTGCTGTGCTGATGTTGAATTGCGCCGGAATTTGACGATCCGACAGAAGCAACAACAACATCAAGGGTTCTGCCTTCCAAGTTCCAACTATTTCCGTATACTTCTTCGATCAAAGGACACCTATCAGTGAGTTATCTCTCGACAGACTTCACGTTGTGTAGGCATGTCCTTGATAAGCACGAACCCAACAACCATGCCCTGATTTAACTCTGCATGCTATTGCCACGTCATGTTTACACCACATGCCTAAACGAAGGCCGTAAAATGGTGAGAACGAGCGCTATCCGCAGCAACCTGTTTACAATATGTGGATTTTATGCTATAAGGCCGATGGGACCATGGTATCACCGGAACATGACGAACAATGACAGCCCTGGCGGGTTCGACTCCGTCCAAGCTCTTTGGAAACCTGGTTATGAGGTGAGATTGATGTGATCCTCGAGGCAGCTTGCCAGGTACCGTTTTAATCTACAAGTATATCCGACTTCTTCTGCTCCTCCATCGCTACACTCTCTTTAACATTTGACGTTTGCTATCGAAAGCCCCCCGTATCCACGCTCACGGTCTACGGTCGTCTCACACATCGCCTCAAAAGTACACGTTTACAAGTTCCAAATATTACTGCCATGGACTCTGTCGGCCAGGTCAGGAAGGACTCGCCACTCCAGGCAGTCGAACTCGGCACGTTTTTCGTAGGGATTACTCGCGTGTACCAACAAGCGCTAATCTACTGAACAAACAGAGATGAAACCACCATTGAAAGGCGAGCTAGGACACGAGATGGAAAAGCTAGACCAAATGTTCTGGATCGACCAACAGAAGTTGAAAGACATCAGCAGACAGTTCGAGGTGGAACTAGATCGAGGTGTCAAGGAGAACAATCAGAATATCGTATGTGGTCCAAATATTGAGAACACTTGGAACGCCGGTCACTAACGGATTCATTATAGNCCAATGAACATCACCTGGGTTCTAGGTCAACCACATGGCGACGAGAAGGGCTCGTTCCTCACAGTGGATCTCGGAGGTACAAACCTTCGTGTTTGCTGGATCACACTACCAGGGGCACGTGGTCAACCCAGCATAGTCCAAGAAAAATACCAACTCTCCAAGGAAGTCAAGACAGGCACCGCGGATCAGCTCTGGAACGAAGTAGCCGACCGAATGCAAACCTTCATTCGGGATCAGAAACTCGACGAAACAGCTACTCAGCCTCTACCGCTTGGCTTCACCTTCTCCTACCCGGCCATGCAAGATTTCATTGACCACGGCGTGCTACAAACCTGGACGAAAGGCTGGGACGTCAAAGGTGTCGAAGGCAAGGACGTGACAGTGCAACTCCGTAAAGCAATGGACAAGAGGAAGCTTCCTGTCAAGCTTGTCGCGTTGATCAACGATACGACAGGTGCGATGATCGCTTCTGCATACCACGATCCTGAGACTATCGTTGGCGCTATCTTCGGAACAGGCTGCAACGCTGCGTACATGGAGGACAGCGATTCAATCCCCAAGATCGCAGGACGACTACCAGCAGCCTGTCCGGTCGCCATCAACTGCGAATACGGAGCCTTCGATAATAGCCATACCGTACTCCCAATGACGAAATACGACCACATCATTGACAAAGAATCGCCTCGACCAGGCGAGCAAGCGTTTGAGAAGATGAGTGCAGGCCTCTACCTCGGCGAGATCTTCCGCCTCGTTCTCGTCGATCTTGCAGAACGAAACCTGATCTTCAAAGAACAGGACATCTCAAGATTGGACAAGTCATACATCCTCGACACCGGTTTCCTCTGCGCGATCGAAGACGATCAGTCCGTTGGCCTCGCAAACACAGCTACATCTTTCGAAGCCCTCACAGGAATCAGACTAGACGACCAAGAACGACAGCTTTGTCACCACTTGGCAGAAGTCATCGCTATTCGCGGAGCACGCCTTTGTGCTTGCGGTATCGCAGCCATTTGCAGCAANAAGAATATCAAACACGGCCATGTTGCAGCCGATGGTTCGGTCGCAAACAAGCATCCCAAGTTCAAGCGACGATGGGCCGATGCGTTGGCTGAAATCTTGGATTGGCCAGAGGGAAGGGTCGAGGATCCGATTGTGTTGACTCCTGCGGAGGATGGTTCTGGTATTGGTGCTGCGGTTATCGTTGCCATGACTCTGGAGAGAGCGAGGAAGGGCGAGAATGCTGGGGTCAAGGAAGCTGCTGATATATAACACTTGATGAGGTCGTTGCTGCTTTTGTGAGGAGGACCACCAACATATAAGACGTTGGCACAATACACAATCAGTTGTGTCAAGCTGATATCAGGAGTGGTCGTAAAGCATTCAGTATATACGATATCGAAGTAGAGGCAAGAAGGGGCATTACTAGGAGAACAGGGAAACACATGCCAGTCAAGCGCAGGTCCATCTCAACGAGTCTTGATAACAAAGGAGAGACATGAGAAGAAGGTAGAGCGGGACTAGAAGTCACCGCCACCATCATCGCCACCACCGTAGTCGTCGTTGCCATAGTCATCACCGCCGCCTCCATTGTCATAGCCTTGTTCGTAGGAGCGATCTTCCATATCGTCGATGCCGTTCATCAACATGGCACCACCAAGCAGACCGGCACCACCAGCCAGAGCCATGCCACCCATGCCCATACCGCCACCCGTCTTACGTTGTGGCTGTCCGTACATTTGCTGTTGCGGGTAGCCTCCATAGCCTTGCTGAGGGTATCCGCCGTATTGCTGTTGGTGCATGCCACCACCACCCATCATGCCGCCAGAGGGGTAGCCTTGCTGGCCGTAACCCTGGGGAGGACGCGAGCTCGAGCCCGAGACCTTGCCGAGAAGCTTTCCCATCAGTCCGCCCTTGCTCTTACCACGGTCCTGGTCGCGGGGAGGCAGCTCATTCGAGTACTGAGGCTGAGATTGGTATTGAGGCTGGGACTGGGACTGAGACTGGTACTGAGGAGTTCCGGAGCTGTAGTAGTTGTCGGAGGCGCCTGAGCGAGCTCCAGACTGGCCGGACTGACGAGCGCGAGCTTCTTCCTCGGCCTGAAGCTTGCGGGCAAGGGCCTCGTCGTCGTTGACATTGTGTGACGAGCCGGCCGAGTGAGTCGAGGAGCCGCCGTAAGGGTTGTTTGAGCCGTAGCCACCCTTCTCAGCACCGAGATGCTGGGATTGGTTGGAGTCATAGCCCGGAGGAGCACCTGGAGGGGGCCGCCTGACGAAGGATAGGCGGGCTGGGTGGGCTTGTCCCATTGCGATTGCTTGGTGTACAGGTTTACGAAAAACCATTCCTTGTATTGGTCGTTCCACTGAGCCTTCCAGCCTTCAGGAACCTGAGGTGGGGGTGGGCCCTGCGAGCTTGTCAGCGATCGTGTTGGTGCCTAGCAGATATGATGGCGCATACCGGAGGGGGAGCATAGTCGCCCATCGTGTCTGTTTGCTTGAGTTGAATGAGTTGTCTGGGTGTGTGCTTGTTTTGCTCGGAGAGCTTTCACAGGAGAGGGAGAGATGGTAAGAAGGAGTAAGAGGTGAATCAAAAGGCAGAGAAACGTGGTCAATAGACGCAAGACAAGCAGGTGAAGGAGGTGACGGTTTAGACTTTACACACGTCATTCAAGGTTCGCTATTGTGGCTGTATCATCGTGGCGCAGATGAGCACTTCTTTGTCTCACTTGCAACTTTGCCATTTGGACTCACAGCTTCTCCATTCTACCTTCTTTGTCATTCCTGATTTCCAGTACCAGCTATTCACAAGGCTGTGTTCGCCTTCCACCTTGATGCACACCATCCAATCTATCTCGCTTTCCAACCTGTACGATCTGTTGCCAAGTGCCCCGCAGCATGGCGCCGAGGCTCGAACGATGGCAAGCTCAACGCACGGACCAGATACCATGCGGCAAAAGTTTAATATGTTCATATCGTCTCCCCAAATTTACATCGAGCCCCTTTAGCTCAGTTGGTAGAGCGCGGCACTAGTAATGCCGAGGTCGCCGGTTCGACTCCGTCAGGGGCATTGTTTTTGCTGGTTGTTGAGCTATCTTTTGTTCGTGGTCGTTCTGATGAGAAACCACTTTTGGTGGGTGGGTGAGCATTTTTGCTGCGCGCAAAGTCGGAGCTTAGCATCCAATCTGTGCACGCTTGTAGGGGAAGCAGCTCACAGATCGAACGACAGCTCCTTCCCGGAAGAATATCTCTTCAAACAGCGAATAACAAACATCGGACCGCTATGAAAGACCGGCGTGGGACGTTTGTATGGAGCTATGCCTTCATCTCAGTACAACTACATTCATAGAGCTAGAAGTCCTTGGTGTCTCTTCGTTAAAGAGCGAGGACGAAAAGGCAATGCAAAAGGCCTTAGAACAAAGAGAGGAAAACAGCTACAAAGGCGCTAGAGTCTTTACCCGGACACTCACGGGGCTTCAGAAACAAGTAGATCAAGTATCGTGGTATCCCTAGGATTTAACACGGTCATGAGCAACTAGAGCAGATTTGTTGCATTGCTAAGAACACAAAACTCGAACACATTTCTGTTAGTTCCATTCTGGGCTTCAGTCAGAGGAGGCGTGCCGGACCAGGTCTAAGAGTTCACCGTTCGTGGACAACAGGAAGGTTCATACGCTCTCTTTGCCATTGAGCCCATCCTTGAATTTGAAGGTGTGCAAGGCTTCAACTGCGACGCGGAGCATCTTCCAAAGTTCAAGAGATATGCGCAGGCAATCGAGAAGAGCAAGTTGACGAGTGAGGAAATAATGAATAGAAAGAGTGTTGTTGGCGGGTCTGAATAGGGAAGGAGGTACCAAAGCAGTGTTTACTTCGTACCGTCCTGGGAAATCGGCAGAGATTACGGTTCGATCATGGTGGCTAGCTAGTCGGTACAAACATCTCATGTACTGCTTCTCTTCTCCTGCTTTCGTGCCTTCTTTTCTTCCTTCTTGCGAAGTATGTCTTCTCTCCAACCACGACCCCAGACCGTGACCGTCCAAGTCAACACTGCTGAAACACTCAAGAATGCTGCACTGATCGTGCTGAACCATCCTACTCCGATCGCCTCCACCGCAGGTAAACATGCAGCTGTTCCAGTGGCAGCAAACAGATAACGTAACATGTAGTTTCCAGCAACCACTTCGGAAGACCGTTTCTGCATCACATCCAAGCAGTACGTGTTGAGTGATGGGAAACAGAAGAGTTGTGCCACGCCCTGGATGAACATGACGATGACTGGTAGAGGGATGCCACCCTTATCCTTCTCGATTGACCATCCGTAGATCAACATGCATCCAGGGATGATGACGCCCATGAAGACTAGACAAGATCGCAGTCGGTCCTCGGGTACGCGCTCACCGTTGCGCTTGTCAATCCATTTGCGTACGGTACGATCTGCCCAGCGGCCTCCGAAAAATGTACCTGGTTGTGGTATTAGCTTTTGTAGTTATGGCATCCATAGCGTTCTCGTACCTAGTAGATAGCCACATCCAGGAGCAATATAGAAGAGTCCCGATTGGATTGGCGAGGTAAGGTGGAAGCGAGGATTAATCACATATCGGATTGGTGTGAGCAAGCTGTACATGTTGAACACAAGACTGCTTGACGCCAATCCAACAAACAGCAGATTCGGGTATCGGTATAGCTTGATGACTCGCAGAGGGTTGGTCCATGACCATAGCTTCTTCGCCTTTTCGCTCTTCTTGAGACCTTCAAGTTCGACGGACTTCTTGTAGTGAATGGTTTCTGGAAGGAAGAAGCAGCATAGTACAGTCGCGAAGACGGCTAGTCCAGTCTGCAGCCAGAAAATGTCCCTCCAGCTCTTATAGGTGACGATGATACCACCAAGCAGGGGGCCCATAGNCTGCACAAAACGTTAGATTGTAGGAACTCAAAGATGTTGTCGAGACTTACCAGGTCCAATCAGTGTTCCCGAGAAGAACCAACTCAATGCAGTTGCACGCTCTGTTGGGCGATAGATATCGCCAATGCAAGAACTACCAATGATAAGGAAGGAAGTGCCTTGGAAGGCGGTCAAGATGCGAAAGATGAAGAACGAAGCCAAGTTGGGAGCCAATGCAGTGCCAATAGAGAAGCCAGTAAAGAAGATGGCGCTCAGCAACTGAGTCCATCTTCTTCCGTAGACCTGACCTATTGGGCCCCAGAACATCGGTGACAGTCCCATAAACAGCATATATAATGCGTTACTGGCGTTGATAATTGTACCAGTGGTATTGTATGTTGCTGCCACCTCAGGTACGGCAGCAAGAACTGTAGTCGACGCCATGGGAGCCAAAAAGGAACAGAAAGCCAAAACTGATACTATACATATTTTCTTTGAATGGCTGAATTTGTCGTAGACTTCGTCCCCAGATTCACGATATGGTATGTGGGGTATGTCGTGTGCAGAGGCATGGCTCCGAATGTGTACAAGATCTAGGTCGGGGTTCTTCTGGTTGCCCTTTTCTAGATCTACGCCTTGAGCATCCTCGTAAGGTTCTGGGACCTGCTCAATGGCCGGTTGCACTACAGGCTCTTCTGCCCGAGTCTCTGTTGCGCTGGCGTGTTTGTTCTCCGGCATGTTGTCGTTCATGTACGAGTCGCCGTTGTCGGAGATATCATTAATGAAAGATGGAAGAAGATAAGGTTTTCTGGCTCAATGGAAAAGAGTGCCTCAAAGAATGAGATTATAACAGATGAAGATGTATATACAGTAGAATGAGTCAAAAGACATCATGGAGATCTGAAGGATGGCCAGGCCGAAAAGAATTGGAGCAAAATCTGAGATTGTATGCCGATGAACCGGCAAGTCTGAAGGTTTGCCGTGAGGTTTTCTGTTGGCCACCAATGACAAGGGCTGCTTTTCCGCTCACGATCGGATTTCTTGCCGATGTTCGGACAATTGATGTCCGTCTATGTGATGAGGGAGACTGCCACGACTGTACTAGATAAAGTCGATGTCTTGTTGCATGACGCAGATTTGATAATTGATGGTATCTACCTGTCTGTTATGATAACTTTGCTTCAACATCATCAGGATCAATGTTGACAGCTTATCGTCGCTGTGCTGCTTCGGCGTTGTAAAAGTCCTGCAGCGAGATCGGCTTGTCGAGGCACCTTCCGAATCAGTTCTCACCCAGCCCGCTCTTGTCTTCCGACAACGACAACGCGCTCGCTAGACAGTCCGGCTAACCATACGAAATCCTTTCGTGGGAACAGCCGAATCGTTTCCCATGTGCCATAGTGCTTTCAGGAGGTGAGAGAGAAAGGTGGAAATCCTCTTTCGTGTCTTGAATGTTCAATGGTAGGTCTTTCCAAGTGTCAGGAATAGCAACGTCTTTGAGCCTCACTTTGATATGACCGAGGATGCCATGGATCTTGTCTGCCTGAGCTGTCCTTTGCTAGAGGAGCTTAGAATCACCGCTCAGCATTCCGTGGTTGATCTTGGTAGAAATCTCGTTCGCTCGAACTTCAATTTACTGAAACTACTTCATCTTGTGTTCTGGTGCACTCGCTCTAGGATCTCGAGATTTGCCTGGAAGTGTATATATAGCTGAGCGGCTTCCAGCACTGGAGCACCTTGATCTTGATTGGAATCATTCCGAAACCGTCCTTTGTGGCGGAGACATTTCTGGGCTCATATTCCCCCAACTGAAGTCTTTCACGCTTGAATGTGTTCCATATCGGATCAATTTTGACTCGTACGCAAAATTAACATCCTCACTTTGTCTACAATACTGACGAAATCGAGTGACAAGAACTGGAGGAAGACGACAGCGACCAATCACTCAGACACGCTCCTACAACTTGCGCTCAAACTCGAAATGCTTTGTCTTGAGTGAACTTCATCAGACCGTCGGGTGGGCAGGATACAGAAGGAAATAAGCATGCAGGAGCTTCTGGGCCTACGCTGAAGTAGCTTTGTGGATGCATGGATCTTAGAGTGAGACTAACGTGTTGCCGAATTCCTGGGAGACATTGGAGCGAAGGCTTCTTCGTCAGCTGTGTACCTTTAAAAGGAGCTATCATTGTGTCTATTGACTCGCGAAAGATAACGTGCGATAGCTGGCATGGTTCTGAATTCCACCATTGGTTTGTTCGTGCAATCAGTGGATGTGGATGGCCGCAGATTTCTGGCGTCGAACGATCATAACTCGATTTTCGACCAACCAAAGCATTGGACACACTCTTTCCATGACAATCTGACAAAGGGCATTTCCAAGGGTGCGAGAACACTGGACAAAACAACATGACAGGATGTTTGAACCAATAAGGGAAGTGATAGGAGAGGATGTTGACAAGCACGTGCAACGGCGCAGGGTGACAGGGGCAGCCTCGGCACTGAGGGTATCAAGGTTGTTGGCCGAGGGCGGCGGCGATTAATACATCCATGTCGGGTACATGATCATGCCATCCAGTTCACGCCCATCTCCACTCGCAAGAAGTGATAAATGTCCATCAGCATATCCATACACATAGCATACGAATAACCGACCGCAAAGAAAGCATTGAACGGGTAGCCTGGCCAGCGCGCAACAATCCACCACCATGGCCGACTCGGTTGGTTAGCATCACATGCTTCGAGCCCCTTACATCCTCCACCCAGCACCGCTGACACACTCACCACAGACCGAGTGTTCGGACATGCGCTCAACACGGTCAACAAGATCCGCACGGGCTCGCAAAAGCCGCCCGTGAGCGAACGCCTCCGCCTCTACGGCCTCTACAAACAAGCAATGGAAGGCGACGTCGCCTACGTCCAAGAACGTCCCCTCAGCGACGACAAGAAAGAGCTGGACAAATGGGATGCCTGGGCCACAAACTCTGGGCTGTCACGCACACAGGCAAAACGCCAGTATATCGAGACGCTGATACACACGATGCACGAGTACGCGAGCGCGACACCCGAGGCTAGAGAATTGGTTGCCGAGCTCGAATTCGTCTGGGACCAGGTGCGGAACAATTCGAATCCGAGTGGGAGTTCCGAGGCGTCGAGTCCGTTGCGTGTGTTGCATGAGCAGCGCTCTGGGTATCCGGGTATGGTGTCTAGCTCTGCTGCCGCTTTTGCAGACGACGATATCGTGTCCCGTCCGCTACGAATACTGAGTCCTGTCAGTCAAGCTGACGAAGACGAGTTGAACGAAGAGCACGAGGAAGAATTTGTTGATGCACCTATAAGTCAATACGACGATACCGAGGACCCAGCTCTGGACGCCGAGGAGGAAGACGAAGACGACCAACACCAGCGACCGCGGTCAACAATACCAAGTCCACGCGACACACGCTGGCGAAAACGAATAGAGTCTGCCTTGGTCAAGATGACGACCGAAGTCGCTGCGCTGCGTGAGCAATTAGAATCACGCAGTTACATAGCACAACGGAGGAAGCACTCTTTTCTAGCTTGGATGTTACGCGCGTCTTGGTTTGTGGTCAAGCTGGTCGCTGTCGATATCTTCATACTCTGGCTTGTGCTACTGTATTTACGGCGTAAGAAGGACAGGAGGCTTGAGGGTGCTGTCCGAGTCTTGCTGGGTGATGCTGTCGCGCAGATGCAAAAAGTCAGTAGTAAAGTCAAGGTACCTACGCTGACAGGGAAGAAGACATAATCATGATATTTGCCTGATACGCTGTTACGTTTGCTCTCAGACCATTGTTGATACTTGCATACACGTAGAGACATGAGTGTGATGAGTTATGGCTCTTCATAGATTTGCGTTACATGTCGTTATGAATGATCTAGATGTTTAGTCCTCCTTGAAGGGACATCCCTTTGCCGAGCTCTCCGTTCTCGTCTTTGACTCGACAATCTCCGCTGTAAGCTTCATGAGACGGTCTGCCAGTGTCATGTCTTGTCCCATCTCTGAAGGAGTCTCGTAGACCTTCTGGGGAGCAATGTAGTTGCCACCGGTCTCGGCCATGGTCGCCGCATACATCGAAGATACACAGCCTTCGAACTGAGACTTGCGGAAGGGCTTAAGACCGACCGACATGCCGTAACCTAGAAGAGGGAATGCCTCGTGGATGTGGACGTTGGTTTGTGCAGTGTCGACGATGCCAGGGTGAATGGCGTTGACGATGATGTTGGGATGCTCGGCCTTGAGGTGCTGGTTCAGCCACTTGGCGTACAAGAGGTTGGCCAGCTTGCTACGACCATACTGAGGTTGGGGTCCGTAATCCTTGTTCAGCTCTGCGACGGATGCAAACTCGGTCTCCTTGGGTGCTTGAGCGTGCAGATTGGAAGAGACACAGACGATACGGACAGTGTTGCCCTTGTCGGCAGTCCCCTTGATGGTTGGGAGCAAGTGACTGGTCAGAACGACGTGACCGAAATGGTTGACGGCCATGTGAAGATCAATACCGTCCTTGTTGAGTTGTCTAGTCATGATTCCTCGGCCTGCGTTGTTGATGAGAATGTCGATTCTGTCGGTCTGCTCGGCGATCTCTGATGCGACCTTGCTGGTCTGTACCCAGTCGGAAAGATCGCATTGCTTCCAGATGAACTTCTTGCGTGCTTCAGGTCCGAACTCTTCCTCGATTGCGTTCAGAGCCTCGTCGGCGACCTCCTGTCTCATGGATGTGACGAAAAGCTTGGAGATGTTTTTTGAAAGAAGAGTGTGGGTGCAACCAAATCCAATGCCTTCACTGCCACCAGTGACAACAGCGACCTGTTTGCATTGTATTAGTCCTGATCAATATCGAGATCTGGACACATTTACCTTGCCGCTGAGGTCTGGCACCTCTTCCAGGCTAAAGCTGTTCTCTGGGGAAGCAAGAGCGTGAGCAGGACCGCCCAGGTTCTCCGAGATTGTGTTTCTAATGGTCTCCATGGCGCCTGTAATGCTAGGAATTTCACTCATTGATGATGTTTGTTGATGTGCCACAAAAGCAGAAGGGGACATAGCCGTCCTTTATAAACAATACCCCTCAATTGGTCGTGATGTCAGCTCGTCACAAATCGATGTGGACCCAAGGAGACGCTTAAGGATGGTGCATTCTTATGATGCGGTCATCATGACTTATTGGAGCTCTACTGGGCATATCTGATCTTGACACCATCTTATCACTCGGCAGAGGCCCGAGCCGTTTCCTGGGGTGCTTGTGCATGAACACAACGACATTTCTCGTTCTCAACATATCCAGAAATCTGGAGTTAGAATCCTTGACCTGCTCAGCTGGTGAGCTGAATACGTGCATGCCCAGAAGAGCGGTGCATATGTACGTTGCTCACTCAGCTGGTCAGAATCTGCTTGCGCAATCTGCTTCACCGTTAGGGCTTTGCAGATGCAAAGACGACATGAATACTTTCGAGAAGTACAGAGCGTGGCTGCAACTTGGAACTCCAGATCGAGCCAGATAGGTTCCGATACAAAGAGGTATGCGAGGGAACCATGTGTGAATGTCGATCTTATAGGCAGATGTATCGTGATGTAATATCACACTCTGTGCCCATCATGTCTGTGCAAGGGCTTGAACCGAGACAGTAAGTAGATCCTGCCTCCAGCTACGGACCGGACGTAAGGCAAGACCCAGAGTCGTTATGTTGTGTAAGAACCAAACGAGTTCTCATCCTCATCCACGCCAAAGACCTTGATGATGTGCTCCTCCACCATTTCACATGNTCCTTTTTTCCACTCTCGAGGGGCATCTGCTTTCCAATGTACAAACACACCCCCAAGAGTGCAGGCGACATGTCTGATCTCTTCCCACAGCTCTCGCTCAACGTCCATGCCAAATGTCTGGATGGTCTTATCTTTCTCTCCCCACAGTCGGCGGTGTTCGCCGGTTTGGTGGTTGATGGCTGGGCCATCCTGGTTAAACAAGGTATTAGGATCCATCTTTGGAAAGTTCGCATGAACAGTGAATGGCATCGGTTCAACCAGCGCAACGTAGTCGTCAACAGGATTTGACTGAAGCATTGCTACTCCGCGCAACTCCCCGGTGTCGTTGTATCCGAGGATCCTGACTGGCGCGGAAACTTGGTAGAAAGGCGCATCGACTGCAGCTGCGCCCGCCAGAAACGTTTCCTTGTCCCCTTCACCCGGACCTCCTTGCGTGAGTAGGGGATAATAATGCGAAGGACCGTAGTAGTTGTAGTATGCAGCAACCAGCAGTGCTGCCGAATGGGTCCGCTTTGACACAATGACTTGACCCGACTCAGTAGAGGCCCTAACAGTGGTTAAAGGTGCTTTCGTTCCCTGTATCTTGTAGAACTTCTCGGAAGCTGACGAAATCCAAAAGTCTGGCCATGTCACTAAGCCACTTTTTGTAAACGGTTCCGTTTTGAAGACGTGGTCCACGTTATGTACGGGGAAGTTGTCTGCATCGAGCAAGAGCACTTCCTCGAAGCTCGAGAACAAGACCGAGAAGATCTTATATTGGTATTTCTCGAGCTTGATCAACCCAGACGGGAAAAAGTCATCCAGAATTACGCAGCGCGCGTTTAATGAGGGAAGCAGTTCTTGACAAAGATAGTTATCGCCGCGCGCTTCATCAGCTCGCAAGAAGAGTTCGACAGGTAGGACACTACCAGAACGTCTCAGCATGCGGAGGGAGACGATGAAGATTGGCAAGTGTGATCCTCCTGCAGTCGAGACTATACCACGAGATCCAGATTTGTGCGGCAATGTCAAGTTGGAAATGCCTTCCACAAAACTTCGATGCGCCAACCGCATTTCCTCGACCTGGGCTGTGGTGATGGGCACATAGTCCTGTCGCCTCAAGGGCTTGTTCTTATTGTCATGAAAACCAATGGCGGAGACACTGTTAGTCTTAGTCAAGGATGCTACCGGCGGCTTGGTTTCCTTCAAGATCCGGACTAGTCTGCGACTGAACTGAATGTAAGCATCCCCATCCTCGGGCTCGGAGGATTGCCAGCCAAGGATGCTTGCAGCATNTCCTGCGACACTCGTCAGCTTTGCGTGCTCAACACTCAACGACAATACGAGTGCATACGATTCAATCGTCGCTGGAGCGGCTGAAAATTCACCGCCAAGGAGGAACTTCCAACCAAGAACTATGAGACAGGCAACCAAGAACGTCCTTCGGAGACGGGCAGAAAAGCGAAACATCGTCCTCCTCCGCCTCGAAAGCTTGTCCTCTCGATGAGGGGTCGCGGCGATGTCCAGAAAACCCGATTCCAAGGCTTGTGGAGATGTGTGCGTGTCTATGTGAGCATGTCTGACAAAGTTGTTGCACAGTTGACGATCTACCCAGCCAGAGTGACTAGGTTCCACCCCCGAGCGCCGCCGTTTGGTTGAACCTTGACGCGCCGCCAACAGCGTTACAAGTATGCGGGGATTGGCAAGAGTGGGGCTGTTCTCGGTAGGATCCTCCGAGTGCCGAGCTTTGACATGGCAAGCTGGAGCGTTCTCGAGCTTTCGGTCTCAGCAACCTATCACTTGACTCTCATCTATCGGACACTCCATGTCGCTGAAGCCAAAAGCATCTCTAACTCCTTTGACCCTTGTAGGCGTGCGTGTTGGTTTGATCGATTTTGGTGCCCGGACTTCATTCAACAGTTTGTCTCAAATCGCAAACATTGAGGCTCAAACACCGTGCGGAGCTGAGCCCTCATCCAGTATGCATTCAGAATGTCTCTCCAGGGAGATCGATGGATGTCTATCGAATCTTAGAGCAATCGCGACTTCCTCTCAAGATTTGTGGTGGGTTACGAAGTTGGTCCTTCGAATCGCAAAAGTGTCCGAACATCACGATCTTCGAGATGCAAAAGTCGGTTTGAATAATACCTCGTGCTTGTCCTTAGCTGGAACGGAGCGTTGGCAAGATACACGTCGTCGAGTCTTTGTCTTCGGATGGCTCGGCTCTAGGTCCTAGCTCTCTGTGCCAGACATGCAGTGAACATGCGGTTGTCGAGGGACTTTCGTCAAGCCTTGCCCTAGACCACCGATCGTCTCGAGACTCACACCCTATTGCTGCGATCGTGTATAAATTGAGGATGAGATCGAGAAATTGGAGGGCGTTGCAGTCTGTTGTATTTATCGGGCATTAACAATGCCGTCTCTTTTCTTTGATCGTTTCGGAGATCGTCGTTTTCGCGCAAACTTGCTCCTCGTGGTGGACAGCTTGGCACCAGATACACAGAGCATGAGAGCTTAAGCTCCAATGAGTAACTAACTCACCGTCCCTGCCTTGCTCAGCCTCTAGTGTGTTTCGCCAAGTTCGAGATCAATACAAGTTACCTTGTCCTCCCCTCCCTCGATACCCCTCGATTTTATCAAGGCTTACTGTACATACCCGAGCCCCTCCAGTTTTATCGCTACTATTGTTTAGGAATCATTGCTGATAATCAACTCATTGTCTCTCGGGACCGACCCAGCACGCAAACTTGTTGAGCCTTTGACCCTTTCTATCGGGATCTGAAGCTCCACCATAAGCTTCTAATGGCCCAATACATAAACCAACCACATCACACCAGCTTCTCTGGAGCTCCCTCAAGCACGATGGGCATGCAATATCAGCCCATGTATCCGACGGTCGACAACGATACAAACATGCAACCATTCTTTGTGGGACCACCACAGCCACAGCCTCAGCCGCAGTTTTACGGGTTCCCTCCACCGACAGGAAGCTCTTTGGATTCGGGATATGCTGGCGAAGACATCAACCCCTTTGAGGACAATGGCCTATGTTCGGAACTCAAAATGGACTATGTGCAACACATCGCTCCTGCAATCCAAAGCTTCGACACATTCGGCTACATGACCAACGACCAGCAGCCAAATATTCCTGGTCAGCCTTTTGTGCCAGTCAACTATTCTGGACCCTTCGCCCACAGCTTCGAGCCTGTCGAGCAGGACATGAATATGTCGCAGAGCCCACCGACACCAACACTAGTTCCGGATGATGCCATCAGCGTTAAAAGCGAGGATATGGCCTCGGATGCCGCTTCGCCCATGACCTTGACACACCCGAGAAGTCGGCTCCCAAAGCAGAACAAGAGACGCCCTAGCACAATCAGACGAACGGCAACAGAGCCGTCGATGGAAATCCGGTCCGGCAGCATACAGCGCACGGCGGCCAAGGAAGGTCGAGGACGAGGTCGAAAGCGAATTCCTCACACAGCAGTGGAGCGTCGATACCGTGAGAACCTCAATACGCACCTGGAAAACCTGCGACATGCGATGCCGTTCCTACAGGCGGCTCAGCGCCGCAGGGCGAGCGATGTCAATGACCCCATGAAGCCAAGCAAGTGCGAGATTCTAATAGGGGGTCTGGCATACATCAAGCGGCTAGAGTCTGAAGTCAAGGAATTGAAGGAAAGACTAGGTGAATGAGCAGTACGGGAAAGAGAAGTGGAAAAGGACATAACGCAAATGAAGGGCGAGGGATAGAGAAAGTGTATACCTACGCACCCTTGCACTGAGGGCATGTAGGTGTTGGAGTCTGGATGAGGTGCTTCGTTGTAGGCTGTAGCCCGATAAACAAGCATTAATAATCAACATTCATAATCAACAGTCCTCGTATGCAAATAACTTCGACAATGATGGTGGTGCAAGGTGGTTGTGGATAGGAAATTCGACCAGACCCCTGAAAGTCACAGCTTGGCACGTGCGCGTCATATTCCTTGAACCCTTGGATCAACCTTGGATGGACGAGGTTGCTGGCACAGCACAGAGTTATACTGTAAATCGACAGTCTGGCACGATGTCATTTGGACGGGAGACTTGAAAACACGTTATCCGCCATATAAGACACGCCATCAGTGGAACGACATGGCAGACTCGGCCCCACCCGAGTTGGCAGCAGCCTTGCTGAAATGGGTACGACACTACCGATCCCAATCGTCTTACAATCAGCTCATGTGGCCANNGGTGCAAGCATTCCAGACGTCCAAGAAGGTCGAAGGCTGGGAGGACATACAAGACGGCCAAGTGCTATGGGACATCCTCCGAGACATCGACCCGGGCTACTTTCAGGACGACCTGCCAGAACCACCAGCCAAGACACAAGGCCACTGGATCCCACGATGGCAGAACCTCAAGCATGTCAATCGTCTCGTCACATCATATCTACGAGACTCGAGCGGCTCCATCGAGAATCCGGCAGGCAGCCGTGACCCAGACCTCAAGGCCATTGCTACAGATGCCAGTGCGAAGGACACTGTCATGGTATGTTTCTGCCATGTCTACACTCAAGTACAGCCAGTCGACTGAACATCTCCCCTACAGCTGCTCAAATCAATGCTCCGCGCCGCCATGTACTCGCCCGAGTCCAACCAGAGAATGGGTCGCATAGTCGTCGGCCTTGGTCCTGAAGTCGCCGTCACGATTGCTGCAGCCATGAAACAGATGGAAGAAACCGATACACCGCAGCCTGAAGCCGCCGACCGTTCCGACTACGAAATCACTTCCGAAACATCTACTCCTGCCGAATCTATGTTGGAGAAACCTGCCGTCCCCGTCAACGAACGTCTCTCCCTCGGTACCTCCGGTGAACGCGATCCCGAATTGGAACAAGAGGAGAAGCTCATACAGGCATTCAAGGTCATCCAGGATCTGGAGAACAACAACGCAAAAGCTGCCACCGAATTGGAAGAGTTGAGACAGGACAAAGAAGAACTGCAACAAGCATTTGACGCCTTCAAGTATGAGGTTGAGAACCAAGGTCGCAAGGCTGCTGAAAACGACACCATGAAGGAGATGCAGCTCAAGGCAGAAAGAGATCGTGACTACATTGCTGAGTTGGAAGCAGAGCTCGAGACTGTAAGAGACAAGTCGCAAGCCCAGGAACGTCAAATCGAGCGATTCAAGACAGACACGGACGCAAAGCAGAAGCTCAGAGATGATATGCAAGTCCTCCGAGCTGAAAGAGACGATCTGCTCCAGAAGACTCGCATGAATGAGAACCTCAAAAAGAAGATCCAAGCACTGCAGGACCAGGAAAAGACCAACTCCACTCTGAGAGAGGATCTTCGCTCAGCCAGCGACCGACTACAAGACTTGGATCGTCTGAAAGACCAATGCGCAGCCCTGCAAAAAGCAAACGCCGAGAACCTGAAACTTATCGCAAATGGTGAACAGGAAATCTTCGACCAGAAAACAACTCGCAAACGTATCGAGCACGAATACAAGGTCCTCACGCAGAAGTGGGAAGCAGCCAAGGAGAGACAAGTCAAGGATCACGAAAGTATCACTGATCTCGAGAACAAACTGCAAACACTCGAGCTTGGAGGATCAAATATTAATGGCGCCATCGGTGGTCTCGATGGAGAACTTGAGGCCTCGGAGAAGGCACGGGCTGAAAGGGCAATGGCCAGAACTCCGGTCGACAGCATTCCCTCTGCCGATGCTCCCATCTTGCAACAGAAGCTAGATGCCATTACTGCACGAAACAGCAAACTGGAGAATGAATATCTTGATATCCTACAAGACAAGCTCGGTCTGGAAACGGCCTTGCAAGATCTCCGCGAGCCTACCCGAGAGCCAGAAGAAAACGTGCCATTCTTGGAACAACGCAAGAAGCTGCAGGCAGCACAAGCCGAGATTCAAGAAATGCGCAACCAGCAATTTGGCACCAATACTGAGATGGCCAACATAAAGGAGAGGCTTATGGCCATGCAGAAACAACTTACCGACAAGGATGTACAGCTGGATGGTAACGCAGAGTACCAGACCTTGACTGATCGATACTCGGAGTTGCACAAGCACAGCGAAGGTGTCGAAGCGGAGTTGGCCGAACAGCGCGCATTGTTGCGACATGCTTTGCTCAATGCCTCACAGCTGTTGAGGGAGTCCGCAGAGACTCGCAATGACAACGAGTACAAGCTACTATTGCAGCAGTTGCAAGCAGTCAGAGACGCACCAGATGACGACGAGCTGTTAGAGTCTACTGCAGCTCAACTTGCGGATCGTATAGAACAAGCCCGCCTTGACACTATTGCCGCAAACAAGGTATGTGAACTCACCAACCTCCCGGCTAGAAGCTATACTAACACTCCCTTCTCTAGNCTCGCCGAAGACCGAGCGACTGAATTGGCAGCACTCAAAAAACAAGTCAACTCCGGAGCAACAACGACGGCCACAGGCAACGTACCATCAATGGAATTCGCAGCCCTGCAGCGCGAAAACAAGCTCATTACATCTGCATGGTTTGATCTCAGTAGCAGGCTGCAGAGCAATACCGTCATGCTGGGTAGGCGCAAAGAGAGTCCGAAGAGTTTCTTGGGCAAGCAGCGACAGCTGGTGACACCTGGGTTGGTATCTGGACAGCATCGTCGTTAGACATGGGAAATAGAAGTGAATTGTTAGAATAGAGTGATATCCACATGGTGTTCTTCTTGAGCGAAAGAGTGATAATGTGAGAATAAACAGATCGAGTGAGGATAACGACAAGTTGCGCTTTCTCGCCATGCCGGTATCTTCGATTGAACGGTGTGGCTGAGATGCTAAGGTATATACACGGATGCAATTCGTGGCTAATCATCGGATCCTGAATCTGGCCAACCAGATTCGACCCTTACAAGCTAAGGTGATGTGGTGTAGTGGTAGCATGTGTCGTTGTGGAGGTTAAAGTCCAGCAACGCCGACCCGACGGCGGTTCGATTCCGCCCATTGCCAGGATCTTTGTTTTTGCCTATATCATGCACTCAACTCCACAGTGTGATGACACGCAGGTACGGTTCTTTTGTGCAGTGGCCGATCGTGAGTGCGTCCACATCGCTTTCACGAGGGCAATGGAATGATACTACGGTGAGCAAGAATTGGAGCATGTGAGACTAAGTAGTACGACTGAAGAGTAATTTCTATTAATTAACATCAAGTGCACCGAGACACAAGTGGCTGTTTCTACCTGACATCTATACTCTGTTTCGGGCCAAAGCGATCTTCTGCATTCCACGTCTCTTCCGCTCTGGTGCCTGGGGGTAACCATGAACCAGGCGAAGTATTGCTCGATGATCTGGCCCGCATGCTATGTTCCGCACCATTCGGTAAACCGTAGCCTCCATGAGAAGGTGGCGCTTGCGAGTAAGGAGTAGCATCCGACTTCTTATTGTCACCACCGACCAGAGGGAGTAGTGTGTCTTTGCCCTCTTGCAAGGCGCGAGCACGTTTGTCTGCTTTTGCAGCATCGCTGGTGCGGTCGTAGAGGTAGAGACCGAGAATCGTGAGACCGATGCCAAAGCCTTGGATCTTTGTCATGTGGTTGCCGAACCAGATGATTGCAAAGACAATGACAAAGACGCGCTTGAACAAGCTGGCTACACTGTAGGTGACAGGAGAGACGAGACCCAGCAGGACGAACGCGACGAGGTTTTGGCCAAAGTGGAAGGAGCCGTTGAAGATGAATTCTAGACCAAGACGGGCGTGGTCGAGCGAGCCAGGGCGTTCAGACAACTCGATGGAGGCGTCGGCTAGGAAGTCAGCGATCATTGAGAAGCCTTCTGACCAGAGCCAGATGGGCAGAGTAAAGATAAAGGCGAGGCCGGAAGAATAGCACAATAGGTTGAGCTTGTCGGGTTTCTTGTTGCGTACGTTGATACCGTCGGCCTCTGCTTTGGCGGCCTCGTTGAATAGCTTCTTGGACACAATGTTCTGAGTGACGAACAGGAGTGCGCTACCCAATGCATATACGAGTCCGAGTAAGTTTGCTTTGAAGCTAGCGGAGCAGGCCATGACAACGCCGAGTGTAAGAGGCACGAGTGACATATAGGTGGCATACGAGTAGCGGACGTCGAAGACAAAGCGGTAGGCGAGGACTGTAAGTAGAGGCGACAGTCCCTTGATTGTGTGGACGAGCGAGACTGGGATGCGGCTCATGGCGTCGGAGCTGAGGATATGGCCGCCAATTTGGAAAGCGGTCAGAGGAAGGGTGGTCATGATGAGCTCGCGGGAAGGCTTGCGGATACCGTGGCGCAGTACGGGCATGGAGTTTCGGAGCGGAGGATGGATGCGAGCAGCCCAGGACAGTAATAGACACCACGAGCATACAAACATGAATTGGATCAGAGTCAAGGTCACGGGCTTGGGCAAGGCGGTCAGGATGGCCTTGGACGAAGTATTGGACATGATGGACGTCGTGTACCAGATGGCACAGAGGANACTTTGGCCAACGAGTAAGCACGGAAATGGCAAAGCGACTGTATTCGAGCTGCAACGTACAATGAGGCGTCCTGACACAGGCGCCTTGAGAGCGTCGGCTATCTCGTGTGCATTCTGGCTGACACTGGCCCTCCTCCCTCGCACCGTCCGGATTGCCTCGCTCAAGCTCTTTTGTCTTCCGTGTCGGCCTACTGCTCCACCATTGGGTGTCCAACCGTTCATGGTGTGTGAGCCTTTGCGCGCCTGCCAACGTTCATGGCTGTGCAGGTGGTTTGGCAGTCCGAGCGGTTGCGGCATGGGCGACGCGGGTGTCGAGTCCATGGGCTCCTGTGTCGTCTGCAACATATCGTCTGACAGGTCCGGGAACTTGAAAGTTGCTGGCGACGGCGACGTCGAGGTCCGCCGGTCGAACTGCGACGTCGACATGGCTGTACAAGCTTCGAGGATGCGCTTTTCGAAAAAGAAGTCGACGATACACTATCAATCCATGGGGGCCAAGGTCAATCAAGTGCGCTTTCAACCCTTCGACATGAGTTTCATCAAGACAGTTATTACCAGCTGGACATGAACACACTGGCAAGGTGTTTGATCTTCGTTGCCGTCATTCGGCAATTCCCGTCTTTGTCTGAAGCTTCCCCTTCTTCTCCCTGTTGTGCAATCGTGCAAATCAAACACCAACGGGGTCATGTAACAGATATGAAGCTTGCTACCCTATTCCTAAACGCTCTTCAGAGTCTTCAGGAACCTGTCATTGTATCCAAGCCATCAAGTCCATGTTCTCTCGAATTCTCTACGTCGTGGGAGGTCATAGGTCCCTTCCAAGTAGGCACGCGAGGCATGGTGCATCCACCATCACTGGATGCATCAGAAACTGATACTGCAACTTAGAAGCAACATGGGGTGCTGACCCACTCGAATACTATGGCGGCTTTCGCTCCTTGAACTATGACAAGGATGCGAAATTTCCGAGCTCGCTGGCCCCTAATGCAACTGTCTCCTGGTCTTCCCTCACAGCCCAACAGTCGTCCTGCGACACTCGGTCCGCTCATATCGATCTGTCTGTAGCATTTCCTGATATCGATCTGGCTTTTCTTCAACGCATCTATGGTTGGGCGGCTCTTCAGTACCAAGGTTGGGCTCGAGGCCGTCTTCGTGTCAATGGCGAGAAGCTTCAAACCTTGAATCTTGCAACAGACAATCTCCTAGAGTTCTATCTCGATGGACAGCATCACTTCGGCGGAGACTACTATGCCTTTCGACGAGCCCCACTCGTCTTACATCTTGAGCCAGGAGACCACATCATCGATCTACGCTTTGTTCGTGATGTGCGAGCGATGGGTGGCGTAGGCTCTCCAACGATTGATATGCATCTCGAAGCGCGATCATCAACCAAGAATCTTCACCTCGCTGCAGACAACGCTCTCATGCCTGACATGGTCAGCGGACATTTGGCAAGCATGCTGGGTTCTATCCAGGTTCGCAATGATCATGCACTACATGACATTGAGATCTTTGAGGTCTCTGCAAACGATAGCTCTTACTTTGTGTGGTTGCTACAACCTGACAATTTCCGAGTCGTTGCTGGACAGACCAGGCATGTGTCTCTGGCCATTTCATGCAAGACGAACTGCAGTCAGTATCTTGGTATTGATATCGAATACGGAACCGTAGGTCAAGGTCGCTCTCAAGCTTCTGTTCTGCACCTTGATCATCATTTTACCCAGCGAGAGTTGTACGAACCATTGAAGGTGACTTTTTATCATCCTGGGGGAATGGTGTCCTATGCAATTCTGAAGCCTCCATCCTCACACATCTCCTGTCCTCTAGACTCGGAAGGGTTGTTGCCCGTGTTGTTGCAGCTACATGGTGCCGGTGTAGAGGCCGACAATGACATCGTAAGGCATGCTCTAGATTCGCTGGACCTCTGTGCTTGGGCTGTGTTTCCTACAGGTTCGACTGCATGGAGTGGCGACGACTGGCATATCTGGGGCTTCGCGGATGTAGAGGCAGCAGTCAAAGCAATACCCGGATGGATAGAAAACATTGGTTGGGACGGACCTGGTGTGAACACGAAGCGTTGGCTTGTTGCTGGTCATTCCAATGGCGGACAAGGAACGTGGTATGCTTTGACGCATCGCCCTGACAACATCTTCGCAGCTGCCCCTATTTCTGGTTACTCATCTATTCAAAGTAAGTCGCTTGACCCTTCTGGTGAACCCGAGCTAACATCACANGACTACGTGCCTTACGATCTATGGCAGCCAGTGCCTCCTGCGGTGCGCGCCCTCCTGGATGCGTCCTTGAGCAGTTACCGACATGAGCTGTTGCTGGAGAATGTGAAGGGTATCCGCATCCTACAACAACATGGCAGTATCGACGACAACGTCCCAGCTTTCCATTCGCGGCTGATGAACCAACTCATAAGACAACAGGGTGCAAACTCGTCGTACATGGAGCTTCAAGGAAGGAATCACTGGTTCGACGGCATCATGACAACGGAGCCTCTGAGCGAGTTCTTTGTGCAAGAACTCAACGACCTAGCACAACACTTACGTGCCCCTGAGGCTTTCACCCTGGCAGTCGCAAATCCAGCAGACTCAGGTCCAAAGTTCGGAGTAGAGATTCTTCATCTGCGTCGTCCGGGCCAGCTTGGAAAGATTCACATCTCCTTTTCCTCGTCCGAATGCTTTCTTCGAAGCTCTAATGTCCTGAGCTTACGATTGCCCAGCATATATCCTCGAACACATGGCATTGTTGTCGATGGTCAAAGGATAGAAATCTCTCTTCAGGCCACCAGCACTGATTTGTGGCTTTCCCTGAATGGTACCTGGGAGGTATATCTGCCATGTACAAAATGTTTGTCTTGATAACGCTGACAGTACAAGGTTCTTTCGGAGCATCAATCAATGGCGTTACGGGACAGGAATCAATTAGGCGGTATGGATGCAATTTTCCGGACCCAGAACACTCTGCAGATCATCAGCTATTCTCAGCAGGCACGCCATACTGCTGTCCAAATATCTCGAAACTTCTGTCAATACCTCGGTGCCGATACAGAAATCCGGGAATCTGGAACGGGACACCCAAGGCAGTATAGCAACATTGTTCGTGTTGTTGTGTCGAGCGATATACCTCCTGGTCATCTCGAAAATTTCGCCTTGCAAGTGGACTCTTCCAATGGCGTCAGCATACGCACATTGATCGGCCAGATGAACTACCCTAACTCGGCAGGTCTGGGCGCCATATTCTTGAGGCCGCTGCCGGAAGGAGCGGTAGAGCTGGTAGTATGGGGTTATGATGCAGACGGTTTGGACGTAGCATCGCGCCTTGTACCCATGCTCCCCGGAGTCGGACAGCCAGACTTTGTTGTAGCAGATGGGCGGATGCTTCAGGAAGGTGCGGGTGGTGTCCTGGCAATGGGTTCTTTTGATCACCTATGGAACGTCACAGAGACTTCGTACTTTACTTGAGGTAGTAGAGGCTCGAAACAAGGCTATCTCTAACACTGCCGGCTTTAACAGCGATAACTTCATGGATCAAACTCCGCTGTCTACTATCGTCATTTCAGTCGTGCTGTGGGAAACTGTATACTGTAGATTCTCAGCGGGTGAACCGTGCGCACAGACGTCTTGTGGTCACTCTCAGGGAAGGCATCTTCGACCTCTGCCACCCACCTTCTACCCACCGATCCTTACCAAGTTCTTTTTGAATGCGGACATCGCGCACTCTCTTGATCCAACCTTCGTCGCTCCTTCATCCTACTTGTCGTTGGACAATCTTGTAATTGCAAAGGCCTAGCCGACATCCTTCTTGTCTGCGCCGAGCCTTTGGCCTGCCCCTACTACCAGCATCTTCTCTTCCAGTAAGCCTCGCATCACCTCAGCCTCCAACGATCTCTTGATCATACACTACTTCCCTACCACCTTCCACCCTCCCCGTCTTCCAACACTTGCTGGAACCATCATGGCTTCTTTGAGCCTTGACGGATCACCTACTCCTCGCAAGAAGACGCCTCTGAACTTCTTCCTCCACGACGAGGACCAATTCGAAGACGAAAATACTCATATCTCTGGTGGCGTCGTAGGTNNTTTTGGCATTGTAATCATGTTTCGTCCCTTCGACTTAACCTTCGCTCAGCAGCAGCCCAAGCGCGACACCAACACCGCCGTCTCGAACGCCGTGCCTCTCACTACCTCACGCTTCGGCAACCAGCTGCCTCCCCCTCCTCCCAGCACTCGCAACTCTTCCTACAAGGTAAGCCATCCCCAGCACATTGACCACATCTTCTGTGTAAAAGTATGCTAATACAATCTCTATCCTCAGGGTCAAGTCGCTATGCCCACCATGTCTATGCCTCCCAACGGCCTCGGCCTTGGTATCTCGCAGGCCCCTCCGGCTCGCAACTTGCACCTCGAAGAACTCTTAGCCAAGCTGTCTGAGCAGCAAGTCCTCCTCAGCAGGCAGAGCTCTGCCCTCCAAGCTCAGCGGGGTGGTGAGACGTCTCCAGACTCCTCCGGCTCTGGTGCACTTACCAACCCTTACACCACCACTCCTCGCACTGATTCCCAGTTCAACGACGTCTCTCAAGCTGACCTCGCCGAGTTGTTACGTCTCAAGAAGGAGCTTGAGACTGCTCAGACCCAGATTGCTCGCATGGACCAGGAGCTGTCTCAGTCTCGCATTACCAAGCACACTCTCGAGCAAGCCATGGGCTCTCAGTTCGACTCCGACTTCGACCACATCCGCGACCTTCGCCCTCAAGGTGTCGCTGCCCGCGTCGATAACTGGGTTCAGTCGACCGAGCCAAATGTTCCTCCCATCAACGCCAACCCCAACATCAACCCCACCCACATGGCACCTCCTACTGCCCGTGGTATCTGGGGCTCGGGACCTTCCTTCGGCCCTGGTGGTGCTGGAGGTCCTAGTGGCCCTGGAGGTCCTGGTGTCATCGGCCAAGCACACAACAACACCAACAACTGGCCTCTTAATGACCCTCGTGCTATGGCTGGTGCTCGTCTTGAGGTCAACAATGCCAACATGTTCCCCATCGGCCCCAACACTCGTGGCTGTCCTCCCGCTCTGCGCATTGACACAACTGCGATGGGCCCCTATCTTAGCGAGCCATCCTCCGCCGCTGAGTTGTCCATGCGCAGTGGTCTCAGTCGTCCAGCTTCGGCTTTCGGCAACCACCTTCATCCTTGGGGCCAGTTCAGCCCTAACATCAACGCGTCTGATCATTCCGGTCTCACTCCACCTTTGACACCACTTTCTTTCCAGTCAATGCAGAACATGCACAACATTGCCGGAATGCCTCACCCTATGTCTGATCAAGCCTTGATGAACAACATGTCCTTCGGTTCCAGATCCAACGGCACCAGACTGTCACCCACTGCCGCCGAGTTCCAGGCCGGTGGCTACGCCAATGCTGGATGGAACATGAGCCAACAGGTAAGTCTTCTCACCAGCCCACACTCTGCGCACGCGCAATTCATCTGTCTGCGCATCCACTAACCGTTCNNCCAGTCCCTGTCTGAGCCTGGCAGCTACCTCACCAACGCCGAGCCCATGAACTACCGCCGTCTCCTGGACCGCAACATGAGCTGCAACTGGAAGTACATTGTCGACAAGATCGTCCACAGCAACGACCAGCAGGCATCCATCTTCCTGCAGCAGAAGCTCAAGGTCGGCACCCAGGAGCAGAAGTATGAGATCGTCCAGGCCATCATTGATCAGGCCTACCCTCTCATGATCAACCGCTTCGGCAACTTCCTGGTCCAGCGCTGCTTCGAGCATGGCACTCCTGAGCAGATCATTGCCATTGCCCGTGCTATCCGCGGCAACACTCTTAACCTGAGCATGGATCCCTTTGGCTGCCACGTTGTCCAGAAGGCTTTCGACAGCGTTCCTGAGGAGTACAAGGCCATCATGGTTCACGAGCTCCTGCGTCGCATCCCCGAGACGGTTATTCACCGCTACGCCTGCCACGTCTGGCAGAAGCTGTTCGAGCTCCGCTGGAGCGACACTCCTCCCCAGATCATGAAGTATGTCAACGAGGCTCTCCGCGGCATGTGGCACGAGGTTGCCCTCGGCGAGACTGGCAGTCTTGTCGTTCAGAACATCTTCGAGAACTGCCTTGAGGATGACAAGCGTCCCTGCATCAACGAGGTCCTTGCCAGCATTGATGTCATCGCCCATGGCCAGTTCGGCAACTGGTGTATCCAGCACATCTGCGAGCACGGCGCCATCCCTGACCGCAACCATGCCATTGACCACGTCCTTCGCTTCGCCACCGAATACAGCATGGATCAGTTTGCCAGCAAGGTTGTCGAGAAGTGTCTCAAGATTGGTGGCACCGAGTTCCTTGACCGTTACCTCGACCGTGTCTGCGAGGCTCGCCCCGACCGCCCTCGCATGCCTCTCATCGACGTCGCCGGCGACCAGTTCGGAAACTACTTGATCCAGTACATTCTGAGCCATGCCGATGCTCAGCGTCGCGAGGTCGTCGCCACCCACATCCGCAAGCACATGGTTTCCCTTCGCGGCTCCAAGTACGGTTCCCGCGTGGCCATGCTCTGCTGCAACCCTGCTGTCGCCACTCGTCCCGGTCCTCCTACTGGTATTCCTATGGGTCGCAACGCTGGCGGCTTTGGCGAGCGCCCTTACAACGGTCCTCGTGGCTTCCCTTACGGTGGAGCCTACCGCTGAAGGTCAAGATCTCAAAATGTTCCAACGCCCGCCCATTTCGTGGTTTTGTTGACCATGTTTGTGCCGGGTGTCCAAGACATATCTCCACAACATACTCCATGTCTCACTACCTAAGCTCTCGTGTGCAAATCTTGTGGTTGCACGAGCATTGCTGGCACGACACACGAGCTGGCTGCATAATTAACGGATATTACTGCACGTTTGACGATGGATGTGAGCGACGCATCATTGTCTAGCTCCAGCATGTTAGCATCTTTTCATTTACGCTCTCGTTCTCAGAGGCATGTGTCATGTCGAAGTTCTTCACCGTCTATCACAGAAAAAGGAGGAAAGCTCGCTTTTGGCGCAAGCCTTTTGGATGGATCGGAAGCACCTTACATCTTTCGACAAACATCAACATGTCAGCAAAAGTCACAAAAAGAAAGAGGAATTGGGGGACAAAAAAGGCATCCGGGAGATTTTTCGATTTGAGACACACACTCGTTTTATTTTCTTTTTTTCCCATGTTTTTTTTATGCAAGCTGGGGATGTAATGGGCGGAGGTTGAGCATTGAAAGTTTTCAAGAGCAAAGAGGGCGTAATGTGATGACGGACACAGCTCGGCTTGAAGTAGCATCGATATACAGAATGAGAGACTTGATACAGATTCCTGGTGCTGCTCGAGTGTGGTGTGATGGTGGATCGAGGATTCGAGATGTGATCGATGTTTGTTATGGGTGATGTCAGTGTGGCTGGGACTGGCACTGTTCGAATTCAGGGACTCAAGCGTCACCCGCCTCAAGGCCACAACAGATGCATGTTTAAGCGTGGCAGCCAATCAAGAAGCAAGAAAGAGAGCGATGATGGCTTCGCTCACTCCCAATGTCCAGCAGGGCGACGGCCGACTTCCATACTCTCCTGTGCACTCGCCTTCGGCTCCGGTAATCATGACAGCGGCTAACGGGCATTTTGCCAGTGTCGGCGACGGCGGCGACAAGCAACAGCAGTCATTCGAGCACGGCATCCAAGTCATTGACGAGAACAAGACATTCAACGCGAACCTGCCAGCATACCTCGACGCCGAACATGTGCTGCGCCAGGGCTTCAACTACCACCTCATCTCGGTCTTTGGCAGCCAGAGCACGGGAAAGAGCACGCTGCTCAACCACCTCTTCGGCACCCACTTTGGCGTCATGTCAGAGTCGGAGCGCCGCCAGACCACAAAGGGAATCTGGATGAGCAAGAACAAGCGCGACCAGGCCGAAGGAGGCGCCGTCAAGATGGCAGACAACATTTTGGTCATGGACGTCGAGGGCACCGACGGCCGCGAGCGTGGAGAGGACCAGGACTTTGAGCGCAAGAGCGCCCTGTTCGCCCTGGCCACCAGCGAGGTCCTGATCGTCAACATCTGGGAGCACCAGGTCGGTCTGTACCAGGGCGCCAACATGGGTCTGCTCAAGACCGTCTTCGAGGTCAACCTGCAGCTGTTCCTCAAGGACAACAAGTACGAACATGCCCCCAGCCCCCATCTCGACTCCGCAATCCTCTGACTCTCTTCTCTCACNAGCTCAACTCCTCGCTCGCTCCTCTACTTTGTCATCCGCGACCACATTGGCACCACTCCCCTGTCCAACCTGCGCCAGACTCTTCTTGCCGACCTCACTCGCATCTGGTCTACCCTCTCCAAGCCCCCTGGTCTCGAGAACTCCAAGATCGAAGACTACTTCGACTTTGCCTTTACCGCTCTGCCCCACAAGATTCTGCAGCCCGAAAAGTTCGTCGAGTCCGTCGCCAAGCTGGGCGAGCGCTTCCGCGAAGGTCAGAAGACTTCTAGGACGAACCCCTTCTCCGACGAGCAGGCCGAGCCCATCTTACTACCCGAGTACCACCGCAGAATCCCTGCCGATGGTTTCTCCATGTACGCTGGCAATGTCTGGGAACAAATCGACAACAACAAAGATCTCGATCTACCAACCCAGCAAGAGCTCTTGGCTCAGTTCCGATGCGACGAGATTGCTCGCGAGGTACTCGTTGCCTTTGACGAAGTCATCACACCGCTTGAGTCCAAGCAAGTCGACGCTGCAAAGTCTGGCGCACCGAGTGTGCTATCAGGCCTCGGCAAAGCCATGAACGGGGCTCGCGCAAAAGTCCTCAAGGATTTCACTAGCGAGGCAAGCAGATACCACCAGGGCGTCTATAAGCGCAAGAGTGCTGAGCTCGAGACCAATGTCGACGCAAGATTGAAGGCTCTTTTCCAGGGGCAGCTTTCCGCCGCTCACAAGACTGGTGTCCAAGAATTTACTGAAATTGTTTCTACTGCAGTCAAGTCTGGTCAAAAGAAGGGTAGCAACTACGACTTCCAGAAAATTGTCAACGCTGAGAAGCAAAAGTCTCTTGAGAAATATGAGCAGGAAGCATCAGGTCTCGTCATTGAAGGTGCATCTTGGAGCAACTACCAACAAGAACTCGACTTGTACCGCAAAGATCTCGACGAAGCCAGTGCAAGACTTCGCAAGGATGAGATGCGTCGTCTCGCCTCCCGTGTCGAACGCTGGGTCCGTTCTCACCTTGGTGAATCTATCGGTGTGCAATTCAACAAGCTCGGTTCAGGTCGTGGTGGCTCTGGTGCCCCCGAGACTGGCGAGAGAGGATCCATCGAGAAAGACCTCTGGGACCGCATCTGGCTCGTCTTCACCGAGACCGTCAAACACGCAGAATCACGCTTCACCGAGCGCGCAAAGGGCTTCGATGCTAGTCCCGAAGAAGTCGAAGTCGGACTCTGGCGTCTGCGTCGCAAGTCTTGGGGTGTACTGAGAGCCAAGATTGACGAGGAAGTTATGGAAGGAAACTTGCTCCTCAAGCTCAGAGAAAACTTTGAGGACAAGTTCCGCTATGACGAGGAAGGTGTGCCTCGTATTTGGCGTCCCTCTGATGACATTGAGGGTATCTACACGCGTGCACGGGAAAGTACACTCGAGCTCATTCCTCTGCTGTCCAAGTTCAAGCTTCATGAGACAAAGTCTTTGCCGCCGCTTGAAGAGTGGATTGGCCAGACACCTGCAGACCTTGCTGCTGCTGACGAAGAAGACTTGCATCCTATTGGTGGCGTTGACGAGGAGGATGGCAAGACCCTCGAGGAAGAGATGACTGTCCTCAGTGACGCAAAGAAGCAGGATCTCAGTGTGCGTTTCAAGAAGACCGCAGATGGTGTTTACGTCGAAGCCAAGCGCAGCGCCATTGGCGGCGTCACCCAAGTACCCCTCTACTTCTACGGTCTCTTGCTCGCACTGGGCTGGAACGAAATCGTCGCTGGTATGTTGCTCCTCACTGGTCACCTTTTATCCAAACTAACATTCTACNNAGTCCTCCGCAACCCTCTCTACTTTGTCTTCCTCATCCTCCTTGGTGTCGGCGGCTACGTCACCTACACACTCAATCTCTGGGGCCCTATCATCCGCATGAGCAACGCTGCCAGCGCCCAAGGTATCGAGGTGTTCAAGGAGCGTCTACGCGAGTTCCTCGAGACGTCCGATACAGGCCGCCAGGCCATGGCCATGTCTGGCAGCAAACCCTCTGAACGCGAACAATACAGGTAAGCCCAAGATTTCCCCTTTACATTCATCCTTTTACGACAACGATACTGACTGTGGTGAAAANNCAGAATGGACACGCTGAGTAGCGAGGGCAGNAAAACTGCATCCGCGGCTGTTGACGAGGATGAAGATATTTGATTATTGTGACTCTCTTGTTGTTTCTTGTCCATTAATATTGTCTTGGAAAACCCCTCATGTTCTCCTAGCCCTTGACTACATACGAGAAAAAGAAAAAGCAACGACGTCCCTGTGTATGCCTATATGTTGTCCTCAAATTTCCGATTCTTTGATATTGTTTGTATCTGGAGAGCGCATCAAAGCTTTTTTCTTTTTGTCATTTTCATCCTCGACCTACTACGTACTGCTGTTTATCTTTCCATGTCAGATGCCAGCGAGATGACCCTGACTCTCACAACCCTGAGCGATATCTCCCAATAATGCAGCTCCTCGGAGTCCGCTGCCACATTTCGTATATCTGAAAGGTACTGCGGTTATTCATGATGTCAGATCAGTGGTCAGATAGGAAAAATAGTGCACGACAGTACAGACGTCTAGATACTCTAAGACAGTAAGCAACGCCAAAGGTTTGACATCGCGTTTTCAAACATTACAATTACTCTTGTGTGTATGAATATATAAGAGCTATTATTTGATCATAATCCGCATCGACAAGTCCATTAGTTCGTGTAAGTGTGTCGTCAATAACATGTCTCTGCTCATTAACAGCTGGCAGCCCAGCATTTGGAAATGTCCACCTCGTCAACTCATCTCTGCGACATGTCCTTCTCAGAGGAAGAGGCTCTGTAGTCCAGAAAACCAGACTCGAAGGGTCGGGAGGTAACACCGGTTTCTAGTATAGGGGAGGCAGTGGTCTTGAGCGAGAACTCAGACTCATGACGATCTTCAATCAGCTTTTNTGGAAGGTCCGGAAGACTTGGTATGCTGCTCATGAAGCTGCTGTCGATAGTCGAGGTAGGAGCGGTAAGAGTCGAGACTCTCGGGTCGGCAGGAATGCGTGTATCGTAGCCAGAAGGGCCCGTGTCAGTGCTGATGGCCTTTCCACGGCGAGCCTTCTCTATACCTTCTCGATTGGCATGCTCGAGACCGGTACGGAAGTAGTCGATTTCAGGGTTCTGATCAAGGACACGCAAACGCTTGTCGACCATGGTTGGAGTCAAGGGTGCTTTGGAGAGCTCAGGAAAAGCACTTCGGAGCTTCTTGACGATGGCGTTCAAGGAGTAGTTGCACGTGTCAAGAACACACATGGCATGGTCGTGGACCCCGTTCCATTCTTTGGGTAGAGGAGGTGTAGGCGGGAAGCGGTATATCGTAGTTTCACTGGCTGACGAGGCGTTGGAAGAAGGTGATGGAGCTTCGTGAGCGGCAAAGGAGTGTTTCGACGGCGATGATTGTATGACAGAAGGAATGGTCGATGGAGCAGTGAGATTGTTGACGGTGGATTGTCTGGTCAAAGGCGGTGGTGGGCAGTCTGGCACTGGTGTGGGAGGGCGGCTGGCAAGCTTCGAGGACGAGGGAGGAGTGTCTTTTGTGATGGTGTACTTTGGCTGGCCGGGGAGCTTGACGGGCGTTGACGGATCGTGACTACAGCTGATGTTAGTGCAGGTCTTGTCACGCCCGGGACGAAGCAGAAGATACTTGGAAGCGCCGTCACTACGCTTGCGATGTGTGAAGACGCCCANTCTAGGAAGTGTCAGCAGATGGCGCAGGCAAGCTCGCGTACATCAAAGACTGACAGGCGCCGAATGGCGGGACTTAGGGATTGGATGGTGAGATAGCGCAGTCATGGTCACCAGGTCGAGGACGATGGCTGTTTGCAAAGGCATGTGGGAGCAAGATGGAAAGGTCAGAGCAAAGAGCAGTCAGGCAGAAGTAGTGCAGAAACGAGTAAAAGATGGAAAGAGCGAGGCTGCATTTACTCTATACGTTCCTGCCCAGAATTCGCACCTCGGAAAATAAAAGTGTCCAATTGTGCCGACTTTTGTGATTCAAATTACAAAGACAAGCCAGCAAAGATGGTGTCTTGTTTTATTGTACAAAATGGTCTGCGTAAAAAGCATACTCACCCTCACCGTCGCTGGAAAGTGATAATTCTCGTTGATCGTTAGGAGCCCATGTCTACTTCTGGAGACCAATCTTCTGGAGAAGGCTGCCCGAGGCGGGGATGTTGCCGTTGCCGCCCTTCTCGAAGACGCCCAGGATGTTCTTCCACACAGCTCCGGGCTCTTGGCTGGCGTCAATGCCTCTCCAGATGTTGGTCTTCTGGTAGTAAGAGATGACGGGGGCGGTCTGGTCGTGGTAGGTGGCCAGACGCTTCTTGAGGGTGGCCTCGTTGTCGTCGGCGCGCTGGACGAGGGGCTCGCCAGTGATGTCGTCGGTCATGGACTTCTGGGGAGGGTTGAAGATCTTGTGGTAAGAGCGGCCAGAAGCGGGGTGGACGAGACGGCCGGTGATACGCGAGACGAGCAGCCCGTCGTCGATGCGGAGTTCAACGGCGTGCTTGAGCGACTGCTGGCGGGCCTTGAGCATGTCGTCGAGGCGCTCGGCCTGGGCAACGGTGCGAGGGAAGCCGTCGAGGATGAAGCCAGTCTTGCACTCGGGGTTGTTCTCGAGCTCGCTCTTGATCATGCCAATCATGATCTCGTCGCTGACGAGACCGCCCTGGTCCATGATCTTCTTGGCCTGTCTGCCCAACTCGGTCTTCTTTGCGACCTGGGCGCGGAGCATGTCACCGGTAGCCTGCGCGCGTGTTAGTTGTTGTTGGGCTCCTTCTTATCGGCATGTGTGCGCGGGCGTACCAANGTGGCAGACACAGTACTTTTCCTTGATCTTGGGGGCCTGGGTACCCTTGCCNNTGGTCACGGGTCAGTCGCGCATTCATCAGACAAAAGGCTTCGAGTCGCGCATACCGGCACCGGGGGGACCCATGAGGATGATTCTCATGCTCTCATCGCTGGACGACGACGAGGCAGAGCTCTGAGCCTTGCCGTGAAGACGGGCCTCGAGCTCGGCAACGCGAGCCTCGAGCTTGTCGACGGTGCCTCTAAGCTGGTCCACCAGTTGCTCTCCGAGAGGTGCCATTGTGATAGTCGTGTGAGGTGAATTGAGTGGATCAAGACAAGTGGAAGCGCAACACCAAGGTCGGAGAATAGGTAGGCCCAAATGCCCTGCTGCTGCCGCTTCGGCCTCGGATGTGCCTTTTCTTGGCAAAATTATTGATCCATTCATCCACAGCTCGCACCTTCCACAATCTCGACCATCTTTATTCGTCATCGCAACCGCTATCTTTCACACTACAAATGCAACAAATAACCACGAGCTGCTCTACGAGCTAATAAGACAATCAGATTGTGTTCACCTTGGGAAGTCGTGAATTGCATTGTTTTGTCCAAAAGATAAAGCTATCGAATCCCATACTTGATAATATACTGAACTCAGCTCGCCATACATCGAACAAACTCCACCAAGTCTGCTGCCCTTACTCATTGGTTTCTTCAGGATAGTATCCCGTGTCTGAGAAGTCTTGCTGTATGTACGAGCACATGTTGTCAACTCTCAACTCGAACAACTCCAGGGCTGGGACGATAACGTTAGCATNACAACAAGCCAACCTTCCATACAAGATGATAAGCGTACCTTTGTCACATGGTCCCTCGTTTGGTGAGACATCGTCCATTGGCTCGACCACTCTGTTCTTCGCTACGCACTCGCCGACCTTCTCATCGAGCCAAGTGTACAGACCATCCTGCGTCTCGTTGGTCTTGCACGCGTCTGCAAAGGTAGCGGTAAGGATGGGGTATCCAGGAGTCGATTCAATGCAGTCTCTNNCTGTGAGTTGACAAATATATTAGCAGCTCATCAACAACTTCACAGTATAGGTACTTACGATACACTTGACTGTACCCTCGGGTCGGTAGATCTTGTGGTTGGAATGATACTCCAATCTCTGCTCGAAGCTCATGGCCTTGAAAGCGGCTTCTTGGGCCTCCCAGTCGGCTTGAGACTCGGGAATATCGCTGTAATGACCAGTACCGTTCGTGTTGGTAGGGGCAGCATGAGCGACAACTGCCAAAGCAGCGACGAGTCCACCGAATCTGAGGAATTGAACCATGATGTTTGGATTGACGGAATGATTGACAGAGAATCGGCAGTACATTGCTCTGATCAGTGTTTGTATATCCGAAGGTGGCAGACAATCAATGCTGAGGTGTTCAAGTGTGTGAGCACGTTATGCGGTATTTCTGCTGCGCCTGACCAAACCTTACCAGCGATGTCTGTTATTACCCCTCTTGTGAGCTCTCTCCACTCCTGTTGAGCTTGACTACCTTGCCAGTAACATGGAACACGTTCACTCCAAACAGTAGTCATTGGTCAGAGACCATGCTGGATGCCAGCTACCATGATGGATTGAGTTTGAAGACGAGGGAAAGAAGCTGCCCTTAATGAAAAGTGTTGCTACATTTTTAAGCTTATCAACTCTTCATACCTCAAGTCTTGTAGGCTCGTCTGCATCGGGCTTCTTGTCAGCATTCTCCGGATGGTCCTGACCCTTGGGGCTAGCCTTTGAGGCCTCGAACGACTGCTCGAAGTCGGCAATGATGTCGTCAATGTGCTCAATGCCAACAGAAATCCGGATGAGGTCTTTGGTAACTCCACTATTGATCTTTTCCTCATCACTCAACTGCTCATGAGTAGTACTCCATGGNNATCTGTGAAACTAGATTAGCATGAGCGCAAGAGACACGTATCTTTACAAACACTCACGAATCGCTAGTGTTTTTGCATCACCAACATTTGCGAGATTCGATATCAGCTTAAATCCATCGACAACCTGACTACCAGCGTCGACATCACCTTTCACACCAAAAGAAAGCACACCTCCGAACCCTCTTGGTAGGTACTTCTTGGCCAGGTCGTGACTAAAGTGGCTCGGGAGACCGGGATAGCTGACCCAGGAAACGTTTTCGTTCTTCTCAAGCCATTGAGCCAATGCGAGTGAGTTTTGAGCGTGTCTTTCGCAACGTAGACTCAGAGTCTCGATGCCCAACAATAGTTGCTGTGCAGCGAAGGGATTGAGAGCCATACCGCCATCGCGCAGGATCTCGACACGAACTCGGACGATGAAAGCTAGCTTGCCGAAAGTGTCCCAGAACTTGAGGCCGTGGAAACCTTCTGAAGGCTCACTCATCTCTGGGAAGCGCTTCCTGGCCTCTGTGGTGCCCCAATCGAAGCGACCGGCATCAATAACTACTCCTCCAACCGTAGTACCGTGTCCGCCGATCCACTTGGTCGCGCTGTGAACAACAATATCGACTCCATGATCGATTGGACGACAGAAGTATCCGCCTGCACCGAATGTGTTATCGACTATGACTGGGACACCAGCCTCATGCGCAACTTTGACGATTGCCTCGAAGTCGGGTACGTTGTATCGCGGGTTTCCAATGCTCTCAATGTACACAGCCTTGGTCTTGTCGTCAATAACCTTCTTGAAATCTTCTGCATTATCGCCATTCACAAACTTTGTCTTGATGCCCAGTCTCGGCAAGAAGACCTTGAGTTGGTTGTAAGTCCCGCCATAAAGATTTGAAGTCGAGATAATATTGTCACCGGCGTGAGCGAGTGCTGCAATTGCCATGAATTGAGCCGATTGACCAGAGGATGCCGCGACAGCTGCAACTCCATTTTCCAGTGCTGCGATGCGCTTCTCAAAGACGTCGACGGTGGGATTCATGATTCTGCTGTATATGTTTCCTGCCTCCTTTAGGCCGAACAGACGAGCTCCATGCGCAGAATCATTGAAGACGTAAGANNCTAAAAGAAGTTTAGTCCAAGGCTGAAGTGATTGTTGTCTAGGTGCTCATACTGTAGTTGCATAGATGGGAACAGCACGCGAGTGTGTAGCACTGTCTGGCTCATGGCNCTGTTTGGTGACAAGCAGACGGTCAGCTCTTCGATGCGAACCTCTGACAGTAATCGGTTCTCCAAGCTTACCAGCATGCAACTGCAAGGTCTCGAAGTGAGGTGTCTTTTCTCCAGCCATATTGTCTCGTAGTCTCCAAAGGTAATCGAGGTATTCAGCAAGTTTATGAGATGCGATTGGAAAAAGCTGGTTGGTAATAATTGAAAAAGGGCTGGCTCTTGAATGCCCCTCTTTCAGGCGCGGGGCAGATCAAATGGTTAGCGAGCACGCAATCAATCGTGCCTTCCTTCCTTCCACTGTAGCAGACATAACCGATATTGCGAAGCAGGAAAGACCAGTCCTTGGCTCAATCATGGATTGTGTATCCAGGCTGCTGTGTATTTGAGAGAGGCAGGCATGGGTGGAGTCCAAGGAGTAACGTCCTAGCTCTTCCTCCACCACAGCAAATGTTCACAAACATCAATTTCACTGACGCACAACAAGATAGTCAAGACAGTTCACTCATGCAGTTTGTGAGAAAAGAGGATCGTACTTAGCGAGTAAGACTTCCGCTCTCCGATGGCCCGCAAAAACACTGGTGTAACGAACTCGGTCCGCTCGCAATGCTCCAAGCACCTCATCAGCCAGCCGCCCGCTTCTTGTCGCCCAACAGGCCATCTCACTTCTCCACTCTCATTCTGTATCAACCATAAGCCGGCCTATCATCGCCGCGATCCCCTTCCTTGTCAAATGCCTCGATCACTCGAGCAGAGCACCATCCAGTACTGTCCAATGAAAAGTTCGGTGCCAAAGATGATAGCGGGATGGGATCACCGTTGCGCCATACTCTGGACACACTCTCAACTCGATAAAGACTATGAGCTCCTCCTGGATAATACTGGCGCTCTGGCCGAGTGGTTAAGGCGTTTGACTCGAATGATGCTCAGCATCTCTTACCGATATCAAATCCATTCGTGGGCGTGTGTTCGAATCACACGGGCGTCGACATGCTTTTGCTTTTTGCACGGTATGGACGAAGAGAGGACATCTGTTTTGGTCAGGAAAGTGGTTGGGAGCATGGGTGCGAAGTTGTGGTGGATGGGGCTTGATTTTTGGTGAACGCGTCGTTGGTTGCAGCAATTCGACGCTGAGAGGGATACAACATGTGACAGGGACTTGTGTTCACATGTCACAGAGGTCTGACCACTCCTCTGAAACAACAGGAACAGCGAGAAAGGCAGCAGCAGCGATCTCAAGAATACAAGCATGAATTGGACAGTCGAGAATCGGATGTCAAGGCCTGAGGACGCCGAACCTCGGCATCTCCGGAATGCTCGTTGTGGCTTCCAGCTCCAAGAAATATTTCTGACCGTGTCTTTCTAATCTGAGCGCTATAAAACATGTCGGCAGCCCAGCGCATGCCTGTCCTAGGAGGCACTCTTGCCATTGGAGTCACTGGTGCCGCTATGGCTCTGATACCTTCTTTCCGCGAGGCCGTGACTCGCTACTTGGGCATCTCAGCCCCTGGCGGTGTTTGGCGTATCCTGGCCATCTTCTTTGCATTGCTGAGTGTTAAGAGTCTGCCCTTTGTCTGGCATGTAAGTAGAGCACATCTATCATGTCTCTGCGCCAGTTATTGACGTTCTCTTCAACAGTTCCGCGTCTTCAAAAACCTCATCTGGCACCTCTACCTCCAACCCACCCACCTCAAACAATCCCACCTCTTCGCTCCCATAATCACAACCTCGCACAACTCCATCTCCGAATGCGACTACAACTTCCACAAGAGCAACTCGACCTACTTTGCCGACCTCGACGTCAGCAGAGCAGCCTTTGTCGGAGTCTTACTCAAGAAGTCCCTCGCTCGCTTGAATGGTGGAGATCTCACCGGTCTGCCCGAAGAAGCAAAGAAAGTCAAGGGCACATATATCGTAGCCCTGGGAGGCGTAGGCTGCGTATTCAGAAAAGAAATCAAGCCACTCGAGAGATTCGAAGTATGGACCAGACTCCTCTCCTGGGACGACAAATGGATCTACATTGTCAGCCACATTGTCAAGCGCGGCGCAAAGAAACCCTCAAACTACTTCTTGCAATCATGGAGAAACGGAAAAGCCGGCAAGGGCAANAAGAGCAAGGCAGACGGAGAAGACAAGATCAAGAGCATCTACGCAACCAGTCTTGCCAAATACGTCGTCAAAAAGGGAAGATTGACAATCGCTCCCGAGATCGTGCTCAGAAGATCAGACCTCTTGCCGGAACGACCTGCCAATGCGCCTGCCGCTCCCACCGTCTCAGATACACCAACCTCCGAAGGAGAAAAACCATACATGTCGAGTCCCGAGAACCTCGTAGCGCAAGTGATGGGCCAGCTACGTTCAGAAAACATGTTCGACAAGGAAAAAGAAGCCAAAGAGGGAGAAATGACTTGGAAAGAGGTGGAAGCAAAGAGACTCAGAGGACTGGAGATTGCTCAGCACTTTGATGGGCTCACTGCCTTGCATGGAGAGTGGAATGCTGATGATAATGTCATTGGCGAATATGGAGACTTCTTCTGGTAGATTCTTGATGTACAACATAGAAGGATAGAAATGAGATCCACTAATCTAATAGATACAAATCACTCATCTAAACGTTCTTTTCGCTTGATATGAATCATTCCTTTGAACCCCGGAGGCCTGACACTCACTACACACGCGAAGCGTACAGTGCCAGTAGCGGACATAAAGGTCTGACAATGATACATTCGAGACTCTCGATACTATGGTTCTCACGAGCGATCTTCTGCAGTGCAATGTTCTTGTGAGATGAGTAGTATCGTCAACAAACAAGAGGGGAAATTGTGGTATTGATCTGCATATGCAAGCCAGGAGCCATACAACCAGCTATTCAATGAGAAAAAAAAAGACACTTGATCTGTGTCCATCTATGAAAAGGAAAGCAAAAACGTACACTAGTTGGACATGAACAATGCATGGTAGTAAAGAAAAAGGTGATGGATGAAAAAAAAAAAAAAAGGAAAGATGAAAGAAGCGGCTAATCAAGAAGAAGAAGAACAGAAGAAAAAGCAGTGGGACACCAGTCCCCATGCTGCTATGCTAGTTTGAATGCAGTCCTGAACGCCTCCCTTGTGATTGAGCGTAGTAACATGATCCACCTCAACCCAGGTATGCTCGTATTTTCTGCCGAACGCTGAACACAAAGAAATGAACATGGCATCGAAGGTATTATTTGCTGGCCAGCAGCTTGCTCTCATCAACCCGATCGCCATTAGGCAAACGATCTTTCTTCAAGCATTGACCTTTACGGCCAACCTCGTCTCGGAGGTGATTTAGCTTGTCTTTGTCGCCGTTCCAGCTGAAGTCTCTGCTCCAGAAGCCACATCCAATGTTGCTAGTCTCGCCTCTCCAGTAGGTCTGCTTGAGACCAGCCGCGTCAACGGGTGGGCGCCATTTCTTGTGGTCCAGACTACTAATTAGACTCTCACCCTCCATATGGTGCAAAAGTTCTGGGTTGACAGTGAAACAGCGAAGACCCTTGTCGCGGCAAGCGGTCAGGATAGCCACATCATAGGCATGGTCGATACTGCCACGGTTGCCGGCCACGGGGGCATATTCTTCGACGAGTCTTCTGGCCGAGGCTCGGGTGACGGCGTAGCCAAAGGTACAAAGCGGCGAGACAGATTTGTGAACGATACGCGCTTGTTCGGGTACGTCAAAGGCGGTAAGGAGAGAAGAGGTGAAAGGGTGTAGATCGGTTCGGCGAGGCAGGGTCTGATCAGGGTAGACGACGTGGGGTAGATCGGTCAGATTGTTAGGATGAACGACACCGACACCAACGGGCTCGTCCATGGTTGTAAAGTAGTCTCCGCAGTGTCCGACGTAGAAGAGCTCCCAGTCGTCTGGGTGTCCCCAGGGGTATTCCTCACCAGCTGGGGGCAGTAATGCGCGGGCGGCGGTAGCAGCGAGCGGGACTTGTTGTGTTCGTAAGCGGATGTCCCAGTCGACATCATCTTCCAGGATGAGTGCCGTCTCGAAACCCGACTTGAGGAACTCGTTAAGAACGAGGTTGTGGCTGAGCCATGCGCGGACGGAACCGTTTGTGATGGACGACTTGTCGTTCTTGCCTCTGAAGGCCATGACTTGTTCCTCTGTCCATGTCGGTAGGGTAGGGATGGTGAAGTGCAGCTCGGTCACATTGGCGGATTGGATCAGGTTGTTGCGGCGTGGACTGCCGGGGCCAGACACAACAAACAAGCCGCCGAAGCCCAAAGTCGCATTGGCGGGACTTTGATGGGTAATGGAGAAGGAAGGGATGCTGGAGCCGACGCTGCTTCTGAAGTATATGATCAGAGTGAGCACGCTCAGGCCGATAAGCACGTAGAGCGGCGGCAGTCGGGGCGTAACCATGGTGTTATTGTTGCGAGCGAGGTCGAAGTACGAGGAGGGCGTTGAACCTTTTGGGGGATACGAAGAATAAACGCAGCGCTATCAGCCTGTATCAAGTCGCAATACGGGGCATCAGCCAAGAAGCTGTGGCGCGGTAGAGGCGTCCAAGTGCCGATGGAGCGAGATGAACAGGTGCGGAGGGGGCCGATGAGCTTCGGAGATGCAAGTGTTGAGAAGCAAGTGTCGGAGAGGGGAGAAGACGAGTCTACAGTCTCTCCTCGAAGAAGATGAGCGTTATTGGGGAGTTGAATGAGGAGTCGACGCCGCGCAACCCGTCCCACTTGGAAGGGCTTGGTGCGACGAACATGGAGAAACCTGGTCAAAGATCATCAGCCAGCCCTGCTCAGCAATCATCTGCCCCCAATCCTCCTCCTGTCAGCCTGTCAGACGCCCCAGTGAAACAATCAAACCTTCCGTTCCAATTGGCCAAACGTTGATTGCCAGAAACATCTTGCCTATAATCCATCATTTGCGCGCGTGGCTAACGGACAACAGGAGTCAACGGTAATCTAGCGCTTTTCAGCCAGCGAACAGCTCACAATTCAACACAGTGGAATCGATTCAGACCACCCTGGCAGGGAGATTTCATTAATCCGAGTCCATTTGACACTTCTTGCATGGCTTGCCAATCACGCTTGCAAGAAGCCGCATCTCTCAATGCCCCTGTCGGCACGCACGTGGGCACTTTGATGATCGTCCTTGCACTGCAGTGCCGCCAACGTCTTTTGGCCGCCTATTTTTCTTACCCCAAACCTTCTCGTTCTGCTATTCAAAACAGCCTAACAACTGTCGAAATTGCCGTTGCGCTTGCTTCAGCCAAACCTCAGGTCTTTGCGACTTGGTCTGATACATCTTGGTAGGTCACCGTGTGCTATCACAACGGCGTTCACGTGAACCAGTCAATGCTTTTCATCGCATGTGCCATCCGGCTGGGATAGCATGGCAATATCTAGCAAGAGCACGACGGAAGGTGTATGAAAGGTAGTAGGGGTTGATTCCATCAAGTATTAGTCAAGTGCTGCTAAAGAAAATGTGTGGGTGTCTTCCTCGTTGTTATCCTCCCCTCCTCTGATTTTTGCTGTCCTGTCCTCAACATTGCTGTCTTGAGATGCTCTTGTAAGCCCCGAACTTTTTGAACGGCATGTTTTGTCGAATCGTCCCTTCCTTGAGCGCAGAAATATGATCATGGGAAACTCTGAGAAGCCAAACGCGATGAAAGAAGAACTGCTTCTGCCAAAAGATGTCAGTACCCTCACGTCGCGATCAGAGTTGTGGAGGCTTACCTGGTGTGCCGGAAGAAGCTCGAAAACCAGTATGCCCATCTCGCAGAACGCTCAGTCTTCGACACTGACTTCACTATCCTCGGGGTCCAGGAGATGCAAGCTCGGGATCATGTGAAGATTGAACTTTGTAGAGCCAGCGCCGTGGAAGGCTACCAAGAGCTAACCGAAGGTAACAGGGTTACGGCGAGCACGGCAAGCCTTTTTTTCTTCTTCATCCGCATGCTCATGGTAGAAACATGGATCTGCCTTGTAAGGCGCAGTGTCCTTGTCCTTGCACGAATGGTCGTCGTCGAGTGCGATGGAGTTGTATGACGGCTTCTTGCTGTGACAGGAGCTACACAACTCCGAAGGTATTCTTCGAGCTAACTCTATGAGTACTGTAACCACCATGTCGTGAGGCAAGGCTTTCCAAAAGGCCAAGTCCTCTGAACTATACCTTACGCCATATATCAATCTGTCCAAAACAAGTTTTCTGAGAGGAGATGCTGCAGTCGTGTTTGAGTTGATGTATCTATAAGTACCAGCACTCATTGCGGAGTTTCTCTTCTCTTGGAAAAATTCGATCAGAATATCGATGGTGGTACTTCTGAGAGCCTTGACGTCGAGGCGATCTGCGAGTATGTACAGTGCAACAAAGGCCTGCTCAGGCCATGTCATGACATCTTCGCAGTTCAGATCTGATGCTTTAATGATAGCAGGGTTGAAGCCGCCATCGAGGCTACCGAAGTCTTGATCAATGTTTGAACTGTCATCGACAACAGTATAAGCGAGTTTGCCGCTGTACAGCCAGGTGACAAAGATCCTGAATAAGAAAGGGGAAACATCTTCGAGCTTGACGATGCCGGTCTGACTCTCTTCGAAGGTCCCAGTGAGTGCTTTGGCGAAGTACTCAGATTTGCTGCACAGAAGCTCTTGGTGAACGATGAACTTTTCCTGGGCTGAGCCGACCAGAATGGTAGCCATATTTGCGTTGTACAAGAACCTTGAAGCTAATCAGTCTCGCAATGTGTAGATCTACATGGTAGAGCACTTACTTCATTGTGTTGGCCATGTTGGAAGTGGTGCTGGTGGTGGAAGTGGAAGTGGAATATTAGTGCTGTTGGAAAGGGTGGTGCTGTTGGAAGAGAGATGGAAAGAAAAAGAAGAGAAGTTGAAGGCTGTGGGTTGATACAGTCGCAGAGTGAGAGCTCGAGTCGTTTAATGTGAAGAGCGTTCGAAGTGAGGCAGACGAGGTCGATCGCGAGTGAGTGCTCAACAGACACCGCGGTTGCAGTTGGGCGAGCCATTCAGTACGTGATGCAAATGAATGTCAACATGCGAACCGATTGGAAGTGACCATTTTCACGAATCCAAAGGAAGAAGCCCCCTGACGGATTCCATCTCTGTTGACGTGGTTCCCCACGGGCTTCCAGCAAAGCGATCAACCGACAAATAGGTCTAGGAAGACGAACTTCTGGCCGTCTCCAAACTCGCTTTGGCAAGAAAGCAATCTCAAGAGAGATTTGAAAGTCCATCGATCCCGACACGAGGCTGACAAGGCCGAGTCTGCGTGATCTACTGCCCAGCATGGAGATGTAGCGAACGATTCTCCTGTCCAGCATGAGAACGGTCAAAACCACTCTTCTGAGCGGGCTGATGAGAGCGTCAGGTTCACGCACAAACATCCAAACCGGGGTTCTCATCATCTACCAGACTGTAGTGTGTATAGTTATAGAAACGCACAGTTTGTCCTACAAAAGAAGTATTGTCCACGAAGAGTTGTAACACTATCAGATCTCTCGAGACGCATCTCAAATTCAGAAACAATTGTGCGTGCCTATAACTACACGCAATGTAGTTCAGCAGACAGAGATGAGAGCTAAAGACTTACTGTGTTCTCTGCCTAGGTTGCGAAGGTACACCCTCATGCGATGGTGGCCCGCCGTGACGTTAGTGAGACGCTCACTGTAAGCAGACACGATTCTTCCTGAGGTACAGATGTGGCCAAAGAGGGTCAATAAGATATCACCGCTCAGTGGACACTCTCATGTTTCTTAGGGAGAGTTTCCTAAGGTTGCACGTCGAACACACTAATACTGCCACTGGTTCTCATTAACAAACAGCCCCTCTTGCCCATTGTGACAACCTCGCCTTTGCGACAAAAGATCCTTAAAATGGCGGTGTGAGTGATGGATAATGGCAAAAAAAGAATGAAATGAGTGAAAAGAGACAACGAAAGACGGGAAAAGGAAAGAAATGGAAAAAGAAGAAAAATGGTACCAATCCTTTGTTTGCATTCTCGGTGTCGAAACCGTCAAGGCCCCAAACTTCCTTCATCTCTTTTCTCTTCTGGCTCTTGGGCTTGCCCTGCTTGATGCGCATCTTCTCGAAGAATACATAAGCAGAGTAGAACACTGAGCTAGTGTTGCCGGAATCAGGTCCCTTCTTGCCTCTGAAGGACTGTATCTGGGAAGCACTGATACCCTTGGGCGCCTTGTCAGTGTTGTACTGCGCGAGAAGGTCACGACCGAATTGTGCTTGGGTGACACCAGGCTTCTTGAGGTATGCTGTGATTTGGCGGCGAATATCGTCACAGGTGTCATATACAGGAACTGAGTCTGTCTCTTCGCCTTAACACAGACTTCGTTAGCGATCTCATGCTTTCACAGAGTTTGAGATGTCGAAATCATACCATCNGAGGTGGACATCACTTAGATCAAGTTTCTCATCCTGCTTCTTACCACCCTTGCCATCCTTGCCGTCCTTCTCAGCATCCTTGGCCTGCTTCTGCTTCTTCGTCGGCACCTTGATGCCCATGTCCTCTCTTCTCTTGAAGAAAGCAAAAGCGGCAGGGTAAGCTGCACACTCATCACCCTTCATAGTACCATGCTTGTGCATAAAGTTGTAATAAGCATTACTGCTCACATTAATAGCACTGCAAAAGTCGCCAACTTTCATCTCGCCAGACTCAATCAAACGGTTGATCTTGTTGCGGACGACTTGACACCTGTCGGTAACGATGGAATAGTCATCAATGTAATCATCGATATCCTCGTTGATATTGTTGGCGGCTTCTTCGTGAGTGCGCTTGGTACCTTGATTGGGGCTTGTTGCAAGGCCGGCATTTGTGATGGATGTAGGTGCAGGTGAGTCCTTGGTCAGATTGACTTGCGGAACACTGTCTTTGCGAGCTTCTGAGTCTGCACCAGATGAAGCATTGTTGCCGGTGCCAGTCTCGGTAGAAGTGTTCTCAGCACCCGCAACTTGTTCCGCCAGATGAGCTTCAGCCTGTTCCATGTTGGCCTGGGTCTGAGGTGAAAGAGGTGCAGTCGTATCAGCCGTGAAGATCCTTGATTATCGTATGAGTGGTGTCAACGAAGTTGAATTCCAGATGTGCACAATCATCTCGAGCTGTGTAAGAGAAGAAATAAAAGAAAAAATGAATAAACCCACCACAGAGCAATTGAACTCTTTAAAACCCATGGTCGGCGCGTACGCTCGTCGATCTGCCCATCCTGGTTTGCGTGTGACGTCGTTGAAGTGTGGAGCTGGAGCTCAGAAAAAGAGTAAACTCTCAGGGTGGAGGGATTGCAACACGATCGCAACAAGACGTCAAGCTCGCGTATTCGCGTGCGACATTCCTGTGCAAGACTGCAGGTGGTTGAGATAGAAAAAGAGGCATCCTTGATGCCAGCATTGATTCTACGAGAGTGAACATGTAAATACAAGTTGGTCATACACAAGACCTGTTTCTTTCGTTATACCCGTGGGTTCTATGCGCCGCGCTTACAAGATTAAGTAAAAGGAAAAGGCCATCGATCGCTTCCATCCAAATAAAAGAGACTGTTCTCCGATGCAAGATGCGTTGTGAGGAATGGTGTGGAAGAGATGCAAATATGTTGGGTTTACGTCGCTTCGGTCGTCGAGGCAGCTTCACCGTTGCTTTGTGCTGGTGCATCCGCGGTCGTCGCCCCAGGGCGAGGAGATCTGGGTGGTCCCTCGGCGCTGGCTCGTGAGAGGCGCTTAGCCTTCTTCTCTTTCGCTGCCTTATCAGCATCAAAGTCTTTCCACTTGCGCCAGCCGTCAAAGTCGATGAGAGCTTGCATACAACCCCATTCCTTGACCTTGCGTTCAAGCCAGACGAAGTTAACGGGCTAGAGTATCTGGTTAGTATTCTTGTGGCCTTGGAACGCGAACATCTGGTACATACCTTNTGTCAAGAAATCGTTGCAACCAGCAGCTAGGGCTTCGTGTCTGTCACTCTGCAAACTACTTGCAGTAAGCGCGACAATGATGACGGGACTCTTGAACAAGCCGCCATCAGACACGAGTTTATCATCGTCCTTCTTCTTTTCTTCGTCGTAATCTTCTCCATTCTCGCCTTTTCCAGAACAAGGAGCAGGGGTGGAAGAGGTGCTGAACACACCAATTCCATTGGCTCTTTCAAGACGACGAATCTCTTTGGTTGCTTCCAATCCGTTCATGATGGGCATTTGAATATCCATAAGCACTAGATGGAAGCCGCCAGCTCGCCATTTGTTGACTGCAATCTGGCCGTTCAAAGCTGTGCTCCATCTTACTTTCAAGCGCTTCATAAACGCTTCCAACAGTCTCAAGTTGATGATGTTGTCCTCGACGATCAGTACGTTGATGGGAGGAACCGCGCCGTCGAGCAGCGAAGGAGGAAGGGTTGTTTTTGCGCCATTGCTAGGAGATTTGATGGTCGCCGTACCGTCGGTGGGAGTAAGCTTTCTTTGGCGGCGAGGGCGAGCAGGCTTGAGCGTGCTTTGACTCTGAGAAGCAGGGGTGGGTGGGCTACTACCGGGATGTACAGGAGGTATAGCCTCTGCGGCAGGAGGTGTTGGGAGAGCTGGCGCCGGCGGTACGGCATGGCCCTGTTGTTCGGAAACGGTGGAACCGGCTCTTGGGCGACTCTGTCTGATTGTAGGCATATGTTGAGAAATCGCTAGGTTGGATGCACTGAGAGGCATGGATGTAGGCGGAGGATTGTGGGTCATGATAGTAGGGGAAGAAGTATGTTGGCGGTTGAACTTTGGCCTAGGATCGCGAGGATCGCGATGGCGGCGGACACTGCCCGGTGATGGCAAGACAGGAATCTGGCCAGTGTTCAGTACGGCTATTGAGCGGGGTGGCTCAGGATGTAATGTCTGTTGCACAGGCGGTTGGCCAGGCACATTTGTTGGAAGTTGAACTGCGGGCATTGGGGGAANATAGTCAGTGCCTGTCTCTGCAGGTCGGTAGTCATCCAAGGCAGCATATGAAGCACCATGGTATATGCGAGGAGATGGGCGAGGGGTGCGGCGTGNGGGAGTCTCGATAAGAAGAGCTTCCTCGGCAGTTTGGCCACCAGCATAATACGAGTCCAATGTGCGACAGACATCCTCGTCTGGACTGAGAATACGTTCCGATGCGCGCTTCCCGTTCTCATCAGGCCTGCTGACGATGCGCAGGATAAGGTCGGGTGAGTCGTAACTTCTACCCAGCGAGTTGCCGTATTTCCTCATTACGAGGTCTCTCACATCATCGACTAGGTCGTCTTCGCGCACCGTGACCATGGTAGGCGAGGCATTGGGTCTCTTGACCCATACTTTTCGGGTCAACATGCTAGCAATAGGAGGGACCGGTGCGTCGACAAAGTAGTCCGAGGCTTCAATGGTGGCCGGAGGAGTCGAGGGAGGTAGAGGGAATTGAGCGACGGTGTTGGGACTGAGTAAGGCGCGGATGATAGGAGCGTTGGCGCCGCTCAAGAGGGATTGACGACGGATAGTGTTCTCGGATGGACGTTTAGGCGTCAGTGGCAGCGGTAGCGACGGCAGACTCGGAGAGGGCTGGGCGCGGATGGATACTGGGGTGTGAGGGCGCGAGTGGGCGGATTGAGGACGGAGGCTCCTTGTGCTGGTGGAGGCGTCTGTGTCAGCGCGTGGGACATTGGGAGAGATGTGTAGTTCAGCGACATACTCGGCGAGGATGTCGACAGGCTTCTCTGGAGTGGCACACTGCAATGTCAGGCTTGGTTGATTGTGCGAGTGGCTCGAAGTCCCATGTCTCTCGGGAGTGGACTGGAGGTCGTTGTCAAGATGGATGCTAGCAAGTTGAGCGTCGAGGGTCGGAGCAGCAATGCCGCGGCCGGTGCTGGTGCTGTTGCGGTTGCTGGCAGCGGGCGGGCGCGTGGTGGGCTCGGGAGCGTCGTGAAAGTGGTCGTCGCTGTCTTCCTCTCTGATGCTGTCCTGCACACTAAACTTGGACGGACTCTTGAGGGCAGCGAGATGCGGAGAGGATCGGCCGTGGTCGCGAGAAGTGCTCCTGCTGCCTGCCGCTTGGCCTGAGTGCTGCGAGGGCTGCGGCTGGGGTTCTGCCGAGGAGCTGCCTGTGCTGTGAGAGCGCTTGAGCAATCCTCGAAAGGCCGCCCGGAGTCCTGGCATCTTGACAATTATCACTGTTCCTCTGTCCAGTACCTCTAGAAAATATCTCCAATGTTTACGTGCAGCCGCAGCTGCCGTGCCTGTCGAGAGCCCGCTGCTTTGGGCTGCACTCAATCGTCAAGAAATCACGGCTCGCTCACGGGCGCTTGGTCCTCCTTAATCTTCTCCTGTCATGGCCTGTCGCGAACCTGATACCACTGCCCTACCACCACCTGTCAAGACGTCAATGGCGCCCATCACTTACTCGCGACCACGTTCCGCCTATTCACATGTCTTGTCTGTACCTTTTCATCTCATTGTGCCTCTTGATTCATCATGTTTGACCTGCTGTTTTGCTTTTCCTATAAACCAAAAAAGCTATGCCTCGATCCGATCTCCGTCGCGTCGTACCTGCTACAACTTGCCTGCAACATGCACCTCTCTCCTTGGCCATGCACATGCAGCCTCCCCCTAATATCACTTGATTGGACCTTCCTTCTCAATCGACCTGCTGCTTAGCTGCCACGCCCAACCATTTCAGTTCGACTCCATCATAAGAATCCTGGCACTTCTCCATCTCAAACTCGAGTCCTTCGACAGCTCCTTCCGCATTGTCTGCTGCCTCGTCCGAGATTGGCGACAATGCTATCTTCCAGGTGTGCTTGTCACCAATGCGACGATATCCCAGATCCAGCTCCTCCGTCACTCTCTTCTTCTTGGGGATTCGCTGGATGAACTCCCAGCCTCTGTCTTTGTACTTCTGAGTGAGGATGACGCCGTTGAAGTAGTCGGGAATACGAGTAGGGTAGGTCTGACGCTTGATGAACGTAGCATTGGGGAATACGCAGTATGCGTGGTTGCCTGTAATGGCATTGACCAGCGCAGTCGTGTAGGTCGAAAGCGTAGAGTGGATAGGATGCTTGTGGGTCAGGATGATCTCCAGCCTGACGAACTCGCCGTCGACCACTTTGTCGTACTGATGAANCCTATGAGTAGTGTCAGCGAATGTTCAAGATGGACGTCGTGTACCACTCACCATGTCGACATGAGTCCAAGCGTACTTTCCGACCTTACGAGACGCAAGATCATATCCTTCGACTTCCTCCATGTAACGACAGAACGCGTCTGCGTTTTCTCCAACCTGCACGCAGACATCCAGATCCGAGCCATTCCACTCCACACGATCCATGAACTGCAGAGCAAAGCCTCCCGAGATTATGCCATCGAGCTCAGCAAGTCGTTTTCTGAAGCCACGAGGATCCTTGACGAACTTCTCGAGACGCTTGTTGATGTCCCAAGCGCCGTTGCTAACCAGCTTCTGGTACAGAGGCTCAAGGGCGCGGCAAGTGTGGGTGAGCGCGATTATATCCTTGATGGGAAGGTGCGCAGTGAGGGCGTCACAAATGGGCGGGAACCCGTCCGTGCCAAGTATGGTGGTGAGATTGGCCATGCCGAGAATGGTTATTGGTCGCGTTGCAGGTGGATATGAAAGTGGTATGTAGTGTTGTTGACGATATCCAAGTTGGGCTTCGACGATTCACACGAAGACAGTGCGACTCTCTGGAAGACTTCGTCTTCACCAGTGAATGAAAACGCAGAAGACGTGGTTCGAGAGCTCAAGCATGCGTGTTTGTATTGAGATGTCGTTTGCGTGTGAGGCGCGGATTGCTGCAGACCAGCGAGTTCAGAATCTGAATATCGATACAGTTCCTCAGCCAGCGCGAATGGACTTCAGTGTTTTGTGACGGTGGCTTGAGCCAATCTTAATGAATTGGTATGCTCGACAGTCCAGACATATGTGAATGTGGTTATTGGAGAGTTGGTATGCACTCAGGTCAGGGTGTGACAGCCGACAAGAAAGACTTGATCAGGGCGGGAGGCTTATTGACGAAGGCAGCATCAACAATCAAAGATTCGTGGCCAAACCATAGCGTCAAGACAGGAAGGGTGAATCGAGAACGAGAAAGAATTGTTCATCTATTATGTTGGTCGTAAATTCGTTATATAGTGGTGGTACAAATCCCTTCGCTTTCAAAATATCCGCCGATGACAGTCAATGCAGTGCAATTTGTACTCCACAAACGCCACCTCCGTCTACACCCTCAGTCCACAAGTGATGTATCTTATCATTGATCCTGATCGTTATGTTTTCGGTGATGGTGTTGATGCTTAGACGATCTCGTCTGCACCAGCATGGTCCTGGTCGGGGTTCGCTTCCTCATAGTTGAAGTACTTGCAGAAGCGGTAGTAGCCAGCAGCGAGAAGACCGCCAAGGAGAGGACCGATCCAGTAGATCTGAAGATGAGAGTACAGTTAGCGCTATTCGTATGTGTGAGAGCATGGTACGCCAGCAGTTCGTGCTATCAGTACCCCTGCCTTACGTACCCAGTGTGCATGATTAAAGCTAGCAGCGGCGACGCAAGGGCCGAACGAACGTGCAGGGTTCAGACTACCTCCGGTGTAGTAAACACCTAGCATCATCTGTTAGAAATGCAAAGCAGCAGCTCAGAGCAACATTGACTTACCTGCAAGCTCAGCGACGAACAAAGCCAATCCAATACCCAGAGGGGCAAGGAAAGTGGTCTTCGACTTCTCAGCTGCAAGCATGAGGACGGTAAAGACGAGGAAAGATGTTAAGAACATCTCAAAGAAGACGCCTTGTACTTCGGACATGCCAGGAGCCAGAACGGTGCGGGTGGCCGAAATGTCACCAGGAATCATACAGCTCACTAGAGCAGCAGCGACTATGCTTCCAAGGATTTGAGCCGGGAAAAGAACCAGACCTCTGACCCAAGGTAGTTGACCAGCGGCGACCATACCGAACGTGACNNGCTTGAAGTGTTGTGAGCGGGGGTAATCCTGATAGGTTTGCGTCTCAACTTACGCTGGGTTGAAAAGTCCACCACTGATTCTGAACAAGATCCATACGGCGACCAGGAGCGACATACCATAGCCCAGAGCAATGTAGACGACTGTCGAGGCACTGTTGCTTCCGTTCGGTGCCTTGTCACTTGCTTGGTAAAATGCCATGAGTTGGCACGCAAAGGCGAAGTAGAGGAAGAAGAAGGTGCCCACGAACTCTCCAGTAGCAGCGACGAAGTGATTTTTGATGGCATGGCCTCTATGTCTGTCTCCTGCCATGGTTTCAAAAGGCTTTTCGATATGTCCTCTATGCATGATAGGTTGTGGTAAGGCGAGATGGGTCACGCAACTTTGATGGTCAGGCTGAGAACCTCCCAGGCAGCGGGTAGATCAAGCAGATATAGAGATTCCAACGAGTGATGATACTTTCGTGACGGAGCCCCGTGCAGGACATCCCGCTCCAGCAAGCAGCATGACGTTGCCAGAATAAGAGGGAGAATGCTAGTCATGGTTTCTAGAGACGGATCAGATTTTGGGTGCATGCCGCCCCGTTGCAACCGACAGGGCTGGGAAACCCTGTACATAGCATTGTTCGCAAACTCGATTGGCATGGAGTGGCTCTGTGCGTAGTGAAGACGTTTCAGCAGACACACACCTGAAGATGTCGACTCAACAATTCACCGATTTCTGAACGCTGGCGATACGCATCTTGCGGCTCAAGCTGATGTCGTCAGTGGAGGTTGTGAACGATCATCCCTGCATGAAACAGCCCTCTCACCGGAGCTCAGACGATTTCGAATGAGCAGCCGCTGTCCTCGAAACATCCATTGCAACATCTGGGTGCGGTCAAAAGAGGAGAAAGATTGACGAGTTGGAAATCTTGGTTTTAACAGTCTTTCGGAGACCCGGGAGAATCATCAGTTCAAACCTCCGCGAAAGTTGATATGGAAAAGCCATTCTCTTGCTCAACCTGCAACTCTATCGATATCTAATTTTACTCCTGTTTTCCTCCTTCGGAAAACATAATCTCAACATTGTTGTACCGAAGTCGTTTTGTCCCCTGTTGATACTCTGTGCTGGCTACAATCTTGCGACCGTGAGTGGGTCAATAACAGGCAATCCTGTGAGCGGGATGTCCACAATAAGACCGTCTCACGATACAAAGGAACATTAACAGAGGTGTTTTATTGATGAGACAGGCTCTTACTCGTCGGTCGCTAACGCCTCTGCATGAGCGCGAGCACGAGGCTGAGTTGACCATGACATCACCTTTCGCTTGCGACCCACTGCACCTCCAACTCGACCATTCTGCGTAAGGAGGTCGTATGGAGTGTGATAACGTGGCCAATGCCAGACTGAGCACCGGTAACCAGGAAGTTGGATACTCAGAGGGTGATCATTGATCAGAGACAGTTCTTAAAGATTCTAGAACCCGGGTCTTGCTATTGTTAACCGAACTTCAACTTCTTCTGTCCTTTTTCTGCTTTTGCGACATTTGGCGGTCGACCTCTCTTCGATTGCGTATTCGGGTTCGTACTTGGAGGCCGACTATGTTCCCGCGATGCTGCATTTACTCTTTCCTCCGCTGCGAGGTCAGCCGCCAGGTCCTTTGCAAAGTGCCAATCATCATGTTCGCTTTGTCCAATGACCAGTAACGTGCTGTTACATCGAGGGCAAGTATATCGACTTGTGTCATCATCTGGACGTCTGCTTTGCTTCTCTGCATGTGATATTGGCATATCGTCCGATGTTCCTTGCGCAGAAGGAGGAATGTCGAACGGACTATGAGCCTCTCTCACATCATCTTCCATGCGAAAGTCTTGCTCTTCTCGTTCAGAATGACCGCCGGAACTTTCTTGCCTAGCTCCGAAAAATCGTTGTATACCACTCTCCTCAACACGCCTGCGCTTGCTTGGAGAGGGAGTCTCCGGGTTGCGTGGTTCTGACGATTCCTTTAGGGCAGCTGATATTGCTTTTGCCTCGTCTCCTCTCAGCAGAAATCCACCAATACCTTTGTTGCCAGTCACACCTTCTTCAAAGCCACTGACACTTAATGACAGGTTCGCACACGGCCATGCTCGGCCCTCTGCAATGACCTGAGCAAGTAGTCCTTTGGCAATGTCAAACAGCAAAGTCTCATCCATTGTCCTTCCCATGGGAATGGATGCCGACTTACTCCTGGTCTGTGCGCCTTGTCTGTGATAGAGATTGAGAGTCTTCGGTCGTCTTTTGTTCTCCAGAACACCCTCTTCTACTAGTCGAGAGAAGATATCGGCGACGAAAATGCGAATCCACCTCACAGCTGTGTCTAGAGTGTTGATAGAAGGTCGAAATGATTTCGCACTGAGCATCGACTTGATTTGCGTCCGAGGATTGACTTCGCTATGGTCCTCGCCGCGAATGATGTTGTAGAGCCATGTACCAGTATCATCACCTATCTTTTTCTTGAGCTGTTCGATGGATACTTCAAGTAGGTCCTTGACTGTGTCTGTACTGAACGCTGCGACGATCTCATCACCAAGTTTACCACCGAGGTTTCTTATTTTGGTGAACTTGAAGTCACTCAAGAAGTGATGTACAGCTCGATTACGGATGATGGTTTGTTGGTTCGGCTTCTTGTGAGCGGAACCAAGTTTTGCAAGCATCTTATTTCGTGCGACGCCAGCCGAACATGTGTATTTAAGAACTTCGAAGATCTTGGCTCGTACGCCTCGTACTATCTCCGATGCGATGACCATGGCGACATCGTCCCAGTCCGGATCGTCGTCCTCGGTCTCGGAAGAATTCAGATCAACCAACGCGTCGGTGTGCCATTCTAAAGCAGTGGTTGGAGGACGAGGCAGCTGTTCTGTAGGATCATCGTACGGTGCAGGACGTTTGAGTTCTGGGAACCTCTCAAGCATGATACCATGTACATGGGTTGACAAGTCCAGGAAGACCTCATCGATACTGGCCTTCTCTACCTTAGAAACAGGGGCGGCTGGCAAGTGATCTTTGATCAAAGCCAAGATTCTCCTGCTCTCTAGTCTGTATGGATCCAAGCTGACCTTGTGTGTAGCCATGTTCTTGAAAGAATCCTCATGATATGCCCATTTCTCATCTCCTTCTTTCCAAGTAGCGACGTGTTGCATGATCAGGTCGGGGCACTGCTTGACTGCCTCAGTGATGGTTACGTGCCGATTTAGACCGAAGGCGCGCGCTGGGTAATTGATTGCGATAAGACCCTGCCACTGTTGAACGGCGAGAGGTTTGTCCGATGGTATACCCAAGCGGACCATTTCGCATTGAGCATAGAAGGCATCGAGGTCGATGTGAGCGATGACACGCAACGGACATGAGGTAGCAGAGGATGCGAGTTGAGCCAAGTGCCGGTACGTGAATGCAGACTTGCGGCGACGCTGTGAGCTGAGAGAGACTGGCGAGGACTCGAGGAAGTTTGGTGAAGACATGTCAGCCCTTTCAACAAGAACCGAATGTTTTCAGTCCATGGAGAGGAGTGACCCGCGTCACGCGTAAAGTGGCGACGAGTTGGATGGAGAAAGATGGAGCAAAGGCGACGTGAAGACTTAATCGCGTCTGACCAAGAGCGATTGTTTATAAGATGTTAGAACAACAGTTGGCGGTATAAATTGTATGGATGAGTGAACAATGCCAAATCTTTTCTCAGAGGTAGACGCGACGCGCTGCCGTCATGGTTCTTGGCCGCGCTGGAGTCGTTCGATGAGCATTGTCGTACGGGCAGACGGGATCGTATCGTGTATCAGTAAAGTGTGCTCCTATCAAGTCATGAGAACCTTGGAAGACCGCTCATATCCATCGACCTCAGGAAGTGCTATCGTAAAGAGCACGAGAAGCTCAGTGCCCAGGGTGAGGTTCGAAGACGTCATCAAGGAGCTGGTGTTTCTTCAGTAGTTAAACGTACAAGTCGCAGTTGACCGACAATCACCTCACCAATCCTGCCCAAATCACACTTCTATCATTGTTAAAGATCGATCTGACAGCAACCGAGAACCACCAGATATGTCACTCCGTTCACCCACCTTCCTCATGGGACTCGCGAATCTGTTTGCGGTTGGCGGTGCTACATATCATCTTCGAAGCCATCACATCTACAATCTTGAAGAACACGAAGCACGAATGGACGAACTCGAAGGAACCTTGAGAGGCCACATTGGATTGATCGAAGAATCTCTTGAGCGACTCGAAGGCAAGCAGATTACCAAAGGGCAGAAGACGTGAGTTGTAGCTTCCCCACTGCTTCGAGAGATGTACTGAACAACGACAGCNGAGGACTTGTACAGCAAGCGAGGGCGAGACGAGAAGCAGGACAAGCAGAAGAAGCAGTAGGGAGACAGACAAGACGGGATAGTAAGGATGTTCTATTTAGGAGACAGACAACTGCCATGTAAATGTTATGCCCCATGCTCTTGGCGAGAGGAAGTTGATGTCTTTTGGCCCGTGCGGCAGGAGCAAGGGTCTCAGTTCCCCCTTTGGCCGCACCTCCCCCATACCTTGACGAGAAGCACCCGACAGCAATTGCTCCCCATCTCAATACGTCGCCTTCACCACACTCGTTCGTTGCAGTCGTCTATCGCCAATCTCTCGCTCCGAACTCTCGAACCTCCACACAACATGTCTTCCTACGTACGTGCGCTCCGAGCTCAACGTCGTTGTCTCTGTCGTGTCTAATGGCGCCCACTGACACAGCCACAGATCAGGCGCAAGAAGAATGTCAAGAAGGGTATCCAGTTCTGCATCATGGTCTGCGGTGCATCTGGCACTGGTGAGCCGCATCAACAACACCCGCCCGATAACTCGATCGACTAACTAGTCGCGCCCAANGGCCGCACCACCTTCGTCAACACACTTTGCGGCAAGAGCGTCCTCTCTGGTGTCGAGCAAGATGACCCCGTCAATGCACACATCGAGGGCGGTGTGCAAATAAAGCCCGTCACTGTTGGTACGATATCAAAATGTCCCTTGTCGCCACTACCGTAATGCTCATTGTCGTTTGCAGAGCTCGAACTCGATGAGGAGGGTACCCGTATCTCGCTGACCGTTGTCGACACTCCTGGATTCGGTGATCAAGTCGACAATGAATCAAGGTACCTAGGCCTTACTCGCAACAGATGCAATGGCTTCAGCTGACACGCGTACCCNAGCTTTGGTGAAATCGTCGGTTACCTCGAGCGCCAGTACGATGACATTCTCGCCGAGGAGTCCCGTATCAAGCGTAACCCACGATTCCGCGACAACCGTGTTCACGTCTTGCTCTACTTCATCACACCCACTGGTCACNNGGGTATGCACTTCCGCACTCTTGTCCGCCTCGCTGATCGTTTCTGACTCGTTTTTATCAGTCTCCGTGAACTCGACATCGAACTCATGAAGCGCCTGTCACCTCGCGTCAACGTCATCCCCGTCATCGGAAAGGCCGACTCCCTGACCCCCGCCGAGCTCGCCGAAACCAAGAAGCTCGTCATGGAGGATATTGAGCACTACCGCATCCCCGTCTACAACTTCCCCTACGATATCGAGGAGGACGATGAGGACACTGTTGAGGAGAACGCCGAACTCCGTGGACTCATGCCATTCGCTATCGTCGGATCCGAGGACACAGTCGAGATTGGAGGTCGCGTTGTCAGAGCCCGCCAATACCCCTGGGGACTGGTCGAGGTAGACAACCCGCGCCACAGCGACTTCCTGGCCATTAGGAGTGCCCTGCTTCACAGCCATTTGGCCGACCTGAAAGAGATCACACACGACTTTCTCTACGAGAACTACCGCACAGAGAAGCTTAGTAAGAGCGTCGAAGGCGGAGCCACCGCGTACGTGACCCAGGACATAGCATTGTTATCAGCAGGAACTGACAATATCGGCAGCGATCACTCACTCGCTCCGGAAGACCTGGCCTCACAATCAGTCCGCCTTAAGGAGGAGCAGCTGCGCCGCGAAGAAGAGAAGCTCAAGGAAATCGAACTCAAGGTGCAGCGCGAGATCAACGAGAAGCGACAGGAGCTGTTGGCCAGAGAGAGCCAGCTGCGCGAGATCGAGGCACGCATGCACAGAGAGCAGAGCGCCGCGCTCAGCGTCAACGACACCGAGTCGACCGAGGCCGGTGCCGCCTAAGGAGTGTTTCAAAAGCAGATCATGTCAAGTGTCAGTCTATCACAGTGGCTTTTGTGCCGAGGGCTCGCGGGAAGAGTCCGCCTTTTGTTTCGTTGTTCTTTCTCTCTTGGTTGCGCAAAGTATTCCCCCCCTGATATTGCTGTATTCAAAGAAGGCCTACCTTTAGTCTGTAATACTATCTTCAAAAGCACCTCTTATGTCAGTTTCTGCTTCGAAAAGAGCATTCGCGACTCGTGCCTAGGATATACAGCAGAAGCATGTGATTCTTGGCGTCGTCGACCACGCAGGTGTTCGTTGATGCCACATGTACTCTGTTACACTCAACGCGTAAACACAACACAACAACCATGGCCGAACTCTTCGACAAGGCACCCGAGCTGCCCCCACCATTCATAAACGTCACAGGCATTGCCAACTTCCGCGACATTGGCGGCTACAGCACATCCTCGGCCGACCAATCCATCCGCTCCAACCTCGTCTTTCGCTGCGCCGACCCCAGCAAAGTACAACCCTCGGGCCTCGCAAAACTAAAAGAGCTCGGCGTAAAAAAAGTGTTCGATCTACGCAGCATACCCGAGATTTCAAAGCAAGGGCCTGAATGGGCTGGTGTTGCGGTTGAAAAGGAAGTGTTTGTGACAAGGGATGAAGGAGACGAGACTCCTGTTCCCGCAGACCAGATTGAAAGGATATGGTGTCCAGTGTTTAGAAACACTGATTATGGACCTGAGCAAGTTGCTGTGCGGTTCCAGAATTATGCGAGGAAGGGGAGTGAGGTGTGTATTCTTTTCTCTCTCTCTCTCTCTCTCTCTCTCTCTCTCTCTCTCTCTCTCTCTCTCTCTCTCTCTCTCTCTCTCTCTCTCTCTCTCTCTCTCTGTTCCTTCTTGGGAGGATGGCAACTGACGACATGCACAACANNGGGCTTCGTAAAAGCATACGCCGATATCATGGCCAACGGGCCCACCGCCTACAAGACCATTCTCACGCATCTGGCTCAACCAAACCCTTCTCCGTGCATAATCCACTGCACGGCAGGCAAAGACCGCACAGGCGTCATAGTCGCTCTCCTCTACCTCCTCTGCTCTGTCCCTACCTCGACGGTAGCGAAAGAATACTCTCTCACAGACACTGGATTACAGCATCTGGTGCCCCTNTTTACAGAGCGCTTGCTCAAGAATCCTGCTTTGGAGGGTAACGAGGAGGGTGTGAGGAACATGATTTCTGCGCAGCCGGAGAAAATGGCTGCCACGATCCAAATGATTCAGAATGTCTATGGTGGTGCCGAGGGGTACGTCAAAGACGTGGTTGGTCTGAGTGACGAGCAGATTGCGCAGATCAGGAAAAATCTCTTGTCGAGTGAGAAGGCTATGTTCTAAACATTGAGGGTACATATCTTGGCCAGTCTCTCCTACAAGAACGATTCGGATTGAAAAAGGGATGATAGACTGACCCGAAGCATTTGACTAAGAATTACCTATGGTAGATCTCGATTACTCCTTCAAAAGATCTCGAATGCAATCGAACATATAATGGTAGAGTTTCTCATTGATGCTTTTGGAAGCTGTTATCTAGTAATGCTACTGATGCCTTCATTAATCTATGCTTTTGTTAATCATGCTGTCGTTATTCGTTGCTTGTTGTGGCACTGTTTGCGCTTTTTACGATGCTGTTCACTCAGTCGTATCTCTCCAGTGCGGTTGAACTATTGTCGATCATCCCTGCCAGCGCACTCTTTCGCTTCTCAGAAGGTTGACCAGCTCGACTGGTAACATCTCCTTCTCGCCCAGACCCAATCCGCCAAATCTTTCCATGGCTTCGGCAGCATAGAGGTGAACGGTCCAGCGCCAGTAGACGTCCATGGCCGAGAAAGTGGTCTTGATGCGCTTCGACTTGCGGAACTCGAGGGGGAGTGTGTTCAGAGCATACTCGACAAAGCGTGTAGACCCCAAGCCCTTGATGGTAGGCGACTCCAACAGATCCTCGTAAGCAATCTTGAGAGACTGTGAAGTCTCCTCGCGGAAGCGAACAAAGTCTTCGAAGGAGAAGAACTTTTCTGCGTCACATCCGGAAGGTGGATCGACTTGGTGCTTGATTGTAGTCTTGAATACTTGCTTGTAGGTGTCGTACTCCTCCTCGTCCCGCTCCCAAGCAATCTCGAGAAGGTTGTGGGGCACCTCTTGAGAGTCCTCACGAGCAGTCATCAGCGGGATGAAAGGGTTGCGCAGCTCGAGCCCTCCGAGCTCAACCGGCCAATAGAGGAAGACATTGGCAATGTCCTTGGTTCCGAAACGCTCTTCGATGATGGACTTGAGGTAAGAGGTGACGTCCTCGCAGCCAGTAGTGTTGTTGTCGTCTACGAAGAGCTTCTTCTGAATGTACTTGAAAGTAGCGAAGACCATGTCGAGATGCTCAATGCCAAGGCAGTTGGCGGGATGGCCAAAGTTGTTGCCCAGGAAGCGGCCCATGTAGCTGTTCCAGGCCTGAACGTAGGAGAACACCGAGCGACATTGCGCAAACTGGAGGCGCATCTCGGCAATGTGCTCATCAACATTGGCCATGTCAACGACCCAGCGTCCGGCTGAAGGATCCAAGACCAGGAAACCCCATCTCACTGGGCCCTTGGGCAGAGTGTTCGAAACCTTCTCGCCCTTGTCGCTCACGTGAACCGATCCAGTCTTCTCCTCATTCAAGGCCAAACCCATGACAGCCGTGAACTTCTTGATAGCTTCCCAAGCAACCTCACAGTCTGCCTTCTGACCCCAGAACCAGACGTCGTCGTGGAAGCGGTAGAGCTGACAACGACCCTTGGTTGCCTTGCTGACAGCGAAGTCGAGACAAGCGAGAAGTATCTCACCAAACACATCGCTGAGTGTCTGACTGATAGGGACACCGCAAAGACGTGTACGAGGCTCGGAACTGGGACCGTCTTGGGGGAAGACCAGGGACATGGAGAGGTATTGCTTGAAGAATTCGATGTAAGAATCGTGAACGCCGAGGAAGTCCAGAACAGTGAAGATGGTACTGTGAGGAAGGCTGGGGCCAAACCATTTGAAGTCAGTCTGACAAAGGGTGAAGCTTCCGTAGATCTTTCTCTGTACCATCATTTCGGTAGTAGCCAGGCGGAGAAGAGTTTGCTTTACCTCGAGAGGTGACTTCTTGTCAGAGTCTTCCTCATCCGAGGCGTCAGAAGCGTTGTAGTCACGGCAACCTTCTTCAAGCTTGTCAGGAAGCTGCATCAAGAAGAAGTCGTCCTTGAATTGCTCTCGACGAGTGTGGAGAACTGAATTGCCAAACAACCTAACCTTTCTCTCACCCAGATAGTAGGCGAAACGAGCATGGTCCTTCGAAGACATAGAGCTGTGGGCTGACTTTGGCCATGCCTTGGAGCGGAGGAAGGACTTGAAGATGGCCTTGGTAGACACTGCGAAGCGAATACCAATGTACTGCACAAGAAGGGCTTGATGAATCTCGGGATCCATGTAGACTCTGTACTTGCCGTTCATCTGCTTTCTCATCTGAGCAGGAGTGGGCGAGGGCTTCCAAGACCAATCGTCCAGATTGGCAATCTCCATGTTGATGACGTCGGCGACCTCAGCAAGCACGCCTTTGCCAGCATTGCTGAGTGCAATGAGCTCGTCTCGCTTGCGGCCAGCGAGCAGATCGGCTTTGAGTACAGCTTTGATAGCGAGCTCAACATCATCGTTGGAGCAAGTAGCTGTGACAGTCCATTCATTGAAAGCCTTTTGAAGTTGCTCAAAATCAGTTTCGCGGACCTTCTTCTTCTGCTGAGGCTCAATGAAGAGGTTGGAGAGGTAGGTATCAATGGCATCCGTATCTGTCTGACGTTCCGTAAAGACGAAGGAGTCCCACTCCTGGCGCTGGCGGTGCATCTCTTCGCGACCAACCTGTACCGATTCGAAGCTCTCGGTATCTGAGGAGTCTGCAGTGCTGTCGCCTCCGAAAGGGGCATCGAGAAGAAGGTTGGCGTCGTTGGGCTTGTCGACCCATTCGGTGGCAAGGCGTGAGAACAAGTCCGTGTACTCGAATTTGTTAGACTGGATGGCAAGAAGACGTTCGAGATCGGCCTGCCAAGCTGAAGGAAGAGCCGAAGGGATAGATGCATCAAAGGTAGACTGTGTGAGCATCTGACGGGTGTTGGAGAGTGAGAATCCGCCGTTTGAAGTCTGTGCAGTTGTCGACTTCAGACCAAGCTTCTTCAAGCCCTCGATGAGCGTCAGGATGGGATCATTGCTCTTCTCAGTTTGGGCGAGTAGCTCAGCCTTGCGTTCCTCAAAGGCCTTACGACGGTCGGCCAGTTGAGATCGCTTGTAGTTGGTGACATCGCGCAGTACTCTGGAAGCCATGATGGGCGATCAAGGGAAGACACAAGATAAAAGGATGATGGATAGAGGTGATGTTGAAGAGGATGTGAGATGACTGGAGGTTGATTCCAGGATCTCAGAGCGGATGAAGGAGGGAGATGAGAAGGCACGCTGCACATGTACTTATAGCTCTTGCCAGACGATGTCGGTGAGCCAAAATGGCAAACCCAGAGAGACCACCGTGATTATCTTGGGAAGAATCTAATCTGGGAGACTGCTTTGTGCCCGAAAGAAAAGACAATGTCTGCTTCAGACCTGGCAAACAGCTGTCGCGGTTCACTGGTAGCTTCTCGTCGGTGCCTGCTTTGCGGTGACGGTGTCTCTGTTTGGAGTCTTGGTCACTACGTCATTGTCATTCAACATTTTGGTTGATTGTTGCTCCCAACGAGCACAACAGACAAAATAGATCAGGCATCTGTATAGATTCAGGCGTAAGAAGGAGACACGAAAAGTGAAGGTTGAAAGGCAGATTCAACAATTGCCATAGGGGCTAAAGTTGTGTTGTTTCTGTAGGAGACCTGAATTTATCCATCAATTTAACCGGCCCCGGGTTGAAGTCATTGCCCTTGCTGACTTATCTTTGTGGATCATTGAAAAAGAAGACTTGGTCGGCGGCGAGAATCAACTGAAACATTCAACTAACTATTTCACATCAATCGTCATGGCAGGAACAGGACCTTTGTACATGGTATGAGATATAAAAGAGACCAAGCTCAACTGTTTGCTGACATTCGATGCCAGNGGCTTTGACCTTTCCACACAACAGCTGAAAGGTTAGGAGATTTCGCCTTTGTTGTACTTGTAACGTGTCAATTGACTCCCAGACCTACANGGCGTTGTTGTGGACTCACAGCTCAAGCACCAGCATGAAGCCAAGGTCGACTTTGATGCCGACTTTGGCGAAAAGTACGGCATTGAGAAGGGTGTCTTGACAAACCCTTCAGAAGGTGAGATCTATGCGCCTGTGGGCATGTGGCTCGAGGCTGTAGATCTGGTGTTGTCGAGACTAAGAGAAGATGGTCTCGACTTCTCGCGAGTGAAGGGAGTGTCTGGAGCAGGCATGCAGCACGGAACTGTTTTCTGGAGTCAGCAAGCCGAGAGTCTGCTCTCAAGCCTAGACGCAAAGAAGTCGCTGGTCGAGCAACTGGAGCCCAGCGCCCACAAGGACGAGCGCAAGGGCGCTTTCAGTCACCCGGACAGCCCCAACTGGCAGGATCACTCAACTCAGAAGCAATGCGACAAGTTCGACGCCGAGCTCGGAAGCCCAGAGATTTTGGCAGATGTGACTGGTAGCGGAGCCCACCATCGTTTCAGCGGTCCCCAAATCATGCGGTTCAAGTCCAAGTACCCAGAGCATTACAAGCAGACTTCCCGTATCTCGCTTGTCTCGTCCTTCCTTGCATCCATCTTCCTCGGCAAGTTCGCTCCCATCGATATCAGCGATGTCACCGGCATGAACTTGTGGCACATCAAGGAGGGCAAGTGGAACGAGAAGCTGCTGGCTTTGGCAGCTGGCAGCACAGATGGTGTTGCTGAACTCAAACACAAGCTCGGCCATGTGCCTGAGGACGGAGGTGCCAGTTTCGGCCACATCAGCAAGTACTTTGTACAGCGCTACGGCTTCGCTCAGGACTGCAACATCGTCCCAATGACAGGAGACAACCCTGCAACCATCCTCGCTCTTCCTCTACAGGCTTCAGACGCCATGGTCTCTCTCGGCACATCCACCACTTTCCTCATGAGCACACCGCAATACAAGCCCGATCCCGCATACCACTTCATGAACCATCCCACAACCGCCGGCCTGTACATGTTCATGCTCTGCTACAAGAACGGTGGCCTTGCCCGTGAGCATGTTCGTGACGCAATCAACGGCAACAAGACCGACCGCTCATGGGACAAGTTCAACGAAGTCGCCCTGGCCACACCACCTATGGACCAAAAGTCTTCTTCCGATCCCATGCGCTTGGGCCTCTACTTCCCTCGCCCTGAAATCGTACCCAACGTCCGTGCCGGCCAATGGCGCTACGAGTACGACTCCTCATCCAACAAGCTTAACCAGGTCTCCGCAGAGCAGAGCGTAGATGCCGATGCCCGTGGTATCGTAGAGTCGCAAATGCTGTCTCTGCGTCTGCGTTCTGCAGCTTTGGTCTCTGGCCACGAGATCAACGGTGAAAAGCTTCCTCCCCAGCCTCGCCGTGTGTACCTTGTCGGCGGTGGCTCTGCTAACCCTGCCATTGCACGTATCATCGGTGACGTCTTGGGAGGAGCCGAAGGTATCTACAAGCTGGATATCGGCGGCAACGCTTGTGCTCTGGGCGGTGCTTACAAGGCCGTTTGGGGCTGCGAGCGCCGCGGCAACCAGACTTTCGAAGAACTCGTCGGCGAGCGATGGAATGAGGATGCTTTTGTGAAGAAGGTCGCCGACGGCTACCGTAAGGGCGTTTTCGAGAAGTATGGTGAAGCAATCAAGGGTTTCCACGCCATGGAACAGGAGGTCGTCAAGTCCACTTCGGAAGGCTCAAAAGAAACCGGAGGTGTCTTCATCGCGCCAAAGAACTAAACAAAAAAGAGAAACATAACGTGGTACGTAGGCTGTTAATGTAATTTCCAGATCATGCAAAATCACATCAAAACGTTTTTTGAAAGGTGCGACTTGATTGATGCTCACCTGATATAAACTCCCTCATCCGAGCTCCCTTCCCACAGTCTTCCCACTCTCTACCCACCACCAACCTCGCCGTCAACGCCACATCTCTTAACCTTTATATTCGAAGAAAGTTCTGTCCTCATAACCCAAAAAAAGCCGTGGTGGTGTAGTTGGTATCACGTCCGATCCCAAAAACCTAAGTCCCCTAAACTCGCTTACCTAAAACTCCTAATACTCTCTCTCTGGGATCGGGAGGCCGCAGGTTCGATTCCTGCCTACGGTGTTCATGATTTGCTTTTTGCCAAGTACACCTTGAGTGTTCACCATGTCACTTTTCTGCATGACGCTCAAGTCTCGAATATGTGAAAATGTATGAACAAATTGAAAGCTCACTATGTCCTAAATCAACACTATATGTACAATTTGGCTCCAAAAACTCCTCATGCCATGCAAGTGCAAATGCTGTTTCCGTGCTAGTCACCCAAGTATACCGGGATACCATAAACCACCGTCGCCGCGCCATTCAAATATCTCAAGTTACAAGCATCTCTGCTCATCATCACCGCTTCCACAAGACTTTTCTTTCTGTCCTCGTCTTCATCTCTCATTATCCGGCTTCTGCTCCTTCCGCCTGGAGTGCGCGATGGTGTCTTTGAAGGTGTTTTGGGCACGGATCTCCCTCTCTTCCGCGGCGTCTTGGGCGGTGCAAGTTCCTTCGGCGAAGGTACAGGGGCTGAGGACCATAACCCCCAGTGCTCGCCTGTTTTGACGGCGAAGCGATCAATGTCTTTGTCTGTGACGTCCCAGAGAGTTGCGACGACGGCCATGCAAAGGCCTTCTCTGTTGTCATTGCGATACTTGGATTCCTCGTCCGTAAGGGTGTCAGTTTGTCGTTTGCCAGCGACCAGGTAACTGAGTGGTACGCTGGTGGGTTCGTAATCGCCATGTTCGGTGACTGTGCCGCTGGAACAGCCCATCAACCACACCACTTCAGCGCACTTATCAAGCTTTTTGATGGTGCGATTGCGGATGTATTGGTTTCCGCTGCCGTGGCCAAAGTACAGAAGCGTGCTTTTCTCCGACAATACACTCGCAAAGTCTTTTTCCGAAGGTATTTTGTTGATAGTGGACTGCCAAGACGAACCAGAAGATGTTCTCAGTGAGTCGAGTAGTGGTGACATGGTAGTCTGTGTCCTAGACAGATCTCCAGATGGGTTGAGGATGAATGCTCCAGACTGCTTGTTGACAAAATACTTCTCTTCGGCATTATCCTTCATCTGACTACGCATAGCAAGAATGCGTTCGCGGAGCGTTAGCATGCTACCGACTCTGCTAACACTAACGTTCTGCAGACAGGGTAGACTTTCCCAAGGGAAGGCATGCAACTTCCTGTCCAGGATGAGGATCAGATGATTCTGATCGGCTGCATTGAAGTTCGCTGCTTCATGGTAAGACCTCAAGGCATCCATGGTCTCGGTCGCCATGACATCGAAGTCGACTTCGTCATACGCGTTGCGCTCGCCATTGAACTGGAGGATATCAATGACGAAGTAAAGCAGGTCAAGCACTTGCTCGTCCATATCAATCTCACCGTCCTGATCATCTCCAAGACCTACGAACAGCTCGACAATATTCGCATGCAACACAAGCTTCTTAGCTTTACTTTTCGTACTTTGTCTCGAGGGGAGATGTCGATCCAAAATGCCGTCCAACGATTTCCTGAAACGAGCCAGCAATGCTGGATCCTTGCGATGTTGAGATAGCACGCCTTTAAAGCCACCAAGCCAGATGTTCTCGATGTTCACAATCAGTTCTTGCATGCGAAGATCCAGCGCCTCACGCTCGTCCCACCAGCTCTGCTTAGCTTCTTGCGTCATGGCACTAGGCGGCTTACTGCAGCTGTAGTTTGAAAGCTCGATTATCTCCTGCAACTCGGCTTTGCCAGACTCGAAATCGAATGTAGGCGACTCCTCGTCATCTTCGATATCCTGCATCTTGTTACGTGTCATTGGCAGACGTAGTAGGAAAGGTGCTTGATTTGCCCGATATCGCGCAATGTATAGCTCATTGTGGTCCTCGCTTAGCGTCACCGATACAGCAGCCCAGCTGTTGGGGATGATATCAATGTAATCCTTTTGGAATCTCGCCGCAGAGAGGTGGCTGCTAGAGGCTGTGGAACTTTGAGTTGCCAAACGTGCATCATAGTCCATGTACTCCTTCTCCGCCTCTATGGTGTTCAACTCTCGAGAGAAGGCCTCGATACGAGACATTTCGATCGAGCAAGCTGCACGTGTGGGGTGCAACGAGCCAGAAAGAGACATGCTAGCATTCAAAGCCGATAGAAGAAGCATAGCTTTGGAACCTAGCCCGCACAATTGGTGGAAGACTGACATACCGGCGGTGCTTGCAGATCGGCGTTGGATGTTTACAAGACGTTCCTGTGCGTCGCAGAGGAAGCGAGCAAATTCTTCATCAGTACGCTTCTGACGGCTATTCTTTTTAGGTGTGGTAGCGTTCGATAGAGACATTGGTGTCGACGAGAGCGAGGTCTGCGTTGACGGCTTTTTGCCGGTCGTTGTCGACAGCGCAGGAAATGAGATAGTCGACTCTGGTAGGACGTTGAAGGTGAAATCCAGAGCCAGTTCGTCCCCAAATTTGCGGAGCAGTCCCTCTGCCATTGCCAATTGCTGCAGGATTTCTTGAGCGGGATCATGCTTCATAGCTTCGGCCTGCTCCAAAAGCTCCAGACCGAGATCAGTCTCGCCCTGATTGATCAACAGAAGGCCACGTTGTCTGAGTGCTGCTGCACATAAGCTTGATAAGGGAACGTTCTCCTGATTCGAATCAATAGTGGCGATGGTAGTCTTGACTTTGGTAGTTGTGCTTTTGGGCGTCTTTGCTGGCGGCACTCTAATCGTCGGAGTCTTGGTTACGGTTCGCTTACCATTTCGAACAGGAGCGGTTTTGGTCACATTGCTCTTGTCGGGTGGGACTTTTAGAACACCCAGTCTCTCAACGAAGTTCTTGCCGGCAAGCCGAGTAGCCATGGCTTCCGCCTTCTCATACTCCTGTTGTGCACTCTCCCATGTTTCTTCGTCGGCTGCAAAGATGTCGCCCCGTATGATGCCAAGTTTCACTAGGTCGATAGAATCTCCCGGCTCACCATTGTCAACAGAAGTGTCAGTCTCGATACCCTCAATATAGGCCTGGGCTTCCCTTTGGACCGAAATCTTGGTACGCAAGTGTGGTACATCAACTCGAGCGACCAAGATGTCAGCCTGTTCCAGATAGTAAGAAGCTTCAGTGCGTAATCCCTGGTGTGCATAGGTATCTGCAAGATGCAAAANACTATTCAGTAGATCTGGTAAGATAGCAGAGAAGGCAGCGCCACGATTGATCGCAGGCTCTAGCTCTGGCGATGAGGATGCTTGGTCAGATTCAGAGATGACAAGCTTGTCGACCGCATTGACAAGCTCTTCTTGCGAAGTGATTTTAGGCGACACCGATGAACTATCTTGCGGAGCATGTTGGAGTTCTAAGAAGGTCATTGTCTGTTGACACAGTAAGACGTAGCGTTTCGCGTGGACCATAGCCTCCTTCACCTGTCCTGTGGTCTTCGAGTACAATGAACATACGAAGGCAAACCGCGCTCGAACAATTTGGGCATGAGCTTTCGTGGCATGATCAACTGCAGGGAACAATTGCATGCATTCGGTCGCAGATGTCATTGACTTGGCCGCCAAAGCAGCTTGTCCTAATGTCGTCCAGATTTCCACCTGAGCAAGATGCCATTCGAGCTTCGCGAGGATTGAAATATTGGGTTGAATGAGCAGAGCTGCCTCAAGCTCCAGGGTGCGACATGCCTCCAAGGAGTAGCCTAGATGTAGGTATTGCAGAGCAAGCTGCGCCGAAGTACCCAAGATAAACGATGGCTCGGGTGTAGGTTTAAGATGATGAACATGAGAAAGTGTTTCGAGTATTTCGAGGCGCAAGTTGTCTTGGCCCTTCATGGCTAAAAAGGAAACCACGAATTGCAGTTCCGCTATCAAGGCATCCACGTCATCTACTTCCTTCAAAATTGAGTCCCAAGAATCCAGAGGTTTGAGCAACGATGACAACTTCTGCATCATCGTGCTGATACCCTCAAGGGAGGTTTGTTTCGTGTGAAATGACTGCGCCAGCGCAAGGGAAAGGCCCAAATAAGACTCAAACGCAGACAAGCCATCATCCTCATTGAGAGAGCCATGCGAGACTTTGCTAGCCATTATGCTGTCCGTCGTCTTGTTGTCTAACAAGCCGGGAAATTCGTTCGAATATCTGAGGATCTGAATGCATACTCGTGCTCGCCGTAGTGGGAAATTATCTTGGCTGTATAATTCCAGGAGCTTGGTACACAAGCATTGCAGATCTGCTGCTACTCTCCTACGATGTGATGGTTTGAACAAGTCTTCCTCGAAGAAAGCCAGCTGGATCTCGAGCAGAGTCGCTCGTTCCAATGGATCAATCAGATCATCGTCGAAGAAGGCAACGCTTGCAGAATCTTTAGCTGCAGATGTATGATGCTCGTGGAGAATGCGTCTCAACAACTGAGCCTTGCGATCCAATTGCAAAACACTAGACAGTGACTTTGAATTTGCATTCTGCGTCAATTCATGCAAAACACCGGAGCGAAGCTGGATGCTGATTGTTTCAGCAAAGACAGAACAGGATTTGGCGATACCGCCAAACCTCTCTAGCTTTGATCCAAGGAAGCCAGCCTCCTGATGTACAGACGAACGCTCGCGCAGTATGTCGATGGATGCTTGGAGACATCTTATGGCTTCTGGCGATGACTCTCCGGTTTTCGAAGCCAAAAGTTGAAAGCAGCGCCAATGCAAGTTGGAAATATTGACTACCAGGTGTTCTGCCTCGGAGTCTGAGTTTAAATCCAGTAGACGAGTGCATATCTCAAGAGCTTCGTGCACAGCCTTGACATGTTCGCAGGACGAGACCAGCAATTTACAAGAGAAGATACTGGAGCTGACAAAGGGAACAACCAATTTTGACGCTACATCTCCCAATGCTTTGGCGTCAGCAGTACTTTCCAAGCACCAGAGAAGTGTTTCAGTGCAGAGAAAACTGATGGTACATAGTAGAACAGCACACTCGTCTGGCTCGGGTCCAGTCTCTTTCCCCGTGTCATGTGTCAAGATTCTGATGGTCGTCTTGCGTAATCTGGCGAGTTCCACTAACATATCGTCGACTGACAGCGTAGACGATCCGGATTTGTTGACCAAGTGAGACCTGCAAGACTGAACCTGACTGCTAAGTATCGCTAAGTCTGGTTGGTCGTCACGATCAAGGCAAAGGGCCATGGACCGAACTGTACAGAACAAAGTCATGCCGTTTCCTGGGCCCTTTTCTGACGTTGACGACATGAACTCGGTGTATCGCAAAGCCTCGTCTTGCATGCCGAAAGAAACGGCAAGAGCACTCAAGGCCTTGTATAGAGTCAAAGGGAGAGGCAAAGTATCACTTTTGGGCCTGTCCAGCCCGACAAGAGTGCTTATGCAATTGATAGCCTGTTTGTAAGCCTGGGGCTCTCGATCCTCAGCCCGCCTTCTATAAGCGTCCATGTATCGGACCAGCGGTTCAAATAGCTCTTTCTGAAGATCCGCTTTATGTCCAGCTATTGGCCACCATTTCGTCTGGATGAGAAGCGCAGTCGTTTGAAGCTTGAAAGCCACATCAGGAGAGGCGGATGTCCTGACATTTGCAGCAGAATCGTCTGCCGAGGAGGAAGGGGAGGGACACATGGAAAGTATGAGCTTTGAGAGGGTATCCAGCTGGCGTGCCACCTTGTTGTTGTCTTCGGACAACTCTCTGGACCGTAGTAAAAGAGCGGCGGCAGAAATGGGATTGTCAAGCATCAGGTGGGGGAGCGACGCGTCGATAGTGGCAGGCCGGCCAGAATTGACGACGAGCCGCAAGACACTCATGTGGTAGGAGATGGCCAGCGACAAGACTTTGGCATCACATGTGCGACATTCGAGGTGCAGCAATGTAGCTAGTGTTTCCCTTTCAGACGCAGGCGCCGGGCTGGCGCCTCCGGATCTTCGGTGTATGCACGTCTTGAGTATGCGCAGCTCTTTCATTGCCAGTGTGTCCATACCCAGAGCAACAAGTTTCGAGCACAGGGCAAGCATGCCCGTTTCCAGCTGTAGAGAGTCATCGCTCGAAGAGCGGGCAGAACGAAGGTGGGCAAAGGCGATGCGGGCGCATTCGGCGACGGTATTCAGGCCAGACGATAGTGGTCTCTTCGTGCTGGGAGATTGTGAGGGCGAAGATGTTGACGCCTTTGTCGCATCGTTCAAGACCTTTAGTGAGACGTTGACGACGTCCGTAGCTAGTTTGTACCGCTCTGAGGCCGTCAAGGCCTGAGGCGCATCGGGAACTGCAGCGGGAACTGGTTTGGTTCTCGTTGTCCTTGTAGGCGGTGGTTTGCGCGTGGCTGTTGTCTTTGCCGGCGTTTTTGAAGGCTTCGGCTGGTCTTGTGATGAGGCCAGGAGGGTCTGCAGGGTACTGGTGGTGGTTGGCGAGCATGAAGATGGTGTCGCCAATGCCTTGCGCACCACCTCTGCCGGACTTGTCATCGGAGGCATTCTTGGTCGAATCGTTGCTGCATGTTAGTGATTATGCCATCATGGTGGTAATTCGAGTGCACGAGCGGCAACTTTCAGCCTTGATTACACTAGACACTTGGATAAAGAAACATGCCTTTTCAGGTCTTGTCTCTGCAGCAACCGCTTCGGCCCGACTGTGCCGAACGTTGGAGACGTGCCCTAGATGCTCGGAGCGTTGGAATCTCAGAGCCGGCCAAGTTGGAAATAATTGCAGTCGACCAAGCATCTCTAACGACACTCATACAGACAGCATCATGCGTGTACTCGTCGCGCCTTTACGCCAGGCCATCTGCCGCCGTCCCTTCTCTTACTCGGTCAGCCATGCCTCGACTCCTACCTCGGTGCCTCGTGTCGCCTCGGTCTGGCAATCCGTCATTCCCAAGGCCTTCAGAAGACCCGATGACCCCGTCTCAGTCGCCGAACGTCAAAAAGCCCAAGCTATGAAGTCTAAGGACTGGAATCCTGCCACTTTCTTCATTGTCATCGCGCTTCTGATCGGCTCCAACGCCATCCAGATGATCGCTCTGAGGAACGAACGTCAAGGTTTCACACGCAAGACGGAAGCGAAGATCGCTCTGCTCAGGGAGACCATCGACCGTGTGCACCGTGGAGAAGAGGTTGATGTGGAACGCGTCCTGGGCACTGGTGATCCGGAAAAGGAGCAAGAATGGGAACAAGTCATGCAAGAACTCGAGTCGGACAACATCCTGTGGAAGAAGAAGAGCCCACAGACTCAACAGCAGGACGAAGCTCAAGCTCAAACTCAACAAGCCGCCAACGAAACTCCCAAGATGGTCTCACAAGCTCCCACATCGGAGCCTGCACCTGCTGCTCGACGACCTGGTTTCTTCTAATTCTCCATTTCGTGTCGTCATTCAAGTCGCCTAGTATCGTAGTAGTGGATTAGACTTGGTTGCTGACGGGACGTCAATTGCACCCTGGCAGCGAGGTGCATTCCGTGTCTTGCCGCGCGCCAATCAAGTGGGGAGCAGCGACTTCCTGGTCGCATTGCGTTGTGCACATGTGCCGACGCTTGCACGGCTGACCACCAGCTTGCAGATTGTCCAGCCTTGACATTGTCCATGTCTCAACCTCTGTTGTTCTTCTCTGCGATCCCACAGATTTTCGTATCGGTGAATTGTTGTTTGCCGGACCCTGCAGCCATCGTCGTCGTGGTCTGGATGCAAGGGCGATCCACGCCAGATTGCCTGCCTCCTTCCCTATCATGAGCTTGACTGCAAACGACTTGCGTGGACTCCACGCGTGTCTGTGTCGAAAAGAAGGAGTTACCAACCCACTCCTTCCTCGCAATCTTGTTTCCACATATCCTCGACATGGCGCCTTTTGCTCTCTTCACCCATCGCAGCTTTCGACGCGGCCCATCAAGCCAATCGACTTCGGCGTCTGACTCTGCCACTACTCAGCAGAAGACAGCCATGGGTGGCATGCCGTCCAAGGCTGCCACGAACGTCAATGAGGCACCACACAAGAAATTGAGACCTCGATCGTCGTCCATGCATCTTCTCAAGCGCAATCGCGACCCTTCTGGACACAATGCGGCGCGCACTTCGACGCTTGCCCAGCCTCTGGCCAGTGCAGATACGACGACCATCGAAGTCTCCGAGTCAGAAGCAGATTATACCAGAATATCTCTCGCACGCCGCTCAGACTCACAGTCGACCGTCAAGACACTCAGCGATTCCGTCCACTCGAACCGCTACGAATTCACCAAACATGACAGCTTTGAATCGGATGCCAGTTCCACAAGAACAGCTACTCGCGTGACCCGACCGTCCGAGGCACTTCTCGTCCTTGGGGCAGACGACGAACCAAATGGCATGAGTACCCCTATACCACCTCACCCGCCCAAGACACCTCAGATCCGACTTCCTACACCTCCATTCTTGACTGAAGACAGCCCTACCAAGTATGGTTTGCGCATGAATCACTCTCCCTCGCCCGATCGTTCCATGGTAGCCAAGCAACGACAGAAGATGACGGGCGCTGGACTCTTCGTGGTNACGGGACACCCTCATCTGCTTCCTTCTATGACAGCCAGACTGACAACCTCNCAGCATGCTGCTACTCAGCAACGGTCCACAACCTTGACACTGCCAGTCGACCAAGCAAGATCGGGTGCCACAAACCCCACACAATCATTCGCCCACAGTTCGCCATCTTTGCCCATGTCTGACAAAGCGAATCCCACGCCTGATCACTCAACCTCGTTGCCCATTCATAGAATGCCACTCAGACTCAGCCAACCCTTCAAAGATGCACCTCAAGAGCACGTCGCTCATGCACTCCCGCTACGGACTTCGCAAACAACATGCTATCGAGAGCACGACATTTGGCAGCGTATGGGCTCCAACTACAGGTATCCAGTCGCATGTACCATCTGCGATGGGTACGAGCCGCCTGGCGATGATTTCATGACCTGCTTATGGTGTGAGGTCCATGTTTGTGGACAATGCTACGCGGCGTTCGTGAAGAATGGACTGGCGGGCATGATGGAAAGAAAGCAAAGATGATGAAATAAGTACACGAATTGATGTATTGGGACCAAGAGTGGGACACGTAGAATCATCGAGGAGGAAGTCATCATTCTGTTTCCTGAAGTCTAGCAGGGAGCCAAGGCGTTTGTATATCGTCCCCTAAAGAGCGACGAGCGTGATAAGGAGTCGTATAAACCGACATTGATCTGTCTTGTCAGTTCGAGACCGATGTATTGCATGTTGTAGATAATGGCTGTCTTTCAGAGCTCAGAGAGCCCGAGCAAGTTGATCATTTCCTCGTTCTCTTCTTTCTCTCCACCACAAACACGGAAACGCAAAGAAGCATTTTTGCCCCCTGGGTAAAATCGTTGTAGTAAATTTGTTGTCGAACGAATACATAGTCCTTCCCAATAAGAGGATGATGTCTAGCAATTGAACGATCTCTTGGATTATTTCCACGAACACACTTTTACCTTGGGAAAATGTCATGCATTCTCGCAGCTAGCAACATGGTAATCTTTTAGCACGTGAGGGAGAAGAAGAAAGAGGGCAGTCCGGACAGTGACAAAAGACACACGCCTACTGTTTCCTCATCTCTTTCAGCTTGCTTGATTGGCAATTTTACGGTGATGCTAACCTTTTTCTACCTGACGAGACTTTTTCTCGCACAGGAGATATATATCCAAATTCCAGTTTCCTGCAAATTCGCAAAGCAATTGCCTGTAGAATCAGTCCTGTCTCAATCCTGAGGACCATCTTTTCTTCCGTCTTTAATGACCTCCATTCCTCTGTTCTTCTCGTGCAGCCGCGATTTTTTCGAGAAAATTAGGTTCCTCCTCTACTTCCTCTACTTCCTCGAACTCAGCGCTTGCAGTGCTGCTGGGCTCAGGAGCATTAAACCATGGGGTAGCAGAGTGTTTGGCCGGGTCACCACAAATAGGCTGCCAGTAAAAATCACACCAGTACTCCCAATGCGTGCCTTCTTCTGAAATGTCGGTGGAGGAAGCAGAAGTGACGGTAATGGTGCTGGTGGGTTGGGCGGTCATTTGCTCTTCTTGGGCAGAGGCGATGCGGTCGAGGAAGTCTGGTTCTTCTTCCTCGTCATCGTCGTTTCTGGTGCTGAGGTGTACGGAAATGTATGCAGGTGCAGTTGTTGATGGAGTTAAGGAAGGGGTCTTGATCATAGTCTTGAAGGTAGTCATGTGCTCTGTGAACGCAGGAGTAGAAGTGACAATAGCCCTAGAAGTCGATGGGATCTTCTGGGGTGGAACGGGTTTGAGACCAGTGACTTTTGGGAACACGGAGGGTGTGTAGCCCGGCACAGTAGTCCTGGTGGTGCTTGGAAAGGGGGATGCTGGGTATGGGGATCTAGTGGTGCTGAGGTGGTTGATGCTCATGATGGCCGTGACCATGGACGAAATGGGGATATGCATCTTGTTTGACTTTTGTGGTTGACATTCAATATATGTGGATTGTTTCTGTGGGTCGCTGTAGTTGCTGTGGATGTAGATGTTGTGATACAAGAGGAAGACGAGGAAGGGTAAAGGGCACCAGGGTTTTATGCCTGTGAATTTGGTGGATGAGTCTTGTGCTGGCCGTGACTCTTTGCCACGAGGTCATATGAGAGAGTTTGGAATGCGCAAGAAGACCCACGTGGTATACCCGATGGAAATCCTCCAGACCAAGCGTTCTTTCGCCGGTCGCCATGACATGCAAGTCACAAGAGACGATACAATATCAAGGGGATTGAGCAGAAGGATAGGAAAATCGCAATGCATGTCATGTATTCCCAATCCAAACAACCAACCTACTCCAAAAATCCCTCAAGGATATCGACAATGATGAATATAGAAAACAGTAATTCAGACTTGGTATCAGATTAGACCGCAACCTGCTCGGCACCCTCAGCTCCTCCACTGCCCGAGATGTTTGAGATGAAGTCTCTGTATCGGAAGACCTCGCCTCTCTTTCTATCGCCGCCAGCCAACTCCTTGCCGAAGACGCCTTTGGCGCCGAATGCCCTCCTTGCTGAGAACTGGCTCATAATGGCGTCGATTTCATGCTCGGACAACCTGACATTTTCAGAACCCGGCTCTGGAGCGGTGTTGAGTAGCGCATCCCGTAGTTCATGCTTGTCGATCTGACCACTGTCATCAACGTCGAAAGCAGCGAATGCGGCGGCAAGCTCCGACGGTTCGCTGAGCTCAGCCAGTGGAGCTGATAATAAGTCCAGGAACCGACCAAGAGATATTGAAGAGGGAGTACCCGGGGGGAAGAAAGAAGCGACAGCCTTGGGGGAAGAGTCCATACCCATCTGCTGCAACATATCGGCCACGCTGGCAGAGGTGATGGCGCCTGTGTTAGAGTTGTCCAAGACTTCGAACGACTCGCGCATGCTTCGTAGCAGGGATTGCGGGAGGTGAGAGTACTGGCCAGTGGCCATCTGGACAGGGACCGAGGAGGGGGCGGTGAAACTTGGTCGGGAGGTATAACTCGGTCNGGCTGATAACGCTAGGTCTCGGGGCAGCACTTGTAGTAGAATCGCGAGAGGTCGGTCTGTCAAATATGGGTGCTCGGATAGTAGCCTGAGTAGACGAGGTGACAGTACGCTGGNGCGGTGGGTCGCATAGGTCGAGAGGCAGATGGAGATAAGACAGGCGAGCGAGGACCCAGCGGCGATGACGGTGCAACAGCGGACGAGCTTGGTACAATAAGCGGCGAAGGTGACGAAGGGACCCGAGGCGATGATGGGAATGCNCCCATCTCCCGGCATAGGTGACTCTTCAATACGGGCGGCGGGTGAAGGTGACGGAGGAGCGGACTGTTCCTCATCTACTGAGGCTTGTGAAGCATGGCGGGAGAAAGAGATAGGAGGAGCGAGAGAGCCAGAAGATGTGGGCCTTGACGAGGACTCTGCAATACTGAGGCGGCTAGTTGGACGGGCAAAGGGACTCCTTGGACGATCGCCGGTCGTCAACTGTGAAGGTCGTCGTACAAATGGATTAGATTTCTCAGGCGACAGAGAGGGGGACAGCGGTTTGGTAGGCGACTCGGATCGATCGCGGACTGTTGAAGGAGAGCGCAAGAGTCCGTCCGAGTCGGGACGGCGGAAAGGTGATGCTCGGGGAGAGCGCGACGAGTTGAACGACAACTTGGTTGGTGAAGCCTAGCGATTGTCAACTCGTGATCCAAGACACTCGTTATAGCAAAACTGACCATGGTAGCCGAGATGATGGTGAGATTGGGACTAAAACAACAGTGTATGGCGATAAAGCAGCGGTATAATGGCCGTTGTCAGGCGGGCACCCACTCCAACAAACAAACAAGCCCCGGGGAAGCCAAGCACCGCCGCTCACTCCCGCTCCGCGCGCTAAAAACAGAGCCGGGCCCGTGCTGTGCTGCAGATCGCCCGCCCGGCCTTGGACCCTGGTGTCTTTGTGGAGAAGAAGGAGGTCGACAAGTCGAAGAGAGACTGAGGCAGGCACCATCAACGTCAATGGAGTTCCGGCAGTAGCACAAGACCCACAGGCCCTTCCTTCCCCATGGCACTGCACCGCCAAAACAGCAGTAGCACGAGCCAACCCGCTCCAATCGCTCCTGCCGCCGCAATGCCAGGGGTGCTACGGCTGCGCGCCGCCCCTCTCTGGCCTCGTTCCCCTCATCACGCAAGCAGTCCTACTACGAGGTCATGCCCTCGGCCACTACAAGACCTCCCATGCGACCCTCATTGTCTCAATCGGTCCGCACCGCCAGTATGCCTCGCCGCAAGCGGAAGCCGCGACCGCAATATCCCCAGCACTCTACTGAGCGCCACGTCGAGTACATCCTGGTCGCCTCGTTCGACATTGATACTGGCTCGGTCATGGAGCACCAGTATCCCGCTGCAATTGGAGGCGACGAGCACATGTTGGCAGAACTCATGCTGCCCGATCAGACCCATCTGCGAAGCCAGGACTGGACCGTCTTCTTCTTGCACAAGGACCAGTCTCCCGAGGACGACCTACAACAGAGGAGAGATAGACGCAAACAACAGAGGGAAGAGAAGAAACGGAATCAAGCCGAAGCCAAGTCTGATCAGGATGGAACAATCCCAGAACTAGACAACGAGTCAGACGACAACACCGAAGATGCAGAGTCCGAGGACGATGCTGTCAAGAGTACGCAGGGCACTCCGCTGGTCTACGTCCTCAATCTCGTCAACACCAAGCACGATGCCAACGTAAAACGAGGTGCCGTCGTCAAGGCTATGGCCATCTGTACGAGGCACTCGTTCTTGCATATATACAAGCCATTACTCCTGCTCGCCTTGGAGGACTACTTCCGTTCGCCCACCATCGAGACCCTAGCTTCCCTGTACGAGTCTGTCAACGCTATGGATCTCTCACTACTCCCGCGACTATCGTTCCAGGAGCGATACATCTTACAAGCCTCTGATGTCAAGGATTTGTTCATCGAGAAATTCGAGGCCATGATCCAGAAACGCATTCATGAGGAAAGGGCCAAAGACCAGCCTGACGACAAACAACATCAGCAGCAGACGCCGCGTCAAAGATATGGTTTACCACGAGATACCCACGAGTTCGATTCAGTTGTACATTACAACAAGATCCCCGTGCCCATCAAAATCCCCACTGCCTTGTCTCTGGAGACTGTCGGCGACTTTTCGCTCATCAAACTCATCCAGACTTTCAGCACACCGCACTCCGCCTCGCCTCAACCTTTTACTCAGCATCACCCGCACCTAACCACATCTGGTCCTCTCACGCATCCTATTATCGTGCTTCTCAATGCATTGCTCAGTCAAAAGCGCATCATCTTTATCGGCCATAATCTGCCTTCGTCAGAAGTAGCAGAAGCTGTACTAGCTGCTTGTTCGCTCGCCTCTGGTGGCTTCTTGAGAGGCTTCACCCGCCACGCATTCCCATATACAGATCTTACCAAGATCGATGATCTGCTCAAAGTTCCGGGCTTCATCGCCGGTGTCACTAACCCGGCCTTTGCTACACACACTCAGTGGTGGGATGTCATGTGTGATTTGCCAACGGGACGCATCAAGATCAGTCCCAAGATCGAGCAAGCTCCGTTGACAGAAGGTGTGCTCTTTTTCCAACAGAGCGGAATCCCACAACCCCATAATGCACCGGGCGCTGTTTCAGCAGCCGGTACGGCGACAGGTGCAGGCATGAGTGGTTTCCCATCCATACCTTCCGGAGCCGGAGATCCAACGGGTGATGTAGCGTTCATGGCCAGTGTCCTCGCTTCCATCGCGGAGCGCCGTGGCGAGGGTGCTGTCCGTTCAAAGTTTCGTCTCTGGATCCTCAAGTTCATCCGTATAGCAGCGTCCTTCGAAGAGCTTGTCTACGGTGCGTCAGCAATTTTCGCATATTACCCTCCTGGTTCGCCAATCACACCAGCAACAGCTAGCATGGACTTTCCCTCACCAATGACGGTACTGGATGCCGCTTTAGAGGATCCTGCTGTTGCAGGTCATGGCCACGTGTGGCCGTCCCAAGAAGCCAAGATGCGTGAACTTGCTGCCAATGCTACCCGTATCGAAGGCTGGACAAAGACGCGAAGCTACTATAACTTCATCCAAGATTTCAGCGTCATGTTCTCGTTGCGTCCAATCCAAGATCTCGATCTCCAGCACTTGCACGACAAACTGACAAAACTACGTCTTGGCAACGATGCCTCTGCGTCAGTCTACCTCGCCATCTGTGCCAGAGTAAAGACATACGAGCAGATCAACCAGTTACTGTCTGTCTTTGCTTACGGCGGTCCGGCGGTGATGAATGACAGGCAAAACGGCATGTTTTACCTAGCCCTTGGACTCATGCACCCCAGACTAGATGTCCGAGAAACTGTTGCCGAGTTGATTGACAAGATCAGAGTACACGAAGCCGGAAGGCACTTCTGGGCTGCGCTTGGTAGATTCGAGCAAGCGGCTTTTGATAGGGTTGTGCTTGCCAAGGCTGAGAGGGAAGATAGTGGGCTGTTGGGTTGATTGCGGTTATTTGTGGCATAAACAGAGTCAGTGTTTTTCTTAGTTGTTTTAGATACCATGGTTTACTTTTGGGAGCATTGGAGCATTGAAGAATATAGATTGGATAGATGATACGTTGGTAATGATGATGGTTTGCAGACTGCCTCATGTACATCTATCAAAGATATTGGTTTACGACAACGGAGTGATTGGATTGAAGCAGGGTGCAACGAGGATGATGCGGCATCTGTCTGTGCTCTCGCTGCGAATGTTCATTTCATGTGCAATTCAGAAGCAGAGGCAGGACTCTAGTCATCTGTAATACGAATGCATGCGTGGAGTCATTTTGACCGCTGGTCATGAGACGCGAGAGCAGTGACCCTGCTTCAATGTCAACTGCATATGTCGAATGATCCCTTGCATGAGGGTGATACTTTCTTGTCCAATTGAGGAGGTCATGTTTATATTGTTGAATCATCCATATGTTAGGGCATTAGGGCACATTCATGTGTCTGCATATCCAGAAATGCAGCAAATCGATATACATCTACTTGATGCTTCTCAACAAACCGCCTACTCTACAGATTCAGGCTTCCAGGCAATAAGTTTGTGGTCGAAACCTCCACTGATCAACCATTCTTGCTTCTCGTCACCTGATGATACCCATCCGGCACTCAGACATCTGACTTTGCTTCCGGGTTCGTGGCCCTTGAGGGTTGCGATGATTTTACCGGTCTTGGCTTCAATGCCGCGAATTGCTCCATCGTCGCTGTTGACCCAGATGCCTGTGCCGTCTGGTCGCCATGCGAGCGCGGGTGTGCTGTAGGCGGTCTGAGGCGCCATGGTCGTGCAGTGAATCAGGATGGCGGCTGCTTCTCGATCCTGTAAGGCCAGTGCGGCACGTGCTTGAGATGCTTGAGTTTCTTCGGCCGGAACGATGGACGCCAGTGAGGCATCACCGTCCAGTGAAGGTACCATCAAGCGTACGACTAGCAACTTCATGTGGGGGATGGCACTCGTTGCGACTGCGATCAGAGTGCTGTCTGTTGGACAGAGAGCAATTGCAGAAGGAGTGAAAGCAATCCAAGCATTGCTGTGTGGCGCTAGGTTCTGCTTGCCAAGTAGGTGTGCTTCGTTGTCAACACTGTAGTAGAAAAGATGAGTCGAATCCCTGCGCGTGACGATGAGGACCAGAGAATCATTGTCGGGGTGCTTGATGAATTGAAGCGCTTCCGGATTGGTTGGAAGCGAGATAGATGCAACAGGAGGAGGCAGTTTAGGCGAATCGGTGCCAGGAACATCAATCCTATACAGGTGAACTTTGCCGTCCCAGCCTGCGGTTGCGAGCCAGGTCGCATTCTCAGACTCGTGGATAGCGATCTGTACAACATACTTGGTATGATCGCGGCGCTTGTCAAAGACCTCACCCTGCAGATTGCTTATCGCCAATTGTCCAGACATGGACGCTGTCAGCAGATGTTTCTGTTTCAGCACAGCAGTCGAAAGCACTGGTGAGTCGTGCATGGCCAATAGCGAGTCTCTGAGCGTGCATGCAGGTAAATCATGAACATTGAGCCGGCGGTCAGCAGTCGTGGCTACCAACAGCGGCTCGGATGCATCTCTATAAGCAGGTCAATCAACACTGTTCCCTTGAAGGACGGTTTAATTGACTTACCCAGCTGTCGTGTTCGCTACCAGTGGCAGCGATATGTGAAGGATGTTGGAACGTGTCGGGCCTGATATCTCATTCGGTAAAGCGGGTGCNNTGGAAGGAATCAATAAATTGACTTCGGGAAAATAAGGAATCAATCATCTACCATGCTGGCTCCAACCGTGAGCACCATCATCCGTGCCAAGTCTTTCGAACTGCAGACTCATGTCAAAGGTTCGCTTCTCCTCGAGGATCTTCTCGATGGTCAGATCGCCCTTGTTGGTTGAGCCTGCACTCGGTGGAAGGCCAGCTTCCCTGATGAAAGCGTCCAAAGTCTGGCATTGAAACACTTCAGCATGGGATGTTCTGGTGATGAAGCTGCGTGGGAGTGTTCAAACCTCATCGTAGCTGTTGGCCTTGAGGAAGCGGGCGACGATGATTGCTGCCTCACTCGGTGACATTTTGACCGCAACTTGATCAAATTCCGGTGGCTAGTCGTTCTAGTGTGGCTCCTGCCAGGTGTTTGGGAATGTTTTGGCTGGTGGCGGTTGAAATCTGGCAGTCGCACCTCGGTTGGTGGACTGCGACTTCCCCAAAATTCTGGAGCCGACGTCAAACACCTGCACCTTCTGCACGTCCGCGATATTTGCTTGATATTGTCCTTGCCGCGCTTTGTGCTACGGCGACTGTCACGGAGCCTGAAACCTGGTTGGAACAGCTGGGTCCTCGCCTAGCATTCATCATGCATCGCGCCTCCGCAGAAATCTTCACGGGATGCGGCACGAGTGCCCATCTTGTGTAACACGAATCCTCATTGATCCCCAATACCGTACGCAGGATTCGGTCCTTTCGCTCGAATCGCGTCTCGGTATGCCTCATTGTGATGGACGTAGCCGCCAACCAAGCCTCAGCTGGTGGACTGAGCCGCGATACACATTGCTCCTGTTGACGCCCATCACGTTGGTCACTTCATAAGAATCTGCCGTGCCGCGAAAAGTGATAGATCACAGTCTCTGGTCCCTCTGTGATCAGAGTGTCTTGTTCGTTCGAGTCTGCAAACAACAGTCTCGACCCCAACCAGTGGTTTCACCGCTACCGAACTCGCATCCAGCCCTGCATATCAAACTGAGCATCTGCAATTCGACGAAGCATCGCTCCAGTTGGAAGAAGATCTCATGGACAATGGAAGATTGGCGAGGCAGCCTTGCTTCCCCTGCTCCCTGACGGCTCTCCTCAGGTCAGCTCTACCCTATCGCAGTCCCCAGTGTAGTGGGGTGGGCAATTGGAGTGCATGGCGACATGGGCTTCATTCAGATGGCTTGCTGCCACCCCAGATTCCTGCTGAGGGTTTGACCGTCTCGATCGTCTCGGATTACCCGTCTCCGGCAATCAGAGCTGTTTGCCTAGTCCCGCTTTTAGCTATTGCTTGCTAGAATATAAGTCAAAGTCCAGATGATGGATTGGATTAGCTGATGGGAAGTCACGCACATGATGCATTGAAGCTGTATACTCGGAGCTCCTCATCAATGCTTTGTACAAATAGGACCTCCTTCGACCAGCAGCCGGAGAGGTCTCTTCTGATTTATCTCCGTCGTTTGCAATCAGTTTCACCTCGAGGATCTAACGGTTGTTTGAACAGCAATTCATCTGTCCTGCAATACTCTTACGCATCGTCCTTGGTCATTTCCAGTGTCTCTTCATTCTGCGCTGCAACCTGTCTCAACTATCTCACGACCCAATATGCTGTCCCAGATGCCCATGGCGCATTGTCAATTCTCCCCATCCCGAGCAAGGAGTTCTGGTGATGGAGATTTCTTCTTCTATGTTGAGGGTGTAAGTTTCACACCTCTACCCTCATGTCGGAACACTAACCCAGAAGTACAGCTACCTCCGTACTATACCTGGGGAATGTTGAAGGATCTCACCAGAAAGGCTGCCCCTTACCCAGGATGGACAGAGATGGACTCGAATCCTCAAGGCATGCTGAAGGGCCGCGGCTGGATCAAGATTAAACGAGCCAAAGATGCTTTCAACCTTTATGGTAGGTCGAGTCATCTAGACAAGTCGAAACAAAGATTGATCCAAGCTCCCNNAGGCTACTTGACCAATGGATCACCTTCTCTGAAGCCTCTCAAGGTCTACCTCTGGTCTACAGCTCGATCACCTCCAGAGTTACTGCGATGCAACGATGTTCCGCGTCCAATGCAGAGGTTCGCGCCGCCGCAGAGTGTCAGCGCCTATTCCACAACTATGAGTTCAGCCATGAGCACACCAATGAGTACGCCTATGAGCACACCTATGCACAGGAGTCCAGTGTTCCATCACCCGCCTCCGATTGCTCCAAGGAAGATGAGTCCGAGATACATCTATACACCAAACCAACGTCCGATCAATGCAACAGGTGGTCTTGTACAGACCGAGTCAAGAGGTATATTCATAACCCAATTGGACTATGCAATCGATCAGCGGCAGCTAGAGGAGTACCTGCGCAGGATCGGATCCTTCGACAGCTGCGAGATCCGACGGGATCCGGCTAGTGGCAGATCGCGCGGCATCGCGACAGCCAAGTTCGCAAATGCAGAGGCGGCTGCCAGAGCAATTCAGATGCTGCATGGACAGAGGCTCATGAGCAAGACAGTCAGCGTGCGCTTTGACACGGAAAAGGAGGCGGTGGCACCACCAAGCTCGAGCAAGAGCTATCACGAAGGCCTCATCATTGCGAATGGCTCGGAATGAGACATGGGCCAACTTCAACTCACCCAGTGCACCAATCAAAAGATGCGAATGCTATCGAAGCAGAAATCGTCAGCGAATAGTATCATTCATTCACCGTGTGCCGTTCAATCATGCTTCCCCGCACCTGCACGCTGCAATGACCTGCAATGAGGTACGTGACTACTAGTGTCGGTGCTCATGTTGTGTAACACCAGAAAAGTGCGAGCTCCGGCGGGAGAACAGATCAGCCCCCCCTTTAGACGCAGCCATCTCATCGTCTCTGACGAATGACAATCTATGCCAACTGAATGTGTCTCTTTGGCAAATGACAATCGTTCCCGGTAGCACCTCAGGTGTAAGCGCAGTACATCACTTACATTGCATCGGATACCAAGAGGAGCCGCATGAAAGCAGAGCAACACACGTTCAGCGACAGATGACGAGGTCAAAGTCTGGAGTCATTTTCACATGTGCGCATGTATTTCAGAAAACGATACAGTCGGCAGACATTCCCAGGTATCGCATTGGCACCAGACGTTTTGTTCCGTCAGATTGCCAGTTTTGCAAGACAAAAGTGTTTCTCGAAAGAACATCAGGGAAGGCTTGTGATGCTAGTTCTCGTGTGGAGTGCTAGTATTAGAGAATGTGAGGTCTGCACATAATGTCAAGGTGCGGCTGATTTGCTTACTGTTGATGGTCGAGGTTGGCGTTCTAACTGGTAGCAGACCTCGACACATCTACTTGCCAGCCTCGAACCTCGATGATCAATGAACTCCTTTGCTGTGATGGTATTCATGTATGTCTACCGGCTTGTCAGCTCATCTATAGTGAGATGCTTTTTCGTTCCGATTGCGAGGTTCTCGTCCCTCAGCCATGCGTTGACAATATGGTTATATCACAGATAAGCAGGTACGACAACCAATCATGCTTTTACGCATGCACACACACATACAAGTCTGCACATCCAGAAAGGGGAATTGCAGATTACTTTATCTCATTTGTATACATTATATTATATATCTGACGGGATTTTATGTTTGCATCAATGCGACAGGGTCACCCGCGGACCTTGTCAGCCTCGCGATTGATCTGTTTCATATCCTCAAAACACGCTTCCCAGAGACATCTCTCGCAGCAGCAGTTACCTCCCAGAGCGCCAGCAGCCCACTCGCGACGATCCTTGACTGGCAAATCAATGTCGCAGTAGTGGCTGAGCACCTCTTCACCAGCCTTGAGTCCGGCCTTGTACTTGATGCCGCCGCGGAACTCGCTGCCGTGCCAGGTTGGGCGGTCCTCCAAGACGCGGAAGCGCACGTCGCTGGCCCAGCGCCAGGTGACATTCGGGTTGCAGCTGTGGTTTGCGAGACACCACATGGGGTGGACGGCGCTGACTTCTGGGCCGCGAGCGACGCCGCCGCCCGAGCCGCTCAAGCGGGCGGATGCAGTGCCGCGGAATTTGGCGTACAGGGTGTTGAAGACCCAGACGTCGTATTGAGGGTTTTTGAAAATGTCGACGTCCATCTTCTCGAGCATGTTGAAGGGGAGCACAACGTTGGCTTGGAAGCTGAATGGTAGGGTGCGCGGGAAGGGTGATTCAGTGCTGTGGCGGTCGTGGGGGCGCCAGTGCTTGGAGAGGTCGAGGGTGTGGTAGTCTCCCCAGATGAACTTGACATACTTGATGTCCAGAGGGTGAATCTCTTGGGTCTCTGCCATTGCCAAAGATCTCAGCAATAATAGAGAGTACAAGGCGTTGGCAGCTTCGGCCGGTGGGACGTCCTTTGCAATGTCCTCGACACCGCGGTCACATACGGCAGGATGATATTCTTCCTGAGCAAGATCGCTGCACTTTTCGCTGCAGAAGACGACCTCGCAGTCTGGACATGCGACCACGTCGGCTGAAGCTGGGTCGCTGAGCTCAGGAAGGTCAGCACTGCATGCATCGCACAAAGCATCCTGGAGACGGTTATTGGCTGTGAGAAGTGAGGTCTCGGACAGCGCAATCTCTCCAGGTGCGATGTCCTCTTTCGCAAAGACACCCAGTTGTGTAACGAACTGTTCCACACCGTCGCCCTCAGTCAAGAGGGGTAGCTTGGTGGCCTTGACTTCTAGTCTTGGTGCGACCTTCTCCATCTCTGCATTCAAGAATTCCAAGCTCTCGTCCGAACAGCGATCGGGTTCGTGTTCGTTCCACGGATAGCACTCTCTACGCACCATACCCTCGTCAGGGAACTGGTCGAGTCCGAACTTGAAGCCAGGTTTGTTGTACTCGTCAGGCTGCGTATCGCGAAGCCAGTCGTCAATGGCGGCGTGAATGACGTCCAGAGTCGCTTCGATGGTAGGGTCTTCTCCGAAGAGATCTTGGGCTTTGAAGCAGTACTCGGCGGCGCTTCTCTGGCAGCCAATCACATGGAGACATTGAGCGAGCAATGCATANNCCTACTAGGCGTCAGAAAGAACCTACGAAAAGGCACCGAGCAACGCTTACACTTGGAAGGAGAAAAGGCCCTTGGTCCAGACCAAAACTTCGATGTCCGATACATCCACATCCACAAGCTGATCCTTATTTCTAACCATGAACTCAGGGTAGAGGTGAGCCAGAATCTCGGCGTTCTCAAGGATGTTTTGGTGTCTGTATTCCAACGACTCTTTCGAGATGCTCAGTGCGAGCGACTCAATGGCCTCGTCGCAGAACTCGTCCTCATTATTGATCGCATCGATGAGCAGCAGAGCCTTGTATGCCGAGCCGATAGCAAGGTCTGGATATCCGACCTCAACATAGGCCTTTGCAATGCGCAGGTAGAGATCGATGTTGTAGGGATGTTCGGGCAAGAAGCTGCAAAGCTCATGGAGAGCATTCAGGCGTTTCCTGAGCTCGGAATTGGTGATGTGGGGATAGTGTTCGTCGGTCGACAAGTCCCACTCTCGCGAGAAGAGAGTCGAGCGAGGCGCATAAGGAAGATCGTCCGACTCTGAACGGTGATGACCATTCATCTTGCCATTTTTCTCATTCTTGTAACTGCTGATGGTTGCATTCAAGCGGGCCATGGCCTCCTCGATTCTGTGAAACGAGAATGCATCCTCGGAAGTCGACATGCTGGGCTACGTGGTCGCAATGCCTCGCAATAGCTGTATGAGAATTTTTGGTCAAGCATGCATGCAGCTTTGGTCGATTTTTCCTTAGCGCGGAGAACTCCGTGACAGACGGACGCGTCGCGATTTGATTGATTCTTGGCCGAGCTGGCGTACTCTCTTGCGACAGCGAACATGTTCGAACATGACTACGACCCCGTTGAACACCTCCTGCTTCTCCATCAGCGATTCGGTTCGCGTGCTTCAGACGTGTCTAAGGCCGGATATAGGTTCCAACAGGCCTCCTGCTTCTTCATCAGCGATGCATGGCCTAGAGAATCTCTCCTGTTTCCATCAACGATGTTTTGCCTTCGTGTCGCAGAGCAAGCTGCCACCTGCACCATCGTGATGGCCCCTTTCTTTGTATTGAGCTGTAGTTCCAATAGAATGGTTAAGGCACGACTCTAGCGCGTGTTTCTTTGTAAGATACCAGATCGCAATGTTGAATCGGTAGATGGACCATCTGAGCCGAAACGTGTGGTGCAGGTGTCTAACGCCGTACCCAATCGCCGGACGATCGGCCACCATCGAGTATTCGAGAAAACAGAGTTCCGTGTTTTTCTTGCTGCACATGGACAACGTGCCCGCTTTGTCAAATGGCTGCCTCGCACCGGGAGGTATCTCCGTGCTGCATCCTCTCCGGAAGGCCGGCTTGGCCGTTTGTACTCAAAGCAGTCTGTCGGTGCTGGTATGCTACAGAAGCGCTAGGTGTTTTGTTAATGGCAGCCGTTGTCAAATGCTATGAGCACTTGATCGAGATAAGAGCACGCAAGAATCGTGCGCGTCCCATCTGATTCTCACATCGTGTGGTTTCGTTGGGCTTGACGCCTCTGAGTCGACGAGATACCAATGCGACCAGCCAGCCATCTTTCTTTGTTCTCCTCATCTCCCAAGCTCGTGCAAGCGAGAGGAAACAGGGCTGTGAAAGCCGAGTCAAGGTTCTTTCAAAGTCCCTGGGCTAGGCAGAAAGAGGCAAGGCGGACACCCATGGACACCGCGTGCACCGAGGGATCGATGATGGTAGTTCACGATCCGGTGTGGGGTCGACAAGTCTCAGTGGAAAAAGCCACATCCGGACTCTATCAGTGAAAAAGTATGAAAGCTTGTTTCAGATCATCTGGCAACGTGAAAACGGGGAGCAGAATTGGAAGAGGCAAAGTGATCTGGTACGAGAAGAATTATCTTTGGATTGGTCAAAAGGAGTCGCAACCAGTGCGCTCATGCAAGAGGGGTATCTAAAAGAACAAAAATGCCGGCTGGACAGGAACCAGCCTCGGAATGCAAACAAAAAACTGCCAAAAATGCTTTCTTTGACCGACCCAGGGTATGCAAACGCCTTGTGTGAACCCATCGTAATTCTGGTTGAAAGCATCCAGAAGATTGTGTGTCGTGAAAAATATTATGCGGACTGCGCATTATAATGTCGTTATTATCGTGGCATAAAGGACCATTGAATGGTCTGAGGAAAGCGACCGGTGGTTTGGTCGAGAGATGAGAAGACGAATGCGCTTTACTGGCGTTGGAAGAAGCCAGTGATGTTGGCACATCGTAAGCAGTAGAAGGAATTTAGACCATAGGCAACCATGTTGGCTGCCTTGCCTGTCGTAATATCGATGCTTTGAGAGCGATGACAGCGTGAGCATCTAGCGACTTCCATAGGCGAGTGAACATGATTTGATGATGATGAAGAGCTTCCATCCAGTTCTGAAGGGTCGTCGCTGACAGCAAGAACGTTCTGAAGAGGTTGAGGTTGAGGCCGTCTTGGAGGAGCGATATGTGCGACCCGAGTTTGCAGTTGCAGAAGAGAATCCATTCTCGAGCGAGTTTGTGTGGTTGAGGGAGATTGCAAGCAAGGTCGATAAGCAAGCAATGGATTTGATGGATCAGAGACAATGTCTTCACCAGGTGGGGTGAATGGAGTTGTCAAGGGTGTCTCGTCGTTATGGGAAGGGTACTTGTTGTGTTGGATGGAAAAGTAACAGACGCCCTGGATGGGAGAAGGGGCTGTATTTGAAGTGGACATTGCAAGACGATGGGACGGGAGAACGATCTCAGATGCACGAGTTGGATCGACCAGATGGAGCGGACGCAGCGTGCATTTATTCGGTTTCGAGCAGAGCCGCGAACCATCTCGATGTTCGCCCACTGAATCGTTGATCGGCTTTGGAATAATGAGTCTGGACGTCCGTGACCGTGCGTCCGCCAACCCTGACTTAGGGCCGTAACCTAAACAAAGCCACCTCGAACAAGGCCAAGGCTGAGCAATACACAACTCAAACCGGACTAAACTCTCCGCTGCAAGAGATCATGCGATTCGACAGCTTGTCGTGGATTCCCAGCCATGGCAAGGTTTTGCTCCGACTTGCCGGCGGAGTTAGAGAGCGATCGTCCGCATTTCCACCTTCTTACGGATGCCTGTTCCTTGAGCATGAGTCTCACCACCAAATCCTAAAGGATGACAAACACTACGGAGGAACAATCAGCCAGCCAAGTTCCCCGAGGTCGTACTCTGCAAAAGCCCCACTAACGTTGCTAGAGGCACTGTATGCAGCTGGCCGAGGTCGTCTGTTTACCACTCGTTATCGCCTTCTACGTGTCTCTTTGTCTCACTCAAGTTGCTGCAGTCTGTCCTTCGAATATTCGACGTTGACCTGAACAAACGACAGTCGTTTCAAGACTCTCTGACCGGGTAGCCACAGCTGAATTCTAGACTTGGATTTCGTTAAGAGGCACTCTCGGGGAGAATCTCTCCGCAGTTGCGCGCCGTTGCGTCTGCGGGCCTGTCCGGCGCCTTGCACTCAGTCCACCCTGCGCGCTGGGACGCATGCTAGTTCAACCCTGGCATCCCGAGACAGCTTACAGAGACCCTTCTACTACTAGCAGTGCCCGAGCATGAGGCATCCAGCATAAGAAACGCTTGCGTGATTGCCCATATCTCACGTCTTACTTAAGCAGAAACGGTGTTACACAATCAAGCTGATACTGCGGTCCGACCGAGACGACGAACGCCGCGTCGTTGCAACAGAATCTAGGGCAGTCGAAATATGTGCAAAGGAGAGCTTCACGAACTTCTTGTCGCACTACCCAAATGCGAGCACCACATACACATCGAAGGTGCTCTTACGCCTCATCTTCTCTTCAAATTTGCTGCAAGAAACAACATAAATCTTGCCTCAGCCGACGATCACGCATACGCCAACGAAGAGATACTGCAGGCACGTTATGGGTCCTTCGCTTCCCTATCTGACTTCATCCGGTACTTCTCATTCGGCAGCTCCGTCCTCATAACGGCCAATGACTTCGAGGAACTAGGCTATACCTACTTTGCCAAAGCACATGAGCAGAATGTGAAGCATGCAGAGGTCTTCTTGGACCCTCAAGCCCATACGAGCCGTGGCATCTCATACAATACAGTAGTACAAGGACTATCACGCGCGAAACAGCGTGCGGAGCAGAATTTCGACATGAGTATCGCATACATTCCATGTATACTGCGCCACCACGGCCTGCAGAGCGCGACAAGGATGTTTCAAGAGGTTGTGGATGCTGGTCACTTTGAGAAGGGTACTGTTGCTGGGCTGGGTATGGCTGGCGATGAACTCAAACACCCACCCGAGTACTTCAAGACTGTATTCGATGCTGCAAGGACAGCCGGGGTACGCTGCACAGCACATGTAGGCCAGGCAGGTCCTGCAACATTTGTGTCGTCTGCGCTTGAACACCTCAGGACGGAAAGAGTCGATCATGCATGGATTGCGAAGACAGACGATCGATTAATGCAAAGGCTTGCCGAGACAAACACGCTCGTCACCCTGTGCCCACTCTCAAATGTTACGCTTGGCTTCATAAGCAGCATTGCAGAGGCACCTATCCGGGACTTCCTTGATCGAGGTGTTCGATTCAGCATCAACAGCGACGACCCGGCATACTTCGGACAGTACATCCAAGGAAACTACTGTGCTGTCCAGGAAGCTTTCGAACTGAGTATATCCGATTGGAAGATTATCGCGATGAATGCTGTGGAAGGATCCTGGTGTTCAGACGAACGTAAGAAGATACTCAAACAGCAGGTTGCTGCAGTGATCTCACACTGGCAGGCTGCACGAGATGCATAGCTGGACCAGGAAGCTGCGGACTATGCTTATCCTTGCCATTGTCATCACCGCACTGCCCAAACAGGTAATCTTACGATACTGTATGTACGCATCTACGCTGTCCATACCCATGGACCTCTCGGCCAGAGACTGGCCGTTAAGCCTCGGCCGTAAATGACATTCGTTAACACGTATGTCCGTGTTCTTCTGCAAGCCATCCGTGTTGCGCAGCGCAATTCGTAATGCGCATGATCTATTTCATCTCCGTTCACGTTGTTAGCTCCCAGGCAGGAGAAGGCACAACCGGCTGCAGCACCGTCCGTCGTTCCCGACTCCCGAGTGTGAAGTTCTGGACCGCTCCAATTTACCAACAAGACCCTTTGTGCTTTGCTGCGTTTTCGCGATTCCACTTTTCTGTGAGAGAAACAGAGGCGTGGCCTTCTGCATCTTCGTCGCAGGAAAGGGCTGAGCTGCGATAGGCTACGCGGACAATCAATGTGTTGCTGTCAAAGTTTGCTGTAAAAGGCTGTCGCGTGCATCTTTTGTTTGTTGTCAACAACTTGTTGGGTGGGTTTAAAGGCGGGGTATGCGGCTTGGCCAGACTTTTGTCGGAACTTGTCCGTTTCATGTCAAAAAAGAGGCCGTTTCAAGTCCTAGAACCTCTTGCGACTCCAATGGTCCCAGGAGACAATCAAACGATCAAGGAAAAGGCCTCGAGTATCCACAAATCAGATTGGAGTGGCTTTTGTCTTCTTTGCTATCTGAAAGTGTCTGTGGGGCAGATAGGCTGCGAGTTCTAGAACTGATCGGGCGTTTACTAGATACTCTCGGTAAAAGCGAGGCGTTCGCGGTCAAACTCATCAGGCCCCTG